GTATCAGGACAGTGGGCAAGAAGCCCCGTCAATCTAGGCCTACTGCTTGGTGGAATGATGACTGCAAAACAGCTATTCAGACATACAGGGCCCTTTCTAAACAGACTATAAGCCAAGAAGGGCGGAATTCAGCCCGACAAGAATTTTGCCGCGTGGTTCGGAAAGTTAGAAGAGAGTACTGGCAGACTCTAATTGATTCAGCAACTGAGCCAAAGGACCTATACAGAATCGTCTCTTGGTACAAGCTATCAGCAGGATTGCGTTCCCCTCTAATCATCATAGGAGACCAAATATTCGATTCACAAGAGAGCAAGGCAAATGCATTACGCTTAGCCACGCTTGAACGAAGTACCTCAGACAACGATATCATTGACCCCTGGTCCGCTCAGATCACACAACCCAAGCCATATATCCCCCTTGAATACCATATCGGACTGGAAGAGGCTGAAGGGTGCACTTTAGGGACCAAGAGCAACTCCCCGGGAATAGACACCCTCACAGTACAGATTCTGAAAGCTTGCTGGCCATTCATTGGTGAACATATCAGAGCCCTTTTCCAGACCTGTCTACAGATTGGATACCACCCTAAACCATTCAAAGTAGTTGAGGTGGTGATGATCCTAAAACCAGGAAAGAAAGACTATTCCAATCCCAGGGCCTACAGACCAATATTGCTATTGTCGTGTCTTGGCAAAGGCCTAGAATGACTCATCGCGAAAAGAATTACCTGGTTTGTTGTCAAACTTGAAATTCTAGCTCCACAACATTTTGGAGCTCTACTAAAGCGCTCTGCCACTGACCTGGTAGCTGCACTCATACACGATATTGAGCAGGCCCTTGACCAAGGCCTCGTTGCAACAGTAGTCACGTCAGATGTGAAAGGGGCTTTGATGCTGCCCTAATAGGAAGGCTGGTGGTTTGCATGAGAGAACAGGGCTGGCCGGGCTTTCTCATAAGATGGGTCCAGTCATTCATGTCCGAGCGGTCCGCAGGGGTTCGGTTTGAAGGTATTGTGACCGATATTAAAGCTCTCACTTGTGGGCTACCACAAGGCTCACCAGCCTCTCCAATCCTTTACATGCTGTATACAGAGCCAATCTGTGCCCAACTTGGTATGAAAAAGAGACGCTTTGGATATACAGACAACCTAGCAACTCTCTGCATTAAAAAGAACCTTAAAGAAACAGCTACAGAGGCTTTTGAAAATCTTTATTTGCTCAGTCAATGGGGACATAACAACGTTATTGAATTTGACCCTAACAAAATTGAGATCATGCACTTCTTAAGGAAAAAGAACTCAGACAACCCTCCAGTCCGCCACGGGACAATGAACAAAACAGCAAAGGATTCCATGCGATGGCTGGGTGTCTTCCTGGATAGAAAACTAAACTTTAAAAATCACGTTTCCTACTGGGCCAAGAAAGCTAATAAGGTAGCAAATCACCTTCAAGGACTATGCAACACAGTCAAAAGACTTCTAGTAAAGTCAACCAAAAAGGCTGTGAAAGCTTGTGTTATTCCTATTCTTACACATGACCTGGAGGCCTGGTACCCAGGAATCAAGAAAGTTGAGAGCTTAGGTGGGACATCAGCATGTCGCATTAAGAGGCTTCTTGGAACAATAAATGCCGTACTACGAACAGCGATCAGGGCTATCTTGCCAGTCTGGAAAACACACCCTGGACATATCCTACACTTTGAATCGCAGATTCCCCCAGCAGGAGTTCTTGCAGAGTTAATAAGACGACGTCACGGCCTCCGACTAGGACGAATAGACCAGAGACACCCTCTTGTTGGCAGGCTCCAAATATAAGCTCATAAGAATCCAACAAGGCTACAAAGGAGCTTCCAGCTAGTCCCTGACTTCCAGAGACCAACACTTACCAGGCCATCATAAAAGAAGCCCCCAATCCATAAAGACAAAGACAAAGAAATAGAGCTCTTCAAGCAATGGCTACAGGAGAGAAACGTGAACACTGACCTTGTCATCTATTCAGATGGATCATAGTTGGACGACCAAGGCACAACCCGCACTAGATGGGGTTATACCATCAGGAAAGGCGGCACTACACAAAAAGTATACCGGGGAAAGGGCAGACTTCTCCAAGCAGAAGTAGTAAATGCTGAAGTCCATGGTGCTCTCCAAGGTCTTGTAGCAGCCAGGGCAATTGGATACGGAAAACAGCTATATATTTGCCTGGACAACACGTCAGTGGTAGACGGGCTTAATAGGACTCCACCCGAGACATCACCGAACATTTTTCTACGATTTCAAGAACTTGCCACAGCACACACTCCTGGAGTGACCGTCAAGTGGATTCCTGGACACAGAGATATTGATGGCAACGAAGCTGCCGACACACTAACAAAAAAAGGTACCATGCTAGAAACAGACACGACAAACCTTCCTATAATCTCTTGGGTCAAGAGAGATCTCAAAAAAAAGGGCAAGAAAGAGTTCAACCAATAATAAAAAGACCAATCAGAACCTAGATATCAAGAAGTATACTCACATACAGTAACTAAAAGAGACCTTATATCTTTTAAGAGGAGTACTTTATACAGACTTCTAGCAGCCAGATCTGGACATGGCGACTTTGCCAGATACCATGAATGCTTTGGGCATACAGACTCGCATGATCACTGCAGCTGTGGTAAGAAGAAAACACCACAACATATTTTCTTTTGTAAGAGGCTAGGAAAAAACCGGCTGCTGCCTAAATACTCGCCTAGAACAGCTTGTTTATAATACTTAGAAGAGAGGAACACAGAATGGGCAAAATTCGTGGAGAAGAGCAAGTTATTTTCAACAATCTGCCCCCGATAGATAGCTTTTCTTGAAGGACCAGATGGATGACCCCAAGGTCATACCGCCGCAACAACGGGGATGGGCCCGTGAGCGGGACTGACTATACTTACTATCTTGAGACCTCCACAACCCTGCGATACAGAGGCTCTGGGAGGCGTGGTTTGCACTACTGAGGAGCTACCCCCCACGTTAAATACAATCAATCAATCAATCAATCAATATGTACAGACATTATCCACATGAACTAACATTGATCTCTTACAGGAACCGAGACCTAGAGAACGAGACAGAGGCTCCAGAGGACGAAGGTTTCTCAGAGGAGTAGGTGTGCATGGACTGAGATGCGACTAGTCATTGGCAGCATTCTTAGGCATTTCAACCTCTATGTCTAAAAGCCAGGGATAGATCAAGAAACAGACGATTTGATTTCTCTGGGACAAACCGTCGTTGCACATCGAGTTCATATTGAGACAATGGGGATGATCCAACAGATCCAATAACCTGCGCCACAGATCGGTTGAATGGTCAAGGGGATCTGATCAGACTGAGTAGGTCCGTTCGGTTGTAATTGCCTGGTCTTTTTCATCGTTTCGTGGTGGGTGGGCGGACCTGAAGTTCCTCCTAGCATGTTTGATGAGGGGCTGGTCTCATGCTCGTCCCTGTCCATCTAGGATCTAATGCAGATGCCTAGGTACCATAGACTCCTATTTGTCAAAGTGCTTGTTACCAGTGACATATTGGAAAGACATTGAGACAATTCTGTATTTTAATACTGGATCCAACTGCCATATGTCACGCTGTGGACCTGCCGACGGTCAATCAAATATCCACAATGACAGCCGCTCTTTAATTGTGTTCCACACACGGCCTAAATAGAAGCCTTTGACATGTATGCCGCCACATTAAGCGACACAAAATCACCTCAAGGCTGATTCACAAATTCCGAAATCTGGTGGGTATTATAGGCCAGGGCTACCCAGCCAGGAAGTGATCTGAAAACCAGCTCGCGCAGTGGCTTGAATGTAGCAATAGAGCTTTAGTCTTAACACTAGCATATCATTCATAATCACGAGTACCTACTGCAAGGTGAGATGCTTCTTATATGTGTGAATGAATATTTATACTCACCGCGTCTCAAAAACTAGTCGACGCTTGATGTTGACTCTCTTGAAGAGCGTCCCGGACCGATTAATCGAACGGATTCAAGCCCCAGCCGCCGCCGTCTCCGATGTAGCATGAACTCGCTGCGAGCTGTCTGATGTCGTCCCTAGAGTTAACCTGCACTTTGCTGTTCTCTTCCAGCTGGCATTGCGTCCGCCATGAAATGAGAAAATGAGGTGTCGGATGAAGAAGAAGGAAGATGCAAGATGCACGTTTGCTGGCTCAGAGTCGGCAGCGGGGACATTTATGGGAGGTGGGCGATGAGTCAATATAATTAAGGTTTTGGCTACCATCGTCCATAATTTCCTGACGATTCATAGGCTGGTGTCTGAGTCCAATTGCGCGCGTTTTTTTGGGTTTGAGAAAAGAAAGAAAAGGGAAAAAGCCCACAGAAGTATAAAAGTTCGGGAAATTGCTTATCTTTCAATCTCTAACTTCACCGTGTGGGCCTTTATGACTCCTGACCACCAAGTCAGCTTACTGTCCTGGGCAGGTTTAAGGAGGGAAGCATATCATATGTGTGATTCTATTCTCTATGCGTACCTACTTGGTATCCCCTGTTCCTGCCATGGGATGATTATCTGCGAGCTCAAAATGCAACGATACGGGTTTGAATGCGATATTGGGACAGTCATCTACCTCAATCGTAATCTGTTGGAGTCATGCCAATCACAAACGTGAATGTCCACTTCATAGCAGAGCTTTATAGTCATGGATAAGGTAGGCAAATCCAATGTTGGTACGGACTCACCCAGTCTTTAGAGACTTATAGCTGTTGTCCCGGTACTTTAAACGACAGTTTCTGGTACAAACCAAGAGTGTTTACTTGAGTTGACTCAGTCAGACATCTACTTGACTCACATAGATTTTGGCCACACACTCAGTCCAGGATATTGGGAGCATACATAGTAGGTGCCTCTGAACCTGGATGGAACAAAATCTCCCATCATCGACAACACACGCTGAACACGCTGAACACGCTGAACACGCTGAACAAGATCGAGAATACCAACAACTGTTGGTCTACAAGATGTCTACTGGTGGAGAACTCTTTGGGTCTAGTGAGCTGACAGCTCCAGATTACTCAATTAGAAAACTGGGTAAGCAGATCCGCATCAATACTGAAGACAACCTTGTCTGGGCCAGAATCATCAAGAGACTTCCCAACAATGTCCCGCTTCTCCGTTTCCGGGATGGCGACCAGAGCAGGAATCCCTACAGATTTGCCACACCCGGAGACGACGAGAGGCAGGGAAGGCCAGCGACGGTCACTCATCTACTCGGAAGCGAGTTTCGGGTGACATACTACGACAACGTCACCAAGAGTGGTGATGCCACTGCAATTGTCACCGAGGATGAGTTGCAGAGAATGTTCTAATCCGAGTCGGTCACACGTGTATGCGTGAGATCGGAGACAAAGGATGGTGCGGGATGGGCCACCTAGGAGGTGGGGGGCACTGGGCATCAACTGAGGTTAAGGGAAACATATCTTCTTTCCTACTTCAGTCTGGGGTTTGGGAAAATGGTGGATAGACATAACACTGACTACGGTACGACCTCCTTGGGATACTCAGATGTACATGAATCAACCAGACTGTCCCAGAACACCCATACCGTCTGCATTATGCGATTTGTGCCCGTTTCGAAGACACCATTTTTCAAGCACCTGCATCCCTCATGCAGATCCTCCATCTGCCGGCGCTCCTCGGCTCTGGCCCATGAACACGACAAGCAAAGCCATATACCTGAATGGCGAAGCCGCGTCAGTGTGTCACTCTTAAAATCTTCATTGTTACTCACGATGCGGATGCGGTGAGCATTTCGTGTCTCTTTGCAGTCGTGCAAACGCTCAGCACAAGACCAAACACCATGGCACAGCAACACTGCAGTCCCATGATCTTGGCCATGGTCAGTCCATCCATGTTCGACTGTGACCACCAGTATAGCGGGTACAGAGGTCCGGAAAGCAGGACCAGCATCACCGCAATGAGGATCATCATCTTGAAAATGAGAATCCTCTTGGTTGAGTAGATGATTGTTTCGCCAGGCCCGGCAAGCTGGGCTTCGTCCTGTAGTCTCGCAAGCTTAGTATCACTGATAGCGCACGTATGATCTGGAAGAATTACGCTGGAGAAGAAGATCCACTGATGTAAGGCTAATGTCAGTCATCCAAAACCGAAACCAAAGTCGAGTGTCAGTGGCATACCATCAAGACCCTGTTGTTCAACCTGACAAGTGCTTTGAGAACAAACCGATCGAACCATGCCTGGTCGTCTGTTGCGGTGAGCTTCACCAAGTCGTGCTTGTTGAGATGATATCTCTCGTGCCTCACTATAGGTGCCTTGTTGTTGAAGAAGTTGTTCAGACTCCAGACATCGAAAGAGGAAGGCTTCTTCAAGGCAGAGAGTCGATGGGAGAGATCGACAACTTCGCCTACCGTTGGCATAAGGGAGTTAGCACTGTCCTGACATGAGCCTCTGGTCCGTCGCAGTACCATATTCCAGCAGCTTCGCCTTGATCTTATCTATCAACTGCTTCCTCTCGCCGTAATCAATGTCATCGACCTCACGGGTCCTGAGCATATTCGGTCTGTTCTTCCCATCTCGCTCGTCCAGGTGATAGAGCTGCGTTTCGAGTGCGCGCAGCTCGTCCTGCATGTGAAGTAGAACGCGGGCTTGAAGGTACCGAAAACCCCGGAATATGAAGAGGTTGTCAGCGGAGGAATAGAAATTGGCCAGCATGGGATATCCTTCAGGGGCGTCGGCGACCGTACACGATGTAAGCAGCAGTTTTCAGAGCGTCCAGGGGCGGTACCTCCGACTTACTGTGGTATGTAGTATACTTCTCAGGATCATTTGCAAGATCGAGTCGATCGATTTCGAAGCTGTCTGGCCCTTTGGAGTCGTTGCTAGGCTCACTAGCCCCCTGGAGAACCCCTTTAAACGTTAACTTGGTTCACCACGAAGCATCATTGAGACGTCTGCAGTGTTCGCTTTACCTAATTCAATGTTAGGATCCATCTTGAGCGGCTGGGAGTCTTGGGTCTTTTGCAGCGGAGAATGATGCTGGAACGTCAGCGGACGGGAAGGAGGTGGGCTGGCGCGCATCTTCGAGTCGGTGGATTCATCATGTTTGCTATCGGGAGTTTGCATGCATACTCGTCTTCTCGTGTTCCATGAGCGCCTCGGACACGTATCTAGTCGGATTTTACATCCCACTGCGGCTTCCAAGGAACCCTGTGGGGCGCGGACGATGTTCATGTCGTCCGACGTTACACAGGTTCAATAATACGCTGGCATTCCTGCCAGCCAACTCGTTGTAGCCATTTGCCGTTAGGATAGTACAGATAGGATGGTGGTTTCTTGATAAGTGTTATGGTTTTCCCATGAATGGGAGGGGCCCCTTTCCGGTTCATACGGGGAGATATATAGAGCCCATGCGCCGCCCCTGGAGATCAAATCGACTCCTCTTCTGCACACCAGACGGCCTCTAGAGGATGATCTGAATGGGCGAATGTGACTAGTACAAAGTCTCCCTTTTCACAGTAGACCCGGCTGGGAGTTCTCGATTCGTGGGAAACCTTACCTCGAATGACCTGTAGATGTTGGATACAGAGCCAACTCCTGTTCTTGTCCAATGCATCCCATGGCTCTGAAGTCCAGAGTGTGAGATTTCAAAGTGTTCTATTAAGGAGAGGAATTCCAACTACTCTGGAGCGGCCAGAGTGGCCCTCTATATATCCAAGATACTAAAGGAAAGGATACGTGGCCTTATATTGGCCACGTATGTGACAGAGTCACGAATGGGGATGGTGATCCTGAAGGATGACTATGGATGGGCTAACATAGCCCAGAATCCAACACAGAGTCGGTGACATGCTTCGCAGGTATCAGTGGTAATAGCGAATGGATGAGAGCATTCGATGCACTGGCCTTCTTGGGAGCAGAGATATCCAGCTGTATATATACACCACTTTATCTGACAAATTCTTTTATACCTTTCGGTCTAGTTACGGCTCGATACGGAAGTCCGGCGGCCCGGTACGGCTCGTTCTAGACATCTAACGGCGCGACCCGGTGGTCCAAATGCCGAAAGGGAAGTCTAACAGGGGCTACAGTAATTCAGCGGTTCGAATCCCTTATTCGTCACTTCTAGGTTATTTAAAAGCCTGATAGTTTGCCCTTTATTCATGGTCGTCCCGTGGCAACGTGAGTATGCACTCTCTGGCCTTGCGACAATCTCACTCGCCCCCATTCAAGGCGAAGGAGAGGCTACATCACGAACACGGTGCAGCGGGCCGTATCAGATGACATCCCTGGCGAGGGCGGCCACCTCGTTAATGACAGACATGTGCTCGCTGATAGTATCTGTCAAGGGTCGACATCACGCGGCCAATAGCGCGAGCCATTTGAAACACACGGCGGGGGACGAGATCCGACTCGTTAAGGGTCACGTCGAAGCTATAACAGCCGAGTGGGGTTGGCTGCGACTCCAACTCTGCGACATCCCCAAGCAAGACACATCATTCCTGACGACGGAAGCACGCGTCCACCCAACGTGGTCTCTCGTGTCGGAAATGGTCCCTTGATGTGACCACGGACCAGATACCTATACATATAGGCCATGCGCTACCATCTACGGGCTCCCCGGATCCTTTGGCGTTGCACTTGGGGTAAGCTTCCACGCCCCCGGCGCCATGGTGTCACTCGCGCTGTTTGCAATGACGCTTGTCGCCGTGCCCCTCCAGGCGGCGACCACTGCTAAGAGAGAATCTAACAGTTCTGGTCCGTCCGGTCTTCTGACCTTCAGAGCCGACGGGAGCTTCCAGATCTCCGTCTTTGAAGACCTGCATTTCGGTGAAAGTACGTATCGGCCCCATCCGGCGCGTGACCTCATGCCGCCGGGTTCGTCGCATTCGCTGACCGACTTCAGATGCCTGGGGCTCGTGGGGCCCTCAGCAAGACCTTAACTCCGTCAAGGTCATCGACAAGATCCTCGAAGCGGAGTGTCCGGACCTGGTCGTTCTCAACGGTGACCTTATCACTGGTGAGAACGGCTTCTTGGAGAACAGCACCGTCTACATCGACCAGATCGTGCAGCCCCTCGTTGACCGGAACTTGACATTCGCGTCGACGTATGGCAATCATGACTACGACTTCAACATCTCGGGCGAGGCCATCCTCGCCCGAGAGCATCAGTCGGCCAACAGCCGGACGACGCAGATGGTGCTGGATCCTAACGCCGGAGTCTCGAACTACTATATCCCAGTCTACGATTGCGAGTGCTTGAGTGAGGATTGCGTGCCTGAATTGATACTCTGGTTCTTCGACAGCCGGGGCGGGTTCTTTTTCCAGCAGAAGGATGCGTCGGGCGATAGGGTCGGTCAGCCGAATTGGGTCGACTTTAGCGTAGTCAACTGGTTCCTCCAGACAAACGACGATCTCGTGAAGACCCATGGGAAGGTCATCCCCTCGCTCGCTTTTGTCCATATACCTACATACGCGTCGTACGCTTTCCAGCAGGCTGGCGTCGATTCAAACAAGGAACCCGGCATCAACGAAGATGTGCCCCTGGTGCCACAGGCCCAGGGATGGTGTCCAGACGGCCGCGACGACGACAGCTGCACATACGGCGGCCAGGATGTCCCGTTCATGCAAGCTGTATCAGCGACAGCGGGACTGCTGGCCCTGTTCTCCGGCCATGATCACGGCGATTCATGGTGCTTGAAGTGGGACAAGCAGCTGCCGGGCATGGAAGTGGCGCCGCAGAACAACATCAGTCTCTGCTTTGGTCAGCACACAGGCTATGGCGGCTACGGGAACTGGGAGCGTGGATCGCGGCAGATCGTCGTCTCGAAGTCTGGTTTGGCACACTCTGAAGTTGATACTTGGATTCGTTTGGAGTCGGGTAATGTTGTTGGAAATGTGTCGTTGAATAGCACATATGGCCACGACAAGTACCCCAAAACCAAGAACTCGATGACATATTGTCCAACTTGTAATTATACTAGCTAACGAATAAGACATGCTGACAACAAGGAGCTGTGGGGATGTGATCAGACTGGAAGCTTGATAGGGCAACATGTTGACCCATGTGACAATTCAGTGCGTGGGAAGCTGGCTTCGGGGCCACTGGCTTCCTACACAATACCTACCGAAGATAGCTGCGCCACGTATGATGTTGGATGTGTATCCGTAAGGATGGTTGGCCTCGAGGATCCTTGAACAAAGGTTATGTTGGCTTCATGTTGCCAAAGTCATCACCCCAATTTGTGCGGCGCAGGCGGCGCAGGACAAAGAAGATACATGCCTCACAGCTTCACATTGGCCCACATCTTCTTCCGTTGCCTACAAGGGCGCCCAAGATCGCCAAACTTCCGCATCGAGTCTCTGCGTTGGCAGATGCGCATCCATGTGTTAGTGTACCCCTATTAGCTGGACAAAGAGCTCAATCCGGATCGCTCAACACCACTGTATGTTGGCGCATCTGATCCACGATCACTCTCTTGTGGATCAACCAACGCCTTTGTCTGGTGCAGATTCCAGTTCCATCGTAATGCGCCAACAGTACAGAAGCTCTGTGTACGGGACGAGTTACATTGCCCGTTTGCTGCAGGAATGGCTACGTGACTGCTTGCCTTCGTCGGAAAATCACTTGAAACCAACCTCAGTGGGATGGTTTCGTTCTTTTCCGACGCTGGCGCAGCAAACCCAGTGGCGTGGTACCGTCGACAAATACATATATAAGCTTGGCTTTCGATATGCCTGGATGCTGGCGATTTTCCTGTATACCTACTCATCGCTAGGCCACATCGAAAGAGCGAATAACTCAAGCAACACTTCCAATCGACAAATCCCTCCTTTGACCACCAGTCATTCGCACACATGCCGCGCACTCCTCTCCAAACTTTCTTGATGGGGGGTGGGGGGGGGGTGTGCCGCCGTGCCGGAGAGATCAACTACGAGAGTAGAACGCACCGGCTCCAAAGCCACCGGCTCCAGAGACAAGAGCTCCAAAGACAAGATCCCCACAGGCAAGAGCTCCGAAGGCACCGGCTCCAAAGGCAGCGGCGCCAAAGCCCTTGAAAGCGACGAGCCAAAGTCTAATTGACTTGTCTCGCCGAACTCAAGGATAGACCAAACTTGGCGCTGGAGGAAGACTATCTGAGCCCGGTCGAATACATACGCACCTCTGACACAGCACCCGTACTTGGTGTCCCGCAGATAGAGTTTCACACGGTTCGCACTCTCGTCATATTCGGCCCGCCAGATGAGCAGCAAGCAGACGAGAAGTTCCTCATCCTGAAGAGACATTTTTTCAAGCACGTAGATTGGTTCCTGTGCGTATTCGACCCAATGTTGGATGGACAGGTGCGCAGGATCAACTTGAAATGGGATGGAGACGGTCCTCGTTTCGAGTTGAAATTAAAAACGACCATGAACTTGACTTCGATGATGAGGATAAATGCCTCTATACGCACAGGGCATTTCGCAGGGTTATTTATCTCATTAAGACCCCTGGCAGGGGGATGTCACTGGGTGGCCTGTACAGCTTTCCGTTGCAAGACAGGGAGGGGAATCAGTACGCCTCTTGGAAGCTCGAGCGTAGCTAAAGTGTCCTGTGCCAGGAAGGATGAGAAGGCTGTTTGTACCAGAATCAAAATTGTTTCTATGGGATTGGGTCTCGAGTGGCTTGTCTACTGACACCTTGAGCGGCTTTTTTTTTTTTTTTTTTTTTTTTTGGGACGGGCGTTAGGGTTTTTCTTTTAGGTTTTCTTTTAGGTTTTCCTTTGTTTTTCCTTCATATTTTTGGGTGTCAGGGTCATAATATCACAAGTTTGTTTTTAAAGACGGTAACGTTATCTTTCAAATAGGCACAAATCCTCCTTACGTCTTTTTAGGTGAGCTTTCGGATGTTGTTTCAATATATCGTTGCCAGCCTTCCTGCTTCTAGGGCCATTCACTAAATGAAAATTACTGCAGTTTAATACAGGTAGGACCACTCAGACTCTTAGTCCTGCATAGAGTTTGCGCCTTCATGAAGATTCCCACTTGAAGATGCGCTCAGGTTCCAAACTTCAACCGAGTTTACACAGCCCCAAACTCTATACAACCAGCACTGGACAGGCCAAATCACTACCTTTTACTGATCAGAGGCTGCATCTAGATAAATATCCGTCTCCTCGCTGCCAAACGACAAAACCCATCTCCTCTTTCACCCACACAAATACTCAAGCACGCATCGCACTTATCGCACTTATCTGTACGGTACGCGCCAGCACTCGATCGTTCTTCAACGACCAAGTTCAACATTACCACATCTTCTCCTTCATTACCCATAATACACCATGAACTCCATCATGGTACTTACCGCGGCTATGTCCCTCGCCGGACACGCCGCCGCCAACACCACCTCCACACCGAAGTCAGCGCCGCCAACTACACCATTCCCATCAACAGCAAGTACAAGGGCAGCGACAGGATGCCGATCGATGAGCTGCCCGAATGCTACCGTAAGTGCATCGACAATAACTGCTGCAACATGATGCTCGGCGGCCCCGGGGACGTCCGCCAACTTACCTTTCACGAATTCTGCCACTCGAAGTGGTCCTACGTCGGGAACTGGATGTTCGACCACCTGGCAGACTGCGTGTCGCCCAAGTGCAAGTCCTGCTGGCCCGAATGCAGAGACGGGTCGGACATGTGGATGAAGCGGGTTTGTGGTCACCCTGGATAGGGTAACTCACCGCTGAGAATGGGTGGAAGGTTGGGATATCATGCGGGAGTGGAGTTGGGGAGAGTTTGCTGCACTTTATCCACGATGCACAAGGTTCATTGCATAATTTTCGCAACAGGCGTACAGTTGGGAAACTTTCACGCTTGAACTTTCAATGGCTTGAGTGAGTCACTTGACGGCAAGCTTTCCGGAGGCGCATCGATTGCCCTTGAGTTCGCATCTACTGGGTACAGCTTTCGCGTTAGTTTTCTGGCCCTCCAATGTGAGCGCCGATTTGCTTAGGGCGATGTTAAAAGGGGCCAACTCGTTGGATCGGGAAAATGGGGGCCCCTGAACCAACCTTAACACATCACACTGCTTGTTGACTTTCACATAACAGACTAGATTCAACTACCCTTTCAACAATCTGTGAGATTTCAAAGTGTTCTATTTAGGAAAGGAATTCCAGCTACTCTGGAGCGGCCAGAATGGCCCTATGTATCCAAGATACTACAGGAAAGGATACGTGGCCTTATATTGGCCACGTATATGACAGAGTCACAGATGGGGATGGTGATCCTGAAGGATGACTATGGATGGGCTAACGTAGCCCAGAATCCAACACAATCTTGAGCTATGTTCCAATAATGATGCACTGGGCATTATTCTGCGACATTTGTATATGTGAGTTGTATGGACCGTACGAATCGTGCGTTTCATTCTTCGCCTGATTTCAAGACCATACGTATATAGTCAACCGTTCAGGGGGAACAAACGACACCCCGCCAACACCACCACAGACAAGGTAAAGGTTGACAAGCAGCACAACCAAATACTCATCCAACAGTCCTAACCGTCCGCCCGACCTCGCCCCTCTCCACCGCCTCCAGCCGGGGCAGCACAACCTCCCAAACCTTCTCGCTCAAGCTCTCGACATCAAGATCGGCATCTACAATGTGGATATCCTCTTCCTCCTGCCTGAACTCGCCTTGCTCCGCTCCCTCAGCATCCGGCATACCCACGTCTCCCCTGGGCGCCCCATTACTTCCGCCCACACCGCTGGGTCCGTCCCGGGTGTGGTGTCTCGGCCCGCTCTTCGTGGGGCTTTGGACAACGGCATTCCCAAGATCGCCCATGCTGAGGCCCCAGAACAGGTCGCGCACGCGTCGCTGCATCTCGCCCTTCTCGTAGATCTCGCCGCCCCAGCCGCCACGCTCGCGGGCAACTGTCTCCTCGAGGTCGAGGAAGAGAACCATGTCGGGGCGCGGAAGGCCGATCTCGGGTGCCTTGGCCCAGGAGAGGGACAGGGAGGGCAGCTGCTTCGCGGCGCTGTAGACGATACCGCTGTGGTAGAAGCGGTCGCAGACGACGGTGTGACCGGCGGCAAGCTCGGATTTGATCTTCTTTCTGAAAGAAAGTTAGAAATATGGCCGGAAAAGTAGGTGCTGCCTGTGACTTACATGGCCTCCCAGCGGTTCGCGCTGAAGAGCAGGTGGATGACATGGTCTTCTATCTCGGATTGACCCTTCAGATACGAGTCGATCATCTGGCCGATCGGCGTTGTTCGGTCTGCGCCTTTTGTTAGATCAAGTATTCAGTATGCCCAACCCCCTCAAAAGAGCGTCAAAGCCTCGCGGGTGGGGTGGGGGGGCGAGTAATGCCATGTAGAAATACGCCCCTATCCGCAGCCCTACAAGTCCACACCCCGCGATGAAATGAGGAAATTTGAGGAGAATCGCCGTACCAGGAAACCGCATGAACTTGACACCCCTGCCACTCTCAATGCACCTCAACTGCAACAGCTTCGCCTGCGTCGTCTTTCCAGCGCGATCCATGCCCTCGAACACGACGAACGCACCGCGCACCGGCTTCGGCAGCGGCTTCTCCTTCTCTCTCTGGACTGGCAGCGGCCGCTGTTCACCGACCCCGTCCACGCCGTCAACCTCCATGGGCCCACCGGATGACAAAGATGATGCCTCCGCCGCTACTGCTGAGGGGGCGGGTGCTGGGATCTGCGCTTGCAATGGGTTTTCCGATATCTGGGGTGCGGCTAGTACTGGACCTTGCCCTGGTCCAGGGCCGGGTGTGCTGGGGTTGGTGGCTATGCTAGTCGTAGGAGGCGGAAGACTGTCTGCTTCTGGTTGCGTTCGCGATGTGGTACCTGGCGCCGCTGGGGCAGAGGCCGACGCTGCTGCTGAGGCTAGTAGTTGGGCTGACGGCGATGATGGTGAGAGGGGCGTCTCTGGCGGAGGGCTGTCCTGCGTCGCGGGCTGAGAGACCTGCTGCGGCGGCGAAGACTGCAGCGCCACGGCCGACGAGGCGATGGTCGCCGCGGTGGCGAGGTCGTTTATCGATGCCATCACGCCGCGTCTCGTGAGTTGATCGTCAATGCAAGGCTGAAACACAGCGTTTATATGTATGTGTGCTACGTATAGGACTGCGATCTTTTGCCTCGGTCGAGTCCAGTGATAACCCCGCGATAGCGGCGAATGAGCTCCTGACGGTCCAATCGAAAGCTAAAGTAGGCAGGAAAAAGCACCGAGCCTAGGTGGCAAGTCAATGGCTGAAACGTCGTCACGAGGTGATGGTCGATACGACGGTGCGAATCGGGATATCGCGACGCGTCTGGTGGAGAACACCCGAGTTACGTAAGCGGCATTAGTGGGGCCTCACTAGGAGTACCCCCTATTCTGGTCAAGGCTGCCAACAGATTCAGTGACAACATCTCGACCTCGCACTGCGTAGGATACTGCTCTCATCAAGCCGCAGCCTTTCCATGTAGCAAGAACAAGCCTTACGAGGCAACGGAAGACTCTTCGATTAACCAATGTTTGGATCCTGCCCGCTGCGCCGACTCCGGCACCGCTCGCCAACATCGACTTGCCTCATTATCGGAACATGCTCACACCCGATGGACATCGATCACGTTGAATACAGCTAGTATCAAAAGAACCCATTCATTGCGGTCAAGCCGACATCTCAAGAAACTGATGTAACTATTTCAGGAGCATTACTTGCCACGAACATACCTCATATGCTGTTCGTGGCGTAAACAGCGTTCCAAGAAAAGGGGCGTTCGCAGGTGATCCCCTATGCTCCCCGGCGTCCATGTTGACGTCTCCACTGATCCTTGCAATACTGATTGCACCATCCAACCTTTTCCATGAACACGTCCGAGAGGACGTAGTCATCGCCAATATTGCCACATGAACCCCATGCACCGCCGGCGTCGATCACCGCTGTTCACAGTCGCAGTTAGCCCTCACTCGACGTTCTTTCGAAGCATTTGGAATCGATTTGAGCGTGCATATACCCAAAGATCGACTGGGTTGGAGCCTCTGTGGTTGGCTGCGAGCCAGGTAGGCACTTGATGTTTGACATAAGACCTGAAGCTACTCACTCACCAGCGCATGAAACCTCTTTGTCATCATAGGTGTATCTTCTCAGGCAACCTTTCCAATTGCATTGCAACGGCTTTTTCTGTGTGTATCACAGGGTGATATGTTGCGTAAATCTCGTTATGTGGTGGTGGTTATCGCTGGGAAACAGGCTTGTGCTCGATGTGGGATTGCTATACGTGATGTGTTGCCAAGTTGTCTGGAGTCTGGTAGTCAGTGGTGTTGCTGTGTTGGTTGATGGTGGAAATTGAGAACTGGCAAACAGCGATCGAGAGCTGCCTTATTTATAATGCTCGAAAGGTAAGGTAGATGACAGTAGTCACTGGGACGCGCCAAGCCTACAGTGCTCGCTCTGGCGAATCGCTCGAATTCCGAACCGCACGTCACACGTATGATTGAACACTTGCAGACCAGCTTTACCATAGATCAGCAGTATTTCACACGTGGAGGCGGCCCGTCGTTCACCATGGCATGCGGGTTCGATTCGTTTCTTCTTCCTCGTCTACGGTCTCCTTGTGATTCTTGTTCGTCTTCCTAATGTCGGTAATTGCGTTCTTTGCCGTCGATACCAAACTCGCCAAAGACGCAGAGATGAGACGACACGACGGGAGCGGTCAGACGTACTAAAAGCTGCTTGCTCGTCTTAATAGGGTAACAGTAGAAAGTATCATCTGCGTTCCTCGATGTGGCGGTGGGTATCAGTACCTACATCTTCATGAAAGTTGGAACAGACACTGGAACAGACTGTTTGACATTTTGAAGCTGGCAAGCTCTCAGTGCGGTTCGGACTCCGTAAACGCCAGGTTGCCGGATTGCCGACTCACGCGTATATAGCAAAATCGGATAAATACACAACAACAGAAAACAAGGGGTGATGTCGTATGTGATGATTGCACAGGGGCACGTCCTGGAATTTGACAACGATGTCAAGCGGGGAGTATGGCCGCTCCTTCTCAACATGTTTATACAGTAATCGATATTCAGAGACAGTGTCTCGAGATGCAGAAATTTGTCGCACAGGTCGATGCAGCCACCATCGGTAAGCCAACTCTCGTGTTTTCATCTTCAAGGCAGGTAGTGCTAGTTCAGCCCAGCCACATGCCGGACGATAGACTACTTAGGTTGGCTGACCACATTGATTTTAAATCGAATACTCAAGACCTCAAGGTCCCCCATAGCGCGGGGATTTCGAGATGGCCACGATCCCGTCTTCTCCAGTCTGCTCTAACTTAGAACACAATCTCCTTGAGAGATCGGCTCCGGAGCGATGCTGGACACAAGACCCAGATCAACAACATCCAACGCGACCGAGACCAGTTGAATGTCAGTGATCCGAATTCCGACTTGTCCCCTCGTCACAATAGCCGCAATAGCAAGACCCGGGCTAACTGCCGGCCGAGCCGGGCTCGCAGCCCCTTTTGATGGATGGGTAACGAACGACCCGGAGCTCCACCGACGCCGGACGACGTGGGCGGCCAGCCCGACCCTGTCCGCAAAACAAGTCCCGAATCCAGTGCATTCGCGATAATGTAGGGAGGACGGCACGCGAACGACCTGGAAATATGAAGTCCAGACGAGGTCCGGACACAGGGGAGCAGCACCTCGTCCACAACACACATGATCACGCGACGCTTGGTGTCCGGTTAAGTAAAGCCCTCAACAGAGAGAGGAGGGACATTCTAGTAATGCAAGCTGGGCAAGGAACTGGCATGCCTGGCCCATCTGATTCATTGGCGTCTCGCCATCAGACAGCCATGTGCAGCCACAGGCCCGGATACGAGACCGTGATATTGATATCGAGATGGGGACTATCGTTCGAGTGTTGCCGGCGCTATTCGTTGGTTTCATGCCAGCATCTGAGTGCCGTCCAGTTCAATGATTGCCGCTTGATACCAGGGTACCTAGGGATCGTATGGAGGTTGGGGGATCATGTAGGCGCAAGTGGCGGGTGGTAGCGCCCGACTGACACGTGGATGACGTCCGGCAACACAGCCGGAGATGTGGCGGCACCGCGAGAGCAGACGCAAAAGCTCGAAAACTCATATTTCCTGAAACCGGTCTTCTGTATGCACGTTTTTGGCTACAGCATGCATGCGCTTCTGCCGCGCGCTTCGTGGCCCATAGGTCGAGAATGAGAAATGCCTGCGATGACGCTCTTCGGTGCCTTGGCAAGGGGCTAGAGGGTATTCATATCCTTCTCGCGGGGCGGAATGAAGTATGGAGCCGGGTTGTCATCACGACGAGACTGGCGACTCAAATGTAGAATCATGTGACTCGAGATAGCCTCACAAGTGGTAGCGAGTATGGTGAACTCTAATTGAACAGGAAAAGTAGAGCGTCATCTATTGCTGAGAGCAGCAGTGAAAAGTGCCGACAGGAACTGTATATACAGAAGTCATACAAGCAAAAAGCAATCGAGCAGCAGTAGTCATACGGCCAGTTCCCCAGTGCTCTGTACCACACCAACACCAAAGACGCCATTTTCCCTCTCCCAAGTACGTAACCCGCGTATTAACGACTGAATCGAGTCGGTTGGTCATTCATCACTCATGCGAAACACTCATGCTTCCAATGTCAGCACGCCACGGCCGGCTCCGTCTCATCTTTCGCGCTTCCGCTCTCCCAGACCTCGAAGCTGTCTCCCGTTCCCTCCATCGGCTCGAGCAGCGCGGCACCAGGCGCGGGCTCGTCCGACTTCTCCATCAACTCCTCGATGCTCTTAGCGTTCTCCTCCACAGAAGGAGTCAGAGCAGGAGGTGCACATTCAACTGGCTTAAGCTCAGGGGCGAACTCGAAGTCGTTCTTCACAAGAGACTGAGGCTGCGACTGCGGCTGCGACTGCGGCTGTACTTGCGGCTGCGACTCCTCGACGTCCTCGTCACCAGGTACGATGATGATAGAGTTCTCGTCGCATCCTTCCGAGTAGTACTCCTTGACATCCATCTCACCAAGAGGATTGCGCTCTTTCTCAATGACCATATCATCGACGTGAGCAGCAAATCTCGCAGCCCGGGGTCGGGACGTCTGAGACACATCGTCCGCCGGGGGCATATTCTCTTTGCCTTCAACACGTTCGCGCTGCCGCCGGCTCTCGCTCTCCTCGTCCGAGCTGATATCTAGGACGCAGGTGCTGTGCTGCAGCAGGTTGGTCATCTCCTGCTCCTGGGTGTCCTCGTGAATCTCGAAGTCCCAGGATGACTTTATCTCGGGCTCATGCAGGGCGCTCAAGTCCAGAGACGAGGCGGATGTAGAAGTTGCTTTCTTCTGTACCAGGGCACCGTTGCTGCGGCTGGCGTAGCTCGGGATCGTGCCCTTAAGGGCGGTGTCGAGGGAGAAGGGAGCGGGCGACGATTTCGAGGACAGTCCGAAGGCGGGTGGGTCGACTCGAGAGTAGGAGCCTGCGGTCCGCCGCCGGGAGGAGAGGATGCCAGATCGCTTGCCGCGGGTGGGGGATCGACCTGCAGGTGCAGAGAGAGGGGAAGACCGGGCGATGCTGGTGTTGAGCTTCGCAGCTGGCGACTTCGGATTCAGGAGTGAGCGAGGCCGCTGGGATGCGGCCTTGGGGGTGCTGGTGATGAACACATCGCTGGTGCTGGCAGACTTGGTGAGGAGGAAGGTTGATGGCTTAATGAAGGAGTCCTTGGTGGGATAGAAGCTGTCGGAGCCCTTTGATCGCTTAGAAAACTGCAGAGGGTCGACATTCTCGAAGTCGTCCGTCTCCACGCTGTCAGCTGCCTTACGCTTAACAGCAGAGGAAGTCGACGTTGCTACGTTTTAATTAGCCAAGCATTCGAATCACAGCCCTAGGCAAACTGTGGTGCATTGAAAGTGATAGGATAGTGATGGTGCTTCTCGAGCAGACGGACAAGTCATTCGGGCCTTTAGTGAGTGTTGGAAGCGTTTCGCTCCATTCGTTGTGATGGGTAGCAATTCATTGTGCAGTCTGGGGCAGATCCCAGTGTTTGAGTGGCTCTTGAATCGGATCACGGCAACATACCATTCTGTCTGTTCTTGAGACTCGTCAAAGTCTGCAGACGAGCCCCGTCGAGGGGAGCGAAAGGTTGACGAGTGATGGTAGCCATTGCAGCAGCGTATTGCCGTTGCTGTTGTCGTCGGTTTCGTGATGTCAAGAGTCGAGGGGATGCCGCTGCCCAATTGAGTTTGCCTAACGATGAACTCAAATCGGCCTGGATCCGATTGACTGGGTCCGGTAGATCTACCAACAACGTCGTGTGTACTTGAGAACTGCCAATTGATAGTTGTATCACTGTTCGTCCAAGCGTAATTGATTCCAAATACAGCAGAGTCGAATTGGCCCGCCTGTCTGCCTGTCTGTCGGTGGTATGAAATGTTTGTTTATTTTGATCCGGATCCGAACAGTCGCTGACGATGTGTCTGGATGTGCCCAGACTGAACTCGCCTATGGTGTCGAGGGAGGGGAACAGGAGGAAAAGTGGCGAAGGGGTGTGGTGCGAGGGAGCCAGCAGGTCTTATTGCGTCTCCAGGTATTCGACTCGTAATGTAGGGTGGCCGCGAATCAAGAGGCCCGGAAGAGGAGGGGGATTGACGCGAGGTAGCTGTCTTGAACGACGCACGTCGAGATTAGCAGGTCGCGCGGGCGTGGGGAAGCGCCTGGTGTTAGTGTTAGGCGGAGGGAGGGCAGCAAAAGGATGCGACTAGCAGTGACGATCGAGGAGCCACGCTCAGCGAGTTTTGAAAACGAATGAAGGAACGAATGCTGAGAGCTGACTGGCCCGAAGTCGATGGGATGGCAATTCGGGGGATATGACCTGCAGAAATACGAATCGATGTGGGAGAAAACGACTGGCAACTACACGCTCAGGCCTCAAACGGGCTTGCTCCTTCCCGTCTGAAGTGATCGTGTAGCGGACGCGTAGAGTTGGTCTCCAATCAGAGATAAGGGGCAATTAAGCCTTAGTGGGTGGATGCTCACTAAGGTGCCAGCCTTCAGGGCAGACAGGGGTCGGTTCAAGGCACCTGCATGTCACGGTGACACCGCTCCAGTTCGTGGTGCTGTTGGCGTTCAATCGCTTAATGCGTCTGCAGACTGCGGCAAGGGGGCTTCACTGCATTTGGAAGAAGCGTCGCAGCAGGATGAGAGAATGGCTTCATGCAATTCCACACTCCGACTCTGATTTGTCGAGTTAACCCCCAGGTCTCACCAACGGCAGCCCAGCACTGCCCGGCTGCATCTGTGCAGGACCAGGACACCAATCGTCGCGTCGGGATGCCAGGCCAAGCTGGGGCCCATTTGACGCTATCAGGTGGCATTGGTTGCTTCAGGCCGAGCCCTTCTTACAAGTTGCACAAGTCTCGTTTCCACGCGTAAATCCATCGGCAGGGGTGACACGCCTTTAAGGCACGCTTCCCTTTCGCGTTCATAAGTAGCTGCTCATTTCCCTTCCATCGTGCCATCATCGTGTCGACTGGGAATGCCACGCCTGCGTAGGTGCAGCCAGGCAATGCTCGTCTTTGACAGGAGTGCAAGGCAAAGGCCACAGGTCGAGTCTCAGTTCGACTGTTTCATAAGAGCATTGCATTTGGTCCCATCTATAGACCGCCGGGCCCTTCTCGCGAGCCTGCCTCGTCCCGCCTAATGCCTGCCTGCTTGCTCTTATTAGTGAGAGCTTCTTTTCTGAATGAAGAATCCCAGCCAGTCAGACCAATCTGAAGATGGACTGATCCTCGTCTGGCTGCACCCCGGCCAAATGACGAAGCAGAGAGATGTCAGGTTCCCGCACCGGGAGGTCGACGATGGGGGAACGCTGGAGTACTGAGGAATCGGCTTGTGTGTCGTCGATACGCGCATGGTCAACGGCAAACGGCCTATGAAGCCTACACGCCGTGAAAGCCAATTGGGATGCATTGGGCATGAAGCGTTGGGCCAGGTCTCATCCAACAAGACCATATGTCCAACCTATTGGGACGATGGGCAGTGACGTGCCAGGACAGCGCCAGCCGCCCGATGACCTGGCCTTCGCCCCCTCCATTGCGGCCGTCATTGGGACGTGACCGGCCGGCAACACGGTCGCGACGATGGTGGCGTTAGATACCGAAGGGTGGCGATGACCCATCGAGGTCGGCCGTGATTCCTCCACTGGTAATATTCGTGAGGCTCTCTGATGGCCTCCTGCCGTCACGGTCATCATGCATATCTGCAATCGTACCTGCAATCATGAGCCTCCGTATGCATAGCCACTACTTGGTGCCTCAGTGTCTGGGCTGTCTCTATGGCGGCAGCAAAGGGAGTTTCGTGTTTTTAGAACGCCACCCACCGGCCCAGCACCTGCCCAGCTGTCAACGACTGATAGCTATCGAAGAGTTCGCTCAGGGGCAAGTCTAAAGTACTCTATTACAAAGTCTCGAAAGCCAAAGCACTGAACACTCACGTATTGCTTATATCTCAACCCCAAGTCTGACATACTCCAGTGTCGAATACGGAATGGCCTTCGGTCTGAAGAGTGACAGCGATTTTCCCCGGCCAGAGTTCGTGCTTGGCCTCACTTGCGAGGGTCATTTCATCTTATGTAAGCCTCTGGGGGGGGGGGGGGGGGGGGGGGGGGGGGGGGGGGGGGCGGTAATGTTGTATTAGACCCCTGTCGCTATCCCCTGTAAGGCTACTTCGACGTCCGGACGAAAGCCTAGCATCGAAACACACACAACCATCAGTCTCGGTTTTGAACGATGCCCGAGTGGGTGGTAGTCGGGCCTGACGCCGTTGCGCAATGAGACTCCTCAACACCAAAACATTAGAGCTATCCGCCTTCCACCAAGACCGGCCCCCCTACGCCATCCTAAGCCACACCTGGACCGACGACGAAGCGCCTCTAGAGGCCTTCGTCCGGCGCGCCCGCCTCTCGCGCCCCATCGCGCGCCTCCGAAAGCGCCGGTACGCCAAGGTGCGCCGGGCGTGCAAGCTGGCGCGCTCGAACGGGCTCAACTGGATCTGGATCGACACGTGCTGCATCGACAAGGCCAGCAGCGCCGAGCTGACCGAGGCCATCAACTCCATGTACGCCTGGTACGCGGCCGCCGAGGTGTGCTACGCGTACCTGAGCGACGTGCCCAGCGATGACGACCCGCTGGTCGAGAAGTCCGGCTTCGCGCGCAGCCGCTGGTTCCGCCGCGGCTGGACGCTGCAGGAGATGATCGCCCCGCGCGCCGTCGAGTTCTATAGCAACGACTGGGTGAGCATTGGCTCCAAGTGGGAGCTTGCGAGCACCATCGAGAGGATCACAGGGGTTCATGGGACCATTCTGAAGGAGCCATACTTTGCTGGCACGGCGCAGCACAACTGGAGCGTTGCGCAGCGCATGTCTTGGGCTGCCAACCGGCAGACGACGCGCCCGGAGGACCTGGCATATTCGCTGCTGGGTCTCTTCAGTGTCCATATGCCCCTCCTGTACGGCGAGGGTGCTCGAAACGCCTTTTTGAGGCTGCAAGGAGAGATTGCCGAAGTGACGAACGACCAGTCGCTTTTTGCATACGGCAATTGGCCTCTCTCGTACAAGGGCATAGCGGAGGATGATCTCATCGTTGGGGGTTCCCTATACGCAGGCTCCCCCTCCCGATTCGCTTTGTGCAAGGACGTCGTCCCTGTCAGGCGACACGACGGTGGCCTGCCATGGACATCGGAATTCTCACTCCACAACGACGGATACCTACGGATCCGGCTGCGGGTCTGCGAGAACAAGTCGAGACCAGATATGCGGGAGAGTCATATCGCGTTCCTCGAGTGCGAGCTGAGTCGGGACCCAGACCAGGTAGTTGGGTTTTTCGTGCACAACTACGACAGGGTCGACGGCATGCCGACGGACGTGCATGTCTACAAGCGTGAGTTCGCGACGTTGGCCAAGTTCCCTCGGCATATGGCTATGGAGGCACCTTTGCGCGACGTTTTCCTGTCTTCGGTATATTGACATGGCATATTTAAGCATGGTGGTCACTCTTCCTTAGTACTAGCCACGGGATGCATCATTCACGTCCTTCACTGCACACCCGATGTTATCTCGCCTGATCTGCTTCTTGCAGACCAGCTGTCTAAATCAACATCTGGATTACCGGGAATGGTACTAGACCTTCTAGGACGGTGGCGCCGCCGAGTGACTATGCCCTCAAGCCTGGGCAGTGGCACGGGTGGCGGGACCACGCAAGGCCTACCGGCGTGAGATGCCGGACCGACCTCTCACATTCCTTAAGACGACCGTTTCGGAGGACTGGATGATGGCACAGAGTCCGCAAGAGGTAAGAAAGGTCATGAAATTGCAATATGGCGAGATACTCCGTAAGAATACCCTCCAAAAACACCCTGCCCACCCTCTTCCGTCACTCCTCTCCAGCCTCAACAAATTCGTCGCCTCCGCGCTTAGGCAGCCAAGTGCCAGTCCACGTCCCTTACACAATACCAACGTGGGCTTCGAAATGTCATGGTGTGCAGCTGTCCAGCACCCTAGCGAACGATGGTTAACGCGGACGGTTAACGCGAACAGCACCCTATTCCGGTGGGATCTCGACGCCCAGTACCACGCTGAGCTGTAGGCGAACAGACTCGATGACCAAAGGCATCGGGCAAACGTCGGCCTTGCCTGCATAGTGATCTTTCTTTTCGACGGTGGTTTATCGTCCTTCGGGTTTTTGAAGACCGGGCTGCCTTCATCCTTGTTGGTCATTCTTTCAAGATCGTCTAGCTCCTGCCCTTCGTTGGAGACGTTCAACTGCAGATACATTCCAGGCCCGAAGCCTCGTTCTCCCACGTGGTGTTATTCTCTGGCCTCTTGATCAATTCGAAAGTTGCAGCTTCCTGGCATGAAAGAGGGCTGCAGGTGTCTTTCGACGGCGACTCTTCGTGTTCTCGCGACGGGATTAAAGGGCGCGCGGAGCCTGTCGAGGACACCGACGTCCATCTCAGCCTGGGCCTCCAGCTCTTCGAGGGACAATGGTGGTTTCTCTGATCTCAACAATTCGGCTCGGAATTCTTCGTCGGTTTGGGTGGTGGTGTTATGGATGTGTATCAAGCGAACTTCTTCGAGGAGAGTCATCTTGCCATCGAGGGTATCACGGAGGAAGCTCAGGTTCGCTACCATTCCGACAATCCTGCATCCGACTTTTGGTACTGTGGCATTGGGAGATGTGGATTTGGCGGGTCGACGTTTCCTCTCCTGAAGCTTTTCTGAAGTCAAATAGTAAAACTCGAGATCGCCCGACTTGTTGTGATGCTTGATGACATAGCTGGCCGTAGCTGTTGTTTTTTCTGATAGGCATGCACCTTTCTCGTTGTGAAGGTGCAGAAACCGCGGAGAGCCGAACCCATCTTCACAAGTGAAGACTCGTTCTTTCTTTTCAGGGTCGCACTGACTCCCGCACTTCGGAGTGGAGGTTGCCATGTTGTCTCGTCGATAGGGTGTGGTAGGGTTGCGTGAAGGATCGAGTTCGGAGTCTCAGGCAGTCGGAAATCAACCCCGTACTTAAGTACTAGGGCTCTTTGTCCTTCAGACTACCAGGGAATGCGGCATTGGCTGCCGTGAAGACCTCAGTTTCTGCGTCGTAGTCACCAGTCTGCCTAATCACCAATCTGCCAACTTCAGTGAATGTTCTGGTGCAGTGTCATGGGTCCTGAATCACAAATAAAGGGATCGGATCGCTCGCGAGCAGAAGAACAGAACCGGCCATGGTTGGTTGGCAGTCATCAATTCGGTGCTCCCAGACTTTTGAACAACACCCAGCCAGAGATCCTGGCTGTTGGTGGTCAGGTGACTGGTTGGTTGTTTGCCTGGGTTGGTTCGCAGATGGACATGGCATGCTGGGACAAAGGCATTCCCTCCCGAGCGCGATAAGTCCTCCGAAGTCCCACTGGCGCTTGTATCTCACGACTAAATCGTAATGGTGCGCCACGCACTGAAGCACGCGCCTGGGGTGTGGCTGGTTAGTATCCCGGTCATCATCCGGGCCAGTTGATTCTGCCGTTAACATACAGAGTGTCCAGCCCCATATCACTTTTACATACACACACACATAATTCTAAGCTGGTGCCAAATAACTAAAAAGTATGTTTTTTTACAACTACGCTCTTACGCTAACGTCGCATATATATTATTAACTTTAAACCGTAATTGTGAGGATTGTGGTGGCAGTATGGTGGCAGTAAGGGAGGCTGCCAGCTGACAAAGGGTCAGGCAGGCACCTTGGCAGAATAAAGGGATGGAAGCACCAGGAAAGGTGGCTTTCATGGGTGATAGACAAGGGATCTTTGGCTGGAGGATCAATGAATGGGTACATCTTTGTATTTTGGTGTGTATTTAGTACTAGATTTGTCCACCAGACCCATGGATAAAGCGCAACGCACTAGATCGATCATCACCCCTATGTTCTGACTCCGATGATCCGATAGTAATTAATAATATATATACATAATAATTTATACGATGTGAATTAAGAATATAATTATATAGTTACGTAGTTACAAAGTCGTTAATAACGACAATAAAAAACCGTATTTAAAGATATTATTACCGTTAAAACGTTGTATATATATATATATATATTAATAGCTTTAAACAGTACTTATTGATATATAATTAAATCAATATTTACGATGTTAATTGAAAAGCGTAGCGGTTATAAAGCATACTTTTATCGTCGTTATTACTAGTTTGATATTCTAAATTTCGACATTTTTTGATAACTACGAGTATAATAAGAGTACGTCTTCAACGACCGCGTTTTTACACTAAAAGTCGTAAATATTTATATACATATATATATCTATTAATAGGATTTAAGGCTATTATTAATATATAGTTGATATATATGACCGTTAATTTACAAACGTAATTATCGAATAAGGTACTTTTATTGTATCTAATACTAGCGTAAATTATATATATATTATAATTTAAGGTTTAATATAACGTAATTAACAAATAAGTTAGCATTATAAGCAAGTTATTACTTATTATAAAGTTTTCAACTAATACGATTTCAATTATTATATCTTTATTAATAATAATAACACTATATTATAACGAATGAAACTTATAGCTAGCTTTTATGTTAAACGATATAACCTTTATATTTTTATATTTTAACTTATAAAACTTCTTAATATCCCTAGTTTTACTTTAAGTAATACAATTAAAGGAATGCTATTATAACGCGATAAGATGCTTAATACTTTGAAACTTACGGTTCTTAAAAAAAATGCTATATTTTCCTTTATCTTCGACTTGAATGCGTAAGCATTTCCCCCCCGGCACAATTATATTAAAGATATAGCGAATTGATTATTAGCAGCGCGTAAAGCTAAACGCATTAGAAACAACTAGACGCAGAACTTTATTAAACGTATATTAGGCCTTTGAACGCGTTCTTATTAAAGGATAAACTATTAAAGGGGTTTAAACGAGGATTTAAACGCATATTACGCGTAGTTTTACCAAATTAAGGTAGCAATTATAAATTATAGTATTTAAAATGTAAATATTTACAATTTTAATAGAACTAGGTTTATAATAGGTAGTATTAAGTTTAATATATTTATTATAAGCGTTAAAAGATATAACAGGCTTAAATAAGCTTAATAAGGTAATAAAAATAGTTTATAGCAATTTTTACTATTAATATTGTTTCGAGGCAGGGTTGATATCATGTACAGCCAGGTCTGTGGCATATAAAGGCCACTGTTCATTTTTTGTTACTTTCTTTTGTCTTCTTGGATAGTCACTCCTCTCTCATAACACATATAATTGAGCGATCAGTTCAAACACACGTCGTATTATCTCTATGTGACACACCCTTCAAATTCACTGTGTGGCTTTGCTAATGGCTCTCCCTTTCCCTTCTTATATCTATTATACAGGCAGCCCCATTGTGGGTATTGTTACTGTCCCTGACTTAATATTAATAGTTGAATAGTCGTGTTATTCATTCTTTTATAAGGTAAAACCTACTTTACGGTATAGTATTGTAATATGGTATTATAATATAATTAAAAGATAACTATTTTTAATAAAACATAGATTATAAATAAAATCGGTTTAAAATAAATTCAATATTCTAATAAGTATATTAAACTGTATATAACTAATAAGAAATGCCTCTTTATTTTAAATGGTTATAAAAGCTATCATTTTTAAGATTTTGAAAAAGAATTATTAAAAAAATAGCATTACTATTGTTTATATACCTAGCTAGTTATAATATAAGCTTTAACCTTTAAATATTAGTTGTTTTAACCCGCTTAAATAAGCTTATAATGGCTTAATTAAAGATTGTGTCCCGCATTATATAAACTATATATTTAAAAAGGACCATTATTTTAAAGTGAACTATTAATAATAATAAAGAAGTAACTTAATTATTTAATATTAAAAACCGAATTAAACACTATTAAAAGGCTTACTTATATTAATTATTAATATATTAAACTCGTTTTTAAAGGCTACCATCCCCCCAATAGAAGTCGGACACCCCCATTAGTCGGACAGCCAAACCCCACCATCACCACCAAAACACCCCTTTATTCACACACATGTAAAAGAAGTCATTCAGATCAGAGAAACTCAGCAAAATTATCATTTGAGAGCGCTGAAGCTGCTCATTTGTACAATCTAGCGGGCGCCCGTATTGCGCGGCCGGAACGTGTCAACCTAGGCTGCTGGATGGCCTCTAAAGCGGCCTCTTCAGGGGCTTCATCCTCACCTTCCTCTTTATCCTCCGACTCAATAATCATCTCTTCTTGTACCTTTGCAGGCGTTTCAGGGCCAATGGTACCTCCTTTAGACAAGATCTCTGTCAACATTTTAAACTTCTTGTTAGGATTAAGGATCTTTTGCCGCTTCTTGGGCCGTAGCCGCTCCAGTTCAGCCTCCAGGGCTTTCATCTTCCGGGCTTGGATGACAATTTCCGTCTCCTTGGTCTCGAACGCGTTGGCTATCTTCCTGTACTTCAAGCGGGTGCCAGGGGATTTATTTTTGCCGAAATCCATGATCTCCCGGCTTGTACTAGGGGTCCGTTAGTCCTCTGGTTCAGAGCTTTCAGGGGTCTCAGGCTCAGGGGTCTTCTGCTTATCTTTCTGGATTTCTGGATGTGCTAGGCACTTCTTGCGGCTGATTGGATAACATCCAGTGGTTCTGAATCCAGAGAAGATGTTTGCCTTAGTAAAAGCAGAAGTTCTTGCTTGGCTATAGCACCAAATGAAGTTGATCTTGTTAACAGGCGAGGCATCCGTCAAGGAATTCAGCTGCGAGAGAAATTTCTGGTAATAAGCCTTAAGGGCGTTATAGGGCCCGTTATCCAGGTCTGCATGCCGTGACTGGTGTGGAAAGGGAAGAAACAGAGCAAGATGTTGGCGAAATAACACATGGTCATAAATTCGTCCTATTACCACGCGTTAGCCCGGATTAATTCCAAAAATTTGAAGGAAGTCTAAATAAAATAAGAAAAAATCATATACGTACGGAGGTGTGGCTACCATGGCCATCTAGTATCAAAAGAACAGCCTCAAACTGATCTTTCCCTTGTACCTCGTCCACCTTTGGGATAAACACGTCTTCTAACCACTGGCAGGCGATGTCATTAGAGGTCCAGCCGTTTTCTGAGCATATAAAATGCCAATCGGCAGTTTTTTGGAACTCCTCGATAAACCATTGGACTTGGAGGTCCTTGCCTTTAAAGATAATGCCCGGTTTGAGGATTTTTCCTGTGGCTGAGATGGCCTCGATGAAGAAGGTCCAACTGCGGCTCTTGGGGTTCTTCAGGAAGGATTTCTTGGTAGCAGAACTATCCAGAACAAGAGAGTCGATACCTGTGAATACAATTAGAATTTTTCGGAATTAAAGGGCTAAATAAAACTACCATAACCCACCATAATGCCGCTCTTATCGACATTATACGTGTTCTCTGGCTTTACCCAGCCGTAATCCTCAAGAATTTCGAAGAACCAGTTAACTGCTTTGGGTGTAAACCCCTTAAAGCGCGCTGATTCCATCCTTTTGCCAATTTTGGTCTTTATTTGAGGGTTGTGGCGCTTGAAGCCCACTATGAAGGTGTCTCCCAAAGGGCGTTCATCTCCCTTCTTTTTCAACAACTTTGTGACAATCTCACGAACTAGGGAGTGCAAAGGGGCTAGTCCTAGCTTCTCCTGACGCAAAATCCATTCGATTATAGTGGTTTCTTGAGCAGGAGAGAGTCTCTGTTGCTGCGTGTGGGCTTCGGTCCTCGTAGACTTGCCATTAAGTCGATCAGACAGCGTTTGGGGCGGGATGCCGTGTTTTTGAGCGCTTTTTCGTAAAGACAGGCCCTCATCCGTGATATCTAAGATGGCATTTGCCATCTGATCCTCTGTATACGAATAGGGAAGCATTTTGGGCGGCTATACGATGCTGCATTGTATATAGAACAAGGCTTCAAAGGAGCCTTGCAGGGCCGTAGATTTGCTATTCGAGGTAAGAAACGCGGGGTAATAGATGACCAATCATATAGGCTAGGCGGGGCAAATTTTATATTGGAGTAAACCCCAAGGTCAGGGCTATCTAGAGCAGTAATTACATTCTAAGTAGCTTTAATATCGGGCTGAAAGCGTGTAAGTGAATAAAGGGGTGTTTTGGTGATGATGGTAGGGTTTGGCTGTCCGACTAGTGGGGGTGTCCGACTTCTATGGGGGGGATGGTATATATGGTCTTTATTGGAACAGGCTTAAACGATCAATCATAATACTCGAGTATGGGTTAAGGTTATGATGTTGCTGATGGTTAGATTAGGAGGTCTAGCTGGACTCGCAGGTCAAGCTAAGTGACCTTGTCACGGCGAGCATACTGGGGAGCTGGGACATGGCCTGCAGCAAGCAGCTATTACTCTATTAACGAGAATATCAAGACTAGAGAGGAAAGGAAGAGAGAGAGAGAGATAGATACAGTGGGAGGTTGCCCCTTTAAGGGGATCCTCTGGTCAGATCCTTCCCCTATTAGGAAGTATCCACTTGTCATGTGGGAAGGTCTGTGCAGGCCGTCACACCTTCCGCACTGATGACCTTTCTTGGGCATCCATTGACCTTATAGTGATGCCAGACCGTGTGGGTCTCGATCTTTTCTGCCTTGAGAATATCAGTGATTTCTTCTTGGAAGGCCAGGAGCTTAGCCTGAGTTGGCTTGTCCCTTAGGTGTAAGGTAAATCTAGAGGGGCACCGGGTCACTTCTCTAAGCTCTTGAGGGTGGAGCTTAAGTCTTTTGTTCAGTGTAGACTTTATTCCGTAAGGCTCTAGGTGGCTATTATCCATGCGGACAAAGACCCGGAGATCATCCTGCTTCTTCTTCAGTTGGTTGGTAGTGATGCGGGCGCCAGGCTGTGTTTTCTTTATGGTAGTGTTGACTGTCTGTGGATGTTGTCGTTGGCTAGAGGAGACAGCTTGGGCAAAGGTCATGGTGGGCTTTACCATCCCTATCCCTCCAGGGATGGTCTTTCTTTTGGGCGGATCTCGGGTTTCCAGCCACTCGTTCAGACATTTAGAGAAGAAAGCGCTGAACTCCTTGACATGAGAGTATAGTTCGGCTCTAGCTTTCTCAAGTGTCTTATTAACCGTTGCAGCACACTCTTGAAACATTGTTATCCTGACTTCATAAAGGTGCTTGTCTTTAGCCAGTATTCTGGCAACTTGGTCCTGGCACTCTGAGGAGAAGGTTTTATTCTCTATGTCGTGTGTAATGGCTTGGTCTGTCGAGATTTCGTTCAATTGAGGTCGATTTATTCCAGTGGTGCTGCTGTCATTGATATTTTAGGATTTTCTTTTCAAAGGGGAAATAACGGTGAAGTCAGTCTCAGAGACCTGTGACGGGCTGCTGCTGATGTCGTCAAGCAGCGCCTGGCAGAGCCTGCTCGGAGTTGCCGGGCCGTATGTCTTTCTAGGGGCCGGGGATTTGAGCACGCCGCCGGTGGTCGTTTTTGGGACGGCCACGGGCGTGTTTGGGGGCCCGTCGTAAAAGGGTGCCAACTGGCTTGTAAAAAAAATTCTCTTGTGCCTTGGCAGAGATAGTAAGTTACTGAGAGAAGTGCCTGCTTTAGTGCAAATATCAAGGTTGCGCCCTAACAGCGGGGCGCCAAGAAAAATAGTTGTTTTTGTGAGGCTCGTGTCTGTTGATAGAGTATGTTACTGTCCAGTCTGTTATCTCGGGATGCTCCTTGATGAGCTGCTCTTTGAACTATTGCGTTTGGATTGACTTTGCCTTGAAAATAACCAATGGCCGGAGCTTTTTCCCAGTGGTGGTGATCGATTCTATCACAGTAGTCCACGTGCGGTTGTTATTGGACTTGACATTGGCCCCTTTTGAGCCAGAACTGCCTATTACAAGGCCATCAGACCTGATCTCTCAGTCAGCCATCCAAAAACCACTTGGATTAGACAATTCACGTACTGACAACCCTAAATAATGCCGTACTTATTAATATTTGCCTGGTTTTTGGGTTTGATGAAGCCAAAATCCTCGTAATAGTCATGAAAGCCATTGACGTTCTCGGACGTGGCGGCATTGATACGCTTATAGTCAAGCTTTTGTCCCATCTTGGTCTTGATCTCTGGGTGCCTACGGATGAAGTTTTGTGCGTATTTGTTCCCAAGATGATCCGGTTTTCCCTCAGATTGTAGGATCTTCTTGATGATGTACCTTAAATTGCCGTGAGTTGGCGCATGGCCGGCCTTCTCTTGATATAGGATCCATAAAAAATAACCTTTTTTTATTGTTTAAGATTGATCTTCTGCCTATTATGACCGCCCTTGTGATCGGTCTGTGTCTGGGTTATTGCGGTGTCTTTAACCTTGCGAGAAAGGGTTGATTTTGGTACTCCATAGCATTGAGCGGCCTTACGGAGGGATAGATCATCGTTGTTTACAGTGGCTATTGCCTCTGCGAGGTCTTTTAGAGTGTACGAAGGCGGCATTTCGACGTACTGAAGCCTCAGACGCGTACAAAAAAAAAGATAAAAAGAAACACAGAACTTCTGCTAGGTTAGAGGGGATAGGGGGCACGGGTCCCATCACCCCTCAAATAGGCCCGGAAGTGCTAACTTCCGACCCCTACCGCGGCCCATCCCGTCGCGATGGACCTAATCAAACCTGGATCATAGAAAACACCAAGAAAATATGATTCAGACGCTGTACTTACGGTATCAAGGGCTTCATTGGCTGTGGAGATATGTATAAGTGAACATAGTGATGTTGGCTGTGAAAACTGTCCCACAAATGAGGGTGTCCCATTTATATGGCCCCGCCGTTACTTATTACAACGAGCTCCGGTGTTAACATGATTATGACCTCTTCATGGCAGTTCAATCACACACCATGGCACGGCGCTTCGAGCCTCGAGCGTAATAAAGAGCATGCCGGCGACGCAGCTGGATGACAGCGAATAGCAGAAAGCAAATATAGCAAGTACCATGGCCTCGGAGCGAGGTAATCTGCACGCCAGATGTTCATCCGTTCAAGCCCCTCGAGAAGTGGGCGTGGCAGTTTCACGCTGGATCTGCGGTTACAGGAGCCAGAATGCGTGGCTTGAGGCTCAGGGCGGCATGGAGTCACGATAAAAGGATTGGGGCAGTTCGGGAGGCTTGCCGTAGTCCTCTGGTCGCAACTGGAGTCGCCTCAGAACTCAGTGCATCCTGAGACGACCAGCCTCTCCCCACAACAGACGAAGCGATAGTTTCTGGTAGCGAAGACCTCTAATGCGACAAGCCATGTGTCGCTAGGCACATCTCCACATGGAACAGACGAGGACACCTGAAGTCAGGACACATCCCCGCCACCAAGAAGCGGTGGACGATGGCCTCATGCAGCCGAGCCGACGAGCCGATGCCACGGCGACCTGCCAAGGCCAAGCCGCTCTGCCGTGACATCTGGAGGGTTATGCCATCCGAATCAAACGTCAGAGCACGCGCGGAGCGCTGGACGGGGGACGAGACGCGAGCGGCTCCACGCGGGATGTCTCGTCTGAAGTTGCGTCTGATCTCGCGTTTCATCTGCGCCGGCACGGCACTGCCGATCCATATCTCGCGAGCAACATCGGATCATCGCCTGTCAGGTCAAAGCAACCAGAGCCGGTGAAGAAGGCTATATAATATGGTTCGCGCACCCAATCGAGTTGATGGTTTGCACTCACCAACCATCAACCAACTCGCACATTCTCTCGTTGCCCACTACCATCCGACCCGGTGTCGTTTTTCCATTCTCGTACTTTAATTTTATAAAATCTCAGCTGGCCTGACCTATTTATTCCACCCACCACGATTCAAAATGGTTCGTCTCAGCATCGCCGCCGCATTCACCTGTACGTATCTCCCATCCCTAACTTACCCCCTTCCTAACTTGCTGTTCCCGTACTCAAACTGACCCCATCTCCGCAGTCGTCGTCGCCGCCATGGCACTGACCCCCAACGTCGCCGGCGCGAAGGACGTCGGCAACGGCCAAAGCGCGCAGTTCACGACGGGCGGCTGCGTCAACGACGCCGACTGCGCCGAGGGCTGCTGCGCGGGCGGCGCCACGGACGCCGCAGGTGGCGAGGTCGGCATCTGCTCCGGAAACGGCGCCGAGTTCCAGAACGGCAAGACGGGGTGCGGCTTCGTCGACCCCAACGCCGCTGCTACGATTGCTGCTGCCAAGAAGCAGGTCGCGAAGCAGGGATTCTAAGGGTTGGGCCGATCAGGACTTTTTGGCGAATGTATACTGGTTCTATCATGGGCAATCAATTGGGAACATAGGGCTCGTGCTGCAGATGATAGCATGTATCTAGGCTCGACGGATTGCGGTCACTACGATCTCAGGGTACACCGCTTCTAGCAATACATGTCTCGTCAGTCCACCTCGGAAGCAAATCCAGTCGGAGTATAGAGTCGATGACTTCGAGCACAGGGGAAATATTCTACTCCCTCTTCACCCCGATCACTCCGTACTCCACGAATCAATTCGCCTGTTCAGCCTTCTCGGAAACTGTGCTCACGTATTAGTCTAGCGCAAGTTTTCCAAAATCATTGTGCGTCTTCTTGCCACGGTCATTGATCACAACCGGGAGCTCGTGCTCCCCGTTTGCTGCTATGACGGAGTTGATCCTTGATTGATTGATTGATTGTATTTATCGTGGATGTAGTCCCTCCATAGGGCAAACCACGCCTCCCAGAGCCATTGCATCGCAAGGTTGTAGAGGTGTCAGTCTAGATACATTCAGATCCGCGCACGAGCCTATCCTCGCTATAGCGGTACCAACCTGGAGTGACCAGATGGTTTTAGTCAATACCCAAGCACGATTCCGTCAGAAAAACCTCCTATCCAGTGACAAAGCGACCCAGTGAACCTCAGTCCTCTGGTGTACACATCGTTCCAGTAGCCGTTCGATATATATCGCATTGGTGGGTGAAATAGGTGTTTGTTATCTGCTGGCGAGGGAAACCACAAAGGGAAAAACCTCGCAGGAATGGGTATTGTGGAGACAAGCTGCTTGGCTATCAGGCTCTATGATAAGGGGCCTCTCTACTGTCGTGTGCTGGTTGTCGACTCGCACAAGCCGGGTCAGAAGGGGGCCATAGCAGGATTTGAACCCACTTGTTCTCGTCGCCCACCGCACAAACGAGAACACAACCAGGCGCATTTGACCATTGCGCCATACGGCCATGAGTTGATCCTTGCTATGTCTCGAGACGAGAATTTTCTCGTCTTGCCCAGCACGCCCTCAGTGAGCCACAACCGTAACCGTATGAGCAAGTAAATGATCACCCAAAGTGTGGCCGAGAGGGCACCCAACCCAATGATGATGCCGGTAAAGACACCGTGCGCGTGCTTGGTTGGGTCTAGGAGTTGGTATGTGTAGAAACCCTCGGCGATGTGGGTGATATATGCTAGACCAGCGTAACAGCCGAGTAAGATCACGATGCAAGGAAGGTGCCTTCAAATCCTGTGGTTAGCACAAAGCTGTGTTTGATGGGAGAAGTGAGTACTGACATCCATGGAGGCTTCTCTGTTCGGGCTACGAATATCTCAAATAATGCATATGCGCTATTTAATGCATGATGGGTGGTCCAATATCAATTAGCTTGCATTCAGCGAAGCGGTGCAAATACTTCCCAAGGGCCAAGGCGCACCCAATGCACCGACTACAATCCGGGAAATTGTGAGGAGTCCAGGTGTTGACTTACATTGGACCAAGCATCAACCGGGTCAGCAAACTTTGAAGGCGTGAACTGCAGGGCCCAGAATACAATGGAAACCATCAAAGGGAATGTCGTAATGTCGAGTACAGCAACGAATGAGACAGTTGGAAGAATTTCGGCCATTTCTCCAGCAGTGGTCGTCCCGTCCGGGCGTATGAGAGTGTGTGGATGCAAGCAAACACCTGGTAGAAGCTGAGACCACACCATGTGATGTTGCTGAAGTAGGAGAACGATGCAGTTGCCGACTGTTATGATGGTTAGGATACCGTATGTCGCAAGGACCGGGCGTGTGCAGGCAAAAGCGGTAGGAGAGAGCAATGCTGATGTTTCGAAACGGTGGTCAGGATCGAACGGACTGTCGACGCCGAAGAGAGCCCAGACGCGCGCCATCATGCCAACTCAAGGTGGAGGAGTGCGCCAAAGTGTGGTCACACGACGAATAACCGTGACACTATATCAAGACAACTGGTCCCTGAGCGGCCAGGTCTTGAGCGCCACGAGCTTTTTGGTACGATGGCGCGATGCGTCAGTCAGCGAGACGCGACTCAAAGATCGTGGCAGAGCCCACTGGTATCAAGACTTGACTTTATGAAATAGCGACAACAAGCCTTACTCGGACATGAGAAGAGAAGAACAGATTCAAAGTGAAGTTGTGCCTCGGATGTCTCAGCGAGATTTTCGGGGGTCATGCATCCAGCTCGTCACGTGGCTGTAACCGCCGGCCACTTCCCCTCACTCGGATGAAGGGGGAAAGGGGGACACGGTGTGAGTCGTCGGTATGATGGCTGTCGTTCACCTTACTTGATCTGCTAGGTAAACAATATATAATATGTATAGAAAACCTAGACTAACACGCTTGTCTGGATGTCACCGGCGTCAAATACTACAACAATAAAAATTACATTATGGTGACTAGCGCTATTTTGTAACGTCAACTTTTGGTATACTGCTTCAAAATAATAGGCTGTCAAAGTATTCTAACCGTAATTTGCTATGGGGGCTCGACGACGCGGAGCTACTTGTCAGCTTGGTTATACCGGGGCATTTTAGAGCAAAGCATTTGAGCCTGCAATCGGTAGCCGCGTGCTCAATGCCCCATGAAGGCTCAATGAACCCTGTGACGTGAAGAGACTTTCCGGTGCCTTGTTTCATGCTCTGGTGGTTCTAGCCAGCTAATAGTCTGGGACGGTTCAATACATCATGAGTGTTGACCGCATGGGTTATGACGAATGGTACGGTACGTGGCTACTATGTACATCGCATTCACGCTCTGCTGGTGTTTTCCGTCTCCTTCAAGCCACCTATGTCTCCAAGACCTGCTCATATGACGACTCAGGGATCCACGAATCATGGAAATATCGTCATCGGGGCTTTTGCCCTCGAACCAGATCCTCCAGCTGGCCTCCCCATAATCGTCTTCCGCCGGCTGAAACTGGACGAGGACCTTCCATCGGGGCGAATTAAAATCGTCGTCATTTCGGAAAGACTCGGCTGCTTTCCATCCCATAGATTTGGGTGCCAGCAGAGGAGAGTAATCAATGACCTGGATGTGGACCCGGTCGTCGTCCCCAAACATCGAATTCAACGCATCTTTCATCTTGCCCACTTCTGTCGGGTACTTCAACTGCCCTTGGTTGGTCTCCTGAGTCACGTCGATAGAGTCGTCATCTAGCCTTGGATTTGGCCGGGGTGTCATGATGAACACGCGCGGCTCGGCATCATCGTCGAACATGTCACCCAATCCGTTCTTCGGCTCCCCGTCAGACCTGAAGTTGAGAATGCCCTGCGCATGAATCGTACCCTCCCCGTGTCCTGTCTTCATTTCGTCGATGGCATATTTCTGGAAATCCTTCTTGTCGCCAGTAAAGGTCGGATCTCCCCATATATGGCTTGCCCAGGCTCCTCGTCGCGACACTACGATCACGGCAGTACATCCGGTCAATTCAGAAAGACCTAGTGAAGTCACCTGGTCTTTTAATACGGTGTATTGGGAGCTAGTATGTATGTCGGGGTCAGTAGAAAACAGGCGGACGAGTTGCCCATCCAGTGAGGCTCGGTGGACCTCTCCCCACTGGAACCTGGCTGCATTGTTGTCATAGTTCTCCGGTCATGCCCACTGACCGTGTGGAGGCTGTGTCGTACGATCCGGGGGTGCTCTTATGTTGAGGTCCTTCTCGTTGATCGGGTGCGCAGATCGTTGAACAAGATCAGCGGAGCAGGCCTTTCCACAGCTATCCCGTGAGCAGAGGACGGTGGTGTCGACGTCGCTGTCTGAGGTGGTATCTCCATTGTCGCAGAGCCGCTTTTTCATATAACCGCCTCTCTCAGTCTGGATACCGTCGGGGCTCTTCTCGTATGTACTGATGAATCCATCTCGAATGACAGTATGCCCTCTGCGTGCTGTCGGGGTGGCCAGAGTGCCATATGCAAGACATAGTATGCAGGCGGCCAGTGAGGCCCTTGAGTTCCAGAACAGCATGCCGATATGATATTGACCAGGAGTCTCGACCAATTCAAATCGTCAAGAAACGGAAAAACTGCGAATGCCGAGCAAATGAGGTGTATGTCAGTTCGATATGAGCTTCCTACGCTCCTATTTAAGAGATAGTTCGTCTAGAGTTCCTCCACAGAGGCGAGCCAAGGTGTAGTGAATTGAATCATACCACGACCTCGTGTGTAGACCAACACGGTGTAAACACCGCCATGCTCTACAAACTACCGTCACCACCAACATGGCTGCCTGATTCTTTTGCCCGTCTACCGTCCCCCCCGCCCCCCCACATCTCGTACAGCCAAACCCCACGAACACCACCAAAACACCCCCTTATTTACCCACATGTAAAAGAAATCATTCAGGTCAGAGAAATCCAACAAAATTATCATTCCAGAGCGCTGAAGCTGCTCATTCGTAATATCTAGTGGGCACCCGAATGGATCGCCCTGAACGGGTCTGCCTAGGCTCCTGTATGGCTTCCAAAGCGGCCTCTTCAGCCGAGTCTTTGTCTTCTTTTTCTTCTTTCTTGTCATCATTAACCATAACTTCTGGTACATCCGTAGAGGTACTAGGAATGATGGTACCACCCTTACTTAGTATCTCTGTGACTGTTCTGAACTTCTTGTTAGGATTAGGGATCTTTTGGCGCTTCTTTGGCCGTAGCCGCTCCAGTTCAGCTTCTAGGGCCTTGATCTTCCTGTCTTTGATAACAAGGTCGGTCTCTTTATTTTTGAACGCGGTAGCTATCTTCCTGTACTTCTGTCGGGTGCCAGGGGACTTATTTTTGCCGAAATTCATGATCTGGCGGCTCGTAATAGGCGTCCGTTGGTCCTCTGGCTCAGAGCTTTCAGGGGTCTCAGGCTCAGGGGTCTTCTGCTTCTCTTTCTGGATTTCTGGGTGCGTTAAGCACTTCCTGCGGCTGATAGGATAACATCCAGTCGTTCTGAAGCCAGAGAGGATATTTGCCTTAATAAAAGCAGCAGTTCTGGCCTGGCTATAGCATAGCACCGAATAAAGTTGATCTTGTCAATAGGCGAGGCATCCGTTAGAGAATTTAGCTGAGAGAAGAATTTCTGGTAGTGAGCCTTCAGGGCGCTATAGGGCCCGTTATATAGGGGTTGCATGCCGTGACTAATATGCGCAGGGAAGAAACAGAGCAATATATTGGCGAAATAACAGATAGTGTGAGCAGAATCCATCTGTGTATGTAAGCATGATGAGGCTGCCAGTTGCCGTGTCGGGTGACACAGGCTCCGTGGCCCCCATATATAGCGATCACACACCAGAACAGAGTAGATAGACCTTTTCCTGAATACAACAACGCTGTACCGTTCATCACGCACTCATCGGATCCGGGATATTGCTCTCAGATAGTCATGAATTTGTCCTTATAATGTGTATTAGCCCTTATTAAATTAAGAAAAAATAGAGGAAGTCTACATAAAATATGGAAAAATTATATACGTCTGGATATGTGGCTACCATGGCCATATAGTATCAAAAGAACAGGCTCAGCCTGATCTTCTCTTCGTATCTTGTCTACCTATGGGATAAAGACATTTTCTAGCCACTGGCAGACTATGTTATTCGAAGTCCAGCCGTTTTCTGAGTATATATAATGCCAATTAGCGGTCTTTTGAAACCCCTTGATGAACCACTGGGCCTGGAGGTCCTTCCCCTTGAAGATAATACCTGATTTGAAGATTTTTCTAGTTGCAGAGATGGCCTCGATAAAGGAGGTCCAGCTACGACTCTAGGGGCTCTTCAAGAAGGCCTTCTTGGTAATAGAACTACCTAGAACCAGAGAGCCGATACCTATAAAGCTAATTATAATTTCTGTGAATTTAACGGGGTAATTATAATAATACCGCCCTTATCGACATTATACGTGTTTTTTTGGCTTGACCCAGCCGTAATCCTCTAGGATTTCAAAAAACCAGTTAACTGCCTTCAGCGTGAAGCCCTTAAAGCGCGCTGATTCCATCCTTTTGCCAACTTTGGTCTTTATTTGGGGGTTGCGGCGCTTGAAGCCGGTCATAAAGTGGTCTCCAAGGGGGCCTGAATCCCCGTTCTTTCTCAACACCTTCACGATAATCTCACGTACCAGGGAGTGCAAAGGGGCTAGTCCCAACTTCTCCTGACGTAAAATCCAGTTAACTATAGTGCTTTCTTGAGCAGGGGAGAGTCTCTGCTGGTGTATATGGCCTTCGCCTTTTGAGGGCTTGTCGTTAAGTCGGTCAGAAAGCGTTGTGGCAGAGATGCCGTGTTTTTGAGCATTTTTTCGCAGCGAGAGGCCCTTATCCGTGATATCTAAGATGGCATTCGCCACTTGATCTTCCGTATATGGTTTGGGAGGCATTTTAGGCGGCTATACGAGGCTGTGGTGCATACAGAACAAGGCTTTAGACAAGGTTTTCGCACTCAAAAATCTCTATTTGGGGTAAGAAACGCGGGGTAATAGACAGCCAATCACGTAGGCCATGCGGGATAAATTCTATATTGGATTAAACCTTAAGATCAGGGCTATCTAGAGCACTAAATACATCATGAATAACTTCAATATCGGGCTGAAAGCGTATAAGTGAACGTGTAGGGGTTTAGGTGGTGGTGGTGGGGTTTTGCTGTCCGAGATGTAGGGGGGGGGGGGGGATGGTATACTATAGAAACTTCACAACAGTTAGTCGAGTGGGGCCTTTTTGCCCCTTGCTGCTATTTTGGACGGCAAGGGTCTTCGGATGACCGCCTAAACGGGTGCCTGAGAATCCTCCGTCAAGAAACCACGACAACATTAATTCTCGAACGTGGCATGACCTCGAGAACGGCAGTTACGGGTATATTTGAAGCGAATTCCAACATGGCGCCTCCCGGACGTCTAGGTCGAAGGGGTGGTCCTCTATGTTCCCTATTCACATCGGACATGCCGCCGTGATTCCAGACCACACATCATTGGGTTCTCCGGCCCTCTGTATCCACGGGAGGCCAATTGATGGCAACAGGCAGCATAGTGTACGTAGCTTCGGTCGAGGACCAAAACTTTATTCTAGAGGATTACCCGCAGGCTTCTCAACCTTGCCACCTGGACTGCCTCTGGTGCTCGAGGAAGCTCCAGCTCTCATCGCTCGCTTCCCCTTCTCCTACGTGGGTTGCGAGCAAGGTCGGTCAAGCTATGGCTTCTGCCTTATGCGAAAGATGACTATGATTTTCTGAAAGCGACGTGTTCATGGCGGGAGACTAGAAACACAGAGCTATCTGAAAACCATACAGCGCTCGAAAACAAATCCAATTCAGATTTAGCTTCAATGGAGACATTAGCGATATCAAACTTCAACCTCTAGTCGAGTATCCCCTTCCATTGTTTCGCTCTTCAGGCGATCCGCTGACGGGACCGGGTCTTCGACAATCACATCCGGTTCCAGTGGCTTTCCTGGTTGATACACCTTCATCTTCGCCTTCAGAACCTCGTACGAAACATGCCATTGCTTGTCCAGGCCTTCAATCGGCTCGAGTCCGGAGTCCGTCAGATCCTTGTTGACCCAGTCAAGGAGCTCGTATATGTACGATTGCTCCCCGGACGGTATAGTATGAAACCTGTCCCCTGGCTGGAAGCGAGCCTTTCTTGCTTTATGCTCTTGCTTCATGACCGACTCTGGCGGCAGACGAACTTTTCCCGAGAACACCTTTGCCATAACCTGTGCTTGGAAGTCAAACAGGGAGAAGGTCGAGACTAGGTGAGACACTCCGATAAAGGAGAGGGACGGGTCTGGGATGTAGAATATATCCTTGTGTAGGTTGTGCGTCATATGACCATCGGATGTGATGAGTACCTTGTCGTCGGCTTCTTCCCACGGCACAGACGGTTGCTCAAGATGTCCGAGGAACGGGTAGGAGGTTATGTATCCTGTTGAAACCACGACATGGTCGATGCCTTCCAGAACTCTCCCGTCCTCCAGTACAACTGTTCCTGGTATCGCACCACCGCGTAGATCAGTCTCGAAATCCCGGTCGGCCGCCTCATCAACAACGAATTCCACAGCCATAGGGACCCTTTCGACTGACTTCGGAATCTTGCTTGCAGTGAGGTCGTACTTGCTCTCGCGCATGCTCTGGTAGACTTTACCACCAAGTTCGTCGATCTCCTTGGCAATGTCCAAGGCCGATGAACCGGCGCCGATCAAGAGCACCGTCTTCCCCTTGAAAGCGGCCGGAGTACGGTACTTCTTCGAGTGCATCACGCGACCTGGGAAGCGCTCTTTCCATGTGGCAAGTCCAGGTACGTCTGGAACGAAGGGAATATGATAGTGACCACTGGCGACCACGACAGCGCCGAACGTTGAGGTTTCTCTCCTGATGGAATGTGTTCCGTCAGCTAGTTCAAGCTGGCTGGTCTCAACGGACCATTGGCGAGCTCCCACAGGCTTTGATACACTCTCCACTCTGGTATAGAAGTGTATCTTTTCGATGATGCCTCCAGCTCGTGCAACGTCCTCAACATATTGTCTCACATCGCCCTGATCGGTGAATTCATCTGTCCCTTCAGGCCAAGGTAGCAGACTGCTCCGCAGGATTGACGTCGGGACGTTGTTCCTTAGCCCGGCATAGCATGGACCAGGAGGACCGTGAATTAGCGCGACGTCCTCCAAGCTCAAGCCCTGCGTCTCGATCTCCGTCCAGTTCGGGTCAGGAGGGATGGTGTTTGGGAAGGGCGGATCTCTGTCTACTCGCGTATCGTAGTACCATACCCCGCCTATAACTCCGGTGCGTTCGAAGACCGTCACCTCGAACCCCTCCCTCGCGAGATGAGCAGCTGACACGACGCCGCTGATCCCAGCACCAATGACTGCGACATTCTTCACTGTGCCATTTGATACGTGAGTGCCATTGTTGTGACAGGGAATTGAGCCCATGGCTATCGTAGGCGTTGTACAGCGATCAGGAGTTGGAAGTCACGCTAGGGGGTTGGGACGAGCAGAGGAATGGGGGCACAGAGCTGCTGAGAATGTTTTGACGGAAAGTATAGTGTACGAATCGAAGGTATCCTCTTGCCCAGACGAGGAGGTATGGAGGGATATACACCGTTGCGGTCGCCACGCCCTGCCTCCGGTGGTGCCGGGATTTGGCAATGAGCCAATATCCATGGATATTGCGTGCTCCTGCAAACTGCAATACCAAACACCTGATCGACCGAGCTCGGTGTCTAGAGAAGCGCAGTATCACCTAACTTGGTCGCTATCTAACCACCAACTGTCCCTTCCTTGTTCGCGATCGAACCCCCCTTGCTCGATCATAGCCCCCCAATCGAGCAAATGATATGAATCCTTCAGAGGCGTCCCATTGCTGCACTGGAGCTATCCGTTGGCAATTCTTCTCATACAATCCTTACCATACTCGACACTATGCCGACCAAAGCGGAACATCCATTGGAGAAGGATATGCCTTTTGTTTCCCCGCTCAAGCGGAAAAGACTCCCAAGAATAACATTTTATCAAGGACTCAGGTGTTCAGCTCACGCCATCACATTAACAATTGTCTCCTGTCTAATACGCCATCTGTAGTTCTCATATGTATCATTGTGTAACAAAAGATGAGTTATACCCACGATGTTTTCTCGACATATTGCACCTTATAAGACTGGCTTAGAGGCCAGTTGATTGCAGACCTTTCTGGGCACCGTGATGTCGCTATGAAATTCACTGCGGGAGCTACCAAATGAGGTTCAAAGACATCCCGTCCCAGTCTCTTCTCGAATTATCCCCAACCCTATTCCATCGCTGCTTCTCGTAGCTTCACGGCACGCTCGCGGTGGTGTAGAAAGCGGATCGTAAATGCCGTAATGATCATAGCGGCTGCCACAACCACCATAGTGATAAAACCCTTCTGATATTGCGGGCTGTCGACCTGCTGCCAGATAAGGAGCGGAAGCCAGGCCTGGAAAACATATGCGATCTCATTCATAGTTGCCGTCACTATTGCCCGCTCCTCATTGTCGTCGTTGCAGATTTCGTGCGCCCAAGCGAAGGTCAGTCCGCTGATGCCTCCTCCTATGCCCCCTAGGAGATAGCAGGCCCACTTCCAGCCGTCGGGGATCTTCCACGCCGCCAGACTCGCGTTGAGTATGATGTTCATGACGCCTGCGAACACGATCGGTGGCCATCGGGCCCCCTTGCACACCGTGTCGGAGGTCCAGGCGTATATGTAGGTGAACAACACCCCGATCGCCGCGTAGATGGTCGGGTACGTATTGATAGCGGTTATCCCGTAGCCCTTGGATTTCAGCCACAAAGCAAAGGCCGGCTGGCTGCCGTATCCGGTTCCGTTGTTGAAGAGAATGTAAAGCAACGTGAGGACATAGATGTGCCAGGAGCTGAAGATCTTCGCAAACTTCGCCTTGGTGTATTTGCCTCGTTTGGCCCGTCCTTCCAGCGCCATCCTCTTATTTGCCAACTTGATCTCGTCGGCGGTCAGCCACCAGGCGCGGGTGATTTCTGGGACATCGGGGAAGAAGAAAAAGCCGGCGACCGCGATTGGTAGACTTATGATGGTGTTGACCACAAACAACCACTGCCATCCATGGAAACCGTCCTTGCCCTCTAGAGGGTAGACTGCTGCCATGAGGTACCCCGAAAACATGGTACCGATCCCACTGCTCGAGTGGAAGATGCACGAGCGTTTGGCGAGCTCGTCCTTGCGGTACCAGCTTCCGATAATGTACTGCATTCCTGGGTAAAACCCACTCTCGGCAAGGCCGATGAAGAAACGCAGGACGTAGATCTGGTTGGCGGAGGTGCATTTGGTCATCAGAATCGTGAGGACAGACCATGTCACCTAGGATCATGAGTACAGAATAATTGGTAACTAGGGCACAACGGCTTACTTCACAAGCGGGTATCCAGATCGACGGTCTGATCCGAGTGAGCAGCATGTTACTGAAGCGTGTTAGTAGGGTTTATCGTTAGTGAGACCGCCTGAATGGTCTGGGACATCTCGGTACCTTGGAATTTCTCCGATAACGTAGCCAACAGTCCAGCAGGTAGTCATGTAATTCAGTTCATTGCCGTAAAGCCCCAGGTCTTCCTTCATGCCCGAAACGAAGGCATTCTGGATGTTGATTTGGTCGAGGTACTTGATGAAGTAGCCAAGAGAAGCAAATGTGAGAATGACGGCGTCTAACTTGAAGAGAAATTGACGTTCTTCGGGTGACTTGTCGAACGTGTCCCAGATGTAGGACCGCCATGTTCTTGCAGGTTTTGCTTCCACCGGCAAGGAGATTCGCTGGCTGCCAGAGTCTGAACCACTCTTGCCATGGTGAAGAGATGATACCTTCACGTCGTTCTCCAATGCACCCTTCGCCGGAATGACTTCTTGCGCTGTCATGACTTCTTGTTCGAACGGAAATTGGATATGGAGCAAATGTTCGTGAGAACGAGACAAACCTTGAGCTACACTTTCACTACTTGAGGTCTCAAACCTGACCCCCTATCACCGTGTTCCGGACGCAGCAGGATAATTCGTCACACACCGGTAACATTGCGTGCGTATCCTATCGTTCAAGCGAACACATTTTTGGGCCTAGACCAATATTACGACCTGGTATCAGAGACCTTGGGACCCCCACCGCGACAGGGTTGTTATCTGCGCCGGTGAGGCCAGTCACCAGCGAAGATTGGCGGGGGATGGCTTCAGTGGCCAGAACAAGGCGATACACGGTTTCACAAGTCAGGCATCATATTGCGACAATGCGGGGGTTCCAGTGGAAGTGGACTTGGTGTCCCCTTGGTGGTGATCACATCAAAGCTGTGAGCCATCACGCAATATTCCCCTCATCAGGATGATGGATTAACAATCATCAACCTCGTGACAACCAGTCAACGACCACATCTTGTTTACGCCATCTATATTGAAATCACGAATCCCGGGGGGCGCCAATGATGCTTGCGGTACCAGGCTTCAAGAGGATGCGTGCTTGGTAATGCTGCAGTTCAAGCAGCCGACTATCGTGTCGATGTCAGGCGATCCCTGCATTTGGATAAATGCCGTGATCCTAGACTCCAGCACCCAATTGTAGACTGGGTTCCGCTGTGTCAATCGCAAGTTGACACCTTGACATCACGAGGGGCATGCTGGAGTATGCGAAAGTCCAAAGATCGTAGCATATATAATCGGACAAGAAGGAATTATCGAAAGACATAACACCTTCGAGAACTCACAACCCCGTTTTCTTGGATGAGAAACCTGAATCATCATTAGGATCTTATAACCAAAAGAGTGGCTATACAATCATGGCTCCAGCACCAATAGACGAGCGAATCACGGACGTAGCCGAGCCACGCAAGGATACCCTGGGACTCCCCGAGCCTACCTTGTTGCGCTTCAAGAAGGGCGGCGTCGACCTGTCCAATGGCTACCCATATCGTCCATCGCGGCCACTCTACCTCCAAGACGTCCTCGAAATCCGCAAAGACCCCTGGGAGCACCATGAAGCTGGAGCACGAGCTGACAAGTCCAAGACTGCCCTGCTGTCCGCTGCGACGAAAGTCACGGACCTGACTACGCATATCGGAACTGAAATCGAGGGCCTCCAGCTCAAGGACCTGACAGACCAGCAGAAAGACGAGCTGGGCCTCCTGATCGCCGAGAGAAGCGTGGTCTTCTTCAGAGACCAGGACCTGTCGCCACAGCAGCAGCTCGATCTGGGGAAGCACTTCGGAGTGCCAGAAGTCCACGTACGTTGACACTCTCGTCCTACCCACTTCTCCCCAGTTACGACTAACCTTCCACGCAGCCCCAAGGCCCGCAGGTTCCCGGCGAGCTCGGCATAACAGTGATCTGGCCCGACCTCCAGGCGACAGAGCGGTCCGTTAACTTCAGAAATCCAGGCGGAGCGTCAAGATGGCACAGCGACCTCGTGCACGAGATCCAGCCGGCCGGCATCACGCACCTGCACAACGACACCGTGCCGCCGATCGGGGGCGACACGCTGTGGGCGAGCGGCTACTCGGCGTACGAGAAGCTGTCGCCCGACTTCCGGAAGATCATCGACGGGAAGTTCGCCGTGTACAAGTCGGCCCACACGTACCTCGACCGCAACGACAAGGAGGCCGGCCCGAAGCACATCGAGCGCGTGCACCCGCTTGTGCGTGTCCATCCCGCTACCGGGTGGAAGGCCCTGTGGGTGAACCGCCTCTTCACCGATCGCATTGTTGGTCTGGACCGTGGCGAGAGCGACGTCATTCTGAAGTATCTGTTTGATACCTATGAGCAGAATGTCGATATTCAGGTCCGCTTCAGGTGGACGCAGGGCACGAGTGCTCTGTGGGACAATAGGTAAGTGAAACGAACAAACGCATCACATCCCCTTCAACTGTCTCTGATGGCGGCTGACTTGGTCATGCAGAATCACAATTCACAATGCGAGCTGGGACTACGGTGGTAAGCACCCCAGACACGGTACACGCGTAACATCGCTTGCCGAAAAACCATACTACGACCCTTCCGCACCCACTAGGCGAGAGGCTCTGGGCTTGTTGAATGAGGGCGAGAAGCAGGTTGATGGGCCGGCATAATTCTTCGATGGCCCAAATTGTGAAACCGCATTAGCTAGCCTATGTACTGTCATTTGATCGTTTCTTGATGAGGCGCTCCGGTCCACTTCAGCCAGCTCTGTGGTAACGATTGCTTTCTCGTCCAATGTCTAGACGGTCAGATCACCCCTATCATCCAGATTTCCAACGCTGTTGTTTAGGCAGTACCTGTTACTGGTACCGAGCTGTACACTCCGAAGAACGATGCTTTCCGTTGGCCTAGCTTCTTGTGTCAATCCATGCTAAGGTTCATATGCTTCCCATCTGTCTTTGATTATTCCACTCGGGTGCAGCGTTTGATTCCGCCCGACTGCGCGGGACCTCGACCGCTCAACAGCAAAGGCCTGCCACTTGGGATCGTACGGCGAGCGACAGCTCCCCAACTGATGGTAAGAAGTGATAGCCAGTGACCAGACCGCCCCAGATTTTCCCGACCCTTGCTCTCTCCAGGCGATCGTCGTCTGATAATCCGTGAGGCAGACATCACAGGACCCCTGAACCGTCTGCATACGCTGCTGCCCCGACGTAATGTCGGACAGCTCAAAGCCTTGATGATGCGCGACCTTGGGGAACGTGATCTGCAGCTGAGCACCCCGGTGGACTCCCACGTGATGACATATGTCGTACACCCCCGTATTAACCGCGTCGCGAAACGCGCGCGCTGTCTCGCGGCCCTGCGTCAGCGTGTGCGCGCAGCAGAGCAAAAGCTCGTGGTCGACGACTCTAGCCGTCCACTCCTGCGCCCAGCGCGCGGCGCCGCTGCGAACCGCGTGCGTTCTCTCGAACTGGTGCAGCGGTATCCCGCAAGGCGCACCGTAGAAGTGCTGGTTCATGGCTAGCCGGACGTGGTGGTACGCGATCACGTAGCCCGAGCCCGAGCCCGGGGAGAAAGACTGCCGGTTCTTGCATCGCGAGGGGGGCTGGGTCTGGTTCTGAGATCTAGATCTGGATGGGGGGCCTGGGTGCGTGGATACGGCGAAGGGGTGCAGGATGTTGCAGAATTGGCAGTAGTATAGCTGGTCTCCGACGCCGACAAGGCGCTCGAGGAGCGGCAGGAGGGTTGGCCAGTGCGAGAGCCGCAGGTCGGCGCGCGCCTCCTCGTAGAGGAAGTTGAAGGCGGCTTTGCTGGTGAGCGCTAGGGACATCCGTCCGGCGGGGCAAAGGTGCTGGGATATTAGAACGAAGATGTCGGCGGGGAGTTGGAGGAGGAGAGAGGCTTCTTGGCTGTCGGGTTGGCGCGGAGGAGCGTAGGGGGGTTGGGCCTGGCGGCCTAGATTTTGGCCCATGGTGGCAATTGGATGAACAGAAGCAAAGCCTTTACAGTCGAGTGGGAACTTGGGTCATCAGGGCAATGAAATACAGAGTCACCTGTATCAGCGAATCTGTCCGGGTCAGATGTTCGTCAAAACGGCGGCGACCTCGGAGTGGCCGGGATTCATCGTATGCCCAGAGGGGGTGAGTTGAGCGGCACAGGTTACACACAGTGCTAAGGGACAGTACATTCACGAGCTCGCACAGTCAGCCGGGGTCTCAAATAATTTGATAGGGCAACGTGATATCCCAAGGCACTTGGCCGGAACGAATATGGGTTGCTCATACTGGGGTAAGGACCAGTTAGGGTATAGTTGAATGGCATCAATCCGACACCTCAGATTACAGTGACGACTGATGGGGGTCGAACTCGAATAAAGCTTATGGCTTTCATGGGCCTTCTGCGAATCGAAAAGGGGTTGAGTACGAAACAACCGCGAGATGTTCGTTCCGACCGAAGGAAAAGCACTATCGATTCTTCGCCAGGAGATGGGTCAGTGAATAGCGAGCACAGCTTGCGCTGATGCTCATAGCTCAGAGGGTCATAGCTCGTAACGGACATTTCATTTGCCAGTCGCAGCTATTCGACGTAGCTAGTACACACCTTCTACTTTTACTCTACAAAACGAGGTCCACGCCCCTACAAGTTGTAAATCTTGACACGCAATGCCGCTAGGAGAAGTCAACAGTCCAGTCAGCACCGATACTGGCTCCGACACGTCCCAAGATCGCAAACGCAGCTCGACTACCATCCGCCTTGAAGTACTCAAGCTTGACTGTGGACTTCTTTCCACCAGCCTCCACCTGGACTTCCTTCTTCTTGGACCACGACGCAGGGGCGCCGACGATGATAACCTTGTCGACGGCCACGTTGTGCATACGTTTCAGCCAGTCACCCTCTTTCACGCTCTTGGCTCCACGACCTTCGGCATCTGTAGACGCCAACGTTGATCCGTTTAGCTTGAAGGTTCGGTGGATATACTGCCCCTTTTCATAGTCGAATGAATCGCCGTCGTCAATATACAGCTCACCCTCCGCGCGTCCATGCTTGTCGAGCGCAACCACAAGAGTGTAGTCGTCGAATTTCATCAGTTGGGCAGAGCGGCGCGGTATGTCGCGCCGAGGGAAGATGTGACCTCCTCGCATGAGGATGGGGATGTTCTCAAGTGGTGCTTCCGCGGTCAAGTTCTTGCCCTTCGTCGTAGAGAGTTTGTTGTAGGTGAAGTAGTCGTAGTACACTTCGTCATCGGGAATATAAATCTCTTGGGTATTCTTATCCTGTTCGACAACGGGCTTGACCAGGATACCGGTCGAACCAAGGAAAAATTGGTCGTCTACGGCAAAGCCAGCCTCTTCGCTTGGATGAGTCCAATACATTGGGCGAATGACGGGGCTACCATCTTGATTGGCCTGATAGAATGCAGTGTACCAGGAAGGAAGTAGAGTATAACGGAGGCGGAGAGCTGCTGTAGCGATAGACCGGTAGGGTTCCGCAAGCATGAAGGGCTCCCGTCGACGAGCGTCAATGTGGGCATGCCCACGGAAGAATGGGTAAAACGAGCCAGCTTGGTACCAACGGACCTGCAACTCCTGCTCGGGGTTACCAAAGAAGCCACCGACATCAGCACCGGCGAAGGGAAAGCCTGAGATACCCTGGTTGAGAATCATTGGGACGGCTGCACCCAGGTGCTCCCAGCTAGCCTGATTATCGCCTGTCCACATTGCGCCAAGACGCTGCGAGCCGGCATAGAATGATCTAGTCAGGACGAATGGGCGTCGGAGCTCGCCCTTCTTACGAGACATGAGAGCCTCAAAGGTGGCATTGTGAAAGGTCATGCCGTTTATGTTGTGTACATCACGGTGTTCCCAGTTGTCATGGTGTAGGTTGTCCTTTGGCATGGTGACCTCAGGTCCGTTAAACACCGATGGTTCGTTCATGTCATTCCAGAGCCAGGTGTTCTCCATGGTGCCCTTGAATTTGTCGTAGTTGAATAGGGAAGACCACCACTTGGTGGCGGCCGGGTTGAAGCAATCGACCCACATTGAAGAGCCAGGCCAGCACCAGCCGTCAAAGTCTTTGCCGTCCTTGTTCTTGACGGCCAAGCCCTTGGATTTGAGCTCGTCAGAGACCGAGTAGCCGCCCACGTTTTTGATGTGGGGGTCGATGATTACTACCAGCTTCCTACCATGTTCGTCCAGGTGTTGACCCATGGCCATCGGATCCTTGAACATGTCGTAGTCCCAGCTGAAGTACTTCTTGTCGTCGGTGTATTCAATGTCGAGCCAGATTACGTCGTATGGAATCTTGTAACGGTCCATCTTACGATCGACCTCTTTGACATCATCATCCGAGACGTAATTCCACCGGCACTGGTGGTAACCGATGGAGAATTCCTGGGGCATGGCAGTCGTCCCAGTCAGCTCCCCATAGCTCTTGGTCACGTGCTTGGGAGTAGGACCAAGGAAAACAAAGACATCCATCAGTCCAGATTCAGATATCCAGTGCGTGTGGGTATTCGTCTTGGCTCCGATGCCTAGCGACAATGGGTTCTTGGATTCCTTGGCTTTGGTGATGTCGATCCAGGTCTCGGCAGCGTTGAGCCAGAATACACCAACAGTCGAGTCTTTGCGCTGGGCCTGCATAAATGGGATGGCGCCGTACAAGGTCATCGGGCTGTCCAGAACGTACTCAAATACATCCGAGTTGTACAGGCGGTAGGGTTCGGTATGGGCGCCATCGCCGCCTCTGGTCTCCTTTAGCGAAAGCGGCCCGGAGTGCTCTGGGATACCATAGACGTGTTCGTAGCCGAAGAAGGTAACGTCGAGAGCAACACTCTCAGGACCACGGGGTTTCGAGTCGGTATTGCCTCCAAAAGTCTCCTCCCACCAAGTGCTTTCATCCTCTGAAGGGTTGACTGCAACAGTGTCCTCCTTGTTCTCCTCGTCTTTCTGCTCCTCTTCGCCTTCCTCACCCTCTTTCTTTTCGGGTGCTGGTTTCTCGACCTTGGGGCGCCAGTGTTCCAAGTTCATCAACCCTCGATCATTGAGCTTGATCTGGGACTCCCCACCTCGCTTGAACTCAATGGAGTAGGGTTCGAATCTGATGTCGGCTTCGAATGTGAAGTCGGGACCGTATTGAATCTTCATTCCTGTCTTGCCTTCGTGCGAGACCTTGGCATTGGTGTCGACAGCCAGTCCACCAACGATTGCCCACTTCTCTGCTTCATTGTAGCGCTCCTTCCTGGCACCACTGTTGTGTCGGAGATCGATAGATTTCTCTTTTCTGACCTGTTCGTCGACCGTGACTCGGGCGGTGCCGGACTTGAGGAAGGAGATGATAATGGGTAATTCGGCGGTGGTGCCTTGGTCGTCAATCGTCTTCAATACGGTCGCTTGAAATTGACCATCCTTGAACGAGGCCAGCTCGAAGGGGATCTTGTATGGTGCTACCCATGATGAACCTTGGGCAACGGCAGTGTCGGCATATGCTCTGTTTCGTTTACAGAAGCCCGACTGGTGGCACTTCTTGAAATCGTTTTCCTTTACCGCAACTGGATCCAGTTAACACATTAACACACTTTCACATGGAAGTGGTCCATACGCCGCAAGCGGCAGTGATAGAGGGCTAGTACACATACCAGCAGGAGTGAAAAGCGAAGAGAATACAGTGCATATACACAACAGAGCTGGCCAGCCCAGCGATAGCTGACCCAAGTTGCGCATCTTGAAGCCGTGGGTTGCTCCCCGAGGGCGACTGTCGGGAGCGAATCAAACACGTCGCACAAGGAGGGAAGGGCAGATCAGATCATGGAAGTAGAGGGACTCCGATGTGATGGGAGTCGAATCAATTGCCTCGCACAGTTACAGGCAACAGGCGATGAATGGTGTCTGGTCGTACTGATAGCAATGTGCGAGACGAGAGGCGGTGGGATTCGGCCGATGAATGCTGTGACAGCTGTCCGGTCTGGGCTTTGGTGATATCGGATCGATGAAGCTGGAGCTTCCCCAATTCAGGCTGGGGCTGGGGCGCCTGCCCCGCGGCGGTGCAATTGGGATCCCTGTATAGAATTGAACCCTGAAAGCCAAGCCCCTGACAATCCTCAGCTCTCAGCCACTTGCATGAGCCACACCAAATCGACTCAGTATCGAATAGGCCTGAGGCAGAACAGGTCGCCATGGACATAACCAAATGCTTTGCAGTGGAATAAGGATCACTTTGGAGCCCCTTTGAATAATTTTCCCCGTCGTCTTGAATTGGAAACTCACATCAGCCCAGCGACATCATTGGAACTCGTTTTTCAACTGCTCTGCCAAGCAATTCTTACTTCACCTCTAAACCCAATTCACACAGTCTTCAACGACGTAACAGGGGCAGGCCTCACAGTGTTCCAATGGCACCAGCTACAGCCAGCACAGCCAGCAGTAGCGGCAGCACCAGCCCGAAACCCAATCATGGCCCGCCAAAGCATCAGATCCAGCCCCGGCCCCGCCGTGGCCTCCGTCACCCCGCCCTCTGTGTTTTCTTCACCACCATCTGGCTTGTGTTTTTCCTGCTCTTCATCCTCCCCTGGCAAGTTCACGATCGTCAAGGCTGGAATTTCTCCAAAAGCGTCAAACACGACTACAACACCTACAAGGGAGCTCTAGGCAGTCTCTTTACCTCGCCCGCATCATCACCCGAGCATCCAATTCCAGGATCTCTCTCCGTCACAACTACCCCGCCATCACCAGATTCAATTCTTGAAAAGGCGGTGCCAGAACCCGAATTCAAGATGTCGACCGAACAGACGTGAGTCGCCGTCCAAAGCCTGCCCTCGCCTCTCTCCATGGGATGCTGACTGTCATCTTCAGCTTCATTGCTATCAAGCCTGATGGCGTCCAGGTACATCGCCTTGACGAGCCCGAATACCTTTGACGATCACCGCTAACCCCACCATCCAGCGTGGCCTTGTTGGCTCCATCATCGGCCGCTTCGAGGCCCGTGGGTGAGTACATACCTACTGTCACGAACGTTTACAATGCATTCGGTACTAATTAACGTCCTCTCGCAGATACAAGCTTGTCGCCATCAAGCTGACCACCCCCGGCAAGGCCCACCTCGAGAAGCACTGTTCGTCATCTCCGATCCAGCACCCGCCCTCTATTTGAGGTAGACTAACACGAATTGACGACAGACGAGGACCTCAGCGACAAGCCCTTCTTCGCTGGCCTGGTTGAGTGTACGTCAACGCTACACCATCCCGTCCATTGAGCAGTACTGACTGGATATCAGACATGAACAGCGGCCCCATTTGCGCCATGGTCTGGGAGGGCCGTGACGCCGTCAAGACTGGCCGAAGTACGTTGACTTCCCTGTCTCCTACATCATACAACTCGTATCGTGCTGGTAGCTAACCACAGTGTTTGCAGCTCTCCTCGGCGCCACCAACCCCCTTGCCTCCGCCCCCGGTACCATCCGTGGTGACTTCGCCATCGACGTCGGTCGCAACGTCTGCCACGGCTCCGACAGCGTCGAGAACGCCAAGAAGGAGATCGCTCTCTGGTTCAAGGAGGGCGAGGTCCAAAGCTGGGAGAGCGCCCAGGCCAAGTGGATCTACGAGAAGGCGTAAATACCTCCAGATGAAGGTATATACAGCACGCAATAGACAAGCTCGGGCCGTTCACGGGACGCAACGTGCCACAATAGCACAGTCATAGAGCAAAGGAACAAAAAACGGAACCTGGAGTGAAGATCTTCCTCTATTTGCAGTAGTCTACATGCATGTACAAGTGATCTTCCCATCAGGGCTAGCTCCCTAGGTTCCCCAGCGCTTCTTGAATATCGTCCGTCTAAAACCCACGAATCCCCTCGCGAGCCATGGTGTCAACCACAAACTCAATGCTATGCGAGGCACAAGCAGCATCTTGGTAATGGTGTAGGCGGCCGCGATCTGGATGCCGACCTTGTAGCCCCTCTCCGTATTATCAAACGTAACGGCCTTCTTGACCTTCTGCCACGCCGTCCTCGCCATCTTCCTACCCTCGTCGGCTCCCTCTGCCGCGACAACGCCAGCACCCACGCTCTCAGCGTCTTCCTTGCCCTTCCCCCTGAACCTCGTCATCCACCCCTTCACCCACCCCGTCCCCCTGCCCTCCCTCTTCTCCCGCTCAATCTCCCCCTTCAACTCCCCCTCCAGTCTCTCCTCGCCCTCCCGCCCATCCCGCCCATCGCCACTACCACGTCCATCGCCGTCCTCCCCACCCTTGGCCCCCCTCCCCAGCCCATACCACCCCTTCCGCCGAAACCAGCGCGCATACTTCTGCAGCCCCTCCTCGGCCCACTCGGCCCACGGCCCCAGCACCCACGCCGTCGGCACCCAGTCCATGGTATAAAACAGGTACGTCAGGCCAAACAGCGGCCCGATGGCCGTGATCTCGTGTAATACCAGAAAGGCGCCGACGTGCGACAGGGGCGCCGAGCGCAGGCGCGCGAAGGTCGGGTGTAGGTGGGCGGGGAGCCAGCGTTGGGCGCGGTGGAGGATGGTGTTTAGGCGGGAGTGTTGTTTGCGCGCGGCGGCTTCGGCTGTGGCTGAGGAGGAGGAGGAGGAGGTGGACGAGGAGGAGTTGTTGGGCGGTGGTTTGGAGGGGTTTGGGTCTGTGGATTGGAAACGCTGGTTTCGCGCGCGTAGGAGGTGGCGCGATAGTGGTGATGTCGGCTGCGTGGTGCGTGGGAGCGCGGATGTCGAGCTCGTGAGGGAGAGGACTTGTCGGCGCCAGAGCGCGCTGGTGAACGACATGTTTGCCGCTGCTGGAAAGCCGCGGGGCGCGGCAATTGGAGGACTGTCGTGGCTGGCCGGAGAGAAGATGGCCCTGGGGATGGTATGATGAACGGCTTTGGGTAGGTATACAGAGGCTTTTTGCGCTCTCTGGAAGCTGTCGTGTGCATTCACGTATGTGGTTGTCAAGATTGGGTGGGATGTTTTCGTGCAGTATCCGTTCTCCCTGGGCTTGAGCAATGTGGGGACCAATGACGTCTAACGTGTCGATACTTTTCAGCTGTCCGCCTCATAGCGAAAGGGGCATTTTACATGTACACGCAAATAGGGGTACAAATCGACCCTCCTCGGTGCTCATCTTGTATGGATGATTTCTGCCGTGTCTGCTTTTCAGGTCTATCATTCGCATTTCACGTGTCCCTCACTCCGGGAACTGCGCCCCTAACCCCGGAACCAGCATGTCCTCCGCCTGCATCCCCTTGCCCTCGACCAGCACGCCCGCCTTGCGCAGAATGCCCATAACGCTGTGGACGACCTTCAAGTCCACTCCCTTTGTCTTACCTGCAAACCGCACAGTTTTCAGCCACTCGCGCGCGTCCTCTTCCGAATAATCGAGCGCCGTGCTGATATACTGCACCGCCTCATCGTGATGCTCGTCGAAGTACTTGGCGCCCTGATCTAGCTTCGCAAACAAGTCCATGATTCTGGGGTCAGCGGGCTGCTTGCTGTCCCCATCACCTCTCAGGAGCTTGGTCGAGGCTACGATCTTCCAGCTGGGCCAGGGCGTGTAGATCTCGCCGACGCGGCGGATCTCGCCCGAGTCGTAGTACCGCTTGGATGTGAAGTGCTCCCACATGAAGAAGTCGGCCGTGCCGTCGTTGACGGCCTGGCGCAGGTTGGCGAAGTTGTGCAGGATCTTGAAGTCTGAGTAGGGAGGTGAAGGTGGGCTGCTGGACGATGAGGAGAGCCAGCCCTGCTCGTCCGCTAGCACGTAGCCCATTACTTGACTGCCCGAGCCCAGGCGCGAGATGCCGATCTTTGAGCCCTTGAGCGAGAATATCGATGTGATCTCGGGACGCTTGGCGCCAGTTGAGATCGCCCAGCCTGTGGTTTCATCAGTTCTTGCTTTGTAAGTTCAATCTGTGGGAGGGTAGGGAAGAGGTACATAGTGGTGTCTCGACGTAGGTCCCAACAATGCGATACCCGCCATCGTCTGTGACATCCTCCTTGCCGAGACCCGCCACCCAGGCTTCGGTCAGTCCAATGCCGACGTCGATCTCGCCAGATCGGATAGCTGTGATCATGTGTCCGGTACCAGAAGGGAACGGGACCAGCTTGGCGGACAGCCCGAAGTGCTTCTCGGCAAAGTGAATCGGGGTGGAGAAGTGCTCCGGTACGAAGCCGACGCGGAGGGGTTGTGAGTCGGCCATTTTATTAACTGTTGTCGCCACCAGTATCTGTAGATTCCGATCGTATGTCTTGTGTGCGTCTTTGGTATGGTGGCCAGGTACATATGTATGAGAGACAGACTACGATTGAAGCTGCGACGAGACGTTTGCGGCTCTTACGTACTTGCTACATCAGATCTGGATGAGCGGGTACGAAGTGCCGGCACTTGTGGGGCAGCCCCGGGTGGGGGCAGCGGGCGGCTACCCCTTTTACAAAACCGGCCGAGCAAGGGGCAGGAGCATAAACTGGAATTTGCAATGTGGTACGGGCTATTTAATGTCATCATCATACCTCACGAGTGGATTGGCAGCAAGGGAGGTCCTTTCAATGGTCACCACATTTTCTTTTCCTCTTACTACTAAACGGACAGCTATCGAGCGAGATTCTTCGGATGCAAAGGAGTCGCGAACAATCACATTTTTGATGACACTGGGGAAGAACTCTATGATTCTGTAGCTCACAGAATCAAGCGGAACCGATTCAGTGGGAAAACTCATCTGCAACTTTTCTATCACCGTCAACAGTCATGGTACAGAGTGATATTTGCCAGGATCCTTGCAGCGGCATCCACGGTGTCGTTCTCGAGAGTTAGGGTGTATGATGCATGGCCCCTTCTGTCGAGCCCAAAGCCTGAAGAGGACTTTAAGCACTTCCATCCGTTCAAATTGAAAGTGGCATTGGTATTGGCGTTACCATTCGACTCTCTGGAAATTATGGGAAACTGGATGATTTGGAATGCCGGTTTGCACTCGACCTTGTCTTCTTCGAGATTACTATCGCAGCCTTTCGGGGAAATGAGACCCATAGACCCGTGCCTAAGAAGTTCGGCAGCATACCCTTCGTGCATGGATCCCCAACAGAAATCTCTCGGATCTCGAGTTCCTTCAGTGAAGGGAAGTGCTTTGGGCGAACGGACATGGTGAAATTCATACTCTGTTCTTCATGAGACACTTCAGATGATGCCTCTGGGAGTTGGCTTACCTCCAATTATATCCTCTGGGCGGAAAGCGCGATAACGATAGTTTCTAGGACTGTCGCAATTCGACTGCTGGTGACCTCAGAAATGACTTTATTGTTGTACAGAGTTGTAGATCGTGATCTGATAGCTTGTAGATGGTGGTTTGCGGTGGCGGAAGATCGGGCAGCAGGTAGCGGATTGCGTGTGTTTTCCTTGAGAGAATCAAGAAGGTGGTTGCTGTGTTGAGATTTGTTGTACATGAAGAGGAAAGGAAACTATGAAGCTAGCTAAAAGACATGATCTGTCGTGGTGGTGGTTCTTCCAGACATATGTTGCCAATGTGGCGGGATCGGATGTGGTCGTACCACTCACTGTGCGTCAATTCCTTGGGACACTCGGCGCATCGGCGGTCTCGTTGTTGGCCTCTTCCGGCCCCCATTGCCTGTCCTGTATATATATAGGGGTTGACCACTGGCGCTGTGGGTCTGTCTTCTAGTGCCGTGACAAGGACCACCTGCCTTGTTTCTCTCAGACGCTTTCTTGGTCAATTGAGGGACGGCGATGACGATGAGCTCAATGCTGCCAAGGTGAGAGAATAGCAGCGTCAGAGTGTTCTTGATGCCGGCGTAAGTCTGTAGAGCTCGCCAGTCGATAGCAATCACCTGCGCAGCGGAGAAAGGCTTGAGGGCTCGAAGACCATCTTGGAGGCCACTCTGGGAACCTTGGGCTTCATGCTTCCCAAGCTTGTGGAAGCGGGTGTCGGCCCGGTTGTAGGCCAAGGCCATCTCTCGCTCCGTGATGCCCGGAGAGCAGGGAGATCAAAAATGCCGGAACTTCAGTGCCGTTGTCGCTGCTTCTGTCGCTGAAGATTCACGTTAGTATATGGACTCCGAACACTACCACCAAGGACAAGAGTCCATAACAGAAAAGGGCGACGAAAAGCACAAAGAAAACAACGCAGGCTATCAACGGAGATGATTCAATTGTTTACCTTGGCCAGAGAGAATTCGGACTTGGAGGTAGCAGCGTCGGAATCGTAGCTTCGGAAATCGCAGCGTGCTAGTTGATCGTCCTCTTCCTCCTCGCCCTCTTCGGCGTCGCCCTCTTCAGCGTCGTCCTCTTCTATGTAACCGCGCAAGGTATCCTGAACTGATTTGCCGAGGGCAGACCAGTTCACCAGGGTATCCTCCAAGCGCAAGACGGTCTTCTTGTGCTCCTCGTTGCGAATCCTCCACAGTTACCCCGCCGTCGGAAAGGAGATGAACAAAGGAAATCGTGGGTCTCGTGAAAAGTTTTAGTACACACTCTCCTCGTCTGCCCCCTGAGAAATCATGGAAGGCGTCGAGATTGATATGGGGTGTCCGGAAGAAGTTCTTGTCAGATCACCGTGCAAGGGAGCGGTCCTGTCCATGGACGATTGCTTGATTGCTGACATGTTGTCGGGGCCGATGAGCAAGGTCTCTTGCCCTGATTTATTGTCGCGGCTGCTTTTGGTGACGGTTAGTAGACAGTCAAGGTGATGATTTGCAAGTGGACAAGCACTTTTCTGTCGGCCGATCCATGGTTTCATGCAGACGGTGATCTGTGCGGATGAAAACTGGGGTTGTGTTGTCCTTGTCCTACAAGGTTGCCATACCAGCTTTGGGGAAGAGGTGAGTAGGAAAGAATGGGGGAACAACCTGGAGTATTTCTGACATTCTTCTAGTTAGTCGAGTGCGGACCGGAAGAAGAGAGTGGGGATTTGTCACAGTTCGACTGCTGGTGACACCAGAAACGACTTTGTTGATGTAAGTAAAGAAGGAAGAAAACTATAAAGAGACGACCAGTGGATGGTTTAACTGGCTTGACAAGGGCCGGGAGAAAGGTACTCAGAGTATGGTGTTCAGCCTCTATTTTTGCTTGCACCAGCTCGTAGCTGAGAAAAGTTTTTGGCTACAGGGGGTTTTGCTTGAGAAGCACTAGTACCCTTGCAACTGGGCAACGAACAGTCTGGGGAGTTCGCTGGATGATAGCCTGGGACTTTTCCGTTCTGGTGGCCCTTTGCCTCAGCAACAATGCCAATGCCCCAGTCAGCACAACACAGGACAGATGACATTACTGCAATCCCAAGTCACCAGCTGAAAAGAAAGCATCTTCTTTCAGTAGGCTCTCGAGCTTCCTGAGCAATTGGATCTACGTACGTAGCTGAAGAAATAAGGTCCGCGCGGTGCACGCACAAGATACCCATCCCTCTCTATATGCCCATTACAGAGACCAAGGCTTCACTATCGCGGTCCATATCTTTTTCGGCTCCATCCGGATACCTCCACACACCATCATGTCAGGCCTCAGCCAACTTGATCTGCATTAACGGTCCGAGGAAGCGGACCGGAACCTTCAAATCCTCGAGACAGGTACGCCATTGTTCACAAAAAGCCACATGCACAAGTCGGATGACCAAACATCTCCACGGAAGTCGATGCTAACCTGGCCGTGATGGACTTTTAGTGACCGAAGAGGCACCCCTTGACAACCTTTGTTAACATCGGTTTTATCATCTGCAGATCTCACCGGCCGAACAGCCCTCGAATCCAGAAGCAGCGTCCCCCCTATTCCACCAATTTACCCCTGAGATCCGCCGCTTAGTATGGAGAATGACATGGGAACCCCAATCGTCCTTCCTCGTTTACCTTGACCCAAGAACGATACCTCGATCACGAGCTACGAGAAGTGCCTCTAGGTTGTCCTTCTGGTGCCTGTGTCGGGCCACATCAACCAGGGGTCTCGAACTTGTCCTCCTTCTCCACTGGCAAGCCAGTTGCAGTGCAGCCCCTTGTTTCAGGCGACTACGATGGGGCTTCGTAAGGGGATGCCATATGATGTCAGATCAGCATGTCCCTCGCAGCTGGATACGCCGATCGCAGTTGAATGGACAGCTCAGCGGAGTTTAATGACCATCCCCGTCGGGTTTCGTGTGGAAATGCCATACAAGTTCAGATCATCATATCCTTCACAGCTGGCTACTCGTCCACGACCAACAAGCCCGAGGAGCGTGACGACGAAGACGATAATCAGGCTGAAGAAGACGTAGAAAGAAGAAACGAAGGCAATGCCGATGCCATTCTTGGTAATGTAGATAAGGATGAAGAAGCTGAGAATGAACGCACCATCACCAAAATCCCGGACGGCCCCATCAAAACCACCACCACCGACATCAGATCTCACCAGGCGTCGGTGCACAAAGCCGACGGCAAGTACGGGAGAACGAGGCCAACCAATTTTTTCGTCGCCGATATACTCTATACCCTCCTCTAGTCGAAAGCAACGGCAAAGACAGACCAAGAGCGCCCATCATGTCGTCCAACCGCACCCTTATGGACTGGAACGCGGATTTCCATGAGGACATCCTCATTGCGTACCAGAAGACCTTGAAGCCGAACCCTGCGCAGTTGGCTGCTATCGTGGCCTCTCTCCACGAGATGGGCTACACCTTTACAGGAAGATGATTCCCAACGGCGACCCGGAGGAGAACTGGCCGTGCCAGTCCAAGGACAATACGTTGATTTGCCTAATTGGATGGCTATCGGTCGCGTCCAATCAAGCAGCTTCCAACGGTAGATGGCCACCACGATCGTATTTTGCATGTGGAAAACGCCTGAAAAGCGCCCGCATGTTTCTTGCCTGATTAGAAACAAACCTACAGATGACACCAGAGATCAATCGAAGATTCAACATCAACGGTCTTTCGAGGTTCCTCGGAGCAAGCCGGAAGCTTTGAAGCTCCCCCAGGACATCGCACAAGGAATCAAGGTGCTTTGCAAGGCATGGGAGGACGAGAACTGGGGTGCTACTGCACTTGTTTCACCTAGTGCTCGATAAGCTGCAGAAGAGAAAACTTTTTGCTTCCACGATATTATGCCTCCAGTGGGCGGGGGTATATCAGAAGATGCTGTAATTAGGATTGTTGCCAGTACGTATTATTCCAGCCGTTACTGAGCAAAGCTTATGGCTTCTATCTTCTTGTTCTATGGGTGCTGTGCTGTCGAGAATTTGCAACTAGGAGATCTCAACGAATGTCCCAAGGGACACATTATGAACCTAACATTCCTGGGTGCTGAGGGCCGTATGCTTGTTGACGAGGAGGTCGCTGAAGAAGACGACCTTACAGATTCTGACTGTAAGGAAGCATACAAGGAACAAAGGAACCATTCGTGTACATATACAGGGCTTCCACGCCTGATTAGACAGCTCCCTACAGAACAACAAGTCTTTAATCCCTCATCTGGTTGGCATTCTGACACTTGCAGGTCCTGTTGCTCTTTCGTCTCCTGCAGACCAGACGCCTACAGTGGCAACAGCACCTGCCGGCTGTTGGTGAGAGCTCCGAGGTTGACTAGCGTACTGAGATTGACTGGCTAAAGCTTGATGCATTGTTAGATATGTCAAGGGCAGGGGGCATTTGGTTTCTGCGAAGGGGTCTCCCTGGATCCCTTTTCGTCCAACATAGTGTGAGATTTCAAAGTGTTCTATTAAGGAGAGGAATTCCAGCTACTCTGGAGCGGCTAGAGTGGCCCTATATATCCAAGATACTAAAGGAAAGGATACGTGGCCTTATGTGGCCACGTATGTGACAGAGTCACAGATGGGGATGGTGATCCTGAAGGATGACTATGGATGGGCTAACGTAGCCCAGAATCCAACACATAGGACTGTAGTAGTCAGGGATGTAATAGGCACTCCCATTGAAAGAGAGCTGGTAGGAATGATGGAAAATTCACCCGAAATCAGACCGGGTTTCCCCTACTTCAGAAGCATCCGGGCAACTGGCGAGTGGGGACATGTGTGCCTTCCAACGCACTTCCTTTCTTATCAGTGTTGCCTCGGCCACATTTTGTGGCGGTTCCAGGCACCCAGTGAAACCGTCGTGACCACACAGACACATGACACTCCACACCACACAGGTATATCTTTCAAGAAGACGAAAAATACTTCCCCTCCCACTCACGCCATGCCTTCTCCCCATTCAACCACCCCATCTTCGTCACTCGCTCCCATCCTTCCCCCCCACCACCACCATGTCTGCGATGCCGGTTATCAACTCGATGTGAAGCATATATCGGAGAGCTTCTTGCTGCGCGCAACTTCGACGACACCACGGAGATTCCCAGTCCAGACCACTCATCTTGTGACCGATACGCCCAAGAAAGGTACGTCTTGGTAGTATCGGGCTTCACCATCTGCCAGATGCATTACTAATCTCCGCGAAGCAGTGTCTACACAATCAGGTAGCCCTTGGATCTGAGCCATGGGTGAAGCCGAGATGCGATGTAATTTTGATCGCTCCTCCGACTCAACCCGCTTATCTTATTCGTCCTTCCATCTACATGCTGCTGCCATGGACACCCCAGAGGACATAGAAATGCAAGGGACTTTCAACAATCACACCCTCGCAACAACCTCTGTTGTTTCACTGCCTCATGCACTTGGGTTGGAGTCCAACGGCATGACAACCGCCGAAAGGCCAACGACCTTCCATTTCTTTTCCAAGCTCCCTTCGAGCGTCCGCAGACGCATATGGCGCCACACTTGGGAGCCGCGCGAAGTCGTCCCAACAGACTTCGTTCAAGAGGGCTGCTTCATCAGGGGCGCCCCATATGACTATCACGAGCACATGCCGGCTTCCGGCTACGTCAACCAAGAGTCACGACAGGAGACAATCCTACACTACGAGTTGAGCTTCCGCAGCCCTTTGAACCGAGCGGGTGTTTGGTTCAACTTCAGTCTCGACACACTCTTCATGCCTCTGCACCACCGTCCATGGGTGCACTACGATCACGACGACCTCGAGCGACTACAGCGCCTGTCAATGCCGGAGTGGCTGCCGGTCGGCTGGTACGACGCGACCAAGCGACCGCTGCAGTGGCCGTCGCTACCAACACGCATCTGTCGCCAAGAGGCCTTCAAAGTCAAGACCGGGTCCTCCAAGGCACTGCTAGAGAACCCAGAGCTCTACGGTGCCCGCAAGCTGCTCACGATACGCTGCCCGAACCTGAAAGAGCTGCACCTACGACTGAATCCGCCGCGGCTGAGGAGCCTTCAGATCTGGCGCCAGCATCACATCATCGACTAGGAGTCGTGGGCTGATACACCAAGGATGGATGTCACGACGAGTATCCCGCGACTGAGCAGTGTGGACGGCGCGCCGCTGCTGGTCTATCATTCGCAGATCGCGGGACGGCTAGTTGGCCCTCGTGCTTCCTACACCAGCGCCGATTGGAGATGTCTGGCTGCTTCGTTGGAGTACGCGTTTGGATCTGCCGAATGGCACTATCCTCGGGCTATTCGCTGATATCTTCGGCCTCGCATTGATGGCGTGTTGCAATGTGAACCTGTATAATCACCTGTACAAGAAGAAGGAGAGTGGGAGGAAGACGTCCAGGGCTGGAGGCCGGCTTTGGCATTCGATGCACATCACACACAGCATGATCTGGTCTCAAGCTGCGGACGGAAGGACATCGCATCATGTCCGTCGGCCCAGCAGACGGGAAAGCCGAAGATCTGGTTCGAGACGCGGCATCGATGCCACGTGCAAGGGTCCAGGGTCCAGGGTCCATATTCGGATCTCGGTAACGGGTGCAACGGGTGAAGGCGGGCCACGGCACGAGCACAGCCTATCCGCAGGGTCGGATTTGCTATCGGGGACTTTTGCGCAGCCCTGTACTTTCCTAGTTCTGCACCGGCATGCCTTGGTAAAGAACGTTGAGATCATGCATGCAGGCTGCAGAATGGGCGATGTGTGTATGCACAAATTAGATATGTATTAACCCTGGGCCCCTGGAGGCAGAAACGACAGAAGTTATTCTGGGTGGCAATGTACCAGACCGCTAGGAACAAAAGTCCATCGGATTCGCGTCGTGCAAGGTACTGTGCTTGTATAGGTAGTGTACCTTACACAAGCCTGCTTCATGAATCGAGCAAAGGGCAGCAAAAGAGCAATCTCGACGATCTGACACTGTGGTCGATGATGTACCATCCACTATAAGCCAAGATAGGGACATCAATAATAAGGTAATATGCCACGATTACGCTCACCTCAGTCAGTTATAGGCCAATGAGAGAGGCACACCAACGATAATAGGCCCCCCCAGTACGCTTGTAAAAGATGTCCGGGCAGGACTTTTGTAAAAGTACAATGCAGCCCCCAGTCTTGGCTGCAGCCGCCGCACCTGAAGCCACCTCGCCGATTTGCCAAAGATTTATGGCTGCCGGGATCATCCCAACACCGCATACAGAGTTGCAGATGTACCCCGTGCCCCAATTCTGCCTGGCTGTTGGAAAACGTGAAATGCCACGACATCGCTTCTTGGCGGACATGGCGATACATACATGCAAGAAAAGCCTCCAACAAAAGGCCCCTATCGTGCCGCCGACTAGCAAGGAGTCTTGCCACGATCTCCTGCTCGATGAAGTGTGCAGATCTACCCTGAATGCATTGTCCTTCTGCTTCTCTAGGTAATGTTTGACTACCTAATAAGGCGCATACCTTCAGCTGACCTCCTACTAGTTGACTCCTGCATTCACTACCGTCGTACCCAGGAACCTGCCACGACTCGGAAGACAGACCATATGTAGTTATATTACCATATGTAGTTGTATTCAGCTCTTGCAGCCAAGGATCTGAACCGCCATGCAGGTGGCCTCTTCCACCTCCAAACCTTCTATATAAGCCCCAAGATCCATGAGCCCGCTTGCTCCTAGGACATAACGGCCTTGGTCAACCACATGAAATCCAATCCAATACAATTTGTCTGGACCACTCAAACATGTCTTCCAAGGGAACCGTCCTGATCACGGGGCTCAACGGCTACGTCGCGGGCCGCACGGCTGAGAATGCCCTCAAAAACGGATACCGAGTGCGTGGAACAGTCCGCAAGCTGGCCGCCGGTACCAAGGTCAAGGAGGCACTCTGCGCTCTGGGTTATGCGGCAGACGACATCGAGGTGGTCGAAGTGTCCATGATATGCAAGGCCGGCGCACTAGACGAAGCTGCTCGCGGTATAGTCATCACCGCTCCACTCCTCCAGAAGAGTACCTGGGAGCTGACACCATTGCTCCTCTAGGATGCAGTGCGATATTGCACCTCGCATCGCCCTTACGCGAAGCCCACACACTACCAGCACCAGAGGTAGTGAGTTTGGCCTTTGACAGCACAAGCTCCATCCTCGAGTCGGCGTTGAAGGCAGGTCCGCAACTACAGAGCGTAGTCTACATGTCGTCCGCCGCCGCCGTCTTCGACATGCCCGCAGCACGTCGGACTCATACCGAGAAGGACTGGAACACGACTGCAGAGGAGATAGTCAAGGAGCATGGCACTGAAACTGACGGAGTCACCGCGTACATGGCGAGCAAGACGGCTGCTGAACGGTTGTTCTGGAAGTTCCGCGAGGACTACAAGCCTGCTTTTGGGATGACTGCCCTTCAACCTTCGTACGCTCTGAGGCCGACCCTGGTCAGGCTTTTTTGGTTGCTGACTCGTAAGATAGATACATCGTCGGAGAGCCCCTTGTCCCCTGGGAGACAAAGGAGCAGATCCCCTATTCCAATGCCAATATCTGGCAGCTACTCTCTGGCGGTGATCTCCCCGGCTCGACGATGGTGTACGATGACACGATAGACATACGAGACGTCGCTCGGATGGTGGTCTGGGCGGCATCGAACCCTGAGAGAGCAGACGGAGAGCGGTTTCTGTGTTCGTCGGCAGTGGGTGGACCTCAGGCTATTGCGGATGTGCTGAATCAACAAATGCCCAGTCTTAGGACAAAGCGAGGAACTCCGGGGATTGGATACGAGAGCGGGTACAAGGTCAAAGATGGCATAACGGGGTTCGACAGTGGGAAGGCCGTCATGGCGACGGGCCAGGACTGGATTCCGTATGAGACAACTATTGTGGATACGGCGAACTTCATGAAGAGGTATCTCGGCTGAATCTTGAGAGGGTATATATCGGCAGACATACGGGCTTTGGGGCGATGTATTCAAGCGTTGGATTTCGACTATATATATATATATATATATCCCTTCATACCCGAAGCAGGTATACTCTGCACACCCAAGACACTTGACTTACTTCAACGAATTAGCATTGCATTCATATCCATCAACCAGATATGCCTGGCCATGATTTTAGTGACTGGCTTGTCGTCGTGTTGGCACGATCTCACTTGTTTCAGCCTAATAGTTAAGCCGGTTTGCTTGTTGGTATCTTCACCTTACCAGCTCGCTCCAGCATCTGTCCTGGGTGTCCATATGCGCCTAGTCACGAAAGATTATAATTACATCAAGCAGCAGGAAGAGAGTGTTCTCAATGGCGTTGGGTAAGTGAAATCGCCCATATCGTCACGCCGCCTTGAGCTGCAAAAGGGCCCATATCAGATACCCTACGATCGCGCCTCTGTCCAACAGAGACAGCTGGTAATTAGAGCTATCACAACGACATCCTATCATCTGCACGTTATCGTATCACTAGTCCATGTGGGCCACATACCGGAGAGACTAATCTCGTTGGGCTTTTCTTCAAGCTGAGATAAGATGACGAGTCACTTGTGTCTGTTGGTGTAGCGTGTTGGTGCTGTGCCAGTCCTTTGTCTTACACTATGAAACACGAGTCGTGTGACACGTCGAAGCAGCAAGATGCAGAAGACAAAGAGCTGGTCTTCTCTGCGTATCTACCAAAGTCTCCTTGCTGTGCAGGGGCTATCAGCCAGGTCCTCATCTATGTGGCATTTTATATAAACATTTCCAGCCATACTGCCCCTGGGTGGGACACCCAACTCTGACTTACCGTCTTGACAACAGTCCTCAGCAAGCTCTCAGGGGAAAATATTGTTTCGCTTCCCAATGGCCTCCGAGAAACCCCCAACAGTCGTCAGAAACAGAAGGATGGTTTCATTGATCAATACGCTCGGGTTGGCGTATGCTGCCAGGCTACACTTGAAGACATCACGGAAGCTCGTGAGCGGCAGTTGATGCTCAAAATCTTCGAGAGCGGGACGCATTTCATGGATCCATGGGCGATGCCATGGGCAGGGAGTATGTATGAATGTGTAAACCACTGTATATGTTACTTAACGAAGAATTGCGCTGACTTCTATTCGCAGTTCGAGGAGGCGTACAAGATCTTGGCGAAGCCCGGCCTGCGCGCAGACTACGACACCGAGTACAAAAAGCTTGTCGAGGCAGGTGACGACAGAATTATGAGAAGCAAGTGTACCGGCGCATGTCCTCACCGATCCGCCCATCCTCAATGGCTGCTCAGCGCAGAAAGCCGATTCAGAGCCAAGATTGAACATGAGACGAGCAATTATGCAATTTCGAAGAGCCAGATGATACCGGCCTTGGACAATGTCATTCCGTTGTCGCAGGACAAGATGTTGGAGGCAGACGAGACGGCTCTAGAGGATTCGCGCATGCGACGGCAGTTCTACCACATGATATTGGCATTGATCCTGCACTGGAAGGCTACTTGGCCTTGGACTGAGCCACTCAAGGCTTCTGCCCCGTTCCCCGAGGAGAACTAGGACATAGGGCAGGCATCCAGGCAGGCATTCAGGCCGCCCTTTGGCTATGGGGAGTTGACGATATCAAGTTGGTGGGATTAGCTACAGGTAGTCTGATGAACCACTGGAAGCAGTCAACTAAACAGTTATTGAGGAGAAGAACTCACGGTCATCATCCCGCAAGGGAGCACAATCCATACCCGCGTAGTCCAACCCGTTTTGATGATGTCTTGAAGTCTGTTGTTAGTCAGTGCCAGGGGTACCAGCCCAAACTAGTATCGTAGAGAACCAGGCCATCCTGGTGAGTCCTCCACCCACGCCAACTAGCCAACCCTAACCGGCGACTAGAATGTGTCATGAGTGGGCCCCCTCCGCCGATTGAGGCTCTCGTAAGTCGTCGCACTCTGCACAGGCGGTGAGTGGGCCATGTGTGAAAGATCTTCACCTCCCCCGTTCGACTACAATTATCACCATAACCTCTTCGCCTTCCATCAATCAGCCGCCCGGTTAGCTCAATCGGTAGAGCGTGAGACTCTTATCCCATCACTGGGTAATCTCAAGGCTGCGGGTTCGACCCCCGCATTGGGCTCAAATCCCGATGCCTCGATACAAATCGAGTTCTTCGAACTTTAATCTTTGCAGTTCCCACGACATTCGTCTCCAGGTCGTGAAAGGGGGCGCTGTGCCGTTGCGGACCGTGAGGAATTCATTTTTGGGAGCAGACTCGATGACCTGCTGGGTCGGGTTGAAGCTTTGCAAGTCGAGGTTTGTATTCGGACTTCGGCGTTGGAAATATGTCCGGATTGTCGCACAAGCGGCGCCCGGTCCAGCGCCGCCTCAATGTCCGCATTATGACTTCATTGACTCCGGACGCGCCCGAGGGAAGCTGCCATCCAGGTCGAACACGTCTTTATACAAAATCGAAGCTGTCACCTGCAATAGGAGAGATCCATAACTGAGCAAAACTGGATATCTACAACCTGACCCTTGGCTGAGTACCTACCTATTCAAAATCACCAGCCCATCGAAATCGATCTGGGCAGTCAACCTATCATTCATTTACTAGGTATCCGACTCGAAGCATGGCGGCAACAAATGCAGCAATTCAGACCCTTAGCGTCTCCATCTCCCTCCTGGCCTCCGGCGGCATAGCGGCCCTGAGCCTCTTCGACGTGCTGGAACTGAAGTCCCAGCCGGCCTCACGCAGCCTCCCGAGCATACGCTGGCTCTTTAGCCGGGGCTCGCACATATTCCCCACCGCAGCTGGGCTCGCTTGCTCAGGCTTTACATACCTGGCCTACGGCGCGCTCCCGGCGAGCAGCCGTTCCATGCTGCAGCTTCTGCGCCTCGGTACCAACAGCACAAAGGTGAACGGCTACCTTGCAGCAGCCGCGCTCGCCATCAGCATTGCTCCCGTCACGACTCTGTTGATGATCCCCACGAACTTCGAGCTCATCAAGATGAACGAGGAGAAGGGCGGAGCGCGCAGTGCCGAAAGCGCGAGGGTCGGAAGCCATGATTTCCAACCCGGGCAGCGCAGCGCAGAAGACTCGGTCGACGGGGTGGGCGAGGCGAACCAGTTTGCGGATCTTACGGGGCCGCAAACGGAAACGCCGCGGAAGTCAACGGTCGAGGATGATGAGAAGACTAGGGCTTTGCTGGATAAGTTTGGCAAGATGAACTTCTCGCGGGCTGTGCTCATCGGCGCGGGCGGTGTCGTGGGACTATGGACATCGTTGATGTGAGATCGGGGGTGCTGCTGCTTCCTCGAGGTCCCCCCTTTACACGTTTCAATGTGAGCACGTGCGATTTAAGCAGCCATGACTCCCAAGACCCCCTGTGATCATTATTGTGCCACTGGTCGCATGTATTATCATGGCCGTGCCTCTAAGCCGGGTACATGGCCAGTACCCTCAAGATTACACTCTAAAGACAATCGGCAAGAAGTGTATAACTACCTAGCAACCATGGACATTTAATCTTTAGAAGACAGATTAACACACCGAGAGGGTCAATGCCACCTTATAGCTGTCAAATGATAAAGCAGTTCTGAGGTGTGAATACATTGTATTAGATAGAGAAGAAGATCTATCTGAAGCCACTAGGGCTGACTCTCTTGTATATGTAGTCCATCACCACGTTGGGTCGTACCCACCCCTTGGGATACCAGCCTTCTTCTGACAATAGCAACCATAAAAAATAAGGGTTCCAGCCTATCCTTTGCATGTCATCATCGTACCGCTCATTATCAAAACCCAGTGTCGAAAGCTCGAAACTAATGAGAACGGCCGTCTGGTCCTCACGCACCAAGCAATGGCGCCTGTGGGCACTGTTGTGTGATATCCCATGGTGGTGGAGCCGTCGCAGGGCGTAACTACAAATTCCAAGATCGTCCCAGCCAGCCGGCCGTGCGTTTTGTACGAACTCCGTGAGAAACCCAATCACCCTCCCGTTCTCTGTCACGTGGCCGAGGAAACGAGGAGTGATGCCGGTGCACTCGAGCAGCTGGTATATCCCGACCTCTCTGTCAATCGACGCGATGGCCTCGAGGGTGGGAAAACTGAAGAACTTCATCAAGACTGGCGCGTCAAAGATCGGGTGGGTGCGTGGTACAGTCTTCGGTATCCTGTGGTATCAGCAGTCACTACGCCTTCAATGACCAGTCCCATTGACAACACCCAACTCTTCATATCAGATTTCTTCGGGATTTCCACGGCCTCGGCTCATTGCGTCCTGCTAGAATGCGCCACCCATAACTCATGTTCCCCAAGAAACACATCCCCGCACCCTTAGCCGAACCGGCTTCGAGCACCGACACGACACCGGACCGGACCGGTGTCCACTATAATCAAGCACATCATCCTGAATCCGTATCGCATAATGCAACTCGAACGATGATAACGTGCAAGCCACTTACCTAGATACTTAACCCCCAACCTTCATCGCCCGAGTCAAAAGTAACGATTTTCAAACATACTGTAGCAAACCCGAAAACTATTACACACCAGCCCAGCATCATGTCCTGCGAATCGTCTCACACGCACGACCACCACCATGATACCCCGCCCGAGCCCGAGGACGCCTGGCGCAACTCAGGTGTTCAAGTGGTACCCGCAGACAACTTGGACACCAACACAGCACAGACCGCCGGCATGAGCAGAGCGGCCGCCATCAACTTTGCCCGCGTCGGCGCACAGAAGCTATGGGCCGGCACGGTCACCATCCACGCCGACGCCAAGACAGGAGCGCATCACCACGGTAAACTTTCACACCCATACACACATGCGCGGCAGACCAAAACCCAAGCCCCTTGGATGCAGGACAGGAAAATACTCGAGTGGAAACTAACATGACTCCAGGACATCTCGAGTCTATCATCTACGTCCTCAAGGGTCGAGCCCGCATGCGATGGGGCAACAACCTCGAGTTCACCGCCGAGGCCGGGCCGGGCGACTTCGTCTACGTCCCTCCGTATGTCCCGCACCAGGAGATCAACGCCCTGAAGGATGAGGATCTGGAGTGCGTGCTTGTGAGGAGTGACGGCGAGGCTATTGCTGTCAACCTGCCGGATGTTGAGCCGGTCGAGAAGCCGGAGACGGTGAAGTGGGTGGACCCGACGCATAGGAACTTGCCTTAGTTACCTGTTGAGTGGTATTCAGGCTGTAGAGTAATATGAGTATATACACGTTTGTGGTTGTCGTGTTTGGCTGGGATGTCTTTGCTGTCGTCGATCTTGATGGCCAGCTTGTTCACAGCTTGCTCTGATTTATCGGGTCCGCGGATAGGGGTGAATGTACTGAACCTACTGATGATCTTCATGACAAAGGGTTATCTAGGTTGAGGATGGCGTACATTATCTCTTTGGTTTAACACCATGACGCCAATAAGACAACTAATTCCCTTCACCATCTTCGTAGTGTAGAATTGCGGCTAGCTACCACGCTATCAGAACGAATAACGAGTATGCAGAGGCCACCGAGTGAAAGAGCCTACTCATAGAGCACCCTTCTCATATCCTCGAGCCCGTATCGCCGCACTGTCCTGAAGCAGCCTGAATCCCATCTCCCTAGAGTGTCATAGCAACACCCGCGACACCCACCATCGCCAAGGCGCATGCAATGTAGACCCACGATGTCTTCTCTCGGCGAGCGACATTCGGCATGGCTGTCGGAGAATCCATAGTAACAGATCCATTTGCAGACGGAGCTATCGGCATCGACATCGTCATAAGCATGATCGTCGTTCCCATCGACATAATCATGATCGTCATTCCCGTCTCAGCGCGGCTCGACGGGAGTCGTGGCCATAGCAGATCCATAACGGCCACCACCTGGGGTACATCCTCCGTGCGCAAAGACACCGTAGGCGCTCAGCACTAGGGTAATTGGAGATCAGTATGGATTCCGCGTGACATGGATTTGCGTAAAGGAAGGGAGTTGATGTCCCGGGTGCGTGAAGCCAGGGAAATCGACGGGCTTGATCATATATTTCGCGGAGATAGGTACAGTACTTACTACTGCTGAAATCTTCATGCGCCGCGTCGGCCATTGCTCGCACACTCGCAGTCGATGGCCGTGATAACGCTACTCTGCGCACAGATGCCATCATAGAAAGCGCTGTTGTAGGCCGAGTACTCGGCCGCGAGCTCCTCAGTCACGGTCTGGCTCGGGGCCGCCATACTAGTGATAGTTGCCAGGGCGTCGCTCTGTGCACACAAGTCCGAGAGAGCGGTTGCGTAGCCGTTCGGGTTGGCGAGGAACGGCGTGAGACAGGCGGGGACGGTGGGAAGGAGTCCGTACACCGAGGCTGACGACGAGGCACATAGCGAGGCGAGGGTAGGCAAGAGAGAAACTGGGAGGTTGGCGGTGCCGCAGGAGGTGATCGGAATTTTCGGTGGTCCAGGAGCCGGTGTTGCAGTCGGCGATGACGAGACGGCAACGGCGTTGGTGATGAGGCCGAGCATGGCGGTGAGCGAGAAGAGCATGGTTTGGGCGTGCATGATGTTCGGGGTGTTGTTTTTGGGGGATTCAGTGATGGTGAAGGAAGTTGTTTAGCGCGGTTTGCGAGGTAGGGATTGAAGGGGGTCTATTAGTGTAGCGAAGGTTGCTTGGAGAGAAGCAGGTCTAGGTTCGGGACCACATGGGATGTTGTCATGCTGGTAGTTGGGATGAATAGACGTGGCGGTGGGGCATGTTGCCTGGGTACCATAGATACTCCTCGGCTCACTGTCTGGGAAGGACTAGAGACAATTGCAGGTCAGAATGAAGACTCATGTTTTCTTCAGTCGGCGTGTATGGTTTTTCAGATCATTCTCATCTCATCACTCCACCGAACAGGATTAATATAACCTTGTCATACACCATCAACCTGTTTCATGCTTACAAAAGTCTCAATCTGGAATTGTCTCTTCCGTTTCCCCTTTTCTCCAGGATTTGATGCTGCTCGATCCCGTCGTGAGCTGAGTGCGTTGTCAATTGTTCCAAACTAGCCGAGATCAAATTACACGCGATAACTTTTGATACCAAATTACACAGGATGACTTGATGGGCGAAGCTTGTCCCCAAATTGAAGAGGGCCATGCTATTCGAATAGTTGGGGGCAAAGACATGAGTTCAGGGGATAGGAGAACTAAGGAGCGATTAGTCGAAGCCAATGTTGTTCACCAGACGCAGTTATCATCAGCACACGATCTTCGTTGGTACTAAAGCTATGTTTACCTGTACCCGTAGGTGTGGCTCTATCAAAACCTTTGACCCCTATTGATCTTTGTTGTGCATCTGCGAGGTCTCGGATGACACACTGATGCCGTACTTCTCGTAATCAAAGTATTCCAAGCTGGGAATACTCTCAGCCAGCCATCATCAACCTCCCCCAGCTGCCACTCGTCTCCAAGCTCAATCATTCCCGTCCTCCCAGCCAACACATCGGCCTGTTTCGTCTGATACTCGACCGCCATATCGGGATGCGGTACCCAGACAACCCTCATCCCAGCCCTCCGTCCAGCCTCCACCCCGATGACGCTGTCGTCGAAAACCAAACATTCGTTGGGCATGATGGGCTTCGCGCCGGAGGCGCGTGCCGACGCGTTCAGCGACTCGAGCGCTACGAGGTATATGTCCGGCGCTGGCTTGCCTCGCCCCTGTCGCACGCGTGGGTCATCACCCAGGACGCGCTTGTCAGGCTGGAAGAAGCTGAGCAGCTGCTTCGTTGCCGGGTTCGAAGTCTTCCGTTCGTAGCTATCGGTTTCGCTGCCGGATGCCAACGCCAGCTCGATTGCGTCCCCCGACGAAGCGCCGCATGCACGGCTAAGGTTCAATAGAAGCTTCTCCGCGCCTGGTAGCGGTTTGCAATCTGGGAAGTTGAGTCGCAAGTTTTCCGACCATTCACGGGCCCACTGCTCCCGCGAGATGGGCAGCTGGGCCAAGTTGTGGAAGATGTCGCCATTCGTCGAGTCTGGGACGCCCATGAGCTGGGCGCGGATGGACCGCGTGAAGGGAGGCCTTCCGTACCCCTCGAGGAATTGGTTGGTGCTTTGGGTTATTATGTCCTCCGAGTTGATGAGGAGCTCGTCCATGTCGAAGATGCAGGCGCGGACTGCGGAGAACCTGGTGGCAGTCGCTATTAGCTTGGCGATTGGACATGAGGCCTCTCATTTTGACGACAAGTAAGACCCTGCGAGGGCTTTGCAAAGGCTGATTGGTTGGATAGTACTTACTCGATCTTGCGAGGAGCCATGGCTTGGGTCTTTGGGTGAAGGCCAAGTCTGATACGGATTGCCGGCTCCTGGAGCAAATGAGGGCTCACGTCCTAGTTGGACTCGGGTCGCGATATTCCGGTCGTGCGATGACAATGAGACGATGAAGGCCTGGCTCTCGAAGGGTACCGGTCTGCTCAAGCGTGACGTTGAGCAATCAACATGAGGTCTTCGAACCAGCGCAGGTCACCGCAAGTACCAGTCATGGTTGGTACGCTTTGAGTAACTGTGGCGTTACGCCACAACCCCTTTCCCCCCTATTCGACATGGTCGGGTTGAGCCTCACTCTATTTATACTCGGACGCATTCGGTGGCAGCTTGAAGGCAAATGATGTGCATCAGAGACAGTATCCCGCAGAATGTAATAGAGTCATTTATGGGCCTACTATCTACTGAGATGTGGTTGTTTGCCCAATTTTTGCGAGTAGCAGCCTGCAGTTGGGACAATGAGCACCGCTGACTTCCAACTTCTTGGTTTTGCCTTTGAACCAAACAAGCTCGTCCCTTCCGTGTCTATAACACTGGATGATAAGTCACTTACCAGTGGCAATGAGAAATCTCCGGCTCAGCCTGTTCTAAATCGCTACTTTTGGTTTGAACGCGCCAGAACCTGCCAACACCACAATCACTGGTGCCGCCACGTATCGACCCGGGCTCTCCTGGGCGCGCAGTCCAAGATCTCTCGACTTCTCCCTAAACGATTGGCTTCCGTTGCTACTAACGACTCTGAGGATAGCTTCCTGTAGACACTCGGCTGTCCACTGTGGACTGGTCTTCCGGCATCTCCACACACCAACTCCGATGGACTCAGTGAGTTGTGCGAGACCGTAGAGATCAAGCCACAGCGGGAGAACAACCTGAGGGACGCCAGCACTACATCACCTCATTAGCAGATATCACACTGCTGTGGATTGAGGCTCGATTTGGTTTGCAAGGTACCTAATCGCCTCATGGTAACATCCAGAGCCACCGTGGTGGACCGACGCAATGACGTGCCCCGATTCCAGCAGAGATGGCGGGTCGGCTGCCAACCAGCGCACTACCCTGACCCTCCCATTGTCGGTAAAGGGGACGAGAGGGCTCATGAGATCGTCACCATAGACACAATCCATCCGGACTTTCCACAGAATCTGGACATCGGTTTCCTTTAGTACCCTAGCTATAGCTTGCGCCATTGCAGTCGCCTGCATCACCGAGTACTCAAAGCCGCCTCCCAGGTTTATGAGTACAGTCGGCGCTGTAGTCAGCCAGTTGGCTAATTCGCTGCCCTGCTCGGATACCGTGCCGAGTGACAGGGTCATGGGCCCTGTACACGTCACATTTGGCGGTTCGGCTTCGACAGGCCATGATACCCCTGGCATGGTCTGCGAGAGCCATGTACGTCTGGCCGGTGGAGTCGAAGGAACTTGATCGGATCTCTAAGACCTTTAGATGTGAGAAACGCTTTTTTCTCTCTGATGGCGGGCATGTAAAGCATGGTTGAGACGAAGTGCATGTTGCGCAAGATGTTTTCTGGGATTTTACTTCACGGCACTGGGTACGGGAGACCGGAGCCCATGCTTATATCAGCAGTTAGCAAAAATGATTGAATGGGGGGCAAGAATTTAGGATGCAACTCACGCAGGGTATTTCCAGAACATCTTGCCCCATGGCTGCTCCGCGGGAAAATTCTCAATCAGTGTGTTTGGGCCGATGATCGCGTGCAAGCGATTCTTGTCTCTCGTGGCGTCAATAGCGGGACGAAAGAGTGTATCGAGTACGACAGCAGCAGGATCCACCGTGTCGATGATCCGATTTACCTGCTCATTTATAGCGAGATGCTCTTCCCCATTCCACGGTGAGACATAGAGCTGCATATCTTGGCAGAGTTGACCGATGCCAGCCCAGCCCGGCAGATGGATCGAGTTTGAGGTGTTCTTGCCAGCAGCGCGACAGGTTTCTATCACTAAAGAGCCTTCGATCTGGTGAAAGACTGTGCCTGGACCACGCGGACCCTGGGGAGCACACGCGCTCCAGCCTTGGAGCCATAGATTTAAAAGAGGCGAAATGGACTCGGATCTGCGGGTGACGCTCCAGAAGGCCCCGGGCTGTAACTAGGTGTACGTTGGATAAGCCGTGGTCGCTTGTTATTAGGAACATAGCTGTATTGTTGGTGCCAACAGCAGGCGAAGCTATCGGACTGGCAGCGAACATTGACGACCACCTTGCTAGAAACAGAGCGAGCATGGCCGTCCCTACGACTCCAGCACTTAGCCGTATCGCCGACATGCTGACATGCTGACATAGGGCTATCTTCAGTTACAAGGATAAGTTAGTGACTTAACAAAGACTCAAAGGGTCTTCACAGTTGGAGTACCCAGCAGGTGTTGAACTGCATATCCCTGAAAGGTGAGAGAGAATGTAGAGAATAAATCGGAGGGGGGAAGTGAGGGGGCTATGTCCACAGTTACTTTAAGCTGGCAGATTGACATTGGCAATCAGCAGGTAGGGATCCTCAAGCGCTCATTGGTACCTGGGCTTACCAACATACCTCCCTGCACGTTATTTACCAGGACGATATGGCGTGTATTCACAGTCAAGATGGCGGTGAGGTGCCCAGATTGGAGATACGGGTGAAGATAGGGGCTTATTCCAGGGTAGGCCGCCTGCGATATACCTTTGAAAGGCGGACTCCGCGGGTGAGCATCACCAAGGATGCAGAACATTTGCCGGAACATCTGAACCACTTGCGCTGCATCTTGCAGTCGGCTCCACGACGATGATAACGCCGAGCTTCACAGTCACCAGACATGGACAGGTACTTCTGGACAATGCATCTCACAAGAGGTTCCCGCCAGAGAGTCAAGTGACTTCACTGGTCACTGGGAAATTGGGCGTTTGCTGACTACCCGGTGCTCATGCAAGGAGTATCAGTGTACGAACATTCGGGTATGGAAGAATCGACTTCTGGTTCGATTTATGGGTGACTTGCTGATCTATATCCACCTGTAACGGGATGCCGTTGGCCCGCGTAGGAGATCACTATGAGCACCGAGGTTCACGTACTTCTAATACACCACTTGCAGGTCTAAATTCATGCCGCAGATTATCCAATGATTATTCTGGATCTTGTTACACTGCAGATAGGCAATGCCAACCTGGACCAACAAGTTTCTAGTCTGCGGCATGTTGGCTGCACGGTTGCGAGGCGCAACGGTTCCTATTCGCCAGCGTGCTGCGCTGATAATCCTTGTCAATGAGTAGTACTAGATTACTCACCTGACGAATATCAACACTCTCCCTTCTATCTTCAACATCATGGATGGACTGGTTCTGTCATGCGTGTCTGGCACTCAGGTTGGTTGCGTAGTTACAGGAATCAACCCTGCTTCTCGTATTGGTACTGGATGTGATTAACTTTCGTGCATGATATCTATCTGAACCCTGATATTTCTCATGCCCACCAGATACAGAAGCCCACCTGAATGTACATCCTCCACGAAGCATACAATTTTCGGGCCAGGTGTCCAGCACCTGAAATTTTCGCCTCAGATATCCAGCACCTGACCTTCCAAAAATTCAGAAGGGGCAGTGAATGACTCCTCCATCAGATTGCCCCTTTTCTCCACTCCTGCACAACTCCTATCCCCTTCTCCTCCGTGAACCGTCCCGAGACGGCAGGCCTGGCTCCCTCATGAGCCTGTGCCTACCGCATGCGACCAGCGCTGGGGACGTTCTCCATCCATCCCCCCACCCCCCCGTTCCTTCAGTTCGGCATTGTTTCGAGGCATGAATCGCAAGGCCTGCCGGAACTCTTTTCCTCAACTGTAAGGACGCCAGCGTCGCATACACCATCACGGCACAAATCCCAACCCTGGGTGTCGTGACCGCAGGTGTTGATAATCTTCCACGTCGTGCACATCTTGCTCAAGATTTGTCGAAGAAACCGAAGCGCGTTTTTGTGGATAACTAGCAGAGGGCTAGGAGATGTTGAGTTGAAGAGATTGGTATGGTGCTGCTCGAATTGTTCGTGTCGCTTGGCTGGCGAAGTCTGGGTAGGTATGGATCGATCTGCAAAGGCACCAGACGGACTAATTTTGGGTTGGCGAGTTGCTTGATTCTGTGTGTTCGTGCGTCGAGATGGGCTTGGTTTGTGGGTTTGTTTGTTGGTGTGGAGAGCAATTCATGGAAGTGCATGTTCCCATTGCGTATTTATAAAGAAACCATATAGCCCAAGACCAGTATGACGGCAGTGATGTATCAGCCAGGCAGAGCTGGACGTAGTATTGCCAGGCCTTCATTCAATGGTAGCTCTTCAAAGTCAACGCAATATGGCAAGACTCGACCTATGCTGATCCAAAAGTATAATGTAGCAAACTTAAATTTGATTTGGGATGTACTGATTGACGGCGCCAAAGGGAAGGTAGAGCACCAGCGGGATGTAAGTGGTTCTAGCATCGTGGGCCATCGCATTTCCCTTTTGCATTCCCTACCGGTATACCTGTCAAAGTCAGCTGATGCTTCCTGCAGCTGACTGCGCAAGTTTCAGCAAAATCGAACTGGAGCATGCAGGTGTCCAAGACCACGACTGTGAATATTCCGTGTGTTGAGGGCCAGGATCCTTCCAGTTTGTACATCGAGAAAGGGCAGGCGTGTGTCAGGTTCCGTCCTACATACACTGCCGTCAAACAGGGCGTGCCTAGAGTACAAGCAAGGTGCTTGGTGAATCGTTCGAATCCAGAAGCCCAGAGGCCCAGGGGCGTAGAGTTGAATGTATCGAACTTGCGCTGCGTCAAAAAGCAAACCACTGGGGGATCCAGGAGTTGTCGTTGGCTGAATGGGTCAGCCGAATGGAAACTGTCAGATTGTCAATGCCACGTGAGGGACCGAGGCCCACGAAGATGGGCTTGCCAAGATGCTTCGTGATAGGGGTGTAGTTGTGAATTAGGTCTAAATACCCGGATCAAGCTCCGTGCTGCTTCCTGACCATATCTGTCACGCCGTAGTGATGACAATCTCGTCCTAATTTCCAAGAAAGTCAGTGAATGACTAGGTAAGAGAACGAATAAGGCAAATACCTCATGGTGGATAGGCCTCGATGACTTATGGTTAATGGAAGAGCCAGTATGTAGATTTACGTTCAACCCCCATGACGAGACAATCATAGCGTGAATGCAAATAGCACCTATGAGGTCCCTTCGACCTGGTCCCTTAGTATAGGGCTAATGGATATGTTTGCGTCAAATTTCAATTGTTGGCGTGTAAGTGTCATGGGGCGTGATCCAGGTAGCACCAATGTCGCCGTAGCCAGTAAGATCAGGAACAGAAGACGAACGTGACGAATAGTGAATGGCAGAGACCCCGAGTTTCACAAGATTGACAGTTGCAAACCAAATGTCTGGCCACGGCAACCACAGCGGTAGCTGGCTCGTCTGCAAACTACACAAACGAGGCATGAGCCGGCCCCAACAGCAGTATACAGACGATGGTGAGGACGAAAAGAGAGTATTTAAAGACACTACAACACCATCGTGGGACTTGATTTGAGCTCTTCCCCCTTTTCGGAGACAAGGACAAAACCGCGAGGCTGTTCCCTTCCCCGTTCTCCTGGCCGGGCACTGCACAACAGTAATAACGTTAGCACTCACTTCACTATAATAGATCCTTCTCGTATCTCTCGATCTTCGCATACTAATGGTGCCGGTGCAATCCCGGACACCAGCTGCGTCGTCGTTGGTGACAGGGGTATGCTACTCCGAGCTGCTTATAACTGTCCGACATCCCCATCCAACGGAATCAACACCGACTCGCGATTCCGTAGGCGGTCGCTAGAGGTCAAGCGTCCTAGACGAGGAGTCAGCTTGAGGTTTGCTCAGCTCCTGGCGCTGGCGACTTTAGAGGACATCAAGCATGAATCAACGACAACTCGTGCCATTATCGGCCAAGCAGAAAGAAAGGTGGGTAGGTGAACTGGATCGACCAAGAATCCGCTGACCGACACACGACAGTCACAACGAGCACGTTTGAACCATAGCAGTATGTAAGGTTGAAAGTTGTTCCATTCTATGGCGGCAATTTCGGTATGATGCGGTCTATGCGCAGCTTTGAGCTCGCTCTAGGTCATGATAATTCGTCTCTCTCTATGTATCCAAACGCCGTCCAAGTCAGTAGTCGAAATCCATTCCACACCGCGCTTACACAACCGCCGCGTTGTCGTTCTCGCCTCCGTGCAGGACGGGGTTGATGGTCTCGTCAAAGTGCATCTTGAAGTCGTCGCCGAGCTGCTTCTTGAGGGCGGCCTGCACGGCGTCGAGGACGTTGGCGAAGACGCCAAAGTTGGCCGGGTTGTTCTCGTCATTGTCGCCGCCCTGGAAGACACCGGTGCGCACCAGGCACGTGTTCCACCCGTACATGTTGCCGCCGATAATGTCCGAGGCCGGGTTGTCTCCGACCATGTAGATGTTCTCGGGCAGCTTCTCCTCGCCGTGCAGCTGCTCCATCCACGAGGTCATGACCTCGTCGGCGTACTTGTACGTGGCCAACTCGGGCTTGCCGTAGACAACACGCTCGAGGTCGACGCCCGTCATGGCGCGGTACATGGCCTCGAGGCCGATGCGGAAGGCGCCCTGCGACAGACGCGGGGTCCAGTGCTCCGTCGGGCACAGCAGGTCGCCCTGCGAAAAGTAGATGGGGATGCGCTGGGACACGGGATCCTTGGCCTTGGTGTAGAAGCGGCCGTTCTCCGAGACCAGCAGGTCCATAATGATCTGAATGTCGGTGGCGTAGTCGCGCGAGTCGGAGAAGACCAAGATGGCGTCGATGTTGCACTTACTGAAATCGCGCGGCCGAGACATGGCCGCCTCCTGCTGTGTAAACTCCCGGTAAGGGGCGATGGTGGGGTCCCAGGCGATGATGTCGTTGGGCACGACGACGTCCTTGAAGCCGTACTGCTCGGCGACCTCACGGCACCGGTAGCCGACACCACCGACGACCAGGACGGTCTTGTAGTACTCGGCCAACGCGCTCATGGGCGTGTGAGACTGGATGAATTGCTCCGTGTTCACGGGGTTTCCCAGGATTTGGGTGAGCTGTTCGCAACGAGGCTTCTCCGGCTTGCCGCTACCGTTAGTCAGGAAGATGTGTGGGATCTTGATGCCGAGCTCGTTGTCTCCGTTGAGAATGTCAAGAGCACGCTTGCCCTCGGGGATCAGCCTGTCGCCGTGGACGAGGACACCGTCGATATCGAAGGCAAAGGCCATGTTCTTGGCAGCCTTGACCTTCTGGACTTCGATAGTCTGGACCTGGGATACCAGAATCTCCCGAGTGGGCTGGATCGGTGGCATGCCCGGGCGTGTCGGGCGGCCGTCTGCATGGTTGACGACAGAAAGCCGCGATTGTCTCTTGGACCGCGGGATAGGGAGAGATGCACCAAAGGAGTTGCGGGACCCCCTTCTGTCCTTCTGTGAGGGCGATACGCTCAGGTTGTGCATATATTTGGACGCCTCTGAGATAGAGGACCGCGTGGCCGGAACCTCGACGGCGCTGCCGTGTCCATCATCACCTGGAATTGGTATGTTGCTGCCGGGAGAAGCAGCCATGCCATCAGCCATGGCGTTGTTGCTTGCTTGCTTGCGAATCTGGTTGGCGTCGGTGGGTGCCTGCACACCAAAGTCGGAGTCGTCGAAAGCCGGCATCTTGAAGCGTGACTTGGCTGTAGCTGTGAACTGGTTTGAGATGGTGTGAGATAGTTTGAGATCAAGGGCAATGGAAGAAGAGAGTTGGATGGATGAGTAGGGTGAAGGAGAGAAGCTGAAACCCCTCAAGTGATCCTGACATCACTGAGGGGGGGGGATCTGATATATCTATCCGCTCCCACACTCTATTGCTTCACAGTATCGACTCTTTCACTGTGAGTTTGCTCGGGAACACCGCAGCAAACTGAATCACGCCGATGTAACTAGCCACCTAGCCGGCGCTGGAAGGTACATACTATCAGTGAGGCCGAGCATAGTGTTATCGCCCGTTGCCAGGACGGTGCCCGACTTCTACCGAAAAATCTGGGACCTGGGACGCGGTCAAACAGTTCGGCCTAGCTTTAGGTAGGTAGCCAGGTAGGTAGGCGCTGGCGCTGTTTCGATTTGGGCCGTTTGACATATGAGAGCAGCCGCCGTCCAGCGTCCAGCCAGGCAGGACAGCAGGACACGTATCCAGCACCCAGCACGTTGACGAGGAGGTGGCCGGGTGATCACTGGTGATAGGCAGTGCTTCCGAAAAGGAGCCGCCGTCGCCGCAACTCTACGCAACTCTGCTGCTGGAGGATGGAGACAAGGATGACAAGGATGGAGACAGTCTCCGCTGCCAGCAGAGCCTGACATCATCTTGTCAGGCTTTGTCTCCGCCCGGATCCGCTTTTGACTCGGCCTGGTGCAGTGGTGGAGACTACATGTAGCAAGATTTTCTAGCGCTTCACTTCTCATTACAAGAGTCGTCTTCCAGCGGTGACGCTATGGTTTCGATCGAATGGACTCTTCAGGCTTCAGCAGGCGCCAGGTCGTCCGGTCGTCTGGTGGCTAACGCGGTTGAGAGGCTAGAAAGACCCTGAAATATCAACCACGCCGAGCATGTTCCCGAAATAGAGCCCGTCCGGCGCCGGAGAGTCCCAGGGGCATACCATGGATCATGGCGGAATGCGACACCGAGCCCTGACACACTAGATCCACTTCACATGTCATGATGCTGCACGGCTGCGTCGATAGTCACATACAGTATTGACCTTGTACGGTAGGCGACGACAGCTGCAACTGCACCGAGTTGGAGACGGCATCGGCTCTAGTCGGGTCGGCTGCGATGGGCATGGATGAGCCCTTATCGAAAGGGGAAAACTCTTCACCGTGCTGGCCATACCGTATTCGAGAAGGCTCTGGCTCTGGCTCTGGCTCTGGCTCTGGCGGCAGTGATGCAATGGCTCACTTCATGACCCCTTAAGAATCCCGTCAGCCGAGCCCCTCTTCGGAAGCTGCTTGCTGCAGTCTGACAAGTCTGACACTATCCAGACCTCTCACAACGACATACTTGACCGCTACCTGACGCAATTGTGGATTAATAACACTCAGCTTCACACCAAGATCACACTCACACTCGGTCTCACACGCACACATCCATCCAACATGCCGGCAAACACCACCACCTTCACTCTGAACAACGGAGTAAGAATCCCGGCCCTGGGCTTCGGCACCTTCGCCAGCGAGGGCGCAAAGGGCGAGACGTACAAGGCCGTCAAGTGCGCCCTCGAGGTCGGCTACCGCCACCTGGACTGCGCCTGGTTCTACCTCAACGAGGAGGAGGTCGGCGAGGGCATCCGCGACTTCCTCAAGGAGCACCCCAGCGAGAAGCGCGAGAACATCTTCGTCACCACCAAGGTCTGGAACCACCTGCACGAGCCCGACGAGGTCAAGTGGTCGCTGGAGAACTCGCTTAAGAATTTCGGCCTGGACTACGTCGACTGCTTCATCGTCCACTGGCCCATCGCCGCCGAGCGCGACGACAACCACATGCCCAAGATCGGCGCCGACGGCAAGTACGTCATCAAGAAGGACCTCACCGAGAACCCGGAGCCGACATGGCGCGCCATGGAGTCGCTGCTGGCCAGCGGCAAGACGCGCTCCATCGGCGTCTCCAACTGGACGATACCGGGCCTGAAGAAGCTCCTGAGCTTCGCCAAGGTCAAGCCGCAGGTCAACCAGATCGAGGTGCACCCCTTCCTGCCCAACCAGGAGGTGATCGACTTCTGCAAGCAGAACGACATCCTCGTCGAGGCCTATTCGCCGCTGGGCTCGCAGAACCAGGTCCCCAGCACGGGCGAGAAGGTCCGCACCAACAAGACCCTGAACGAGGTCGCCGAACGCAGCGGACACGACCTGGCGCAGATCATGCTGGCCTGGGGTATCCGCCGAGGCTACGTCGTCCTGCCCAAGAGCTCTACCCCTTCGCGCATCGAGAGCAATGCGCAGATCCCCGAACTGTCGGACGAGGACTTCGAGGCGGTCGAGAGTGTTGCGCGGGGCCGCCACACTCGCTTCGTCAACATGCAGGACACGTTCGGCTACGATGTCTGGCCTGAGGAGTCCGCGTAAGCGCGCTCGCAGTTAGTTATTTCGCAGGCGATGGGTATCTTGGAAACTGGGAATAGCAGCGGTCCAACCTTATGATTTTATGATTGGGATGATAGACTTAGAAGGGAGGCACTTCATAGAGAAGAGCGGCCAGGACACCACGGCTGTGGCACGCTCTGGGCGATCATGGCAGGCCACGTACTGGAGCAGAACAAGCAGGTTTATCCGATGAGATAGCTGCATATAGAAATCAAACAACCTCAAACTCTGCTGCCCACGACCCCATCAACAATACCCCTAGGCCTTCGCAGCCTCAGCCAACTATTCCGATGCTGGCCCAGATGGCTCTTGTCAACATTCCCCTTGATCATCTTCTTACCCAAGATATTCCCTCCCATCAATCACAACACGCTCCTACAGCCCGAACTCTCGTAGCCGCGGAATCGTCGTGGCCCCGCCGCGCGGCTCCCTTGTTGAACGCTTCCACACCGGCGGGGAGGGGCGTTAGGGAGATTTCGGAGGACATTTTGACTGAATATCCATCTGGGTTTGGATATTGTTCTAACGAGGGGACCGTGTATGGGCTGGCTTTTGGCCAGCAAGACTTATGGATGGGATGAGCGTCAAGAGGCTGGACGCTCTCGGGAGGCGGCATCTGCTATATATCGTCTGATCTCCCCTGGATGCGATAATTGTCGTGTCTCATCATCACGGCGAGGTCTGAACCCGCCATATCGAGCTTTGTCGGGGGTGCGTGACTTGCGGCCGATGTAATAACCTGTATAATAGACTCTCGGGACGCCTACGCTCTGGTACTGATGAGAGGACTGTTGTGTTTACCTTTTCCATCGCTGTACCATTTGAACTAGCCATGGCTTCATCTATGGAGTCCCACTCTGGAGTAACAAGCAAGCCTGGGACTCACGTTGGGAGTGGTCCGTCGTCCCGTTACGCCGTATAGGAAGATGGAGTGGTGTACTTCGTCTACAAAGAGGACACAGCAGAGTGGCATTATAAGGTTAACGCGAGCGGGGAATGTCCTGGACCTTCCTACCACGTCTGAGATGGTCGTTGCCGGCGCAAACCTACGAGCAGACCACCAAAGCTAATTCGCGTATCAGGATTCAGAAGTTAAGAGTGTCCTCCGCTGAATGTCCGTGGGGCGGCTACAACGCACTGGCCAGATCCAGGGCTATATAAACCCGTCTCTCGTCCCCGGCTGCCAACAGAAACTTCTTCCTTCTTCATCACACTACTCCAACGCGACAGCGCTTGGTGGTGTTTTCGGTAGGGTTTCGGCTCTGAAGCACTCCCTCAAACTCTCGTGAAGCCATCACGGCTCTCACTCTCTCTTCGCGGCGGAGGGCGCGTCACCAAATACCCCCATAACACGCGGCGCGGGCGCGTTCCAAATACCTCGATCATCACACACACGAGAGGAACAAGTATTAGGCGCGGGAATTGGAAGCAGGTTCGGCTTCACACGTACGCATATCTACACGTCAGCTGGGGACTGCTTTTTGTTGTATTCTAGGGCATTTGGGTTTGAATCTTCCCTCGGGGCCGAAGAGATTCATAATCATAAATAAGTCGTATCTAAAAGTAAATGTACATGATATAGCTCCCATTGGGGCTATGCGGTAGCTCAGTTAGATCTAGGACGCTCACGCCCTTATTATCCCAATGTAAGAACGTCTCCCAACCGGTTCTCCAGTCCATTCAGCCCTCAGCCTTCACACATAGACGGGGCAGTGTTGATCACCGCAAGGATAATGGACTGGCTGTTTTGCCGTACCCCTCGTTCTAGCAGGAGTTCGCCAGGGTCGTTGAAACCTTCGTATTCGGAGGTGAGTCAACAATCAACATATGACCACCAGTCCCACAGGTAACTTGTGGTTCGTGAAGCAGGGACCATAATGTATTAGCCCGTCTCGTGAACATCGTGTGCGAACCATTCGGTAGGCGTTGGACGACTCGCCGGTCGGAAAGCACTGTGATGGCTCCCAAATGACTCAAAGAAGGTATTCAGGGGTAATTTCCCGTAATGGTTGCTGGCCCACCATCTGGCCATGTTTGAATCCCTGACCTTAGATGTTGATTAATGCTTCCGAGTTGCGGAAGTGTTATCATTGTCGCGATATAGAAGGTATGGCTATGGGACACGTGAAGCTGCTCTCCATTTGAGACGTGCAAGTATGGCCTTCATTACTACCTAGATACGACGCTCACAAGTCGACTCGTCAGATTCACCGTCCTGAAGTAGACTTATCGGCTACTGCTCGACGAATCAGTCTTGACCCAGCATCTTGTTGTCCTGTCTCTTCTTTCCCTTCATGTGACCCTTGAAGTGCTTTTTGCTTGACCCAAGCTGGACATCCTTGGGGTCCAACCCCGTCTCAAGCGCAATCATGGCTCGCGCCTTGCGCCCGCTAAGCCCCCTGGCCTGTGCCTGTGCCTGGTCTTTGCCCTGTTCCGTGTACTTGCGGTTGAACGGCATGGTCATGTGCCCGGCGTTGCCTCCGTTCTGTGCAAAGAAGGTCTTGTCCAGTTTTTGGGACTTTGCGCCGGTTGGCAACGCAAGAACCTCGGTGTCGATGGTGGATTCGCCGTCACCGACATCTAGCGCTTCCATAGCTGCCTGTAGTTGAGCGCGTCTCTTCTCCGGTAGGTGAGCTGCGTCGTAGAGCTCGCGGTTGAAGTTGGCGCTATCATCCCAACCAGGTGGAGGCGCCACGTAGAGAAGTTTGCCGTTCACGTAGTCTTTCAAGATATGCCTCGCCGCTCGGGACTCGTCAGGTGAACCTACACCCTGAGTCTTGAAGCCTCGAGCTTTAGCATATGCTGCAAGAAGCTCACTAGCAGTTGGACTTCCCGTCCCGCCCTCTTCCAGTGGGCGCGTGTGGATATGAATGCCGTATACAGCCTCCAAGAACGGTTGGGGTATTCTGTGTGCGACCAGGGTCGCAGGACCAGTAGCCTCTCTCATCTGGTCGATGGGCAGGACGCCGTTGCAGACGAGATCCGCCTTGGTTGTGGCAAAGTTAGGGAACACCAAACCAGGACAATCACATAGAATGACATTGTCGCTGAGGTGGATAGTCTGGAAGTGCTTCGTCTTTCCAGGTGTCGCGGAAACCGAGACCTTCTTCGCACCTATGAGGGCATTGATAGTCGACGACTTTCCAACGTTGGGGTATCCGACCAGACCGATCTCTAGCTTTTTATCCGGGTCTGCGAGTGTCAGTTAATGCGATGTAGCAATGCGAGACTGGGTCGTCTTACCGTCAGGGTCATACGCATGTTTGATGAAGATATCCTCGAGTTCCTCAACAGTCAATATTCTCGTATCATCGTCACTGTCGACCAAGGACGCCCCCGATGCTTCCGGTTCTTCGTCTGTCTCCTCTGCGCTGTCGTCTTCGCTGTCATCTTCACTATCCTCTTCCGAGGAGTCTACCGGCTGTTGCGCCTGGATGGTTTTCGGGTTGGAGCTTTCACCCTGTAGTGGCTCTTCATCTTCAAGGTCGCGAGAATCGTTCAGCTGCTTGGCCAAGCTCGCCGAAAAGAACCTATACGCGATGCGCTTCTCCTTGAAGTATTTTGACCAGGCCTTCCTCTGCTTTGTCGTCATCATATCGGCCTTGTTGACCAGCAACAAGTTCTTCTTTGCCGCATTGACGTCTTTGACATAGTTCTCGAGATCTTCGGATCTAAACATCAGGGGATTTCGCGCATCGACGATCTGAACCACTAGATCTGACCGCTCAATGACTCGCCATAGCTGTCGCCAAACTTCCAGATTGCGCTCGAAGGGGGTCAAGAGCAGGTCGTTGTGTTCTTGAAGCTCTGCCAGTCCTCTCCGCCAATTCAGGAAGCTTTCGCGTTCTCGCTGGTCCAACTCGCTGGCTGTTGTCGAGGCATCCCACTGCGGCCGCCTCGGTACTGTCAAGCTCGCTCTGTGCTTGTTGTGCTTGCCCAGGATATTTCGCTCCTCCGTCGCAGACAGCAAGTATGGGTTTCTCTGATCGGTGTGGATGATCTTGACGTTGTTCATCTTTTCGGCAGTGAAGTCGGTTCCGGCGAGCTCGGCAGTGGCGAGGAACTCGTCCAGCGCACCCTGTTGGGTGACGGAGCGCATCTTGACCCATGATGCCTCTTTCTTCTCGTTCGTAATGTACTATCAAGCCAGGTTAACACGCAATGATCCATGGTACACGTATCGAGTCGCGCGCACCTCTTCGCCAGTTGCGTGGTTGATTCGCGTGACGCCCGCGCCGCCTTTCTTGCGATCGGAGCCCTTGCCCTTGCCGAAGCGATCGTTCATCAACGAATTGCCCAGACCGAGGGAGGTCTTGGACTTGGGTTGAGGCATGTTAGGCGTATTTCGTGTTCACGTCAGGAAAGATAGAGAGTCGGACAATTACTGTTATCGGGGAGTCCCTTTTACGAGTTAGAGGGCATTCCGATGATGAAGGAAGTATGCCCGCACTCTCTCTGTGACTGCCGTGGTGGCGTGGCTGCCCAGCTTATTAATGGAGGGGCTTAATGGAGGGGCGACTTGATTTTTTTGCGTCACTCCACGGCGATAAAGCCCCGATAAGGCCCCGATAACCACATGCGCTTTTCACCCCACCAACATTTTTGACTTTGGGCTCAGACACCACCAAACAGTCCATCTGCAAATGCACCATTTTCCCCTTCTTCAACCTCTCAGGCTTCAATCTGAACTGTGTAAAGAAACGGGTCTCACGCTGCCAGAAAAGCGCTATTCAAGATGCCTAAAGGCAAGTGGATGTATGTAACAACAGCCTCACAGATGCCACTCATTCATGCGCCCCTCCACTCGATTGCCACACCAAAGATGAACAGACTGACCCATTCGCGACACCCACAGTGACAAGAAGACGGCCCAGCACTTCACGCTGGTGCACCGGCCGCAAAATGACCCCCTGATTCACGACACCGACGCGCCGTCCATGGTGCTGAACCCGACCGCTCTGCCCAACGCATCAAAAGGCAAGAAGCTTGACGACCTGGCCTCGGAGCTGGGCTCTTCCGACATACGGCCAAACGAAGGCGAGGCCGCCTCTTATGGCGTCTACTACGACGACACCGAGTATGACTACATGCAGCACCTGCGCGACCTGGATGGAGGCAACGGGGCCGGCGAGGTGGTCTTCGTGGAGGCGAGCAGCGGACCTAGTAACAAGGATAAGGGCAAGGGCAAGCAGAAGCAGAGCCTCGAGGACGCGCTGCGCCGGTTGGATGTGGAAGATACGGAGCGGAAGCGCGGCGAGCTGTTCGATGAGGACCTGTTGCCGTCCAAGAGCCTTCAGCACCTCACATACCAGGCGCAACAGGACATACCAGACGCCATCGGTGGGTTCCAGCCTGATATGGATCCGCGGCTGAGGGAAGTGCTCGAAGCGCTCGAGGACGAGGCGTACGTAGATGAGGACGACGATATCTTCCAGGAGCTGGCGAAAGACGGACGGGAACTGGATGATAACGAGTTCCCAGACGAGTTTGAGGACGACGAGGGGTGGGAGACAGACGACACAGCCAAGCCGACGAAAGAGTACAAAGACGCCGGCGCAGTGCCAGATCTCGTGCCCGTGGCAGGCGACGCCGAAGTCGACGAGGAGACCGACGTAGTCCAGAACGAGAACTGGCTCGAGGATTTCCAGAGATTCAAAAAGAACCAAAAGACGGGCAGTCGCGCCCCAGCAGCAGCAGCGGCCGCCCCTTCGCAATCCGACCTGCAGTCCTCGCTCATGACCACAACCACCAACGGCGGGCGGCGCAAGAAGCGCAAGGGCGCGCTGACGAGCCAGTCGGGCTACTCGATGACGTCCTCGTCCCTAGTGCGCACCGAACAGCTCGGCCTGCTGGACGCGCGCTTCGAGGTGCTCGAGCAGAAGCAGTACGACCCCTTCGCAGACGAGGGCGACGACGATGACGGAGACGGCACGGCGTCCATGTCGCAGTTCTCGACGGCGAGCAGCGTCACCGGCCCGATGCGCGGCGACTTTGATGGCATCATGGACGACTTCCTCGGCGGCTACCAGACCATGGACAAGAAGAAGATGCGCAAGGGCAAGTGGAAAAGCGGCACCGAGCAGCTGGACGAGCTCAGGAAGGAGCTGGGGCCCGCGAGGGTCGGGTCGCGGTATGGCGTGCGGCCGGCTGCGTCTGCGTCTGCGTCTGCGTCGGCTTCGACGTCGCGCTGATGGGGACAGCTAGTCTAGCAAATAAAGATACCCTTTCATATTTCTTCACCATATGTTTTTTCACCTGTTGTGCTTCGCATGTCTTGCGGGATGGAATCGACACGCGCAACGATCCGTATACTGACTACTGACTGGCTCATGTGAAAGAGCATATACGTCAAAAGACAAGCATAATTCCATCGCAATCAAGTCGTACAAATTTGCTTGAGAAAAACCGACTGGCGTTCTAGTGGTCTTACCATCAGAATCGTGCGGCAGGAACACGCCACTATTTTGGTGTTGCCGATGCAGAATCCTCTCCAGAAGAGATATGTTCCGCGCTGGGATGAAGTCCGCCATTCTCATTCCTCCAGATATGTTTACAAAATATCAATTCAGTATACTGCTACATAGTATCGCTAGCCAGGACGGTACCGGCTTGTTGTCGTTCCAGTAACAGCTAGCCAACAAGTCTCAGTTGATCAGTCCTCAAAAACCAACGCGAAGAAATCTTCCTGTTGCTACACGGGAGAGACATCTCTCGCATTCGCGTCTCGGACATTGGGATGCCATACGTGGTCTCGCAACTGGCCGAACCACCCCAACATGTCGTGAACACAACGAGGAAGTTCCGGCTGCCAAACAGGTGATTCGTCTTCCTAGCGATGACCATTAATAGCAGGCGGTGGGGGTCGCTCCGGACCGAACGCGCCGGGAACCGGCATCAGTTCCTCCTCCGTATCATCATCGAAACCCTCGTCCTCGCTGACTTCTTCATCACCCTCGTCGTCGTACTCGTATTCGCTGCCTTCTTCGTCGTCTTCCAACTCGCCTCCGTCCCCTTGTTGGCCCTCGGCGTAGCAGTTCTCAACCGAGCCTTGCATCCCTTGCGGTATGCCGCGGCCCTGTTGTTGCATCTGGTTTATGATGCTCGTGAGCTTGTCGTTCTTCTTCCTCACGTCATCGAGGTCTTTGACATGCTTGTTGCGGTCTTCTGCCATCTTGACGATGTTCTGGTTTAGCGCACCCTCCTTGCGCTTGTACGCCTCGTTCTCCTTCTCGAGTTTCTTGGTCTTCTTGGACATGTCCTCCATCTCCTTGCGAAAGGTCAAAAACAGGTCGTTACTATTGTTGAGTGTGTCCTCGACCTCCTCCACAGTTAATCTCTGTGCTCACCCGAGACGGTAGGGGGGGGACCCACGGCGCTTACCTGCTTGAACTTCTCGACATAGACATTGAGTTGATTCCGCAATTCCGTTTCCGTCTTTGTGAACGTGAGCACCTGACTATTAAGCTGGCGCGCACGACTAGACTCGGAATCTGCCGTCTTCTTCTGTTGTTCGTATCGGGCCATGTTCCACTGGACCTCGATCTCCTTGGTGCGCATTGCGGAGTGGAAGTGGAGCTCGCGAAGTTCGTACTGATCGATGAGAGACTTGAAGCGGGCCTTGAATCTGTTCAAACTTGTGAGCCGCTTTGCGCAAGTCGAACGAGTGGATAGTCAACATACAATTCCTCGGCCTTCATGTAGACTACCTGCTTCCGCGGATTGTCCTTCTCCTCCTGGTAGCCCTCCAGAGTTTCGAGAACCTTTTTGAAGCGCTCATCCGAGGAAGTCTTCAGCCGATCATGAGTATCGTTCAGCGCCCGATGCTCATTCTACACGCCATCATCATCAGCTCGGGCCCTCATGACAATCGATCCGTAGTTCATGTACCTTGAGCTTGTTGTTTTCCTTCTGCAGTTCGCGACAGAGCTTCTCGAGTTTCTCCTTAAGGCCTATTTGTTTGCTCAGATCGGTGCGACTCGAGTCCTTTTCCTTTTGAAGTTGATCGGCCCGTTTCTTGTTCTTCATATTTTCGCGCTCGAGTCGTTTCATGTTGGCAAATAGTTCCGAGGACCGCTTGGTAAGAAGGTCAATCTTGTCCATGTCGTTCATCTTGTTCATTTGGTGATTTAGCTCCCGGTTTGCCTTGCGGACTTCTCGCTCTACAATGCGAAAACCCAAGTCAGCATAGCACTGCAGTGAGGCAAGGTTAGTTGTGCAAATGGCAAACCAAGACCCGATCGGAAGTCTCATCGCAGGCCACGCCAAACAGGAAGCGCCATTTCCGAGGGTTCTGGATAGTTCAGTGCCACATGGTTTCCACGTGTCTCGTTGTGCTAAGCGCCCATCCCAATGGCACGCGCAAGAAGCATACGCATGTCGAGCAATCGGAATACCGGCAAACTAAGCTGAGTCCATTTCGCCTCGTGTAGTCGCAACATCCTCCAGGCGCCCCTTGGATGTATTGCAGGCTGGCGAAGCTGCGCGTTGCTATTGTGACCGGCTTGTCTCATATGCGACATTGGATCGACGTCCTCCCCTCGGCCAACTAATGCGCAAAGAATAGCGGGATAGTGGGATAACCTACCAATTTCAGCCTCCTGTTCCCTCTCAGCCATCGTATCGACTTCGAGCTGGTTTATCCTTGCGGCAACAAGTTTGGAAGCTTCGTTGGAGTCGACTACCTTCTTCCCCTTTCCTTTCTTGGCGGCAGCGTTGGCAGACATGGCGGGCGTCGGCGTAGGCGCAGGTCGAGGATCTTGCGCGGACACATGGTGATGATGGTGGTGGTGGCCATTGGCGAGGGACGGATCGTCATGCGCTTGGGCATGTGCATGGGCAGAGGCGCCGTTCGTAGTCGGGACGGAGGCGAGCGGGGCAGGCGTGGCAGAGGCTACACGGTGGTTGGCAGTCGCCATCTTTGACTAGACATGGAATGCTGGACTGGATGGATTGGTCAGATGATTGTACGAGGCATGCAAGGCAGGCAAGGTAGGAACTTCAGTTCGAGTCCAAGGGGCGCGAGATGTGATGGCAGAGTAGGTAGTTAGAGGGCAATGGGGAAACCGAGGTACCGGCTGGGTGTTTGCTTACGTATGGGAACAAACGGAAAGCATTTGAGTGATGCTTCAGTGGGCTCAACGTGTTAGGCGTAGAGTGCTACTGCGCTGGAACGTATCGGCGAGTTGATGTAAGTCGTGGTGCTTGAGGTGGTGCCGGATGTGCTAAAGCGGGTGGTCACTGGTCACGATGATGAAGAACTTTGAGGTCTGAGATGAAGCGCGGCGTTTTAGTGCTGGTTACTTAATCAACCAGTGCAGTGCAGCCGCCCAGGCAGTCATTTGGGATGGGATGGATACATGGATAGATGACTCCAATCCAATCGGACCGGGGGCGAGACAAGACCCGGGGCGCACAGCAGCTGCAGATAACTGTGAATAGTGGACTGCGACCCCCTAGGTGGCCAGCTCATCATCGCTGCTGAAACTGCCACAGAGCGCCGTCGATTCCGGAGAGGTGCAGAGGTGCTTCAGTGTGGCGGTAGTGGATCTTCCCCTTTGACACATGCACCTCGTAGGTACATGAAATGGCGATGCTGCTGCCAAATGTGCATCAATGCATCTAAGGGGATGGCCCTTCAACTCTGCATCAATTTCGAAATTGGGTTGATCTTTGTCTTGCCTACAAAACATGTCAACAAGACTCGTTGTTTCACGTACATTTTGCACAGAAAGACGTTGAGAAACAAATGTTTAGTTTTTGGCTGCAAATAAAGTTCACCACCACCTGAACCGACACCTTGGGACAGATATGATTACAAGAGGAAGTGGAATATTCGCCAAAGCCACATAACCCCTTAAGGACCAGGATCAATTAATTGCCCCGAAATGAAAAGCAAGATGACGCATCCAATCTCGATTTACCTTAGGTAACGCCTCGGAATTTTTCTAGAATTCGGCGCGCCTTGCCGTTGTACCTTATTGAGCCTCCATCTCTGCCTTACCACATGCCGTCTTGTTTCAGTTGATAACGGTTCTGTTGTTTATATTCTTTCCTTCCCTTTCAATCCATCCTCGGTCTTTCGCAGGCCAAGATCCACAGAAGCGCCCGGACTGAGCCCATTCAGTCGTAACAAGATGTTGCGCAACGCCGTCAAAGGCGCCGCTAAGAAAGCTGTCACCGAGCTTTCCCAATACCCAAAGCCCGGCGAGAAGCTTCATGGCTTCACCCTCTTGAGGACGAAGCATGTTCCCGAGCTCGAGCTGACCGCTCTGCACCTGCAACACGACAAGACCGGCGCCGACTACCTCCACATCGCTAGAGACGACAGCAACAATGTCTTCTCCATCGGCTTCAAGACGAACCCACCCGATGACACCGGTGTCCCCCATATCCTCGAACACACGACGCTCTGTGGCAGCAAGAAGTATCCCATCCGGGATCCCTTCTTCAAGATGCTTCCGCGAACCCTATCCAACTTTATGAACGCCTTCACTGCATCGGACCATACTTTCTACCCCTTCGCGACGACCAATGCCCAAGATTTCCAGAACCTGATGTCCGTCTACCTCGATGCCACTCTTCACCCATTGTTGAAGAATACCGACTTTACTCAGGAGGGTTGGCGCATCGGGCCCGAGAATCCCAAAGCAGCAACATCAGAGGGAGAAGCCAAGCCTGAGGATAGTAAGCTTGTGTTCAAGGGTGTCGTCTACAACGAAATGAAGGGTCAGATGTCGGATGCTGGCTATCTCTTCTACATTCGTTTCCAGGATAACATTTTCCCATCCATCAACAACTCTGGCGGTGACCCCCAGAAGATCACCGACTTGACCTACGAGCAACTCAAGAATTTCCACGCCGAGCACTACCATCCGAGCAACGCGAAGCTGATGACCTATGGAGACATGCCATTGGCTGACCACCTCCGTGAGGTCGATGCGCAGATGAGCGCCTTCGAAAAGATCACGGCAGACCTCGACCATAAGAAACCAATCGACTTGAGTAACAGTCCTCGAACAGTCACCGTGTTTGGGCCCGTCGATCCTCTCGCTGATGCGGACAAGCAATACAAAACCTCCGTCTCGTGGATCACGGGAGACACAAGCGATGTTCTGGAATCGTTCTCCGTGGCCTTGTTATCTTCGTTGCTAATGGATGGATATGGGTCACCATTATACAAGGGGTTGGTGGAGAGCGGACTGGGCACGGATTTCAGCCCTAATGCTGGGTATGATGGATCAGCAGCCGCCGGAATATTTTCTATCGGGTTAAGCGGAGTTAGCGAAACCAACGTGGAGAAGATCAAGAGCGAAACACAGAAGATACTTCGCGACGTCCGGAGCAAGGGCTTCGATAGGGGCAAGATTGACGGATATCTTCACCAACTGGAGTTGAGTCTCAAACACAAGACTGCCAACTTCGGAATGTCTGTGTTGCATCGCCTGAAGGGCAAGTGGTTTTCTGGCACGGATCCCTTCGACTCTCTGGCGTGGAACGACACCGTTGCCGCGTTCGAGTCCAAGCTCGCCGAAGGGGGCTACCTGGAGGGTCTTTTGGACAAGTACCTCTTGAACGACAACACTCTTACCTTTACCATGGCGCCATCCGAGACCCTTGGTGCGGAGATTGCCAAGGAAGAGGACGAGAGGCTCGCCTCCAAGATCCTAGATGCCACCCGGGAAGCTGGTGGCGAGGAAGAAGCTCGGAAATTCTTCGAGCAGCGCGAGCTAGATCTGCTCGTCGAGCAAGGAAAATCGAGCACACAAGATCTGAGCTGTCTGCCCTCAGTTCATGTCAGGGACATCCCAATAACGAAGGAGCCCGTCGTCGTTCGAGACGAGGTTGCCCTTGGCACCAAAATTCAGTGGCGTGAAGCCCCTACCAACGGTCTTACTTACTTTCGAGCTATCAACACTTTCGAGAACTTACCTGATGAACTCCGGGCTCTGATCCCCCTATTCACCGACTCCATTATGCGCCTGGGCACAAAGGACATGGCGATGGAGCAGTTGGAAGATTCAATCAAGCTCAAGACCGGAGGCATCTCTGTCAGCTACATGACAAGCCCTTCGCCTACCGACTTTCACCAAACTTCTGAGGGTTTGGTGTTGAGAGGAATGGCGCTCGACCGAAACGTGCCGGAAATGTACGACCTCCTCCGCAAACTTATCCTGGAAACCAACTTCGACAGCCCCGAGGCGGCTCTCCGAATTAGACAGCTACTCGAGGCCTCAGCTGATGGTGTCGTGAACGACATTGCATCGTCTGGACACGCCTATGCTCGACGATATGCCGAATCCGGATTGACTCGCGATGCATACCTCACCGAGCAAGTCAGTGGCCTGTCGCAAGTAAAGCTGATAACCTCTCTAGCTGGTCGGCCAGAGTCGGACCGGTATGAGGATGTCATTGAAAAACTCAAACAAATCCAGAAGATTGCTCTGGCTGGAAACAATATTCGCACGGCTTTGACTTGCGGGTCAGACAGCACCCAGGCCAACTCTGCAGCTTTGTCACGGTTTATGTCATCCCGCCCAAGCAGCTCTGTCACATTCCCAGCTCCTGCTAAACACACTACTGCGCGAGATATCAAGGCATTCTTCCCACTGCCCTACCAGGTGTACTACGGCTCTCTTGCGCTGCCGACCACCTCCTACACATCATCGCACGGTGCACCACTGCAGATTCTTTCCCAGCTTCTTACTCACAAGCATCTTCACCATGAGATTCGCGAGAAGGGTGGTGCCTACGGCGGTGGCGCTTATATGAAGGGTCTGGAAGGAATCTTTGGGTTCTACTCCTACCGCGATCCAAACCCACAGAATACCCTCTCCATTATGAGAAATGCCGGCCGCTGGGCAACCGATAAACAATGGTCTGACCAAGATCTTGAAGAGGCCAAGATTTCCGTGTTTCAGGGCGTCGATGCACCCGAGTCGGTGAACACGGAGGGTATGCTTCGATTCGTGTCCGGTGTCACCGATGAGATGCAGCAGAAGCGACGCGAGCAGCTCCTTGACGTAACCAAGGATCAGGTCCGGGAGGTCGCTCAAAAGTACATTGTCGAAGCTCTCGCCGAAGAGAAAGAGCAAGTCGCCTTCCTCGGCAAACAGCAAGACTGGGTCGACAACTCCTGGAAGGTCAAGGAGATAAACGTCAACGGTGCCGAGTAACGGTCTCGGCGATAGTAATCTAATCATGTACCAACGATCTGTACAACACTTTGCATATACCCACCTCCAGCTACCTAGACGAGTTGTATATAAGATTGGCGTCTCTGATACCAAGTCATAACTCAACGTACCCCTGCCTTCCTGATAGATGCAAGACCTTGTGCCAAGTGGCACACGTCACAAAGTGGAAGTAGATAGCAGCGTTCAGATACGATACGTTTTCTTGCTTCGGTCTATCACGAGATCGCACCATAGCATGGAAACCACAACAAGACGCGAGAGTAAAGCACCGATGGCAAGGGTCAGTGGGCGCCTCGCAAGGGGCGCGCGCCGACCCGGCCTCGGCTCGTTCTTTCAGACTCGGATTCCTCAGCTTTGGAACTCCGGACTATAGAACAGAGTACATACATATTTAGGGTTGCCCGCTTGGGAACGCTACACTCAGGATGGGGATGGAATTCATGTTGCAAGTAGTACCAGGTCCAAGCAAGAAGTACCAAGCCAACGTCACGGAACTAAGGGCAGTTCCAGCGCGCTAGAGGCTATCAATATCGTCGTGAACGTCACCTGAGACCTTAGCCTTTGGAATGGTAATATGTTTCTCGGACACACAGCACTGCCTCGACGCGCATCTCATAGGTTATCGTTCGTCTATTGCCACAAGGGTATCATACGAGCCGTATACTGTTACTACATCAACAACTGTACTCTCTTTATAGACGACCCGTTATCTCGCCTTAAGGGACGAGCCAGCTAGAGGTAAGACTATAGTCAGAGAGGCCCAGTCTCCAGCGACCATCCAGCGTGACAAGAGCAATATTTAGACTCTTACTCCGTCCCGAACTATCCACCGTACTCCAGCCCGGACTGTCTACCGCTCCGTGTCCACATGACACCCGGCAAGCGGTCAAAACAATCATTTGCAGTGGAATAAGCAGCGGTTTAGTTGTTATTCCAGTAAAATATTTCTAGTATGACTGCTTATGCCACTTTTTTTGGTTTCCGGCCCTTGGACGGTTCGGCTCCCTACGTCGCCAAGGTGAATCGCTCTCTGCTCCATCCGAACCGCTTTGCCATCCTCTTGCCCATGGCTTTGAGCATGACGGGGTTGACTTTGGGCTCCGTATGCGGTCGATGGAAGGCGATCCTGCCGGCCTTACCCCGTGCCAGGTAGGCCTCGTTCTCGAAGGCGACGACCGAACCTCCGGCGTTGCGCGCGCTGAAGCCTGCGTCACCCATCACACACACGAACTGGTCCCATTGTACGCCCTTGGCTGCTTCCTCTCCTGTGGACGGATACATGTTGGTGAAGATATCGTTGGCGCGTCTCGATAGTGTGATCGGAGAGGAGATTTCCTCGGCCGTGTGGTCTCCAAGACCGGCGCCATCTGATGCTTCCTTTCTCGATTCATTGACGATGGGGGTCGTGGGAGGCGATCCGGCATCTGCTGGCCTCGTCTTGACTTTCCCTTTACGATGGTTCACCTGGCGCTGAGCTATGGAGCGGTCTGCTACAGCAGCATGCTTCGCGATGGTGGCGATGATGCTTGCGCGTTCTGCTTCTACCGCCGTGAGGTACTCAGGGCTGCTGTCTGCATGCAATACTGAGAGGAATTCTCGAATCTCGTCATCCGTATCGCGCGGGAAGCACCTTTTCGTTTTCGTCTGCCATACCTGCCTCACGCCATCCCAGAATACCTTCGAATCCTGACGGTGAGCATCCGACTGCTCGAGTTGTGCTTGCAAGCTCTTCACATTGGGTGTCTCTGGCGCTTCAAGGCGGCGGAGTGCTAGAACCGCATAAATGTTATCAACATTGAAGGAACGTCCCACGAAGAACTTCATCTGCTTGGCGGGCGTGATTCCACCACTTCCATTGCTTGCTATTGCCTGCTTCGTTCACCTTTGCAGTGTCGTGTGGTCGGCTTCGGGGTCTAAGCGACCGCACGTTCATAAGAAGCTGATGAGTTGCCGCCAGATCAGAGAGGCAAGCTAGGTGGATGGAATCTAAGCGGGCTTTTTCAGCAGCGGAAGCATTCCGTAGATGGTCATCCAGGAAACCGAATAGGTCTGCGTAGTCGAAACGCCTCTCATCATCTGGACCACCGCTCATCTGAGTCATGCACCACTGGAGTGGATCTTTCGGGAACATATCCGGCGCATCGAGGTCTCCTTTGCTGACGATGTTGACCAGTGGAATACCCTTGCGGACGGATTCTTCATAGAATTCAACATCGTGGTACTAGCGAAAGCCGGTACTCTGCGAAATGAGTACGATAAGGCGCTTGGTTCTCTGTTCCATGTGTTGAACTAGCAGATAATCCAGCCTCCCCAGGGCGTAGTCAAACTCTCTCCGGAGGTGGAGGTGTGCATTGCGGTGCGTATTGACACCGAGACGATTATAGAGCTCATGGAGACGTTGGAAGAGCTCATGTACGTATTCGCACTCCTCCTTGACCAGTCTCCACTGAAGGTAGTTTTCTACCTCACGTAGGATCTCCGCGGCGATGATCCCATACGCCTCGTGTGAAGGAGTAGAAACCGAGCTGAAAAGCTTGAACACCCCGCCCTCCTTGACGATTTCGGAAAATCTCCGAAGGTATGCCTGGTCGGTTTGGAGAAGCACGAGTTGATCCTCTACTGCTTCGAGACCCATATTTGCTCTGGCAACCAAGTTCTCCGCATCGAATATCGGCGGTGCTGGGTATGGCCCATACACGTATGTTGACCAAAGGGCAACATCACCGGTGACCTTGAACCCAAGCTTGCCTGCGTTCATGAACTTGTCGCAGGGTGATTCCTTTTCGGGATCAACGCCGTCCAAAATCACATCAACGAGTCGGTGGAGGAACTTCATCAGATGAGCCTGCGCTTCGAGGACACAAAGAGCCAGGGGATAGCCGAGGACATGGCCGCGGTGGATTGTGGCCGCGTCAAATGGCACTGTCTTGCCGTATTCCGGTCCATCCATGACAACACAGAGCGAACAGAAGTTAACATCGCAGAAGCCCATCTCCCATGAAAGGTGCAGCTTGCTGCAGTCGAAGTGCGCCCATTGCTCCATTGAGTATCGAGTTCGGTTGTAGAGCAGGCCAAGGACGGTGTTCGGGTTGGATTTCAACATTTCGACATTTAGGTACGGCAATAGCGCGGTCATCGGTATGCGGCGATGGATTTCGCGCCAGTCTGGGTCGCCATGGTTGTCCACGCATATTCAAAATAGGCACCACTTCTGTGGGTGGAGATCTGGGTCTGCTTCAAGAACCGAAGCACGCTTACTCTGGCTCTTCTTCTTCATCGATTGACCAGAGTATCACCATGTGCAAGTAGCCGTTGTCGTACGTAGTCCTGGTCCTTCTTGGCCTCGCTTGTCAGGCGTCTCGTGTTGGCTTCTGCTTGTTGTTCGGTGTTCACCCCTGAGTATCGCCAGATCATATACGTAGCTTGCTGCTCCAGAGTCTGAAATTGGCGCTTGCATTGTGTACAATCCTCGTTGCAAGACGTCGGCTTGATCAAGTGCCAGGGGTTTTCCCACAAAGACTGGAATTCGCTTTTCTGGTCGCGAGGCACGAACGTGGGCAGGTGCTCGAGGGCTTGCATGGCGGCGAGTTCCTGCGAAAATTAACGAGTGATTCAAGCAATCGAGACAAGAGATCTAGAGGTACCTCGTGGCGAGAAGATCTGCGCTAAGTGAGGAAGTGGAGCCAGCTGTGATTCTTCAAGGAGGTAGGGATTAGAAGTCAAATAACAAATGACGGCAAGGCTCCGTTGTAGAGGTCGAGGAAAACACGCGGATTCCCACACGTGCGCAGTATCTCTGGGGAGAATGCCGCCAGTGTGGCACGAGCTTGTGTGGGTATGTTAGGAGGATATGTCCTTATCGATGCAATAGACTGAGATGCCCCAGGCATCACAGCCCAGCTACCCTTGAGGTCAGTCTCCCTGACAACCATGTCAACGAGTGCCAACCGCCTCTAAGAGTCTCCGTACAAGTAAAACCCTCGTTCAGCAAGCAAAATATGCATTTATTATAAGTGGAATAAGCACTCCGGAACAAGCATCAAATTTGGTTAATTAGATCAAACCTGCTTATTCGACAGTGCTTATACCATTAATACAAATATAGCACTGACAGAAGAGTTGACAGAGGTATGCCGGCGGGAGTCTTAAGGAGGCTGATTGTAGCTCGTGCAAACTTGAACTTCATAGGGGTGACGTGACTCAGATGTCCCAGCTAGATTGTCGCATGCCGGAATTGAAAGGCTGATCTGGCGCTAGTCGGCATCACCCACTGTCTGGGTAATCGGTGTGTAGCAGCTGGAGCACTGACATCACCGCTGAGATGGAGTGTTCGGCTTGCAGACCGGATCGCCAAGCATGATCCGAACTTCGAAGCTCCCCCTCAGGTCTGGTCCGAACACCATGACCTTGTAAAGGCTAGGTAGATGCTCAAGTGTTGATGCACGGATTGTCATTACTTCCGAGAGGGGGGTTTTAAAGCCCGACGCCTCTGTGACAGCATATAAGTGTAGAGGATATACCCAGCTACCCAGCACCATTAGAACACAAACCATGACATGACGGGCATGGGGACCTACCAGGTATGTAAGACAGCAATCCGACGAAGAGATACCCCCTATAAACCGCGCCAACATTGGTCGCCCGAACGAGACTGAGATACACAAGCCAAGCCTCACTCAAAAATCCAGGAGGATACAAGATGATGAAGGCGCTATACCTACAGCACTTGTCAGTCAGCATCAGGACAACAACGACAGGCATGGTAGGCCCATCACATCACCTACCTAAGCCATTTCAGCCACGCCGGGGCCTCACCACGAGCCAACAACACCACGAAGAAGCCATAACGAACCATCTCCGAGAGCCCCCACGCCACGAGACATCCCACAAAGCCCACCCTCCCATCTAGACCATTAACGATGTCCGGGAACTGGACCATCACCGTCCACACGACGAGGTTCTTGCCTCCGACCTGGATTGCCGTGGTCCAAGGCGACGCCCGGACGAGACCAGAGGCGGCATGGAGGACCTCGAGCGCCGCCAGTGACTGGGCCACCACTAGCCAGGGGAATAGAAAGTCGGGGTAGAGATCATGAAGGCCGGGCCGCGTGTTTGGCGATGCGAGGGTGGCCAGAGTGCGACATGTTAGGTAGGACCAGAGGCAGAGAGAGATCGTGTTATACGACAGGAGGTAGGCGTGCTCGCCAGCCATTGTGGCAGGTTGGGGACCGGGAGGCTAGCGGTTCAAGCAAATTGAGTCACGCGGACTAGATGATACAGTCTGCAAATCGGACAAGTGTGCCTGTTGATGTTTTGCCAGACGAGGATTTTGCGAGTTGATGTTGATCAGTTAAAATCACGAAAGCCCGCTGGAGATCAGCACCCGCGGTCCGCCCCGGTCGTGAGCGGAACTGGCGGAAGAACCGGAAGAACCCCACCACGGGTTCGGATGTGATTCCAACAACGGTTGCGCGCCGCCATGGACGTCCAGGGACGCCATAGCCGTCCAGTAATGGAATTAAAGCTCAGCGGAAAGTCCGCGATTGAGGACCTCGTAATGAGCAGTGTCGTGATGTTGTCTATGTCAGCAAGCTTGAGAGGTGCGGCGGCGTGAAGGGTGTAACATTATAGGGAGCGCCGGTGCCGTTAGTCGTTGTGCTCTCATCTCCCACCTGCTCGGCCGCTGTAGAAGCCACGTTGATACTCACGATGAAACGTATAGTCAATCACCGCCATATACTGAGTGTTCAAGGTTAGTACGCATACACCATCTTACTATGCCTCGTGAAGTCTCGAGCGTATGTGAAGCGATGCATGAGCTTTGCTTGCGAGGGAAGAACCTTGTCACAGTCCTTATTGCTACACAACTTCTCCCGAAACATACGCAAAATCTTAGCTTGAACCGACAACTCTTTCTGATGATAACACTATCTTAACAAATCCTCTGTTGATTAGACTGGACCACCCAAAGAAGACAAGACCAAGCTGACCACCGTGGAGGTCGACTTGCTTATCTGACTAATCGGGTATACCATCCCGCCACCAAGTTTCATCGGTAGGTAGCAAGCCGGTCACCTCGAAGTCGTGACAAATGCTCCCGAACAGAGTGGGTCTGACAGACAGACGCTACTTCAAGTGTATCGTTGTCTTCCTCAAGTCAAGTCTCGACTACCACGCGAAGTGCGTGCTTTGTCGCTACAGGCCCATCTCCACCAATACGTACACGTGAGCTGTGGTGTACTTGTCGAGTCGCTGTTTCACCAATAGAGCTTCTACGATCATCGTGTCTGCTAAGATACCTTCGAGATTGGCGCTTCCTTGCAATAGGTGGCAGGGTTAATGGCGAGCCGTAAGCTCGCTTGACTTGCTTGTGGTAAACTGCTGATACTTGTTGGTGAAAACGTCGGGGGTTGGTAATCGGTCGATGCCCAGACAGATCCGATTGCTACTCTTGATGGGTGCGGAACACCCGCGGTTCTGCAAAGACCGCGCGTCAACGTCACCTTGTGAGGATCTGACATTAATCATGTCGAACGACGTTCACTTTTTCAAGCATTTTGTAGAGCGTATATGTCAGAGTCGTCCATGCCTTCCGCGTCCTCGTCACTCCCTTCACCGTCTTCGTCATCGCCATCATCATCATCGTCATCGTCATCATCGTCGTCGTCGTCGTCATCATCATCATCATCGTCATCGTTCACCGGGAATTCGGGGGCATCTTGGAACGCCTGGCTGCCGTCTGCACTCTCGGTGGTGCGCTCGGCAGCGAGCTCTTCCGCAAGCGCCGTCTCAAGATCTGGCAGACTCTCATCTCCGGTGTTTACGCTGTCCGAGTCAGAATCATCGCTTATTTCCATGGCAGTTGGCGCGGAGGCATTCTGCTGAGTAGACGATGGCATTGCCGGCGTGGGAGCAAAGGTCGCCTGGTGGGGAGTTGTCGACATCGTCGGTGTGGGAGCGGAGGTCGGCGTTGCAGCTGGCGGAACATGAGCCCCTTGGAGCGGATTGACCGGCAGGCGGAGGATCTCGGTAAGGTCTTGACCCGGTATTAAATCCATGGGCCTGCCCCTCAACACCGGCACGATCTGATGCTCTTTGGCCTTTTGGAGGGCGGCGGGCCCGAGGTATTTCTCACGCCTCTGCCACCAAGATGTGAGGGTCCCAGTTGCGATCTTCCAGTACTGCTCTGTCTCGTGGTAGGTCGGGGGCCGGTAGATGTCGGCGCCCTTGTCCCTGAGGCGCCTGATCTCCGTCTGTTCTTCGTCCGTCGGGCGCGCCTGTCCCCGTTTCAGGCGGGCCTGGTAAAAGCTGCCGTCGTATTCGGTCTGTCGGGGTTCACGCACACGTTGAGAGACCATCCACATCAAGACGTCGGTCTTGCGCTTCTTGCTGTAACTGTTCTTGGGGCGCAGGATGGGCTGGAGGGGAGGGACGCGCAGATCGCATCGCTTTCGACGGGTGCCAGGGAATGGCTTCGGACCTCGCTTGACACCGGTCCTGGGGGTAGGCATTGTGGCGATGGCGATGACGGCAGGATACGTAGCGATCAGGCAGTTAGGTGGGTTGTGTCATGATCGTGTTGCGATCTGATATTGGAGGATGCAGGGCAGAGTGGCAGAGTGGCAGAGTGGTGAAGACGGGATTGGCCCAGTGAGGCACGGCACGGTTCCGCTTCAATCGGTGTTGGAGATGCTGGTCAGTTCGCTCCGTTCCAGCTCCACTATACTGAAATCTGGCCAATTAAATGCGCCAGCGCCACGTGGTCTAGGCGGTACCTATTTATAGTAATCGTCACGGGATCTGCACGGATCATCGGAACGGCCAGGTCCCCGATTGCCGAAATCCGTGACCATACTGCATATTCCGATTATCATGTACGGATACGTCCACCCACCTGACGCGCCTTTGCTTCATTACTACGATATGACAGTGTGTTACTGTCAAGTGAAACAGCATCGTCGATCCGATCCTCACCAACTACCGCTGGTCGTGAAGGCAAAAATACAGGGCATAGCCTAGATAGGCATACCGTGATAGCTATCAGCTGCAGGTTGCAGGCCGGTCAAAGGTCACGTTTCAGCAATGCCTGTGTTGATCTCCCAAGCTCATGAGCGTTTCTGGGTTCGGTTCGCCCCCGTGACTGTCGAATCAAGCTTTCCAAGCTTCTTGTCCTTTCTTGTCCTTCTCGTCCGACTTGGCCTGATGGTGTCTTAATCAACCACCGAGTTGTAGATCCTACGCCGGCTGTCGCGCTCTGCGAATAAAGGCAGTTGACCAAATCTTCTAGAAGACTGGTCCGAGCCTCGGAACACAACCTGTATGGCCGGTTCGCCCGATAGGTGGTATTGGATCGTTGGCGACCCTGCCAAGGACCAAAGGAGAATGGAGGTCGCAGAAAATCCCATGCACGGCATCTTGCCGATGGTGTGCTCACGCAGCGCGCAGATAGGCGCGACAAGCCGTGCACAAATCGAAACCAGAAGGCGATCAGAAGACGGAGCCTCAGATTCCAATAGGGACGAGCACAGCCTGACAAATCGTCGAGCCGGCATCGAAAACGGCATCAGAAAGAGCGTCAGCAGCACATGTCGAGGAGGACGACTGTAACAGGTTGACAAGATGACAACAGGCTAATCTCGATCGAGAGCGAGCAATTTGTCGAGATGCCTGCGCGTGACTTGACAGTTGTCAACCCCAGGTGAGATGCTTGTTGCTTCCTAACGCTGGTTGAGTATCAACACTGCTAGACGATGTTATCGGTGTCCTATAGAGATAACACAATCGACTTAATGTGAATGTAGGGGAATATGCCCGTCACCGGAAGGAGGTCGTCAGCCATGGACGCATCGATGCGACATGCAACCTCTCGCGCATGAAAGATTGATGAAAAATGCAACAAAATTCATGGCGCGACAAATTGCAACGACAAGTTGCGGTCAGAGATGCGGGAGGGGGCGCTCCAGTGGCTAGACTGTGGGGGTCATGGTGGTCATCATGTAATAATGATAATAATAAAATTCGTGAAAGGGATGAGAGGGGCTGGGTCTCTGACTCGGTGGGCTATAAACTTGGATAGTTGGAGAGAAACTGGAGGGTTGAAAGGAGAGCCGTGGAGTGCCGTCGAGTGGTTGTCGAATTGGAAAGGACGGCGAAGACGGCGAAACATGGAAACCAGTGGTGGGGAGCCACGCGCAGAGGGCATGGCCAGGTCGCGCTCGCCCACGGTTCACAGTCTGCCACTCTGCTTGTCTGCCACTACCTAGGTATGCCACTCTGTCTTCGGTCTCCCGGTCCATTCGCCCCTGGCTGCAGCCCTGGTCGATCACTGTCGGTCGCGGCTGCAGTTGAAAAGGTAGGTACAGTTGCAGTCTGCAGTCGCATTTGTCGCAGACTCGCAGCGAGTCGCAGCCCTCGCAGCTTCTCGGTCAATGCATCCGGGTAGAGAAGGTTACACCAATGGGGAGACGGTGCCTTCTTCTGTAGCTAGGTACCTACTACTTGGGTACTACCTCTCCCTCGAACATCTACCTCTCCCTCGAACATCGAATCTGGCTTTGAATACCTCCCGCCTCTTGCAGAAATGGTGCACGCGCACGACGCGCACGGGAGATGCCATAGTCACAAAAGCTCCATCACTCCCCATCAATGTTGCTTCCAGTGTGAAATCTTCTGAGCTGGAGGCTCCTTGTGGTCTACCGTCTTCGGGCCGCCGCCTCCATGGCACGTCTATATATGTAGGTAGCTCGCTATGCTGGACCACCAACGTGTCTACGGCTATAAGAACCAAGGATATTTCACCTCTTCTGATTTCTGTCTTCAATTGTTCTCAGGCGCTCAGAGGCATATTTACGTCAGTATTATTCGAAGTACAAACCAGCGGCGGAGACACCAAGTCCTACCTACATAAGCGCAAGAGACGGGAGGCAGCCACTTGTATTCGGTACGTCATGACAGCCACGATCACATGTCTCCATATTTCCTTCCTTTCTTCCATCAGCCCCGCCACCAGCCCACCAGCCCACACAAAAACCTAACTCCATCACCGACCCTGCCCGGCCCAGCACCAACACAATTTCATTGCCCATTACAAACTCGGCACCAGGACATACATACACAATTCCATTACCGCCCCCCTCTTCCTTCCTCTGCAAATATCTCGCACTTCACACTTCACCACCTCCTGCTCTTGCTGCTCAGTCTGCAAGCCGCACTCTTCACCCGCTACGAAACCCAACAACACACCGTAGCACACGCACAAACACACATAGCTCGACCCGACTCAACATTCTCAACCCCCAGCTCTCGATAGGCGCCATTCTGCCCCCATCATACCCTTGCCCCGACTTGCCTTTGGTCCTTCAAAGGCAAAACAGTCACAACGGCTTTCTTGGCCGTGAACTTCGTCTCTGACCAAGATTTCAGCCTGCGCAAATCCTTCCACATCATCAACTCGCGACCACCTCCGCCTGCTGCTGAGGTCGCCTAAAGCTCGCCGAACGCCCGTCTTGTTGTTCGACAACACCCCCCTACCGCCCCCGATCTTCGAACCAACCCACCAGCTGCCGCATAGGACGATTTCTGAGGTTCTTCCTCTAAAGGAGGGAGAGTCGAGGAGACCTCGCCAGAGAGCCGAGGGATCAGGAAGCTACCGTTTCAGACCCCCTTAACACCAGGAAACGTTTCTGGCCTCTATCACAACGTGCACTACTCGATAGTGTCTACTCTGGAGCATCATCGTCTGCCCTGAAGCTTTACGTCCGACGAACCGGTACGAATCTCGCTCAAGTCTCTATCGACCTTCACCGCCAAGAACATCGGAGGATATGGTAATGGCAACAGCAATCGTTGAAAGCTACGCTCCCATATATTTCGAGAATAATCATATTCTTGTGAAGAAGAACTTCTTCTTCGATCAACACCAGCATAATGGCCCCGTTGTCGGAAGACAGATGATTGGCGATGCTCTCCGCCACCGCGTCGAAAGTATCGACCACGAGTCTTGCGACCCTGGCGACGAGGACACCTTTTTCGTTGGCGACCTCGGCGAGGTCTACCGGCAGCACATGAGATGGAAGAAGAACCTTCCTCGTGTCAAACCCTTCTACGCCGTCAAGTGCAACCCCGACCCCAAGGTCATCCAGCTCCTTGCTGGCTTAGGCACAGGCTTTGACTGCGCTTCCAAGGCCGAGATCGAACAGGTCCTGAACATGGGCGTCGATCCTGCTCGCATCATCTATGCGCAGCCTTGCAAGACCAACTCGTACGTGCGCTACGTTGCCACCAAGGGCGTCAAGCAGATGACCTTTGACAATGCCGACGAGTTGCGCAAGATTGCTAAGCTCTTCCCCGATGCTGAGCTATACCTGCGCATCCTGACTGACGACTCGTCGAGCTTGTGCCGGCTGAGTTTGAAGTTCGGTGCATCCCTGGACGCTACCAATGATCTGCTCGGCCTAGCCAAGGATCTCGGGCTTAACGTTGTGGGCGTGAGCTTCCACGTCGGCTCTGGAGCTTCGGACCCCCTTGCATTCCTGAAGGCTGTCCAGGATGCCGACACCGTATTCAAGCAAGCATACGCTCATGGCTTTGACATGAAGACACTCGATGTTGGCGGTGGCTTTTGTGGAGACAGTTTCGACGACATGGCTCACGTTCTTCGGGATGCTTTGGACGAGTACTTTCCTCCTCACATCAACATCATCGCCGAGCCTGGTCGATACTACGTCTCTTCGGCTTTTACTCTTGCCTGCAACGTCATTGCGCGCCGCACTATTGACAACCCAGTGTCGGGCGAGACTAGCTACATGGCCTATGTCAACGACGGCCTCTACGGCAATTTCAGCAGCATTATGTTTGATCACCAGCACCCTATCGCTAAGGTTCTGCGTACCGGAATGCGTACCTACTACAACACCCCTCTTGCTGATGGGATGCCTGATGGCGAGAACGCCGGCATCGAGTACTCCATTTGGGGTCCCACGTGCGATGGCATTGACCGCATTACCGAAAGCATCCGCTTTGATCACGAGCTTGATGTGGGCGACTGGTTGTATTTCGAGGATATGGGCGCCTACACCAAGTGTTCGGCCACCAAGTTCAACGGCTTCAGCGATTCTCACGACGTCATCTACGTCTGCAGCGAGCCTGGCGCGAGGGCCCTTCTTGGATTCTGAAGGAGGAGAGGTAGTTTGGAGACACAATTGGGACCCCTGGTAGTGGCGTAGGGGCTTGACTTTCATTAATAACATCTATAGATAGACAGTGGCTTCGTCACACTCCTGAAAGGGCCTTGGCGGTCTCTGTTGCTTATTCACCCCTATTATCGTGTGTTTAGCCAGAAAGCTAGATGATTGTTGGGTAATCAAAACAGCGTTGAACTTGAAACTCATCCACTGAAACATCGTGATCGAACGGTGCCGAACTTGTAGGGATACTGACGACCAGTGGCGTACGACGTGTACCTCGCGGTCGCATACAGTCTAATCTATAGCGATCATGCGGCCGTCGTATATATCGGAAAGAGGCTGTGTAGACCCCTATGGACTATGGACGGATAGCTGTCTACTTCGCCACACATTATGACCCATGTTATAGTTATGGAGGTGCTTGTTACACATTGTGGTATACTCATGTCCGCCTATGTCCGCCTCTCGATGGGCGGAATCAATGAGGATCCGGGGGTGCAAGTGGCACTCCAGTGTCACTCTCTCACTCCTGCCATTGTCGGGGACTTCGCCTTCTCTGCTGCGTTGAAAATTCCTCGTGCGGATCAAGTGGATTTTGCTGAAGGGGCTGATTCCTTCAATGCACGGATGGTGTCTTGAGTCATCTCTGCTTGGGCGGAACGTGGTGCTGCTCTGGCGCTTAGGCACCTCGGGCGGTCATAGTAGTTCCCTGAGGTCTTCAATGGCAAGGATGATCCTTTCTTAGTAGCTGGGCGCAGACTGACCTACTAACAACGCGAACTGCTCTTTCTCCGCTGTGAAAGCTTTCGCTTGTTTCTTTGCAGCATCACGACCTATGTCATGAAGACCATGCACCCCGACAGTGGTTGGAGTCGACAGACCCAGGTCCCCCAAGGGAAATGAGTCCAGTCCTGATGCCGATGATGCCAGCGGTCGTCGCCTAGAATAGAAACGACTCGCACCTCGAGGACGTACCCCGTGGGTTCATCGTCAGCGACCCTAGTTTCCCTTCTGAGAGATGTGAAGTCCGATGCAGCGTGCTATAACCCCCAGAAGAGCCTGGAAAAAGCCTTCAGTTACTCGCCAACTCGTGATTCTCCTACGGCATATTCGTCCTATCGAGAGTAAACAGCCATCTCCTCCACGCGCCATGCGAGTCCGAACAGACGCTTGGTCCGAGTACAGGACCCCCAGGGCTTCATCACCACATCCCCCACGGCCATGTTCCGCTCTTTCGTGACGCTCGACGTATTGACGCGCCGCGGCGACAGCAGGTTCTGGCATCTGGCACATGCGAACGGTACCTGGGGCACCTGGACGCGCATCAGCGGCGAGTTGCCGATTCAGGGCCAGCCAGACGCAATTGGCGCCTCCGAAGACAGTCTGGACGTGCTCGCCTGGGGCCAGGATGGCGAGATGCTGCATAAGAAGCTTAATAGCTCGAGCGGAGCTTGGACGCCTGAACATGGCTTTGAGGTTCGGACTGATACAAAGCTTTCTGGACCCCCTAAGACGATGAGGGGTGCTCCGGGGCAGAACCAAGTCTTTGCGTGTAGTGATTGCAACGAGCTGGTGTGGAAGGGGCTTGCGAGCTCGGCGGACGTGGTCTTGGTGGCACAGGCCCCGAGGGTCTGAATTTGGGCGTTTGGTGTATAGCGGGAAGGCTGGGTTCATCGAGCTTGGTGATGGATATATACTATGACAGGAAGGCGGTCACAAGCGCCGCAAGGCATGCGGATATTTAGGGTAATATCATGAAATCCCCAGTTGTTGTTCGTTGTCTTTCTCGCCATTGACTACGCGCCACAAGGTCCTTTCCCAACTGCCTCGTCCTTCACAGCTTGTTCAATGAGAACAACTCAAAAGGGCAACTCCCTCCCAGCTTTTTAGTCCACTTCCCCGTCGGCACCGCTATCGCACACAAAGATCTAGCAGATTGACGAAGTGCGCAAAGCTGTCTATGAGCTACTTCCTGACAAAAATGTTTTGAGTAGGTTTTCGCAAAGCCGCCGCTACGGTGCGCTCTCCGTTTTCTCAGGAGGTCGCCTTGTCACTGACTTTTTAGAACCCTGTCTGCAGGATTATCTCGGGCTCCCTCTTCCCGAAAGCCATATCTACATTTGCTACTTGTCAGGGCAGCTACCTTCTCGCCACTCTGATTTGCAAGGTAAGCATCTCTTCCTTTTGCCACATTTATCGGTGGCGCTTAGATGATATCTTAAGTACAAGTTTCAAGGCCGCTTGGAATTTTCCGACATGTGGCTAAAATATCAAGACGGTGGATGTCACCCGCTGTTTGCCTATGTACATTTTTACCTGGGTGATCATGCCACAATTCCTTCCACACTATCACCCTGCCATGTTTATTTTTACAGATATCCCCGGGCCACATCGGCCTCTCGGCCTCCCGCCACTCCATTTTCCGTCCCATGAATTCTAGGATGGTACATGTAGTTTCTTCATGCATGCGGGAGCGCTACCGTTGATCTGAGATGAGTGTGTAAGTTATTGGGGCCTCGCAGTACTCAAGTTGGCAACTAAGAGTGACGACATGAAAATCTCTTGCAAGATGCTTTCGCCACTGTTCATATGTTTAAATACGCCGGGAGAACAATGTCTGCCGCTGGTTAGGATGGTCAGAAACAATTCGAGAACTCCTTGAGTCTGTGCAAACTATCACTTGCAAGGGCCCAAAGCGATAGGCAGCCATATATTACGAAAACCCCTCCTCCTGTGAAGTTTTGATCCTACCCCAACAATGTGTTTCTCTCAATATCTTGGATTCGCATTGCTGGCCTTGGGCCCTGCACTAGCCCACGTGGCCAGTGTTCATCCGTAATACAGTGCTTCGCAACTACTTGGTATTCCGCTGACTGGGAGCACGCAGGCGAACCAGAGTCCAATATGGGAAATTCGGCATGGCACCCAAGGGCGAAAGGCTCGTAACAACCGTCTACAGCAACAGTATCTTGGTAGCCATCGTGGACTCCGCTGCCGGCGACGGAAACAATGACAAGATCTCTATCGCCATTCCATACAGTTCTGGGAATGCCGACTGGGAACCGAAACTGAAGACGCTCGAGGAACGGGTCGACGACGCCGGCTGGAAAAAGAAGAACACCAAAACGTAAATCATGTACCCGGCCTTTGACGTGCTCAAGGAGAACGAGGTCAAGGACGTGGAGCGTTTCGCGGTTGCCGTTGCGAACCGCGTCTTTGAAATCGGTGCCGTCAGTAGAAGGCGATTGGCTACAATAGAGCGAACGGACGGCACAACCGTACAAACCATTAAGATTGACGATTAGGGTACATCGGGATGCTTCCTATAAATACCATATTAGCTCGGACTACAATAGAAGAAAATCGCGCCACTGGCTGGCTGTCCACAATTCACTGGATATGGTCTCATGAGTGGCATATAGAATTTCAAATGTTCGCAGTTGCAACCTTATCGATGCTACCTCATCGGGCACACTACACCGTAAGCACACCTTCACGGAAAGGCAACTTCCACAATGTTGCGCATGCCTTTGGGCCAAATTACCTCGCTCTATCGGGCTACCGAGCGGCACGCAGTCGAGCGTAGCTGTATGGGTGCTAGTTGCTCTTGTGGATTGTCGGCACATCTCTAGAGCTATGCAGGTCTTTGGATGTAGCCTCTGCTTCTATGGATGTTCTCCTAGAGATGTATCACCTTAGCTATAGGCAAACACAAAAGACCATAGTTTTGCGCTGCTTGGCAATCAGAAGATCCTGGAAGTCACATATACAGACTGCATTATCCGGTGGCTGCCCGTATAAGGTCAGTGATGTCGTGCCAGGCGCGCTGTCGCAGGCGTCGATGGCAGACGAAGCGGCCCATAGTCAGACATACCGAAGAATATAATCAACAATAGAGCCCATTTTCTTTCAAGCTAAATGGGTATCACGTTTTACCTTGAATAACCATGCCTCAGCTACTAGGGGGGTTGGCTCTGTTGTTGGTGCCTCAGGGGAACCTGAGGTGTAGGCTGAGGCATCGATCTGGTACCAATCCAGTTATGGTAGTGTGTATTTCCGGAGAGCTATATGTATATAAAGTGCGATAGACCTGATCACGCAAGACCTCCGTCATCCTATGGAACGTTTGCGACTCGAATCGGCTCCCAGCTCTCAATCTCCATCTTCATCCTTGACACCAATCTCCTTTCCCACAATTTCCCCCCTCCTTGTGAAACTGCAACTCCAGACTGAGTATGGTCCGCCTGATCACATGGATCCGCAAAGTCTCTGCGAGCTCCTAGGAGACAAGCTTGAGGACGCAAAATATGGGCTACTTTGCCTGAAAGAAGACCCGAGTACGTACAAATACTCGGTGAAGGACGCGTACGACCACCGTCTGGAGCACGTTCGCGACGGAGAAGGAACACAGCATCCCCGTGCGCGAAATGTAGGCGATACACTTCTCTGGCAATCGGCGGCGGTCTCTGATGCGCTTATGTGGCCTATCGTCAGGCTGGACAATTGGAGTTCCATCGCAGCCCTTGCAAAGAAACAAAACGATCTTGCCAGGAAATATGAGGATGATATCGAAGTTTGCAAACGCCTCCCACGTGACTACGAGGAGGGTTTCTTGCTTCTTCTGGGGCACATCGTCTCGTCCTCTGAGGTCATATGCCGACAACTGCAATCAGGCATCTCAGCTTCCCCCGGTCTCCGGAAATTCTTCATGAGACAGAACAGCCGTATCATTGAACTTGAAGGACACATAAGAGAGAAGCCGAGCCCCATAGACAGGACAAGGGAAGAACCAGGTTGGTACAAGCTCTCGATTGCTTGACAAAGGTAGACAAGATGTCCGTGATTGGGTTCTTTTCCGCTATAGGAGAGCTGGAAAGATGCATTCAGAGCACGGACGTCCGGAAATCGCTTGATAGCTGGAGCATGGCCCGCATCTCGGGTCTTGCTGTGCTAGCAGAGGTCCATTACCAGGTGGAAAGATTCTAGCCTTGGCTTCACGGCGGCAATGGAAGAACAGGAGAAACACCTATCCGAAACTGTAGACGAAGAGCTTAAACAATCACGCTCTATGGTGAAGGGCAAGGCTCTGCAAGGTGTTGCCATCCAGGGATTGGCTGCTGATGGGCATTTAGACTATCCCTCCGATAAGGCTCTTACAAAAGATATGAGCATGACCATGATAGCTTCCCAAAAGCGATTGAAAGACTTATGGAAAGCGATAGTGCAAAACATGGAAAAGAAGGGATGTATGACGCCTGCCCTGCTTGAAATCCTATCCTCCGCGAGACCTCTCGGGACCAGATGGGAAGAGACGGCGAGAAAGAAGCTTTTTGATAAGTCATCGCCTGATTAGAGATCAGGAAAAGACCAAGATTCTCTCGGGCACATTCCCCAGGGCCCCGAGGAGGTTATCAAAGGCCGTAATTTTCACACCAAACCGCCCAAAGAGAAGAGAAGACCAGAGGTACCGCGGAACAGAGAAACGGTGACCGAGTGGAGCCCGAAGACGACGAAGACGAGCAAGAAGACAAGCGGATACCGATCAGCAAACGTGCAATTGACGTATTCCTTGAGATATTTAGCATTCCGGCCCGCCAAACTCCCCCGGGTGGTGTGTGTTGAAGGTAACTCCTGCACATGATGACTTCGATCGGGTTTACCTACATCCACGTGGGACTCCCCGAGTATCGGTTCACGCCGATGGAGAAGATACCGTTAGCCGTAAAGGGCATCATTTTTCACAACCCCCACGGCCCTACCATTCCGATTCAGTGGGCGAGAGGCACGGGGCGACGACTGGGACGGGCATATGGCTGGGATGCCGACGCGTTCAAGCTGCAACAAGGATAGTAATCAGATACACCTAGATGCTGGCTTCCGGTATAAGAGATAAAGTGAACTGGTACAAATATATGCTCATGCGATGATACGACTCTCTGGAGTGAATATTCTGTCGCGGCGCAGCCCATTCCGCTCGACCAAAGGTTGTCGGTAACATTAAAAATTTGCTCTACTAACGCGCCACTTAGCCCGAAAGAAGATCCAAGTACAGCCTAAGAATCATACGCATAACATAAGTACGAGTTCTTCGTGTCCATGATATCCGCGATCGTCAGGTCCGGAAGAATGCCGTAACTCGTCAGTTGATGGGTAAGAGTCACCTCGCTTCCAGGATCGCCCATTGTTTTTGGGGCCCTATTATAAAATGTCAGCATCTTTTTAGTTAAACTATTTAAAAGATGAAAGACTCACGGAACATCAGCCGGTCGTGCGGCACCAAAGATGGCAGCCAAGATAGCCTCTAAGTTCGTGCCATCGTAGGCGGGCAGAGTGCGCGGTAGTTCGGATGTGATGTTCAGGCCCTCTATGTCAACGATGTGGCCCGATGGAAACGGGTACGAGAAGTTCAGGACGTTGTTGCCGCCGATCTCGGTGTAGCGCGTAGAGGTGTCGTTCTCCTGCCAGTCCGCCCAGAGCTTGTCGAGAAAGCCGTAGTGCATGTAGAAGATAGGGTCGCCGGGACTGGCGACCGTGTCAACCATCTAAGTTATTTGCCCAGGGTCAGATATTGGACGTGTAAGTGAAGTATATTCGAAAGATTTCAGGCTTACCAGGCCCCAGACGCCGCCGTGACCGAAGCTGTGCGGCCCAGCTTCAACGCAGTGCCAGAAGTCCACAAAGTTGGTGGGCGCCATGCACGCCGCGACGACAATGGGGTCTGAGCCATGCTGTGCAACGCCACTCTCGCCCTCATCCGAGACGGCGCGTGTGATGCAGTTCGGCGCGATGGTGTAGCCTGGGCCGATCGCGACAGTGTGGTTTGTGAATGGCCCATCCACTACACAGCCTAAGGTGCCATTGCCATTGCCTCCAAAGCCGGTGACGGGGTCGAGCAAGTCGGAGCCCAGTATGTTCTCAGCATCTGTCACTTCGTCCTAGTAGGGTTGCGCGCCTGTGTAGCCGCACAGTGCGATGAGCTGATGCTCGTGCGCGCAGATGAAGTAGCTGTGCCAGGGCAGAAATTGGCCGACCCAGTGTATGTTTTCGGTCTGTGAGGCGTGGACGCTTTGGAGCTCGTCGAATTTGGTCTCTGCGCCGCGGATGCCCAGGTCGGCTGGTAGTTTTTGCAGGCAGAGCTCGGCATCGATGTTGGCTTTCTTTTCAGTTGTGTTAAGGGATTGCCTGCGAGAAATTGTTAGCTACGTGAATCCTCTAGTAGATACCGAAAGACTCTATGCTATTTCCTATATAGATAGAGTTTTGGAAGTCCGCGCTGATGCAGAAGCAACCTACCATGACTTCCTGACCCGCGGAGAAGAGCACTTGTTCAAATATATACCATTGACTTCCGTAGTGGTTGTTGTCGCTGGTGCTGCAAGAGAAATGCCCGCAAAGAGCAGACTTATGGTTGTGATGCTCAACATAATGGGATCAGAGAAAGACAGCTTCTGAAGAACACCCGAGTGACACCGAAGTTTCATCCTGCATGTACTTCTCCAACGATTCGACAAGTGGAAAGACTTATCAGCCCAAAACGAATAGCGTTCTCCGGCAAAGCGATATCTAACAAGTGGACGGCGTTATTAGCAGGAAGGGCAGAATGGATAAGCATCCACAGGGACAAAATAGCCTGATGTCCCTTCGCTCTACTTATAGAAGATTTACCAGATGTAGGTAGCGTGGAAAGCTGACACGAGATGAAACTCGAACGGGCTTGGCCTAGAGCTGATTACCCAGATACTGACCGGGGGATACCGTGGGCATGGGCAGGTGTTTGCGATCGTATGTAACATTGTGATCGCATATCTGCCACGTCCTTGTGTCCACCGCCACCCTCCATGTTCTAGAAGCCACTTAGAACACACCTTGAAGATCTGACCGTACGATGCTTACAAATATATTTATAGACTCTATCTCGACAAGAGATTGATGATTCCCGTCTAACTATGTAACGCTTACGCTGAGCCACACTCTTTATAAGCGCCTGCCAAAATGCCTTCTCACCAACTGAACTCCCCTCTTGCTCTATCAAAACAGACCCCTCAGTGGCTCTTCAGCTTGAAGACTTTCCCCTGCATCACGGCGGATTTCAAAATATTCTCACAATCTTCTGGCCGCACCCTCGCGATCCAGATATATTGACTAGCTCGCGTGGGTTACAAGTGTAACGTTGGGTACCATGCAACACGATCCAAGCCATCATCTAAGCTAGAAGACTGTTCCTCGACAGACCCTTCGGCAAGCACAAAATCAGCCATCTCAAGAGCGTTCTAAGAGCTTCTGAAGATCAAGACGGCACGTATGGTCTGTGGTGGAAGAAACTTAAACAGCCATAGATCACTCAAAACCTGGTACTCCCTGCCGATGGTTATTGCGGTGCCTCTAGCCGTGTCACTTGCCGGGAATATGTGTACGAAAACTCTTGCTCACTATAGATGTGGTGGAATTCGCCACCGTCAGGGACAAGCCTGTTCAGAACACACATTTGTTTGTCCTTTATTTATTTACGTTGTCTTGTCAGTGCTAAGAAACGGGTGCTAACACCTCTGGCGCTTATGTCGGTATGCCCTGCCGGCATGATGAGTTACTTCGGCTTGACTTGCAGTATCTTTCATAAAAGTTATGTGCTGCATGAGAGGCCGGAACAAACACGAACCCAAACTTCTTCATTCGATTCCTAACAGTCTCTTCTATTCCTCTAATCAACCTTCCACTCTGAAGCGGGCAGAAGAGACGAGGGTGACGAGGATAATGACGCCGAGGACGTGGACGGTGACGGTGAATCAACGGATACAGATGACCGAGATACGGTTGAAGACGGCGATATCCATGATGAAGAAGACAGCGAGCTAGAAGCCCCATGCTTCAACCATGCTGACGAGCATATGAGGCAGACTAATGAGAAGATCCACGGGTCCGGAGCACTCCAGAGCGACAGTGATTCACAGCAGTGATCTTCTCATTAGTCTGCCTCATGTGCTCGCAATCTACGTACATTGCACAAATATCTAATCTTGTTGTAGTGTAGGTCTCCAATGAACTTGCCATTGCTTCTTACAAGAACGAAGTGAAGTCATCTAAAGCATGCAGCATTCAGAAAAGACCCATGTTTTCAGGTTGAAGTGGGAGCCTCAGTGGACGCTTGCTACTCGACCCTGGAGCAGTGAGGGGCCTCGAGCTGGAGATGACCTCGGATGTTTGGCGGGTAAGATTCAGCATACGATAGCAAGGCAGTGACAATAGTTTTTAGGCAATGTCTAGATATGTGCGATTAACACACCTATCGGCTCATGAATTACGAGACTTCATTAATCCATAAGACGATGATTCTGACAGAAGTTTATTAGTTGTTAGTGCTCTTATCTATAGGAGGCCGAGATCAGGGGGTTTGTTCCCCACCAACACCACACACCTTATCTCGACTCCACATCGGCATTGTCTATATTCGCCGGGAGCATGCACTATAGGTACCGTCAAACATACCGTCAAGTTTTTGAGCGCGGGACAAAGGACAAACCCCAATATTCGTACAGGCAATGGAATCAACCAAAGACCATAAGCTGCCAGATGGCACACTGCGCCCAACGCCATCGGTCGGCACCGCCGAGAAGAACATCAACGCATCGGGCCACGAGCAGCAGCTCTCGCGCCGCTTCAATCTACTCTCCGCCGCGGGCATCGGGCTAGTTGTCGGCAACGTCTGGCCTGCCATCGGCGGCTCGATCCTCGTCGCCATCTTCAACGGCGGTCCGCCGGGCGTGCTGTATGAGTTCATCGCCGTGTCCGTCTTCTACTGGGCGGTAGCAGCCAGCATAGCCGAGCTAGCGAGCGCCATCCCGTCCTCGGCGGGCGTCTATCACTGGGCTTCTGTGACGCCTGGTCCCCGATGGGGCCGCGTCGTTGGCTTCTTCGCTGGCTGGTGGAATTATCTTGCGGTACGTATAAAAACATCCCGTCCCAAGATCCTGAGTCTTGTATTCGGGAACAAGCTTTGTTGTTCCCTTTCCTTCTTCATTTAGAACATGGCCCTACGGGTTTAAGGATGGGATGTTAACGTATACGCAGTGGGTGCTCGGCGCGGCGAGCATGGCGGCCATTCTTGGGAACACGGTGGTCCAGATGTACGCGGTCAACCATGCTGGGTTTGAGGCGCGGCCGTGGCATGTTTTCATCGTCTACATCATCTCGACTTGGATGGCCTGTGCTGCGGTGTGTCTGGCAAACGGCGCGATGCCACTTCTAAACAAGATCGGCGTGTTCGCAGTCCTCGGCGGCTTTCTCATAACGGTCGTTGTGCTAGCTGCCATGCCCGGCCGCGGCGGTCGTCCACCTCATGCAAGCTCGTCATTCGTGTGGAAGGATTGGACGGCAGATATCGGGTACCCGAACGGGTTCGTCTTCGTGGCCGGCATGCTGAACGGCGCGTTCGCGGTCGGGCCTGTTGACGCCACGACGCACCTCGCCGAGGAGGTCCCATCCCCGCAACGGAATATTCCCATCGCCATTGCCATGCAGGTCGTCGTCGGCTTTGTGACTGGGCTCTGCTATCTGGTGGCGCTGATGTACGCCATCAACGACTACGATGCCCTTTTCGACTCTCCTTATCCCATCGCCGAGATCTATCGGCAGGCCACGGGCTCCGCGGCCGGAGCGACAGGGTTGCTAGCCCTCGTCATGATCTGTATCGGTCTGAACGTCATCGGCTCCTATATCACCTGTGGCCGTACACTCTGGGCGCTGGCCCGCGATGGCGCGACGCCTGCTCCCAAGATTCTAGCCAGGATCAGTCCCAGATTCGACGTGCCGATCTGGTCGACGATTACAACGGCTGTACTCGTCACTCTCCTAGGCTGCATCTACATCGGAAGCACTACCGCCTTCAACGCGTTTGTTGGAAGCTTCATCTTGCTTTCCAGCAGTTCTTTTCTCGCCGCGATTCTGCCAAACCTCCTGACTGGCAGGAAGAATATCGTATACGGCCCATTCCGTCTCCGCGGCAGGATCGGGTTTACCTTGAACAGCATTTCATGCGCATATATGCTCGTCTGGTTTGTCATCTACTGTTTCCCGTACAGCCTGCCGACGGATGCCGGAAGCATGAACTATGCATGCTTGATCTGGGGAGGTCTGACCGCGTTTGTTGCGCTCTGGTGGTTTGGTTGGGCCAGAAAGGGGTACGAGGGACCAAGGACGATTGGGGGTGTCACGTCCGAGGTGTAAGGCATGGGTTCTGCACCCTCGTCGTGAGTAGCACGCATTTGTGAACCCACTGTTGATTGGGATCTCTGCCGCGGGACTTCGTGTTCCTAAACCAGCAGATTGAGAGATGGTATCGATGTGGAATAAATTCAGGCTCTGCCGCAACCTTGAGCAAATTAACGACTTTTTGCTTATTGTTCGTGGCTCATGGCTGAACTCTGTTCATATTCTCGTCTGTACCGCGGGAATTTGTGAAGCCATTTCGACAGTTAAAGGAGCGTGGCCACTGTATCTCCCGTCCCCTCCAACATGCTGGTGGCACGGGTGCTGGCATGTAAGCGGTGTAGCTGTTCGTTTGTTGTATCAAACGGAGCCTCCTTCTTTGAGTTTGACTTCCGACCATCCAGGTCTCACCTCGAGGAAGCTTTCTTCTGACACCATTGTTCAACCACAGTGCGTGTTGCTGGCAATACCATTATCATCTCGATTAGCTCGACTATCTCGACTCCCTCGACTTCCGCGGCTAGCTCGACTTCCGCGGCGACCTCGATTCCTTCGACTCCCGATTACCTCGAGTCCCCGACGATCTCGACTCCACCGATAATCTCGATTACAAGCTCTCATGGTCTTCGACTATGTCTTCAACTTTGAATGCCTACAGTGTTCCCGCGAGTACGCAAAGCCTGCTCACACACGTCTTCTCTCAACCAGCATTCATGCCTAGCATGCAGCCCTTCGAGAAACGCCCCCGGCTTTCCGAGCTGCGCACCCGAGTGGAGCTCGTGACCATGAAGCTCGACTTCACCATGGAGCCCCCCGCTATCAGGGAGGCCATAGGCCGCAGCATCAACCGGTCCTGGGAGGCCTACACCGAAGGATCCGTGGGCCCGAGCGACTTCATACGCACCCCCTTGGGTGCGCCCTTCGAAATCGCCTCGATCAACGGCAAAGGCCGCGGCCTGATTGCCAGTCGCATCATCAACGCCGGCGAAGTCATCTTGGAAGACTCTCCCGTCCTCCTTCTCCCTTTCAAAGCTGCCAGCGATCTAATTTTCCTGCTCCTGCCCCGAAAGGCTCTGGAGGCCTTGCTACTGCTCCACAACGCGCACCCCAATGAGGGGAAATACACCGTCATGATGGATATCCCTGTTCATCACCTTCTGGATCAGCTCAGCGGCGTGCTGTCCACCAACGCCTTTGAAGGGGATTGACCTTACGGGGAAATTGGAGTCCTGCTCCTTACCGGCTCACTGTTCAACCACTCGGACAAACCGAACGTGGATCGATCGTGGAACGCCCCAAAGGAGAAGATGGTCTTCACAAGCTCGCGGAACATTCGGAAAGGAGAGGAGCTTGTCCATGATTACCTGCCCCAGATAGGCGGCAGCTCGCGAGCCGAGCTTCTCCAGAAGTATGGCATCTAATTTCCACAAGACAATGGCGAGGAAAATGGTCTTGGGTACGAGACACAGATCTTCATCACTTGGTTTGAGGAACAGATTAGTGTTATCACTAGAGAGTTGGCAACTCGTTCTTGAGACAACCTGCTGTCCGCGATTGGGCTTTTATGGCGAATGGAAGAGCCGCCACAGGTTCATAGATTTTATGCAATTTCATTGATGGTCACAGTCGTTCTCTTCTTACATCACCTTCAATGGATGGGGCAAGTCTAATCAGGATAAACTTCAAGGAAGCCGAGGATATTTACCGCATAAGAACCGAGGTGAAGTGGCATTTTACCGTATGAGATGCATTCGCGACGGGACATGGTAGTCAGTTCATTCTGGACTATACCCGAAGTCGGAGTCGCTAGGTCAAATAGAACCGTTGAGTAGCTCATTCTGGAAGAGATGAACCTGGCCATGAGGCACGTTCGCCTCTTTCCCCTAGAGCCCCCCGAAAGGCCACTCAGGGCAGAGGTCAAAGTCAAGAAAGGGCCTCAGGACCTTCGTGTCCGAGAGTGGCGGGGACTTCGTAGTAGAGAATGGTCTCAACCGTGCAGGGCAAGGCGGCTCCGCAAAGACTTCGTGAACGAGTACTTCAGTGAGCTGGAAACCACCCGAGTGGACTAGCAACGGCATTCAAACAAGATGTCTTCAGGTGGGCAGAGCGAGCCTTCTGGGCAAGTTGGTAAAGGCTGAGTAAATGACTGGGGCGAACGAGTTTGATCACCGTATTATTTGTCAGTCGCATGATTGCGCGAAGTGATTACCACGTTGGCCAGTTACCCAGAGAAAAGTAGGATAAGATACATATGAAGACCTTGCACACATGCTGCTTGGCCCTGGGACGCCTTCTGGGGGCTTTTCTCTTGCTTCTATGTTGACTAACATGGAATTGGCTCAGACTTGAATATACGCTATAGTATTGGAATACTCTGAATGCACTTTGATTGAACTTCTGTTGAGAAGTAAGAACCTAGAGGCTCTGCAGACGATGGGGGCCTCTCAGACTCCTAAGCGCGGAGAGTCCGTGGGACCTAAAATCCCAGACTGTTTATAGCAGAATCTTCACAGTGCTGGAGCACTGTTGATTCACGACCAACCAGGGCTATTTGTTTTCACACAACTCGTCTAAAGATATCCACTTTTCAGTAAATTTCCATCTGCACTTTTCCCGACGCGTCTTGTAATTACTGTCCCCTTCCAGGCTCCGTCCGTATGCGCTTACGCGACGATGAACAGCTAGGAATTGATCACGACGCTGCGTGCGTATCGGCGCGCGACTGGGGGGTTCCTGGCCTGGCTCAGACAAACGGCCGAGAAAAACCAGCACGAAGACGACTGCCAATACTGAGACGACGATTGGCAAGACGAAGACAACCGCGCCCACCAAGAAGGCTACGCCTGGCAAGTCGCCTGCGAAGACCGAGACGCCGACCAAACGAGCGAAGACTGCGAGCGAGGCAAAGAAGACCAAGCGAAAAGTCGGCAGCAAGGCCGGCAAGGCGGAGGGCAGCAAGGCAATAGAAAGTTCACGACGAAAGAATTCGTCAACCAGGCACGCCTTGTTTCTGCTGCGGGCGCGGCTGTGCCACATGCTCGACTCCAGCAAGTACGAAAGGCCATTGATCAACGACGCCGAGCGGACCGATGGCGCACGCCACTACGGAAATACCACGGAAGAAAAGAGGTCTTCACATGGGCATTTTGTTACGGTACTAGAGGACTACCTCAGTCTTCTCCAGCCCAATCTTCAGCGCGTTCCAACACCGTTACCGCTGAAGGAGGAGTAATCCCGAGGCAACATTTTTGCAGTAAGTACAGCTCCAGCAAACTTGAACTTCATGCTAATAGGCTGTTCAATCTGGTAGCCACCGCCCACACCCAACGAATGATACAGCGACTCTACACCACAAGGGACGACAACGCTGCTGAGAAGTGGAGCTATGAGCAGGACTGCTTACTCGGGCTTGTCGATGGGGGCGTTCACCCTATAGTCATGAAGAAGTCGAAAGGAAGCAAGTCAACGCGTCACAGGATTGGGTTCGCGTGCCAACCTGAAGTCACCAGTGGATCCTTGGGTTCCACAGAGACGTCCGAACTGACGCCCAACTTCATGATCACGCGCGAGGGCATGATGGCAGAGTGCAAGAAGCTCGTCTGTGGCGAAGGAGGCTATACTGCCGACGGCCAGCTGAACAAAAAGGAGCTGATAGAGATGTTCAAGGGCGTCGCACGGCCTAAGGCTTATATAACTTTCCGCAACAAGTTCAAAGAAGAAGCGGGCGCCGACATCGATTCCGCGGGAGCAAACCCCATCCCTCATAGCCCCTTTGGAAGGGGTCCGGAAACTGATCGCCCTCTTTACGGGAGTGCCGCCGGCGACCAAACGGGGAAACCTACTTTCTACTCCTTCAAGTCATCCACTGCGTCCGCGACCCTGGAGAAAGCCATCATGGATTTTCTTCGCGAGACCTACACCTTTCGACATGGTTATGAGGAGGCACTGGTAGCCCTCCTGAACTGGGCTTACTTCTACGAAGATGCTTCTCGGCCAGTCTCGTTCCGCACCACCATCAAGTCCTTCAACTTCACCAATGGCCAATAGTGCAGCACTATCAACCGGTTCTTCTCAGTCCAACAATGTCTTCGGTCAACTGTCCGCATTCCGCAGCTGGCCAGCAGGCGCCTGGAACGCCTTCATATGGGTATAATGGACAAGTCCAGCTCGCTTTCAACACGCAAGAACAGTCTGTTGGACAATATGGTGGACAGGCCCATCAGTATATACATGGACAGCCTCCCAGTGCACCGATTGGTGGACAGGCTCCTCAAGGAGGCTATGTTGGACAAAAGCCAACTCAGTACTATCCTTCTTCGCCATTCAATCATCCCTAGAGCTCCACTGGCGATCCACACTGATGAGGTACGAGACATGACGGACTCTGGGGTTTGGATTCACTACTTCTACGTGGCCATCGCCTGGGCCGAGTGGGCCGATGTGTCGTGGTATTTCGATCCATTTCGGTTCATTGCCAACGCACTACGGTGCGACAAGGTGATCTTGGATGTCGCCGAGCTATGCTTGAGAATACTAGATCGCGACCTTGTCCTCAACGAGATACGTAACGCGGGCGACATCAAGAGCCTCGTAGAGGGCACTTCACCCCTGGCGACGTGCAAGGTACTCCAGGAACCTCTTTTCGGCTTTGTCCCTGGAAGAAACATCGGACCAGTCCAGTGACAGAAACTAGGACAGTGTCGAGTACCAAATCCTCAACGAGACTGCCATTCTGCCATGATTTATTTCCCAGTGATGATCCTGAGCACACCATCGATATGGACATTAGTCCGCAACAACAGTTGGCTTTTGTATTCTTCGCTTTCTTTGAGGATATACACCGAATCCGTAACCGTGTACAGAATATCTGGGTCCGCGAGCGCCAGGGCAAAATCGACATTGTGTCAGCCTCTCTACAGACTTCGCTAGCCATCGATATGGTCGCAAGCCAAGAAAAGGAAATCCACGAGCTGTATAAGGCGCATTATACAGGTTCGGGGGACACTTACGAGGATCTCGTCAGCAAGGCAAGGGCGAAAGCGAAGGCTGAGAGACTCGCTCTCACCCCACTGCAGAGTATGACTCTTCTCGAAGGGCATCTTGCTATCGCTTTCATACCTCTTCGCCTGGAATACTTCGAACTGATGCGCCAATATGACCGCGTTATCGAAGCAGTATTACCGGCGTCTGCAAAGGCATATGGGCGGAGCAAAGGTTCTCCACCACGTCATAGGGGTCTTTGACCGCTTAGCCAAGGAACTATTTAGTCGACATGGACTATACCGAGGTTGAGCAGGTTGGAAAGAAGATCCGCGCAACACTCGATACAAGTTATATGAGGGGGTTTAAGTAACGGGGACCTGGCACCCAGTGGCTCCCAGCCTGCCGCAGCAACCTCAGCTCACTGCTACTCATTACATAGTCCAAATCTCTAGAAGGCTAGAGTCCAATCTATTCAGTCCCAACCTCCTCGCCGCTCGCATCATCCATCAAGTGTCAAAGCCCTGATCTTAATGTATCGTGCATAATCTGGCCCGAAAATCTCCTCCTTATCCAACAAGTCCCGATCGTGCTCGTACAATGGATTAACGTCCAGGTCATCATCCTGGTACACACCCAGCTCCTCAGCCTTGGCCTTGAAGTATGCTTCCTCGTCGCTGTCGCTCGGGAAATCACCATCCTCCTTTGTGTTCCAGACCCTGCCTTCGTACTTTATGTCGACTTCCTTCTCGCTCTGGACGTACCTCTTGATCGCATCCGACAAGAGTCCCACGTCGATCCCTTCCATGTCCATAAACTTCTCTTCCTTGACGTTCAGGATGCTCTCCATCTTCATCGCCCAGCTGATAGTGACGAAGTCGATCTCGTCGTCGGAGTGCTTGTCCAACTCCTCGCCGTTGATCTTGAACGACTTGAGGCGCTTGTCGGGCTCCTCCGACGGGTCGTATTCGACTCTGACGCCGTGGCTGTATTGGAGGAAGACCTCGTCGAGCAATGCCGGATCAGTGGCGTAGGTCGCTGCCACGACCTTGTGTAGGTCCTTCTTGGGCATGCGCCAGTTGATCGTGTGGTCTGGAAACGGCTGCACGACGTCTATGTCCGTGTCGACAATGTCGCCCTTGTTGAGACTCGTGCGCAGTGTACCAGCTGTGAGGAATGCGAACTTGGGGTTGTAGTCTTTCTTGTTCTCGCTAGCATGCCAGAGTAGCGCACTATCGCAGAGGTGGTTAGTCAGTTCCTTCCACAGAAACAGCCGTTTTCCGCTGGCTAGCAGGGTGATCTGGATGGTAAAAGCTTACTCGGCCATAAAGTTGCCCATCAGAGATTCACCATCATAGCGACCAGGCTGGTCGAGGATCTTTCCTTTGGTAGCGCCGATGACCATCCCCGACCTTTCTTCAATCGACAGGCCGGTCTCCGGGTCCTTGGACGTAAACTTATCGTCAATGATCTTTTGGAGTTCTTCATTGACGAGATCCTTGTTGTACTTCACTTCAATGCCTCTCGCCTGGCACTCGAGTTTATTATTGTCATCCCAGGTCAATTTCATCATGGCGATAAAGCGCCCCCTGTTTCCATACTCATTAGTACCATATGAGGAAAATGAAAGCGGCTGGGTAATGCTCACTTATATCCGGAGGTGATAATGCAGGTGTCCCCCTCCTTTGTCGGCAACTCCCCGGACCTCGTCCCCTGGCCGAATTGTGGCCTGTTCTGCCCTACGATGTTGCCCAGTCCGGTGTGACTGTGGCCACCGACAATGAAATCGAGGCCTTCGCCTTCCATGGCCGCGGCAAGCGCGATATCATTCTGATAGCCAATGTGAGTCAGGGCCCCGATGGCAAATTGGTCGCCATCGTCTCGCTTGCCTAGCTCAGCTTTCATTTCCCGAAGTATCTTCCTCGCCGTGGTGACTGGATCGAAGATCTTGGTATTCTCGTCTGTCTTGCCCGGCTTCACTGATTGAGGGGTCGTGAGTCCCATCAATATGACCTTCTTGTCCGGATAGATCTGATAGGGCTTGAACATCGGTTGAAGCTCCTTCACCCCGAACTCGACATTTGCGGCCAGCCAGTTCAGCTCTTTGGTTTTTGTCACCGTGTCACGCAAGACCTCCTCGCCTAGATCCCAGTCATGGTTTCCCGGCACCACAGCGTCGAATCGGCCTATCTTGTCGAAGTCGGGTATCACGCCTTGTTGATACCTCTTGAACATTGCGGTGCCAAGCGATTGGTCTCCGGCGTTCAGCCAGAGGAGGTTCTTCATTTCCTCTCGCTTCCGCAGATGGTCGACCACGCCGACGACTATTGATCCCATCAGTGAGTACGAGCGGCAGGTCCATGCGTCGAGTGACGACCTACTGTTCGCGTAACCCCCAACACAACCCTCGCGCTTGTCGACAGGACACTCGCTATGGCCTTTCTGGAACGGGACCATATGAGCGTGGTCATCGTTCAGGGCGGCAATCCACACCGGATCGCGTTTAGCCCGTTGATGCACTTCGCTCTTGTGGGTTACATCCGCAGTGCGGAAGGATGGTAAGGCGCTGCCGGAGCATATGTAAGAAAACAACAAAAGTGGTAGTGATGTTCCCACAATCATCGTGATTGCTGTTGAGATGTCCGTTTAATTGGATCGAATCGATGCCACGTGACAGAAACAAGCCACGGTAGTCTTGAACAGAGAGTTTTCTCTGCGACCAAGGCATATTACATAGTCGTAGATTGCTGATGGAATTGTAGTGGTCTCCAGCCATTGCAGCGTAGGCGAATTCGCCACGCTGGGAGACTCTCTCTTGGCTAGAATATATTTTCTGCGGTGACCGATCAAGCAGTTGACTTCACTGCAACGCTGAAGGGCTTTGCTGCGTGGAGCCCAAATGATCCGCCACACGTCGGGCGATAGATATTCTTAGATCAAAGCCAAATCTTGACTTTCCAGACATCTTCTGTTGTTAATTGACTGACTGGATGTGGTTTCGCATGCCTGCCTTTCGGTCAGCATACGGTGGGTCGCCGACCAGGGGTCGACACCATCAAGCTCGTTCATCCTGCGAAGTCACTATTTTTGGCAAAGTAAAGCTCTGTTAATAGGCAGCTTTTGAGACTTTGAGAATTGCCAATGAGGCAATCCCTTGAATAGTCATTCTTGTCTGATTCAGTTAAGCCCTTGTAAGAAGCCACACCCGTTATGAACCAGACTATACAGTCATGAACGGCGGAGCCACCCCAACACTTAGTGAAGAACCATCTAGCAAAAGGCCAAGTGGCCTTGAAAGGACGTCGGTAGTCCGTAAACGTTCACCAGAATGCCAAAGGTTGTCGCCCAACGGGGCAGTTGAGAATAGGCCGTCTGGAATTAGGCAGCTGCCAGGAAGCATACCCCCGTCTGCAACGCCGGTATGTGCCCCATACGCGCATCGGGAAGCCCGCACCACCTTCCAGACGGGCTCCTTGGTATAATTAGAAGGAATAACGGAGAACAGGTCCCCGTGTTCGCAACCGAAGGAATTCTGGGTGGGCCCGACTCCCATTTTTAGCGACAGTGTTACCACTATAGTTATGATGATATCGAACAAGTACAATATCCATGGGCTACATGCGAAGTGTTTCTCTCAGAGCATCGGGTCAACAGCGACATCGACGACGTATTTGTCAATTGGGATGTACCGAGGTCAATCGATGATCAATATATAGGACCAGACTCATAATCAGTGTTACGAACCAACGAGGCGTACAGGGAATGAGGCCCGCTGGCAGGCCCAACAAGATGGACAGTAACTGGAAGAACCCGGGAGAACGCACGGGCTAAGGAAACGTCTAGGTCACGTGATCAAGACATCACATGACAGATAGCTTGGATAGCGAGCTTATCCAACATATCCCGGATAGCTTGGATAACAAGGTTATCCAACATATCCACCCCATCAGTGAGGGAGAGATTGGATATATAAGGATGGACGTTTCCTAGCTAGACAGATAGACAGTCTCTACCTCAGTGATCAATCTAAGCATCTTAGCCAACCCTAAGGTGGGAGAAATCTCCTGACGACTCGACTATTCAGTGAACCCAGTTCAGACCAAGCCCCAGTATCTGAGTGTCTTCTAGTTGACAGAAGCCTCTATCGTCTTTTGTGTTGACTTACCTCAGAACATAAACCCTATAGAACCCTTTAGCCTTATAGGTTAGACGGCTCGTCACACTGGCCAGGGGATGCACCCAGCCGGGGGAGCTCATGAATCCTGTTTTGGACATTGTCTATCAGCTCTTGTAATTTATTGTCCGGGACTATTCACTGATCAGTCTTGGGGACCCGGTCCAGGTCTCCCTGAATTGGTACAACTATTCGTAATGTCTTGTGATCTGAGGTGCACTGGAGTGCACTATTCATTGAGGCTTCAGCCATAAGGACATCTGAGAAAACCAGATCTAGTACATTTCTGTCATCATATGTCAGGACATCTGGTTCAGAAATCAGATCCAGTCTGTGGTCTGTCATAGTCTGTGCAAGTATAGCACCACCATGATATCCTGGATTGCTTGAGTCCCAGGATGTGTCGCTAGCATTGAAATCTCTGGCTATGACACAGCCAAAGGGTGGAGTCCATACTTCCAGAATATCATCCACTTCCTGTGGGTTGTCACATGGCCGGTAGACACTGGCAAATATAATGCCTTATACCTTAACCCAGGTGATGTCTTGTGTAGTATAGGGCAGAAGTTGATCCGCTTGAAGGTATTTTCTCACATAGATAAGAGATCTGGGTTGTGTACTATCGCTGTCCCAGGAATCCACTGGGGAATATATATCGTAATTGGTATGTGTCTTTACTCTCATTCTCTTGCCTGGTGGTATGCCAACCCAGGGCTCTTGCATCAGAATAATGTCTGCTTGTTCTCCTTTGTAGTCAGCCAGGTTGATGGCTAACTCTGTAGGGCCTACACTCTTTTGTCCTCCTGCTGTATTCACAGAATGGATGACTAGATGCCCGTGTCGATGTGCTTTGTTTGATGTACCTAATATTGACTGACAACAATGGTATCGGCATCCTTGGGATGAGCTGTATCTGTTGTATCGATTTGCATTGTGGTGTCTTTGTTATTATTGTTAGGTGTTGACCCAGCTTGGTTTCTGCCTATTTCATTGAAGGCCCTGGATCTGGCTCTTTTTCCGGCCAGCCTTATTTCCTGGATTTGCTCTTATGTGTGCTTGTGGATGATGCCTTTCACAACCTTGGGGCGTGTAGGGCATTTGTCGAAGTTGGCAACATGAGGTCTTTTACAATTAACACACTTTGGGATTAGTTTTTCGCACCCCCCCTGGTGTACTGTACTGGCACAACGTGCACATACTTGCTTTTCACATCGGTAGTTCCTACCATGGTATCTGAAGCAGTTCGCACACTGGTAAACCTTAGGGGAGTATTGAATGTACCTTGAGGTCATTGAGTGAGCAAAAAGCGTGAATGGTTTCTTTACTGCTCGGTGCAGAGAGATCACCCATGTAGTCTCTGGATCAGAATTAACTGTGTTCCTTGAGAATATACACCTTAAAGGTCTGTTACCTGTTTTGGCTTTAATTTCCTTAGCAACAGCAATATCGGTAATATCGATTGTTAACCCTTCCACACTGATGACCTTTCTTGGGCATCCATCGACCTTATAGTGATGCCAGACCGTGTGGGTCTCGATCTTTTCTGCCTTGAGAATGTCAGTGATTTCTTTTTGGAAGGCCAGGAGCTTAGCCTGAGTTGGCTTGTCCCTTGGGTGTATAAATCCGGAGGGGCACCGGGTCACTTCTCTAAGCTCTTAAAGGTGGAGCTTAAGTCTTCTGTTTAGTGTAGACTTTATTCCGTAAGGCTCTAAGTGGCTATTATCCATACGGACAAAGACCCGGAGATCATCCTGTTTCTTTTTCAGTTGGTTGGCAGTGATAAGGGCACCAGGCTGTGTTTTCTTTATGGTAGTGTTGACTGTCTGTGGATGCTGTCGTTGGCTAGAGGAGACAGCTTGGGCGAAGGTCATGGTGGGCTTTACCATCCCTATCCCCCCAGGGATGGTCTTCTTTTTGAGCGGATCTTGGGTTTCCAGCCACTCGCTCAGACATTTAGAGAAGAAAGCGCTGAACTCCTTGGCATGAGAGTATAGTTCGGTTCCAGCTTTCTTAAGTGTCTTATCAACAACTGTAGCATACTCTTGAAACATTGTTATCCTGGCTTTATAGAGGTGTTTGTCTTTAGCCAGTATTCTGGCAATTTGGTCCTAGCACTCTGAGGAGGAGGCTTTATTCCTTATATCGCATGTAATGGTTTGGTCTGTTGAGGTTTTGTTCAATTGAGGTCGTTTCATTCCAGTGGTGCTACTGTCATTGACATTTCAGGATTTTCCTTTCAGAGGGGAAATAATGGTAAAGTCAGCCTCAGAGACCTGTGACGGGCTGCTGCTAATGTCGTCAAGCAGCGCCTGGCGGAGCCTGCTCAGAGTTGCCGGGCCGTATGTCTTTCTAGGGGCCGGGGATTTGAGCACGCCGCCAGTGGTCGTCTTTGGGACGGCCATGGGCGTGTTTGGGGGCCCGTCGTGGAAGGGTGCCATCCAGCTTTTGAGAAAAATTCTCTTGTGCCTTGGCAGAGATAGTCAGTTACTAAGAGAAGTGCCTGCTTTAATGCAAATATCAAGGTTGCGCCCTAATAGCGGGGCGCCAAGAAAAATAGTTGTTTTTGTTTGACGTGTGGCGTGTTGTTGTTCTGGAGGTGTGCTCGGTTACTGAACCGGCATTCCCACAATATATATTTGCCTCAGGAGAAGCCCTCCTGACGGCCTGCCACCAACTGTACCAGCTGCGGACTGCCAACTGCCAACTACCTGCCGAGGTACTTAGTATCACCTAGTTGACTGCGCTGGGTGATCCATTGTGTCAAGTACCCGTTGTCTTGCACTGTTACTACAGGGCATTATGCCCTGTGCCGACCCACCGTCAGCCAGGAATTCTGCACATAAAGATTTTTTTCTTTCCACCCACTTTTCGACCTTTCTTCCTTTCCTTTCCACTTCCACTTCCACTTCCCACCCCTCCCCTCCCTGTCACCATTGGGTTGCAGAAGGTCCCCAACACCCACTTCCCTTTCCAATTCCCACTACAACCCATACCTTCACGGTGGCGACGCCGCCGGGACTCGCTGGCGCAATCGCTGCGATGCGCAAGGCGATTCGCGAGGTCGACCCTCCCCTTGGCTGCAAATACGCATGCGCCCCGTTCGTAGCGGGTGAGACCTACCGAAGTGACCTACCTGACGAGCTTCCAACCGGCGCAGCCAGAAAAGACATTTTCTGCCGGAGCTGCGGCACTTGTCACGACCCCGCCAACTGCCGAGGTCCTCCGAACAAGTACGGACTCTTCGATGGGTGCAACATTTGCGGTGGAGAGCACATCAGTGAGACTTGCTTCTTCAACGACTTGACCAATGTAAGTACTTCCCCTACCTTCACTCCATGTTTTACTCCATCTTGTTCTGCGCCGCAGCCACACCCCCATGGCCTACAATCGTCTCCCCCATCCTGTTGAACGGCAGTAGGTGCCAAAGGGTATCACGTGTGATAACAGGATAAAGAGTGACCCACAACACAGGGATATCTAGGAGGAGAATCATGCACCGCGGAATCCTCCGAAGAACCGAAGATCAATACAGAGGAGAATCGACCATACATTTTGCTACGTGACAACATCCCCTCCAGACCTGCCTGAGGCTGGAAAACGCTCACAAATCTCTGCACCCGACTGTTTTGCACCCAACAAACGCAAGCAACTCATTTCATGCCACGAATCTCCCACTCCAACCCTAATGCACCGCACACCTAACACACATTTTGCTACCCCCTCGCCACCACCCATCGCAACCAGGTCTCCTCGCCGCCTTTGACATCTTTTTCCCTGCGGCTTCGCTGCTTTTATAATCTCATCACTAAAAACTGCAGCCTACCTTGTTTGGGCTTACTGTATTGTTCAATCCTTCAATCCTTGGACCGGTAGCCTCTCGATTGTAAGTCTATTCCCGATGACCCTGCTCCAGTCCCCTTCCATCCCCCCCTTCCTCACTTGAGATTCCCCTGCCTCAATCCCCCCTGTGATCTCTCGCAAGGCACTACAAGCACCATCATCACAGCCCGCCGTACCTCTGCGGAAATGTACACATGCCACACCTACACATCCCCTCCAAGCCTCTAGGTGTTTCAATTCGCTGCTTGGCTATTATCCCTCCCCCCAAGACACGGTGCGATAGAGCCCCCCACTTGCGAGTCAAATAACCCAAGTCTTGTTTCATGACGGCATGTCGTTTCTGGCTATGCCAATGATACCAATCGTCTTGGCTCACTTCTGAATTCGACCACAGCTGACTCCTAGCAAGATAGCGAACCAGAACGACTCGGGCACGACCCGGCTGGCGGTGCCGGCGCGGGAGAAGGAAAAGATGATTGTCGAATCGGCCGATATTCCCCTGAGAGCAGAGGCCCTCCGTGAGGACTTCATTCCACGCCAAGACATTGGGCCCCTACAGTCCGCCCTGGGTGTCTCACTCGAGTTTCCACCTCCATGGTGGTCACCAGCAGGCTGCGAGCTGAGCATCCACTCCGCGGCGGTCTCAGCAGCAAGACGATAAACGCGGCGAAATTCTGGTACGACTACGGCTATCAGTTCGAGTACAAGAGCCCGGCGCCGGTGGCGGCCAGGGTCTTCTTAGACATGCACTACCGCCCCAACGATTACGATAATTTCCCATGGCCAAGACCAGAGGACGGCCTGACCCACCTCCCACCTGGGTGCCGAAATATTACCAAGAATCCACACGAAGAGAAGGGGGGTGGCAGAGGGGAGGAGCCGGTGGCTCCTCCGTCAGAACCTTCGAAGGCCGCTAACGGCGGGGGCATCAAGTTGGGACAGTTTCTCCACTAAAAGGCCACAGTTGCACCCCCAGATAACTCCATCTGCATTGAAGCTATAAATTATATAATAAATGCGTTAGAACCGCCTTTTCTTGGTGTTTTCAGTAATATTAGTTGTTCACGCGGTAGCGTGCTGGCTGGCGGATCGCGCGGCATGAAGATCGCACCAAAATGGGCTCGTCGGACTCCTCATCCGTGCCATCACCCTCTTTGTCAACAGCAACCCCTTCATTCTCAGGGGGCTCTAATTCCTTTAAATCTTCTGAATCTGACTCCTCAGAGTCCTCAGAGAGAGATCTCTCTACTTCGTCAGTATGCAAGTTCTGCAATTCACTTAAAATTCGTTGTCTTGCCTCCCGTTGCTCAAACGCAGCTCGTGCGGCCTCTGTATGCTCGATTTGTTCAGTAACAATGTTCCCAATCTTTCATAGCCATTAGTGTGGCTCTTCCTGAGGGACCTTACGGCTCTTTTTTGGTTATAAATGCTTAATTTTGGCGTCTCTTGCCTCCAGTAGTTCCTTTATAAGCGCTAGCTCAACCACCATCTCATTGTACGCTCTTGCAACCAAGCGGATTCCTACTTGTTGCTCATGGGTCTCAACAATTGCTAATAGCATCAGGGCAATATCCTGCCCTGATTTAGGGGCTTCTAGTGCCTTAAGGGTGGTCCCCCGGTTCATTATAGCAGCAGTTGTTGCTTGCATCTCTGCTGCCTTTACTATAGGCTCGTTTGCGAGGGTCTTTCGTCTGTTTACAGGCCAAAGACCGGCAGCACGCCATCCTGAATGTATGATAGCCTCCGTGGCTTCTTTGCGGGCCTTAGCCAAGCAACTAAGGAACTGTACTTTGCTAATAGGAGCCGAATCGTTTGACTGACCGAGCTGGTTGATGAGGCGGCAGTAGGCGGCTTTCACCACAGAGAACACGGTCAAATCCAGGGGCTGGAAGATATGAGACTACCTCTATTAACAAAATAACTATTAATTAGTATGTAATCTACTGTATAGGCAGAAAAAAAGCTCATATAAACGTTGTTTATATAGCACAGACACATGAATTCATCTGAGTAATGGCTGCCATGGCCGTCGAGCACGAATAGGCGAAATTCATTTTCATCTTCAGGGGCAGTGTCAGGTAAATAGATCTAGGGCTCAATTAGCATATAGTTAGCAATAATAAATAAGAAAAAAATCACTTTTTTAAGCCAGTGCAGCGCAATCTTGTTTGAGGACCAGCTGTTGATGGAGTACGTCACTATTCATTCTGTCACCGCAGGATGCTCGATTATAAGCTGCTTCTTGAACCACTGCGTCGGGATCGACTTCGCCTTGAAGATAACCAACGGTCGGAGCTTCTTCTCAGTGGCAGTGATCGATTCCATCACTGTAGTCCACGTGCAGTCGTCGTTGGACTTGACGTTGGCCCCTTTTGAGCCAGAACTACCTACTACAAGGCTATTAGACTTATAATCTCCCGATCAGCAGTCAAAAAACCACTTGGATAGGGTAATTCATGTACTGCCGACCCTGCATAATACCGTACTTATCGATATTTGCCTGGTTTTTGGGTTTGATAAAGGCGAAATCCTCATAGCGGTCATGTGTGACCAGCCGTCTAACCTATAAGGCTAAAGGGTTCTATAGGGTTTATGTTCTGAGATAAGTCAACACAAAGGACAATAAAGGCTTCTATTAAATAGAAGACACTCAGATGCTGGGGCTTGGTCTGATCCAGGGGATCACTGTATAGTCGAGTCGTCAGGAGATTTCTCCCACCTTAGGGTTGGCTAAGATGCTTAGATTGATCACTGAGGTATAGACTGTCTATCTATCTAGCTGAGAAATGTCCGTCCTTATATATTCAATCTCTCCCTCACTGATGGAGTAGGATCACCTTGTCCCAGAGTGATGCTCACTGGCTCACTCCCTGATCCAGTGATCCGTCACGTGACCTTTGTTATGTAATCTGTAATACCCATTGCTCCGTTCCTGGCGTCTGATTCTATTGGTTCTTAGTATACTCCCCTTGGCCCTCCAACAGGCCATGGTATTTGTTGGTTCGTAACATCATGGAAACTGTGACGGCCTGCACAGACCTTCCCACATGACAAGTGGATACTTCCTAATAGGGGAAGGATCTGACCAGAGGATCCCCTTAAAAGGGCAACCTCCCACTGTACCTATCTCTCTCTCTCTTCCTTTCCTCTCTAGTCTTGATATTCTCGTCAATAGAGTAATAGCTGCTTGCTGCCGGCCATGTCCCAGCTCCTCAGTACGCTCGCCGTGACAGAAACTATTGATGTTATCGGGAGTAGCAGCATTGATACGTTTGTAATCAAGTTTTCTTCCCATCTTGGTCTTGATCTCTGGGTGCCTCCAGATAAAGTTTTACATGTAATGATCCCCTAAGTGATCCGATTTTCCCTGGGATTTTAGGATCCTCTGAATAATGTACTTCATATTGCCGTGAGTTGGCACATGGCCTGCCTTCTCTTGATAGAGGATCCATGAAACCACCTTTGTTTCCTGCTCAGGGCTCAATTTCTGCTTAGTACAAGCGCACTTACGATATGACTGCGTTTGGGTCATTGTGGTACCTTCGACCTTGTGAGAGAGGGTTGATTTTGGCACTCCATAGTGTTGGGAGGCCTTGCGAAGAGACAGTTTGTTATCGTTCACAGCGGCAATTGCCTCGGCGAGGTATTTGGGAGTATATGAAGGAGGCATTTCAACGTATTAAAGCCTCTGATGCTTACAGGGAAAAGAACAAAAAAAAACAAAAAAAAAACACAGAATTTCTGCTGGATTGGAGGGGATAGCCGGGACCACTCAGTTCTAGGCCCGGGAGTGCTAACTTCCGACCCCCACCACGGACCACCCCGCTGCAGCGTACCTAATGAATTCTATACTAGAAGAAACACCAAGAAAAGACGATTCGAATGCATTATTTACAGTACTTACAGCTTCATTCTTGATGGTGATGTGGGTGGGTGCAAGTGTGGCCTTTTGGTGTGGAAGCTGTCCCAACATGGGGGCTGTCCCAACTTCATGCTCCCGCCGTTACAGTCTCGCCTTCAAGCCACGCCAAGATCGAGCCCAATCCATCTCGCAATTATGAGCAGTTCCTTCAAAACGCCAAACAGCACGTATATGTTGACGAGACAAGAAAGCAGCGTGTGCAGCAGCATTTGCAGCAGCTGAAAGCCAAGTCTAAAGCTGGCGAAGCTGAAGAAGCTGAAGAAGCTGAAGAAGCTGAAGAAGCTGAAGAAGCTGAAGAAGCTGAAGAAGCTGAAGAAGCTGAAGAAGCTGAAGAAGCTGAAGAAGCTGAAGAAGCTGAAGAAGCTGAAGAAGCTAGAGAAGCTCGCAAAGCTGGAAAGGCTCAAGGAACCCTGTTCCTTGCTTACTAGAAGCTGGTCTCGTCAGACTCTTTGGGACCTGATACGATGGTAGGCAGGGCGGCTCGTGAGGAGGGGTGGGAACAGTGGGTTGTGTAAAGGAGAGGACGGGGTACGACTCAAAATAAAAGCTAAGGCTGCTGCCGGCTAAACGCCGGGGGCTTTGTTGGCTCCTAGCAGACGGGAACCTTTATAAGATACCCTGTATTGATAAGGAAATTGAAAAGTCCTCCGGATAGAGGCATTGACAATCATACAGTTATAATCCTTGAATGTGACATGTGACTATAAGGAAGCACTGAGTTTCAGTGTAAGCAGTTGCCATGATCATTGAGGTTTCCATCCTACCTTCCTGAATTCTATCAACGCATGACTATCAAGACAGCAACAGATATTAACCAGGCAGAGTAACATCAGTGTGCGAGTCAAGAGCACAGGCGAACACGGCCATGCCGTTTGACATGACATGAGGACAGTGCATTGCGGTTCGACATTGATCATCAGGAAGTTGGTTTTTGGCCCTGGCAGCGTCTCGTTTGAGACCCCCGACCAGAGGCCCAACTGACGGCCGTCGCTTCGGCTGTGGGCCTGAAGCTGGGGGCCTGGATACGCGAGCACCACCTAGCCTTCAGCTTCTTGAGAGAGCCTGTCATCCAGAAGTTGTCATCCAGACCGCCGAAGAGGGAGGGATGGCTCCAGAGCGCATCATCGAAGGCGTCAGGAAGTGAGTGTTCCACTTCCGTGAGAAATCACACCCGTAGAAGATCACGGCACGCGTGTTGCTCATCAACATCCACAGCGCGTGGCACAACAAGGCTGAGGGCGTTGCCAGCGCAAACGAATCCGACCGAGCGCGTCAGGGAGGCAGCCATCATGAGCACCTCATCCGGAAGCCCACTGTTCGGAGCAGTCATGCGCAGCGCGCCGAACTCCCTTGAATACCAAGGCACTGATCACGGCGCGCGCAGCAGTACCCTCAACTGCACTACGTATCACTCCCAGATCTATGGCGCGCGGCAGAGTGAGCGGCACGGCGAGCCTAAGGGCATCGCCAGCAGCAGAGAAGAAGGCTCTGACAGAGCGCGTCAGAGGTCGCCATCACGACGCAAGCAAGTAATGTACCCCTATTCCGCTTGACCGGGGATTTCCGCCACCCCTTCTGCGAGATACACCGACTGACTAACTTGTTCTGCAGGTTGACGTGGTATTCCCGGTCTCATGTTCTTGCGTGCAAGCAAGATCCCTTTCCGATCAAAACTCCTGGCATCTAACAAGAGCCGTAACTGGCACCCAACCGCATCTACCGCCCAAGCACGGACGCAAACTGTTACCGTCGCTACCTCGAATCCTGACCTTCGAATCGCACAAATCGGTTGCTCCACCCGACGTTCTTTAACCGAAACTACCAAGACACGAACGAATAAAGATGGATGAACCGACGAATCTACCATGACGGCATCTCTAATCACCGCTTGCAGTTGACATAATCAGACCCCGAATATCATCGGAGCAAGGCCCAGCGAACGGCCATCGTCACCATGGCGCGGGCCCGAAGGCTACTACCGTTCATTAGAGTCGGAGAGAGAAGAAAGACGTCAGCAGAAAGGAAGGCGTCATCGTCATCACGAAGACGTCACTCCAGAGCGTCAACTAGGGAGAGACGAGTCAGACGAGTCAGACGAGTCCAGAACGCGTCATCCAGAAGACTGAGTGCGGCCTTCACAGATACCTCATACCTCAAGGCCACAGCGCTCGCATCACTTATCTATGCGTCTGACAGCTTGGGAAACACGACCGAAGCCTTCATGAAGGACTTGCGGAACTTTACAGTCGGAATCGACGCCAAAGAGGACATTCGGCTAAACATTAAGGAGTTGCACCTGACACATGGACTCGTTGAATACCTCACTATGGGTTACAACTGCCTATTTGGCCACATGGTAGCGGAAATTTAGTTGGCGGCTCAGTTTGCAGCTCGCACGATGGTAGGCAGGGCGGTTCCGGAGTAGGGTGGTAAAAGAATGGGTTGCGTGGAGAGGACGCTGGGTACAACTCAAAATAGGTAGCAGCAGGCGACCGTGCAAACGGTGGTTCGGTGAACCACCGACTTGGCTCCATGAACACGCAGTAGTCAAGAGAGACACTTTGCAATGCACACCACATTGCCATGATCGTTGAGGTATACTGAAGACGTGTTGATACTAGCCGATCGTGTGTGAACTTTCCCTCTCATTTCTCGTTAATCTATCAAGACATGAGGGCTGGTCAAGTCACGATACAGCACCCTTGATGGGGCAAAGCACCGGTCGCGCAACAATCAAGGCAGGTGGGCGTCGCATCCGACGCGAGACTCGGCCGTCCAATGCGATTCTATTTTCTAATCCCGAGCTCTAGTAACCTCTTTCAAATATCCTTCAAGGGACAGCCACCTGCGAACCCCTATACCTCAGTAGCTTCATGTTCTGCCGGCAGTTCTACAATGGCGCCGCTGGTGTTTTCCATTGTTTAGCACCTGGCATCTGGCAGACTTATAGAAATAGTAGATGGTTAAGTCTTGGCAGTTGATGGATATTGCTCTGGCGATTAGAGGATATAGAATTGGATTTTCTACCACCGGTCCCGCATTTCTGCCCTAGATCATTCTTTTCACTTTCTTTCCACCCATCGCTTCCCTTATTCAGCCGCCTTGTGGCTATTGTATTTTCCCACCTTTTGAAAACTACATCCGACGATCCTCTCGATTGCAGAGCTATGGATCACTGTGACGAGCCCAGATGCCACGGCGCATGCGGCGGCAATACCCGACTACTCAAGATCAAGACATACTTCACACATCCCCATCCGTACCAGGGATTGTTTCCCTTGATCCTCCCTTTCATCAAGTGCAGCACCAACTGCTACAAGCGGGTTTTGGATTATCAGCGAAGCGACTTTCAGTACATGGCAGATCCCCGCATCGACATGAACATATCAGACATTGAGACAGAAATTGCGCAAGGCTGGAAGAAGCGCACGGTATGTGAACATGATCCCCTTTCTTCGTTTTCTTTCTGTCTTGCTGAGCCACGGCAACACGCTCACCCTGCAAGATACTAATCTTTCTGTTGCTCATCAAGATTCGAAATTCGACAGCTGTATGTGCCGTACGCCGGTCCAGTACGAAATGCCCCCTCCCCGCCTCTCCCTCGGCCACCTGTGCCGCCGGCACATGGAATATGGCTTGCCAAAGCCCATCTGACGACCTCCCCTCAAACCTTCTCGCCCTCCCCGTTGAGCTTTTGGTGAAGGTTATGGAATACGCCGAACCTTCTTATGAGATGCAAGGATTCATACTGCGAGCCTGCCGCACCAATCCTACCGCTGCGATGCCAACACAGTTGATGTTCTACGAGCGTCGAAAATGGGCAGAAATAAGTCTCTTCCAGGTGAACCGCGCTATTCGCCGTCTGGCAACTGGAATATGGGGCCAACCCGCTCGAGATGATGTGCTTTTCGACGCACAAAGGAATACCGTGGTCGTCCAAGGGGAGCGAGTCAGGAAATGCGACGACAGTGTCTCCGACCGTGGTTTCGATTACAAGCCACTACTCATGCTGCAAGATTGGGGGGATCAATATCACTGGATCCGCCACAACGGCGTGCTTATGTTCCAAAGGCCCATGGGCCAAGTTATACCTTGGCACCAACCGACCAAGATGTCCATTCGCTTCCTAGAAGCAGTAAGGAAAATTACCATTGCGGACGACAACGATGCTATCTCGCAAGGTGACATCTGGGAGCATATATGGCGCTTCCTCGATGATTGCTTTGTCAACGCGCGGTTTATCACAATCGAAACACGTCACATGGACGCCTGTGGCGCCTGGCCGGGTATAAGAACCAGGGACCATTACAAGGCACGCGACCTCTGGGTCCTTTCTGGCCTTCTTCGAGCAGAAAACTCGTCCGGAGAAAAGCAGAGAATCTTTCCTAACTTGGACTGCGTCATAATTGAAAAAACCACAACTTCGTGCTCTTGGGAATGGGCCAACTGGCGACATGCACTTGTCACACGCTACACGGGAGAATGGTTATTCGAGACGGGAAAGGGCAACCAGCCAAATGTGTTGATCTCTTGAAGAAACAACATGTAAGATCATGGCAGGAGTTCGGGGTCTTTGGCGGCCACCGAGCCCAGATACCGGAGACTAAAACACATTCACTGTGGGGTATTCAGCTCCAAGAGCTGGTCACTCCTCCGCAGCTTGCAATGAAGACTGGGAAGGTCCAAAGCCGCCACGCTGGGAATAACGCCGCAGTACTGGTCTGGAGATGGCCAGTTTGCCGTTACTAGTTTTCTTCTCGCGAAGACCTCACGACAACGTAACGACAAATATTCAACACTGACCGACTTCCTGGCAACACTTTACTAGTCTCTGCTTTTATTCCCGCTCCTTTCTTTCTGACTTTCTTTTTCTTCTAATCACTGGAGACAACGAATCTTCGCGATATTCGGATCGCCCAGGAGTCTTCAGACGTTCTGGAAGAATGAGTACCGCAAGATATAAGTCTTGACGTACTGCTGGACGATATCTCTTCGTCTTTTGGCGATGCTGATGGCTGATGACGAGGACGTCATCTCTTTTTCTCGCGGGGGGGGGACTTGATAGGCTATGCCGCGCCACACCGTGCCAAGCACCGTGGCCGGCACGGATACAGCAGTAGATAGGCATCCACGTCTTGAAGACCTTATGTCTTCAAGAGGACCAAGACTAAACAAGCATTTGCACCACGCCTCAAGGAGCCTATCATTGGTGGTAACCTGAACCCCCAGGCACTAGCTTCGTACCGACGTGGATAGCTTAGGAGTTGGAGTTGGTGTGAGATTTCAAAGTGTTCTATTGAAGGAGAGAAACCAGCAGTAGTTCCTGAAAGGCAGAAGGCCCTTATATATGTAAGGAATACAGAAAGAATGTATGTGAAAAGGACAGTGTGTCCTTTTCTAGCAATCCTAGCACAAAGGACAGATATGGGGTTTTGGTAGGATTGGTGACGTTGAGACCTCAGGGTGAACCAGAACCCCTAGATTCCAACAGTTGGCCAGTCTGGTAAAGAGTCATAAGATTTTCTTTCGATGGATCAAGATACGTACACATCGTCTTCGGTGCACCATGACTCTGCCAGAGATGAATCACCGAGGCTGATGTTTATGGAGATGATGCTACAATTAACTTATCTGTCAACACCGTGAACAAATGGGGGGTTTTTTTCCCTCATACGGCTGTAACATCACCGGCCGGCCTCTTGGATACGGCAACTCCCCAAGAGTATCTACCGACAACGGGGGAAGCATTAGCTGGCACCGTCTTGCGCATCGATGAGCGAATTCCGGCCACCGATCACGAGCTGGCTTTCAGAAGTCCTCAGCGGTAAAGCATTGGGATTTTTCGTCCGACTTGATATCAATTCAACCAGCAATATTGTAAGCACCTGCGAAAGAAACGGCACGTAAGCCTCTCCGTGTGGATGATTCAGGCGGGGAAATCACCTCGGATGATACGTAGAACAATGTAGCGGATTAACGTTAATATTAACGTTGATGCACATCAACTGTTAATATCTGTAATGTTGTTCGGAACCTTGCCCGCACTCCTCGTTATTATGTGACTATAGCGGTGCGATGACGTTTAAAAAGTACCAGTCGCGAGATGAGCCGTGAACCTCGGCAAGGGGCAAGGGATACATGGGGGTGAGGTGGTGGCTCCGTCTCCCGTCCCGATACGGCACCATGGACCAGTCTCCAACCATGTTGAATTAGGCGCATGACCCGCACGGCGCCAGCTTGGTTGGCTTTATTATCTATTAACAGCGAGGCATGGCAGCGTCCGACCACTGTCAACATGATGATGGCACCCGGTGGCAGCGAATGGCACCAGGCAGAGGCTATGCGAGTGCGTGTATCCCTACGAGTTTCCATAACTGTCGTCTGTCTTGGTCGAAACGGTGGGTGTTTGTAGCCACGTGAAGTCATAGCATAGAGGCACAAACAGACGCAGAGCACCGTGGGAAATCGTCTTTACAATTTCTTTGATGTGAACAGACAGCCCCGCAAATGGCCAACGAGCATCCCGTCTCACAGATGGCGCAAGAACAAAACAGACAGACTATTCCACCTCAACCATCCGCAGCACCAATAGATCCCCGGCTCTCTTGCCCCACAAGGGCAAGGACCAATGACACCGTCTAGTAATTGATGTCAACAATCCGCAACACCATTTTATCCCCGACTTTCTTGCCCAAAAAGCAATGCGCCTGCTTGGATTGCTTACAATGGGTGCATGGAACCCCGTCCTCTTCTTGTACAAGTTGGCCCTTTACTACATACGATCTCAAGCAAGTCCACTCCACGTTTATATTGCCTCCTTCTTCTAAAAACCACTCGCACAGGCCAGCTAGGCCCTACCCATCGGGGCGGGCCAGCAGTGACAACATGCAATACATCAGCCTCTCTGCGTCTACGCCTTGTTGATACGGTGGGCCCATAGTGTCGAGCAACTCTGCCACACATCTTCCAAGCGATTTGAGGTCTTCGGTCATGCCCTCTTCGGGTGTGGGCTTCGGCTTGGAGGCTGCACCGACATCGTGCTTGGGTCGCTTGGCCTGGGGATCCACCGGACCCCCCCCCCCCCCAGACCGCTTCCGGCCGGAGCTCGACGTCGAGCTCGATGTGTCGGCGGTGATCTGCGAGTTGGATGGGGTAAGTGGGAGGTGTGCGGTCCGGAAGTCGAAAGGGGGCTCGGGTGGGCTTACATTGGACTTGTTAAGAGCCACCAGAATCTTGTCCACTTTGGTGTCAGCTCGTCCGTCACTTGCTCAAGCTTCGTGAGTCTCATGGGTTCTCCGCTGTCTCTTGCTCAAGCTTCGTCAGGCTCATGGCGCGCGCGGCCAATGTTATCGCCGCTTCCTGCAGTCCTGTATCGTTCGACATTCTAGAACATGTCAGCTAGGATTCAGTATCAAGTTCCAAGTGATTACACCACAGAATGCCATATGGACAGCGGACGGGCAGAAAAGGGGTACTTACTGCCATTCTCAAGCAGAGTATCCAGCCGAACTAAGCATTTTACAAACATACACACACAATCCTAAGCTAGCATGCGGCAACGACAAGAGTACGTTTTTCGACGACCACGCTTTTAAACTAACGGTCGTATATATTAACCGTTGTCGGATGTGGTGGTGGCTCAGGGTGTGTCCCTAGGTGGTCTGTGCGCTGTGGGTGGGATGGTTGCCCCACAGCTCCGTTACAATCCGTGGATAAAAGTCTCCGCCCGATCCCCATTTTTACCCTTCCATCTACTGCGCCTGTGACGGCCTGCACAGACCTTCCCACATGACAAGCCGATACTTCCCAATAAGGGAAGGATCTGACCAGAGGATCCCCTTAAAGCGGCAACCTCCCACTGTACCTATCTCTCTCTCTCTCTTCCTTTCCTCTCTAGTCTTGATATTCTCGTCAATAGAGTAATAGCTGCTTGCTGCAGGCCATGTCCCAGCTCCCCAGTATGCTCGCCGTGACAGCGCCCTCTAATTCAATTGAACCATAACGCACCCAATTCTGGTGATAAAATTCTCAAATAAATTATATTTAATAGCTAAGTCAATACTGTGTATACCAACCACCAGCGCGCCTCACTGCAGCCATTCGGTCCTCCAGTGACTCCATCAAGACCCGAACTTGCTCCGGATTGATCTCTGACCACGCCTGCTCAATTAATTCGTGTGTGTAGCGATAATAGGGGATATTGTTCTTTAATTCAGAAAATTCAGGCTCAATCTCACGTATCTTCTTCTTTGGAAGTCGCTAAACATACTCAATTGGGTTCATATTGGGACTGTGAGGAGGCCAGTCAATACAGTGGATGCCATGCTCCTCTATCCACTCCGGAACACCGCCAGTAAGGTGGATTTTCGCGTTATCTTGAACAAAAGGATCTCCAGTCTCATAGAATAGAAGCAGGCCTTCCTTAAGAACCCACTTATATGACTCTGTGGATACTCCTTCGCGCGGAGCATCTGGATCGAGTGAGCAGAAGACCAATTTGCCTAGTCCTCCTTCTTTGTTGCATAGCCAGATCATAGACCATATCATTATCAAAATACGAGATTTGCCGTGATCTGTCTTGTTTATGAGATCATAACGGTACCGCTCTAAAGAGAATCGGATGGCCTAATTACCTGGATTACCAGATGAGTTTTGGACCGTAGATTTATCTGAGAATATAGCTCGTAACAACTCCCTTAGGCGTTCTGGTGTGCTGTAATAATTGGCAAAAGCGAGCCTCTTCTGAGCGTCCTTATCCGTGAGCTTGATTCGCTTTGCTGCGCGCCACTTCTGGAGGCTGTGTGCGTGATATATCCTCTTGATAGTCTTAGAAGAGCATGAAATACAGGCTTCATTTTGGATCTTTTGCCACGTCACCCTGGGGAGCTCTCTTGCCTTCTCGATCATATGAGCGCGTTCACGAGTGTTCAAAACGGGTGGACGACCGCTTCTTTGGGCAGATTTTAGTGTAGAGATGGCCTCAAAGTTAGTGGTGATATCGGAGACAATTTTCAGGTGCTTCGTTTTGAACACGGTTACAACATCCCTGCATGTTCTGCCGTTGATTTGTGCCGCCACAATTGCCAAGCGAGCTTCTGAAGTGAATTTGCCGTTAGCGACGCGATTGCCGCTCAATTCATCTCCAAAAGATCGTAAATCTATTATTAATTGTGGTGTTGAGAGAGTGGTGAAGTCGAAGGGTGATTGACGCGTTGTTTTGATCTGAAGAAGATTGTGGTGGGTCAGGCAGAGAGTTTTGTCCACCCAGTTTACCACCGCGTATAGACGCGCTGCAGCCGTATTTAGGTGTAAATCCGTCCGTACCAGGTAGACTTAAGACAACCAACAAACACACATGAATGAACCGAATATTCCGCACGACGAATTCTCACAACCGTATATATACTATTAACCTTAAATTGTACTCATTAGTATATACTTAGATAATATTTATAATATGAACTTAAAAGCCTAGTGGTTGGGAAACGTACTTTTATCGAGTTATTAAAAGATATTAAGGTTTAAAACATCGACTTGTCAAACTTCGGTGTGCAGAATACTGTTCATTTGTTCGTAGATTACCTAAGTGTTCTACTGCTACCTGGGGTGGATGTATTTGTATGCAAATACAATACTAACGCGTCCAACTGGCATTACGGCTGAGCAGTGGGGCAACGGTTGCCAGTCGACCGTTCCTATAGCGCTTGGACCACTCTGATCCCCCGCGCACAGACCACCTCTAACACACACTCTGAGCCACCACATCTGACATGACTTAATAATAACGACAATGAAAGTACGCTTTATAACTGTAACGCTTTTAAATTAACGTTGTAAATACCGATCTAACTATATGTTAATAAGTACGGTCTAAAGCTATTAATATATTTATATATATATATATCGATATATACGACGTTTTAACGCTATTAACAATGTTAAATACCGTACTTTTATCGTTATTATTAGACGACGTTAATTATATAGCTATATGTTTACACTTTTAAAGCAACGGCGTGTATATTGTTACGTAAATATACTAATAGCTTTGAATCATAGCTCAAAGTACATATACACAACAACATATACGACTTTAACGTAAGAGCGTTATCGTTAAGAAACGTACTTATTAGCTATCTGCCGCCAGCTCAACTTTATATGTGTGTGTACAGAAAGTTAATATGGGGCTAGACACTCGGCTTAAGAACGGCAGTACATGCGTTAACGATAGAACGGACGAGCTGCGTATGACTCGGCCGGCGTCCGGGGTATCGGGTCGAAGAGTAGATGATGATAGGAAGCAGTGACTGTGCTTATGGTAGTGACAGAGCACCGCGATGATCGGGTGGCGGCAGCTTGATGTTGACGAGAGGAAGAGGGTGATGGGGGGGAGAGAGTGACTGGGGAGAGAGTGATGGGGGCACGAAGGTGATGGGGCGATGAGGGGACACCGTTTCCTCATCTGTTGAGATATTGTGCAGTTTGGGAAGGCGCAAATGGTGGCATGATGCGCACCTTCTGCAGTTGTAGCCAAGCTCCTTCCCACCTGCGTGCGTGCCGGGCTGCTGCCTGGTGGTGGACCAGGTGGTGTTGCAGGTGCTGGTGCTGGTGGAGGTGGAGGTGGTGGGCGCGCCTGCCTCCCTGAAGTCGAGTGCAAAGTTGGCCCCTAACAAATCACTGCACCATGCACTCTTTTGTTTCGAGTTCTCACCAGTGCTTCGTCGGCTTTCGTTTGGGCTTCGACATACTCTAAGTCCGACAGATCCCCGGACCGACATACCTCAGACAAACTCCCAGTCCGGCTGCCTAACGACACCCCATATCTACCCATCACCTTCGCCCGCTTCTCGCCTGCCGGCGTGTCTGTGACCCTACCAACCGCTCCTCACCTCGTCCACTCATCCATCTCAACAGACAGATTTGGCCTCTCCTGCGCCGACATCCGACGTGGGGATTGTCAAGGTAGCCAAAAAGACCATGAACCAGGGTGGCCGACCTTCAAATATCGAGCTGAAGCAGAGGCTAGCTAACGCACAAGCAGAGGGCAATATTCGTCATAGCCCCCGCGAGACCAACGATCGGGGGCCAGTGGCCTCCCCATCTCGTACACCGGTAAGCACCCCATCGATGACGCCGGTATGAGCGACGAGATAGATGATGACCGGTCACTGAACAAGCCACGATGCGTCAAACCAAGACCGCCCGCCACCAAGCGTGGCATGACCGAGACGGGATCGGTGACGATTCCTAAAAATATCACCCCGGCAAGACTTGAAAAGATGTTCCCTGCCCTTTCCCACCTCGTCATCTTGTCTGAGGTCGATTTCGCTGGCGTATCTTTGCTGTGGAACAGGCCCACTCCATCGAGCGACGACAAGCTAGACTTGGCCTCCATCCCACGATTGCCGTCCTTTAAGAAAGAGGAGGACGACTACTTGGACTTAACCTCCATCCCCCAAGCTGAGCAGGCCAACGAGGGTCAGGGGTCTTACCCACACCCATACAGACTGCGCTTTGCAACTCGCCGGGAGGCACATGAACGACGTATCGCCGCCGAACGAGGCGAGCTCGTGTAAGTACATTTTCGAGTCTATTATTTCGCACGTCTCCAGCTGACCGAGGAGGAGACTGCCGAGCTGACATCCAGGGTCCAGTCCAACGACTGGTTGAGGTTCTGGAAGTACTTCGTCGCCATCTCCAAAACACACCTATGTGACCTCTTCACCTGGGGTTTATGTTCCGACCGTGCCGAGACCTACACCACTATCCACCCCTCACCGAGCTCCTACCACACCCCATCTGGGAAGGCCGTGTCGCCAACCTTAGATAAGTCTTACAGACCGTCGTGGGTCGCCCGATCCCCGACCATATGGCAGTGTTTGGAGAGCAACGTCTTTGTGTTTGGAGGACGGCTAGCCAAGATGATGATCTAGAACAGGGCCATTTGAATACAATCGAATTTCCTCAAGCCAGAGTGAAATATCACCACTAGGGTTTGTGCAGGTATGATATCAGCGTCTCTGCTGTGAATGAATATTCTGTTCGTCTTCACAACCGCTGCGCTGATGTGCACGAACCGTGGCTTGATGTAGTCGGTCGATAAGTTGAGTGGGATGCGAGGTGGGTTGTGCCAGCATGTTGGCCTCCAAGTCCATGGAAAATGAGATGCCATAGTCTACAACGCGGTCTAAATTAAGGCTAGACCGTGATGTGCATTTCTGTCCACTTTTAGTTCAGGACCCAAATCACAATGGCTTGCTTTGGATTGATTCCCTACGTCTTGGACCGTGCTGCACGTCACGCCATCGACCGAAAGAACTGAGTTCTCGATTCAGACTTGAACTCTCATAGCGCCCTGCACCTTAAATCCTATCAGAAACCAATATGATAAACAGGTAATTTGGTAATCGGGAGACGGTAGGAGTCTGACACTGGCACCGCATGCATTGACATATACATTTCCTTCCTGAAGAGATGGTGGATTTATCGTATTGGGACCGTGAACAGGAAAGGCTCCAAGCGGCTCAGCGATGTTGAATTCGACCTAGTGGGCAATCTCGATGACTCCAGGCCCAATACTATCCCGAGCGCCGGCAGCCCCAAAACAAACAACACGTCAAAATCACGCCGCAGCCTACTGTCTCTTTTTCGCGAGCCCTCCTAGCTTCTCCGCCGCAGCCCGGAGATCCGGCACATTGGCGCCCTGGATCATCTTGTGGCCGTTGACAGCGACCTGCTTGCCCTCCTTGAAGAACATGAACGTCGGCATGGCGCTCACGCCGTAGGTGCGCGCGGCGTCCTGGGCATGGTCGACGTTCACTTTGGCAAAGGCCAGGACGCCCGGGATGGCGTGCTTGTCGGCGAGCGCCTGGTACTGCGGGGCGATGACCTTGCAGGGACCGCACCAGTCGGCGAAGAAGTCGACGGCGACGTATGTGGTCGATCTGAAGAGCGCGTCGAGCTCGGCGCCCGAGTTGATGTGGTGGATCTTGTTGCTCATCGTGTTGCTGTCGATTGTAGGTCGAGTCGTGGCTGAAACGGGATGGGATGTCGTCAAAATCTTCGGAGAAGATTTTTCCGCGACCCGTTCTATTTCTGTATCTGGGTTAGTGATTCCCGCACTGGCCACCCAAGCACTGACCACCCAAGCACTGACCACCCAAGCACTGACCATCTAAGCGCTGACCATTTGCCCAAGTTGACTACTGTTGGATTAAAGGTACGCCTAGAGGGCACCTTGACAGTTAGGCAACGGAACCTAGTTGTTCCGTCCCGATCCAGCCCCCTCTGGCACAAAACTGCCCACTGTCGCACAAGGACACTAGAGAGACAGAACACACACACACACTTCAACCTCACGATTGGCTCAAATCTGACATATAGTAGATGAACATGGCGAGCGAGGCTATGCTCACCGGGTAGTCCGGCTATCATTGGATGTCTTCCTGTTTGACGTACGTATTAGGTGCTTCGACCCCTTATTAATACGCCGCTCATTTCTCAGCTAAAAGACCCCTTGAGCTGCAGCCTTTGGCGGGGTCTCATGCAAGCGTAGTAGACGTAGAGTAGCAGTATCCTCTTAAGGTGTAAGTACGACTTGAATCGCAGGGACGTTAAAATTAAGAATTAAAACTAATGAAACGACGAGGATTTTTTCTTTTTATGTAACGAGGTAGTTTTAAAGCTAGCTAATTCAATGTATATTAAAAGGTATTAAAGTAGTTAAATAAAAAACGCGTTCATTAATTAAACAATTAGTTATTATACTGTAAGTATTAACCTTTATTGTGTGACGAGCCGTCTAACCTATAAGGGTAAAGGGTTCTATAAGGTTTATATTCTGAGGTAAGTCAACACAAAGGACGATAAAGGCTTCTTTCAACTAGAAGACACTCAGATGCTGGGGCTTGGTCTGAACTGGGTTCACTGCGTAGTCGAGTCGTCAGGAGATTTTTCTCATCTTAGGGTTGGCTAAGATGCTTAGATTGATCACTGAGATAGAGACTGTCTATCTATCTAGTTGGGAAATGTCGGGTTTCGACGCAGCGCTGAACTACAAGTCCCCGTCCTTCCGCAACGACCTCGCCGCGGCCACGCCCGACTTTGTCAACGTGTACTGGGACAACGTCGGCGGCGAGATCCTCGACAAAGTGCTGGAGCGGGCGGCGCTCCATAGCCGCTTCGTCATGTGCGGCGCCATCAGTGGCTACAACACGAGCAAGTCGCAGATGGCCGGCGTGAAGAATTTGGTGCATGTCATCAAGCAGCGGGTTACTATGCAGGGCTTGTTGGTTCTGGATTACTATCCCGAGTTCGCGGAAGCGCGGAAGGACTTGGGTCGCTGGCTGGAGGAGGGCAAGCTGAAGTGCCGGGATACTGTCGTTAAGGGCGGGTTGAAGGAGATCGACCAGGCTGTTTCCATGTTGTATGCCGGCGCAAACATCGGGAAGATGTTGCTGGAAGTCAAGGCGCCTTAGATACTACTGCTCCTGGGTACGTGGTCATGCCAATCTGCGTATTTTCTGCACAGCTGAGTCCTACCGTCGATAGTCACTGATCATTTGGGTGCAAGGCGTAGATGATGTCATATACGGGTCACCTTCATCAGAGGAGTCATGGAGCATGCACTTCTGCGATGACACATAGGCTGCAAGAGTCTCGGTTCTCTAACAAACCAGGAGATCAACTGTGAGTCTAACGGATGCATGCCGCTTACGGTGAGTCTTGCAACCTACGCACCGAGGCAGAAACCCCATGTGCCTTCGCGGAGTCGCTAATATGGTGTACCTGTTGGCAAGAGTGTTTTTTGGCCTGATTGGCTGCCAATGTAACGTCGAAGTTGTAATCAAAGACCCGTCCCTTCTCCGCGCCGTGCGTGAGGAGGTCAAAACGACCATGGTGACCGACCCCGAGACTGGGAATCAAACCCTGAACATGCAGAAGTTGGTAGCTTCTACCTCTGCTGCAGTCTATCTTCACCGAAACACTGCGGTTACGGATCGACTTTAAAATCACCCGCGACGTCAAGCAATCCATTACCTTGGACGGGTGTACAATCGCAAAGGGCTCTTTGCTGCAAGCGCCCATGATGGTATCTCATTACGACGAAGCCGTCTGGGGAGGCAGCGGCCATCCTGCCTCGGAATTCTGGGCGGAACGCCACATCAAGTATTTCAATGGCGAGCGCGTGTATGCCATGGCAGGACGACAGAGTTCCTATTTCCCGTTCAGCGGTGGGGCGAACATGTGCCCCGGCCGTCAGTTCGCCAAATTTGAGATTCTGACCACGATCGCACTCGTAATTTCACGGTTTGACATCGAGCTGCTGGGATGGACCAAGCTGGATGGGTTGTCTTCAGATCGAGCAGCCCAGAGTGACTTGCGATACTGTGGAGCAGGGGCTATGCCACCGGATCGTGACATGAAGATTAGATGGAAACGATTGTCTTGACCCAGGATGATGTGCCTTCCCAATAAAGCCTTGTTACCTGAGTTGCGTTCTTGAATATATATGGCGCTAGGTAATTAGCATTGCACCTGTTTCGTATAGCCAAGGCTCAAGGCCGGTGGAAAGGCCATGGATAGTTGATGTACACAATCTCGAGCTACGTGAGATCCCGAAAATAACAGTGGTGGGGCCTCTGTCGGAATGGTGGGTGTATTCAGCAGCCTATGTATTGCGAAGGGAGAAATCTTCACGCTACAGTACGGTCCCAGGGGTGCGAGAGTGAAGCCACACGCATGAGCTGGACCGCCTTCAGGTTTACGTTAAGGCTTCTCCCAAAAGCCAGCCGGGGCCCTGGAGCCGACCATTTTCACCATTATACCAAATAAGTACCGTCCTATGCAGTCACGATTTGTTAAGCAACTTTTCATCTGTGTACATCTTATGGATGCCAATTCGAGTCATATCCGCGCACACTCTGACCATGGAGGGATATCCCATCCGCTCTTACTATTGCACTATGTGCCAATCTATACAAGTGGCGGTATAGCAAGCAGTGTAGTAGGGATACAAGCATGTAGTACCATGTAGCCGAGTTTGTCCAATCTTCAGCTGAGGGTAGTCATCATCTAGTTGTCAGACTTGGCCATTTCCATCTCCTGTTTAAACGGCAGCAGGCCATGCAAGATCTCACCTGTGTGAGTCCATCCATCTTCGTCTTCAACCCACAGGCTATTCTACTTCGCCAGCAGATCATTAAGGTGGTGGGAGGTCAGGGTACCATTTACGACTGGTGAAGTACGCGGGATCTTTGTCCCCTCAGAAGACGCCGACGAATGGTCTATAAATAGTAATGATGCTCTTCATCCGTTGCGGTTATGAGCTTATGAGCTTATAAGCTACCTTCATTCTATCCACACTGCTGTTGTAGGACACTGTCACCCCCGCATGATGCGCCTCTTCAGCCGGAGCTATAGCGTATATGTATGCTTCTCCAAACTACATTTGGCCTCTTATTTCTCATTGCTCAGCCACCAAACTTGCTTATATTACCATCCCCCCATAGAAGTCGGCCACCCCCACTAGTCGGCCACCCAAATCGTGGGGTCACCACCAAAACACCCCCTTATTCACCCACCCACGAATGAAGCTATTCAGATCGGAGATTTATGGCAATGTTATCATTCAAAAGCGCTGAAGTTTTTCACTCGTACAATCGTACGGGCGCCTGAATGGCTCACCCCGAACGGGTGTGCCTAGGCTCTTGTATAGCCTCCAAAATCTCCTCTTCAGCCGAGTCTTTGTCTTCGTCCTCTGAATCCTCTGAATCCATAATTACAACTTCTGTTTCACCCGTAAGGGCACCAGGGGTGATAGTACCACCCGTATTTAGTATCTGTGTGACTGTTCTGAATTTCCTGTTAGGATTAGGGACCTTTTTCTGTTTTTTAGGCCGTGCCTGCTCCAGTTCAGCCTCCAGAGCCTTGATCTTTCTATTCTTGATCGCAAGCTTGGTTTCCTTAGGCTTGAACGCGTTCGCTATCTTTCTATACTTCAGCCTGGTTCCTGGGGATCTTTTTTTGCCGAAATCCGTGATCAGGCGGCTCGTAGTAGGCGTCCGCTGGTCCTCTGGTTCAGAGCTTTCAGGGGTATCATGCTCAGGGGTCTTGCGTTTGTCTTCTTATATTTCTGGGTGCTTTAAGCACTTCTTGCGGCTGATAAGATGATATCTAGTGACTTTGAAGCCAGAGAGGATGTTTTGCTTTGTGAAGGAAGTAGTTCTGGCTTTGCTATAGCACCAGATGAAGTTGATCTTGTTAACAAGCGAGGCATCCGTCAAGGAATTCAGCTCAGAGAGGAATTTCTGGTAATATGCCTTCAGGGAATTATAGGGACCGTTATCCAGGGGTTGCATGCCGTGACTAATAAGCGCAGGAAAGAAAGAGAGTATTATGTTGTTAAGAAAACATGAAGTCATGAATTCGTCTTATTAACAAGCGTTAGACCATATTAAATCAGGAAAAATTAAAAGAAGTCCATTTAAAATAAGGAAAAATCGTATACATCCAGAGGTGTGGCTCTTGTGGCCATCTAGTATCAAGAGGATAGCCTCAGACTGATCCTCTCCTCGTTCTTCGTCTGCCTATGGGAGGAAAACATCTTCTAGCCACTTGCAGGCTATAACATTCGAAGTCCAGCCGTTCTCTAAGCATATATAGTGCCAGTCTGCGGTCTTTCTAAACTTATAGATGAACACTGTACTTGGAGGTCCTTCCCCTTAAAGATAATACCTGGTTTAAGGATTTTTCCAGTTGCTGAGATGGTCTCGATAAAGGAGGTCCAGTTACGGCCCTGTGGGCTCTTTAGAAAGGCTTTCTTGGTAGCAGAACTACCAGAATTAAGAAATCGATGCCTATGAATCTAACGAGATTTTTTTCGAAATTAAAGGGGTAGATATAGCTACCAAAACCCGCCATAATGCCGCCCTTATCGATGTTATAGGTGTTCTTTGGCTTCACCCAGCCGTAATCTTCGAGAATTTCGAAGAACCAGTTAACTGACTTGGGCGTGAACCCCTTGAAGCGTGCTGTTTCTATCCTTTTGCCGACTTTTGTCTTGATTTCGGGATTGCGGTGCTTAAAGGCTGCCATGAAGGTGTCCCCTAGGGGGCCCTCATCTCCCTTCTTCATCAACAGCTTCTTGACAATCTCATGAACCAGGGAGTGCAAAAGGGCTAGGCCGAGCTTTTCCTGTAGTAAAATCCATTTGATTATAGTCTTTTCCTGGGCAGGGGATAGTCTCTGTTACTGTGTGTGGGCTTCGGTTCTGGTAGCTTTGCCGTTGAGTCGATCAGATAGTGTTTGGTGCGGAATACCGTATTTTTGACCGGCTTTCCGTACAGATAGGCCCTTATCTGTGATATCTTAGATGGCTGAAGCCATCTGATCCTCCGTATACGAATATAGAGGCATTTTGGGCGACTATACCATGCTGCGGTGCATATAGAACGAGGCTTCAGGAGAGCCGTGAAAATCTCTATTCAAGGTACTAAAAGCGGGGTAATAGCTCCTCAATCACGTAAGCCGGGAGGGGTAAATTTAGCATTGGGGAAAATTCCAAGATCAGGGCTATCTAGAGCACTAAATACCTCGTGAATAACTTCAATATCAGGCTGAATCTGTATAAGTGAACATGTGGGAGTTTTGGTGGTGATGGTGGGGTTGGCTGGCCGACTAGTGGGGGTGGCCGACTTCTATGGTCGTGATGGTATTTAGCTCTTCAACCAGACAATTTACCCTCCCATCATCACCGACACCATCACCAAGACTACTCTTTACTCCATTACCGATCTAATCACCGGTTTCATCACCAACACCAGGTGGACCAACACTGGACCGCGACGCCCTGTGCCAAGTGCAAGATCGGGACGCACGCTGTCAGGGGCTGTCCGCACAGAGACCGCCGCTGCAAATTCAGAGCATGCCCGGCCACAGCGAGAAGGATTGCGACACGACGTGCCGGAAGCATGCCTTATCAGACAAGAAGATCCACAATATATGGGACTGCATATTGACGGATTGCCGGTCGTTTGCCCCATCCACCTGACGAACAGTAACTGGTGCTCCGGGGACTGCCGGTTCCTCGAGCACTGGCGTACAATATGCCCCAGGGCCGACCCATAACGTCAGACCGTACCAGTTGTGCTGCGAGGAGACGTCCTAGTGGCCGACGCCGCATGCCTCAACCCTAACGAGGAGCTCGCCAGGACCGGGGAGCCGGAGCGGATCCTGCTCCAGGACTAAAGGGACGCCTAGCCCTCCGAAGGCGGCTTGCGTGTACTTCTTGGGGAGGGCCATAGTAAGAGGGTGGCTCGGGTACGCGGAGGCTTCATCTCTAGGAATTGTCTGTCAATCGAATAGGTTCGAGTGTGGACTATCTTATATATTCCTCGAAGATGCCCGTGACAGGTTTGGAAGCGTGATCTGTTAGATAGAAGGGGGAAGATGATCGTGGTAGGTCATTGGCTGGTGAAATGGTAGTTCTCGTCGCCCACCTTGACTGCGAGTCTGGGCTGCTGCAACATACGAAAAAAACCTGTGACTTATATGTGTTAGATGCGTATATGATAGCTCTCTGCCTGAACAGATAATAAGGGAAACAAAGTAAGTATATATCACGGAATAAGATAAAAATATTTATCTAAATAAAATAGCGGGTGTGGGGTAATATAATGAAAAATACTGCAGAAAGCTCAATCTCCAATCCGACCCTATTAGACGGCAACATGCCTTGGCCTGAGCGAAGCCCTATCTACTTGCATGCTAGCACGTCCCGGAATCGAACCGGAGACTTACGAAAAACCCGTTTTAGAGAGATTTTGTCTCATACCGCTATACCAAAAGGCCTTAAGGGTTAACGTTGGTACAGGGCGTCGGTGAAAGTTTGGGCTGAATTTACGGTACATATAGCGTGCAGGTGTTGTTGCTAGGGAACTCGACTCGACCTGACCTGACCTGCTCAGCCAGCGTGGCGATCCGGAGGGAGCAAGTTCGATCCCGGACCGCGCACCACTTCCTGCTTTCTTCCCTTTCCTAAATTTCAAGCCAAAACGAAGAAAGCCCCTCCATTAGGTAGCCAACGTCATAAGTCTTTGCTGAGTGTTCGTAAGATTACAAGACTGCCTCCACGTATGCGGTGCTTACGAAGCCGATCAAACGGCACTCGGCAATCTCCTGACACCAGACACCAAGCCACCACTGAGGCAGTGATGTACTGGTCTTGCCCGTAAGGCTCGCGTTACAGTGCTCAACCTGGACTCGCAATGCTGCTTCGAGCCTTGGGTTTATTGTACGTACCTCATGTCCATCGGCCGGTTTGTACGTGGTGTCGCCTGACAACGGTCAACGTGAGCCATATCATTCACATCCCAATATGCCCGGCCACATGGGATTCTGCAAGGTGACGACCCTGAATATACACAGCGAGGGATATAAATCGCACCATATAATACACTGTGCTTCCAAAGATAGTCGGGAGGCTCCCTTATCAATGCCAGCTCTGCTGCCCAACCATGCAAAAATAACAACCCACATGTTCGCTGAATGGAATTACTTGCTCGCTTCCGAGGTCTCCTTTGAGCTATCGACAGAACTGTTTTCTGGCTTGTTGGCATCGATAGATTCGTCTCCTTCTTTTGCTTTTTGTTCCGTAGCTTCCTTTGCTGCGCTTTGCTCGGGCCTCTTCGAGTTGACGATACTCAGCAGGTGAGCGCCCGTATCTCCAAAACCATCGATCTTGTCGAGTCGAGCATTGAGGTATTCGATGTCGGATCTCATCCTGTTGTTCCATTAGTTGTCATTCAGGCAAGGCTAGGCAGCTTATACAACGTACCGATCGAGTGCAGTCTCGGTCTTCGCCTCGATCCCTTCCAAGCTTAAGCCTAGCTGCGACTTGTAGCTCTGGAATACCGGCGTCATGATGAAGCGAACTGTGCCTTCTGGTAGATGTTTTGTGAGTACGCGATGCAGGGTGACTGTCTCCTTTACGAGCCTCTCCATATACTCGTTCACCTTCGAACTCATCTCCTGCTCCCAATTTAACCCTTTGATGGTCTTGGCATGTGCGGAGGCTCGTCCAGTCATGATCTCGACCAACTTGTCGTATATGTTGTTCTGATGTTCTTGGAATAGGCGCTTAACCTTGTCGAACTCGCCCATAAGACCGGCGACAGCAACGTTGTTGACGCCAGGTCCCGCACCGGCATGCCGCCGTACGAACTCGCGAATATGCGGGATTAACGTCGAGATGAAAGCTAAAGCCTGAGATGCGAGGGCGAGATGCCTCGTGGTGATGTTCTTGAGTCCTGCTGAACGGGTCGCGCCGGCACCAAGGATGAGTTGTGTGCAACGAGAATTGAAGAGTTGCAGATATGCAACAAGTGAGCTGGACACGTCGGAAGCCATGGAGGGTATGCCCGATACCAAATGCAAGAAATGAGACATGCCTTCCAGACAGAGAATGGCTGAGTTGGGAAGTATGAAGGGTTCGGAATCGATCACTGCGCTCCGAATCTTCTCCTTTGTTGTTCCATTTGACTCCGCTCTTGGACGTCCGTTAGACGTTGAGTCTTCCGTCTCGCTCTGGGCTTCTGAGAACGGCAACCAGATCCTGCTCCCTTCCGTCCATGCAGGACTGTCTTTCGTGCTGCATTCCAAGACCCGGCTCAGCAGATTGTTGTCTTTTTCGGTAAAGTCCTGGGCGCTCCATTGATCAGACTCCATACCCTGGGCAAGTTTCTGTTTCTCCGCGTCACCATGTAGCTGGATGAATTCTTTGATATGAGAGTTGACAACAGTCTTCAGAGATGTGCCGCTTCGGCCGGATATTGCTTCGCATTCGTTTGCGAAATAGAGGTTAAGTGTGAAATATCTCAGAAACCACACAAGTGGTAAGTGAGTGCTTTGGTCCGATCGGACGCGGAGTACCTTCACAATCTTCTCCTGTGAGATATCAACCGCCTGCCCAAGAAGGTTCGCCATGTCCATGGTTAAGTGAATATCTTCCTGAACATCGCGGTTGGCGCTGTTGAGAGGCGGCGATTTCAAGGAAGTCGGCGAGAGCAATCCTGAGTTGGGTGTAGGCGGTTCTCCCGTCGAACTTGCGACGTCAAACAGCACCTTCATTTGTGTGGTTAGCCTCCGCAAGGTCTCCGTCACACTGATGTAGATTTTCGTAAATAGTGCTTCGGCATCCTCTTCATCGAGTGACCGAAGATTACGTGCCAGGATGGACGACTTCTCCTGCTGAGTCAAGCGCTTTGAGCTCAGCGTAGAGGCAGACATCATCGACTCGTTGTCGTCATCATTTGATGCGGGCAGAGGCCGTTTAACGAGGCTTCTGATTTCCCGTATTACGAGCTCGCGGTAGGATGCTATTGCGACCGTGATGTGTTTAGAACGGTGCAATCCCACGAGGACCGGTAAAAGCGGTGAGCGAAGATTGTCGGTTTTGGCCAAATAAGCCGGAAAAGCCGACGGATCTCTGATATGAGCGCCGCGTGATCGCATCGCTGAACTGCTCCATCGAAGGAGCACATCCTGATTCGAGACCTCACTAACGTGGCGTCTCAGGTCTCCAAGCATAATGTCGAGAAATCGGGACTCAAAGGCTTTACCGATACGGAAACGTAGAGTAGATATATCGCTGTTGACTCCCTGAAGAGCAACAGCTTCGCGAAGATCCCGCAGCTGAGGAGTACGAGATCCATCTTGATTTGAAAGAAGTGGCCCGCTGCCAGCGATCAGCTTTTCCAGAGCGTCGATGTTGGTCAGTGCCTTTTCAAGTTCTCCAGCATCCACCACGTTCTCACAGGCCGCAACAGCTTCCACGATGTCTTGCAGCTGCTTGACAGCGTCATTCAGTTGCTGCAAGTTCTCGCGCCGCCGTTGTTTTTGTACAATATTCAATCCACTGGTCGCGATTTCCTGATCCAGTGCATCTAGCTCTTCCCTTAACACCCTGATTCTGTCAACTGACTCGGCCGCTTCGGTGTGCAGTTCCCTTAGCGATCCTAAAGCTGTGAAGAAGGTCGTCGAAGCGGTCGAGATGGAGGAAATCAGGTGCATCTCGATAGTGTCCATGTACCACGACAACTTCTCTTGCAATATGGCATTGGTCGCAAGAGCTTTACGGGGTGCGGGAGCACTGCCATTGGCAGCATGCTTGTCGTCAGCAGAACCAGGAACTGGTCGTACCACTTCGGACCGTTCGCTGACGATGTCGAAAGTTCGTGGGTTTTCAAGGTGGAAATCCTCGTCGGAGTAGACATTCGGTATGGTTGATAAAGGCGGTGGCCCCTGGGCTTGTTTCCGGCCGTAGCCTGAACTCGACCTCCTACGCATTGCCATTGGGGTTGAAGGAGGCTCAATTGGTGATATTGACCTAATGGACGCAGTCGACAGCTTCCGTGAGCTTACAGGCCTGCTGCTGGGCCTCAAGTGGCCATCCTCCCCGAACCCCGAGATATCTTCGGCTCTGCTACCGCGACGAAAAATCTGGTCACTGCCATCATCCTCACTCTCCTTCACCCGCCTCAGCTGTTCGTATAGAGCTCCGACCTGGGAAAGATACGGCTTGAATTCGGAAGCATCGATACGTTGTATACTGGTCAAGGTGACGGGCGGTATGTCTCTTGCCGTTGGCGGCTTGTGAGCACTGGATGCTGGGGCGGAAGTATGCGGTACTAGGCCGGTTCGAACGATTGGCGGCTGCAGCAAGGTGGAAATCGCATTCTGACCCGTCTCGACAAGGGACTGGGACCAGGTGCTTGACGAGGTGTCAAGCTGACCACCAACTGCGTATATGGAGCTCGCGGTCGAGCCGCGCCGTAGATTCGGATAGGATGTTACCGAGCCTTGTCGGTGGAATGGGAATTCGTGCTGGGAGGTCGGAGACCACGGCGAGATGCTGTCGACAGACTTGCGAGCTGCCGAGTTGGAGAACATGATTTCCCCAGCACGTAGTCTTGCAGTTGGCAAGAACAAAGGCCAGACTGAGGCGAGAGAAGCCGGACGGCTTATCGGAAAGGCTCGCGGAAGGCTACCGAGGAATCATAACTGTGTCGAATGCGACTGACAATCAGGGACGCCAGCGATCCAGAGGGAGGATATCGAGCCGCAAATGGTTCGTTCGTCGCTCGTTCCGTATAGCGCAGATGGTGACGCCGTGTAGGGAGGAGGCAATACTAAAAGCAAAAGCAGCTTTGTCACTATTGTAGGACGGCTTGTCGAGCAGTATAATCAATTGACTTTCTTCTCCCAAGCACGGTCTGTTCTGTCACGTCGGTCGGATCGCATTAGGTGGTCGCAATAAGCCTTGGTAGTGGCTGGATTACCTTGCTGGCGAGCCTCCGCTGTAGAGATGCCCCTGGCCGAGTCCATACGCTACTGGCTTACTGCATTTGGTCCCGGCTATCTGCACGTGACTGTAACCACCTCACCCCCGGCTGCCCGGTTTACCAACGACCAACTTGGGGCTAGCGCCAATTGGGGTTAGCTCTGGCTGCAACCACTCAACGCGACAACTTGGGAAAGCGCGTCTTAGCGTTCTTTGATCTCGACGCGCCTGCCCCCGTGCTCCAGTTTAATCTTGTCTCTGTCAACCCCACGATCCACCCCCCTACCCTATCGCTAACTGCCAACCGACGCTTCTCTCCCTCCTCTGTTCTGCGAACTGACGAGGCAGCTTTATTCGAGTGTAATTCCCTCTAAGTATTGCAGCAATCATCAAGATGGATCGCCAGTCTGTCTATTCCGTGTCTGTCTTCCAGAACCAATCGGGTCCCAACGAGGATACCAGACTGCAATTACAGGAGCAGCTGGTCACTTTCATTCTACAATTCAGGCATGACAACATCTTCGTCTACAGGTGCGCCCCCTTCCTCTGTCCATATTTCCCTTGCAGGCGCTCACAGTGGACGATGCAGAGACCAGTTGCGAGAGAATGCGCTCTTGAAGAAGTTCTACTGCGACATCAACATAACCGACTTGATCAAGTTCAACGAAGAGCTGGCGCATAGGCTGGTGACAGAACCCGCTGAGATCATTCCCCTCGTATGTCACCAACCCTCGCGGCTCGCACAATGATTACGGTGGCAACTAACGGCGTGGTAGTTCGAAGCCGCGCTACGAAAATGTACTCACCGCATCGTCTTCCCCCACGAGCCAAAGGCCGATGTCCCCGACCACCAACTTCTACTCCACTCGACCGCCGAAGATGTGTCGATTCGAAATTTGGACTCGGAAACCATCGCGCGCCTAGTTAGAGTCTCGGGCATTGTGATTGGAGCCTCCGTCATGTCGTCCAAAGCCACCGAATTACATATCCAATGCCGGAATTGCGCCCACGGCTCCGTGGTTCCTGTCCTCGGCGGGTTCACTGGCGTCACTCTACCACGACAGTGTGGTAGGCAAAGGGCGCCCAATGACCCAGCTGAGAAATGCCCTATGGACCCCTACTTTGTTATCCACGAGAAGTCCCGATTCGTCGATCAGCAGATCATAAAATTACAAGAAGCACCCGACCAGGTACCCGTTGGAGAACTTCCACGACACGTACTAATTTCCGCCGACCGGTATCTTACCAATAGAGTCGTCCCGGGCTCGAGGTGTACCATCATGGGTATCTTCTCCATCTACCAAAACAAGGGTTCGAAGAACTCCTCCTCTGGCGGCGCAGTCGCCATCAGAACGCCCTACCTCCGAACTGTAGGCATCCAGACCGATACAAATTCGACTGCGAAGGGCAACTCAATCTTCTCGGAGGAGGAAGAGCAGGAGTTCATGGAGCTCAGCAGAAGACCGGACCTTTACAGCATCATGGCTGACTGCATTGCTCCCTCAATTTACGGGAACCGTGATATCAAGAAGGCTATTCTGTGTCTGCTTCTCGGTGGTTCGAAAAAGATTCTGCCCGATGGAATGAAACTTCGAGGTGACATCAATGTTCTCCTCCTCGGTGACCCGGGTACAGCCAAGTCGCAGCTGTTGAAGTTTGTCGAGAAAGCAGCACCGATCTCTATCTACACTTCTGGCAAGGGTTCTTCAGCAGCCGGTTTGACTGCCTCGGTTCAGCGTGACCACTCGACACGAGAATTCTACCTGGAAGGTGGTGCTATGGTTCTGGCAGATGGAGGTGTCGTGTGTATCGACGAGTTTGACAAGATGCGTGATGAGGACAGAGTAGCTATCCACGAAGCCATGGAACAGCAGACGATATCGATCGCCAAAGCAGGTATCACAACAATCCTCAATGCGCGAACGTCAGTCCTTGCAGCTGCCAATCCTATATTTGGCCGCTACGATGACATGAAGACTCCGGGCGAGAACATCGACTTCCAAACGACCATCTTGTCACGTTTCGATATGATTTTCATCGTCAAGGATGAACATACACGAGAAAAAGACGAGCGGATTGCGAAGCACGTTATGGGTATACACATGGGTGGTCGAGGCCTTGAGGAGCAAGTGGAGGGAGAGGTGCCAGTCGAGAAGATGCGACGGTACCTAAGCTACTGCAAGTCGTAAGTCGATCCTATCCCAATCAATGCGCAGGATGATCGGGAGACTAATAGTGACCAGGCGTTGCGCACCTCGTCTATCCCCAGAAGCAGCGGAGAAGCTCTCCTCGCACTTTGTGTCCATCCGCAAACAAGTGCACGCTTCTGAAATAGAGGCCAACACGCGCTCCAGCATCCCAATCACAGTCCGACAGCTCGAAGCCATCGTGCGTATCACGGAGGCGCTCGCCAAACTCACGCTATCGCCCATCGCCACTGAACAGCACGTCGACGAGGCCATCCGTCTCTTCCTGTGCAGTACCATGGACGCCGTCAACCAGGGCTCGAACCAGGGCAGCCGCGAGCTGAATGAAGAGGCGTCGCGCGTCGAGGCCGAACTCAGACGCCGGCTGCCGATCGGCTGGAGTACGAGTCTAGCTACGCTGCGCCGCGAGATGGTCGAGGGCAAGGGCTTCAGCGAGCAGAGTCTCAACCGTGCCTTGATGGTGCTCCAGAGGAGGGACACCATCATGTTCCGGAATCAAGGCTCACAGGTGTACCGCAATGGTGCGTAGTACGGATGACGATGGGGCAGAGAGTTGGTAGAGTTAAACTTTGCGGTTATGATATATGGAATGCTGTACGAAGGCGGGATCGTTTGGAGTTCAGGTTATTACTTGTACGTGCAGTTGATTGTACAGGCACTTGTTACGGCTATGACGAGTTCGGAATGCATGGCAGTTGACGCGGGAGATACGGTAGTTATCACGAAGCCTCTAGATAACACAGAACGGCTCCTCGCTTAACTGGTGATCTGTTTATGTCTGAGCAATGGCTGGAGTCGAGTGTCGTGGGAAAGTGAGAGAAGCTCTGGGTGCACAAATACGACATGACATGATTCCTGAATTTGCCTTCCTCCCCAGAAGAGTTCATAACAGCGCATCGCGATTGGAAATTCATGATATAGTGGAAATAACGCATGGTATAAACTACCACAAGGGAGAGTGAAGTAACGCAACAACACAATTCTCAACGCGTACGCTAGCTCCGAGTGTCTTCCCTCAAACCACATGCCTGCCACCCAACCCGTTCCTATCGCTCAACCAAATACTTCTGACATTGAATTTGCGCATCGCAAGGAAATGGAGTCTAGGCATAAGCAAGCGTCCCGTCCGGCCGCACAGCGCCCACGACGCCCAACGCAGCTTCGCCGCCCGCGACAGCTGGGCCACGGACCACGACCTCGCCGACGTAGCTCTCGTCCGTGACTTTGTGGCTCCCGCTGTCCCGGAGGTAGAACTCGGTGCTGCTCAGCGGCGGGCCGAAGTGCGACCCGCTGCCGTCTCCCGAAATGCGGTAGTCGTGGAACTGGGTCTGCGTCACGGCACCGGCGCACTTGGGCGCTGCCAACGCGTAGATGACACGGGCGCCGGTGAAGACGCGCAGGTCGGAGAGGGTCGTTTCAGAGAGACGGGTGTCTGTGGTCTTCTCGTTGGCGGGCTCGGCGACGTAGAGGAGGCGTAGCTTGCCTGGCGCCGTGTTGCCGATGCGCGGGCGCAGACCGTCGTTGTATGAAGCTAAGAAGGATGCCACAGGCATTGCGCCGTTCTGAACCAAGCTGCGCGTCTGTACCCAGTGCGAGAGCTGTGTCAACATAGAGGAAATACGGCCGGTGGTCTCGCCGTGGGTCTTCTTCAGGGTCTCGGGGGTCGCGACGACGATGGTGGGCGCAACGCCGGTGGTGGCCAGGTCCAGATCCGTCACACTTCCAGCCACGGAGTTGAAGGCAACAGAGGAGTTTGAGTACATCGCAGCAAGGGTCAGGACAAGGGTGTAGGAGGAAGAGAGCGAGGCGGCGGGTAGGAAGAGGTCAGCGGGCGAGAAGCGTTCCCTGGTCGGTACAGCGGTAAGCTGGGCTGAGATGGCGGACACGAGGTTGCCTTGCGTGAATCGCACCATCTCCTCGAGAGTACTGGGCTCCGACTGCCAAAAGATGATCACATCCTTGACCTCGGCCTTGCTGTCTGCCGCCGGCAGCTCTGTTCCGGCGGTAAGGGGGTTGTCGTTGACAATCTCTTGCCAAGTAGAAACGTTGACGCTGCCTCCCATGCCTTTGGGCACCTCGTTCCAGTCCAGATGGTTGCTGCCCTCGTCTACGACCCAGATGAGCTGGCGCAAAGCTGGGCAGCTCTTGACTGCGCTGTCGAAAGGGAAGGCTCCGGGAGCAGTGACGACGGTGTCGGCACCCGACCTCTGAAGCATGGAAATGACGGCATCTTCTGGTTGGTCAAATGGCAGTAGGATGGCAGTCAAGTTGTAGAAGCAGCATGCGAAGAGTGTTGCGATGAACTCGACAGAATTGGGCAGGTAGATGGCAACCTTGCTTCCGCCCTGAGAGGAAATGTGTTGTCCAATGAGGTTGATCTGTCGTGTGATATCATCTGCAGCTTGTCAGTACTCGAATGCCCAATTCTTCAATTATCATCTTACCGAGCTTGTGCTCGATGACCTTCTGGCTGCCCAGCACGGTCAGAATACGACCTTTCCCCTTGGGACCGTCTTCCTCAGGCGGTCCAGAGATAGTCCTTCGCCAAACATCCCTGAGATCGCCATCCCGTCCCTGGGCCCATTTGGAGGCCCCGGGGTCCTTGACGTTCAGGCCGCTGTTGAGTGGCAGGCTGTGGGGAGCCGAGTTTCCGCGATAGACGGGAGACTCTCGCTCCTGGCGGACGGGCGAGCCTTGCGCCTGACGGGCCAGAAGCATGGGATGAATCTCGGGTTCTACCCGTGTCATGATGGCGTAGGTGATGATGAGAACAAATGCCGTGGCAAGGCCGGTGGAGTAGCCATTCCACTGGCCCAAGAGGGAGGTGAGACCCTCATCGAGCTGGGCGAGTATGTTGCCGAGCCCCATGCTGACGCTTCGGACGGTTGATAGCTCGGTTAAAAGCAGCAGCACAGACCAGATTCTCTCCTCATGAGACTCGAAGATTTCGCAAGGTAGGCACCATGAAAAATGCAAGTTCTCGCAGGTGGAAAGGAGGTTGAGGAAAAGGTCAAGGTGAGAAGTCCGGTGCTGACATGTGTGCCTAGTTCACGGGTCCTGATATGGATGGATGGTGGTCGCGAGACTAGGTAGTGGGGCTCAAGTGGACCCACCATTGCGCCACACCTACCTAGCATCCACCCGGCCTGTGGCTGGTGCTGTTTTCTGTGATACCTGGAAACCGTTCGAGTCCCTGAGAAAACAAAGCAACATCGGCCTCGGGATCAGCTCGACTACAGCTGCTTTCGCAGCACCGCATGACCATCACTAACATTTAGGTACTAAATAGCAGGCAGAGCTACCGCGGAACCGATTCGCGTCTTTCAATTGACGTTGCGGCAGCTCTACACCTTCTACGCTCTCAGCTACTGTCGTTGACCCGTCGTCAAGTCAACAAAGCTGCTCGATAGCCTCCCACCCCAACCTCGAGGAGTGACATTATTCCACTGGGCTTCCCAGAACCCGTAGCCGCAAAAATGTCTTCGACAGCTCAGACATCGGTCTCGACTCCAGTCATCCCTCCCGCGACGCCGGTCGTTGACAGCCCTGGCACATGGCAACACCCTCGCATGCAAGAGATCACACGGCGGCAGGAAGCTTCCAGCTTCACCGATAGGAACGTCAGGCGCATCGTCATCAACGTCTGCGTATTCATTTCCCTAATCGTCCTGCATACCTTCTTCGCTTGGATTCTACCCTCGAAACGGTCATTTCCTTACCAGTATGTTTGTCAGCCCCTTCAACTCAACGCTGTGACTGACATCGTATAACGCAGGCTATGGTACTACTCCAACTATGCCTACTGGGCTCTGCTCTCGCTGCCTATACTCAACATAGCTTACAATCTGTTGCCTCTGATCAGACCGAAGGATGACCTCGCCGACATACCCCTGACACCCGGACAGCGACAGTTGCTAGGCTTGCCGGCCTCGTCAGGTCCGCCGACACCAGGATCTGTGTATAGCACACCACCACGATATTCACGAACACCCTCAGCTTCCGGCTCGGCAGCAAGTAAGCGAAGTTTCTCGGGCTCGCCTCTCTCGAACCGCAGCCCCTCGAACCACGGCAGTCCGTCCAACGGAAATGTGGGAGCAAGTCCAGGAGGTTTTGCATCGCCAGGACACCACTTGCTACAGAAAGCTGTCTTCGGTGCGCGACGATCGTCGCTGGGATCGATGGGGTCGCCAAGCCCTATGGGCAACAGCACAGGCGCGTTACTGTTCGCAGGAGGTCCGGAGAGTCCTAGTCCCAGTCCTACTTCAGGGAAGCGAAGTACCGTCGGACTGAACAGCAAGTGGCGGTATGAGAAAGGGCTGTACGACAAGGTACGGTAGCTCACGACGATATCTCTGACACTGCGTGTATGCACATGTAATCATAGGGCAGCATAATCATGAGGATAGGATCCTGCTAGCATTGCGAGCGAGTGCTTGGCGCATACGATGTGACCACATGGATGAGTCTAATACAATCCAGCATAAGCCATCACACTGTAGCCCTACGTCCACCAGCCCGTCACTATGACCTAGACGCAACTTGGGAGTTAGCCCTGAGGCTTTCCTGGGGGAGATCTGTCAAAGAGTTCAGATCCGGGGAACTCAATGTGCTTTGTAGCTAGAACAGTTTCTATGTCCCTTCTTGGTTTCTGGTATTCTCCTTTGTTCCACGACACGAACTTTATACATTGTTTGTAGAATCCACTTACTGCCTCGCTGTTACATCCGTCGTCTATTTATCTGAGCCAAATTCCACCAGATCGCAAGCATGTTCCGCCGAAGCAGACAAGTCATTTCCTCATGATGCCTCGATCTACTCACTACCGTAGCAGCCGCAGCACTGCAGTCAACACACCTTGTAACACAGGTCGTACCGTAATTGCGGGAAACGGCGGTGCTAACCCCGTCTATGATGACATGCTCCAAGATGCCGAGAACCTCCAGTCACTTCTCGAGGAGGCGGAGCAGGGTCTCAGTCGCATCCGCACCGGTATCACCGGCCTCGTCGTCTCAGGCGCTGCCATGGACAGCAGCGTGCTCGACTTGCCTCAGGCCAGCATTGCCTGCCTTCTGTTGGCAATCATAACCCTCCAGCTCGACATGAGGGATCAGATTCGGGAGCAAGAAGCAGCAAGCGACTGTCCCGCTATCGAATTGTTCCATAATATATCATCCAGGTTGGACAACATCGAACGATATATCCTGCTTACGGCTGACGCTAGCTATGATCTGGAAGAAAATACCAACCTACTCTTGGCGGATCCGTCGGACGAGCGTCAAAGGACTGAGTTTGAGGAGCTCGTTGGCGAGTTTACCATATACGTGCCTGGGATCATGCCCTCAACGCCTTCTTTATAATTGTAGTTTCCTGAAATATACAAACGTATCTAATCGTGGAATATACTGGCATCCCCGTGAATCATGTACTTCTTAAGCATGACGGTGGCAGAGGATTTGTTATTTACAGCAGCCACACCCTGACCCCGTCGTGAACCCAGTGATGCTGCTATCGGGGGGAAAGCGGATGAACAAGTGGTTTGGTTGGAGCAGGGAGATGTTCGTTCTGCAGGAGTTGGCACTGATACTCCCGGTCAAGAACACGACGCAGTACGATAGACGCCACCGGAGCATAAGTGCTCGTAGAGTATGTGTGTTCTAAATATACTAGTGGACTCCTCGTGGAATAAATATGTCGTCGTTTGGTTATGACACTCGCCATAATTACATCTAACGAGCCTTCTGGTGGTGTTCCCATCTGGCTTGTGTGGCTATGGCTTTGATATTGGACTTAACTTGAAATCAACGAAATAACGACTTTGTTTCTGTTTGAGTGACTCGTGGCTGAACTCTGTTAATCTTTTCCCTCCACCTCAACGCCATTATGGCTCTAGCAAAACCTTTGTTCACACACCTTTCTCCGATGAGTCACGAGAGCCATAACAATATGAAGACGAATACGAACCTTCGTACAGGAACCTCGCTCACATCTCTATATTCTTCATATCTAGAGAATAACTATCAGCCTACTCGATCGCTCATCGCCTCGTCAGATATCCATCGTGTCACTCCATCGTTCTTCGATCTATCCATACATCGACCAAATCACTCGCTCATTTCTCGATCGTACGTCAATCCTGCTTGGGTATCCAGCAAGCCATCCGATCATTCCCCAATCCACGTGAGTTACTCCCATCTTATCATCACTCGATCGCTCCTCGATCTACGTGGACATTCGTTAACCTGTTCAAAGTTCGACACTGTCGCCCAAGCGTATCACCACTTTGGTCTCCCAAATTCGAAATGGGTTTCGCTACTCTTATCACTGTCACACTGGCGTTGACCGGTAGCGCCCTCGCAATCTCGCAACTAACCCTCACCCCTCGACCAAGGGGTCAGAAAATGGACAACGGCGACAAGGACTTCATCGACGCCTATATCAGCCGAGGCAACTACACCCTTGCGAACGCCACCGCGTCGGCTGAGACGGCCCCGAACGACACCGTGTCGACCGTGGCGATCGGGGCTATGAACAACAAGTTCCCCATTTGGAAGCTTCCCGAGTGCTACCGAGGGTGCATCGACGCGAACTGCTGCAACGCTATCGGAGTAGGTGATGTTCGAAAGCTCACCACCTACCAATTCTGCACGGAGCATAGGTTTTCAATCGAACACTGGATGACAGACCACCTTGGATGGTGTGTGGAGACTGCTTGCAAAAGCTGCCGGCCTGAATGCGAGAAAGCATCGACCAGGCGGATGGAGGAGGTGTGCGGTCGATGATTCGCGGGTTCGTAGAATCACGTTGGTTTTCATGTGAGTCCTGCTATTTGCACCTTGTCTCTACCCCCATTTCCCTAGGCAGCTGGCAGCGGGCTAAACACCAAGCTTACAGCGTACCATTAGATTAATGTTGTCGGTGTAGTTAGTGCAGTTGTCGGTGTAGCTGTCGATGCATTTGCCCATACATTTGGTTTCGGGCGTTACTAGATAGGCAAGAACCTTCAATCAGTAATGTGCGGGCGGCCGTATGGCGCAATGGTCAAATGCGCCTGGTTGTGTTCTCGTTTGTGCGGTGGGCGACGAGAACAAGTGGGTTCGAATCCTGCTATGGCCACCTTCTGACCCGGCTTGTGCGAGTCGACAACCAACACACGACAGTGGAGAGGCCCCTTATCGCAGAGCCCGATAGCCAAACAGCTTGTCTCTATAACACCCACTCCTGCGAGGTTTTCCCCCTTGTGGTTTCCCTCGCCAGCAGATAATTAACACCTACTTCACCCACCAATGCGACATATATCGAACGGCTACTGGAACGATCTGTATACCAGAAGACTGAGGTTCACTGGACAGGAGGTTTTGGGTATTGACTAAAACCATCTGGTCATTCCAGGTTGGTACCGCTACAGCGAGGATAGGCTCGTGCGCGGATCTGAATGTATCTAGACTGACACCTCTACAACCTTGCGATGCAATGGCTCTGGGAGGTGTGGTTTGCCCTATGGAGGGACTGCATCCAGGATAAATACAATCAATCAATCAAGTAATGTGCGGGCGGTTGAATTAGCACTTGCAGTATATTACAACCTGGACTAATATTCAACTTCTCTATCATGTTTGCTTGGCCCAGTCTTCATAAGCACTTTATTCACAGAGACCTTTGAAGGGCAAACGTACCTCACAGATTTCCAGTACCTCATTTTCACCTGTCCCAAGACGTCTGTCTCCTTAGTAAGCCCGAATGCCATGACCTAATGCACTCCTCGCTCGTCTCCTCACGCTTTGTGTTGTCCGACGTGAAGACCCAGGCCCCATCAGCACCCCACCAGAGGAGCCCCTTTTACCAATGGGTAAGGGCCATAGCAATCATAATTGTTGTCAGCCTTCGGGCCGGGCCTTCAAATGACCCACTACCGGTAGCATATGGATCTCCGGGGAAGTAGTCTCCATTTGGCTCGCCTCTATAAGCAACCCAGAATAAGCAGATTCGATCTGATTAGCCATATTTAATGCTTATTCCAGAGTGCTTATTCCATTTATAATCAATACACTTTTCGTTTGCGGACGAGGGGTGTACGGAGACTTTTAGAGGTTCAGTATACCTATAAGTGGTATAGGTCATAAGTTCAAATTTTGCGAAGATCCCCGAAAGGGCATCAGGTGGTGGTCAGGAATGAAAAGGGGGTTTGCACGGACCCGACTCCTATTGATTTAGGGGGGAAGCGCTGAAGCCACAGTCTGCACAGCCACATTTCAGTGACAGTCGGTCCACGCCCCTCATCGCGTCTTCTCGCCAGCTTCAAGTCCTCACGCACAACCCCTTTCCAGCAATCCCATCACTAGCAATTTACGGCAGCGGTGGCGCTGGTGTCATGCCTGACTACGACGACGAGCCGAGCGGCCACGATGAGCTATAGGTGTCTGTATCTCGGGATTGCGAGTGCTGGCAGGACATACTCCGAAGCAGGCGTTGAGACTGGCTGCTTGGCATGTTGCTTGACTTTACGAGATAGATCAGATGAAAGCATGTAACTGTACTCCCTCCGCCGTCTCGACTGCCATATATGACGAGCAGAAGACCTCCAGCTCACGTGTTGCGTGTCTGGCTAATTGGGCGGCTGTTCGGCAAGCCCTGCCGATAATGCGAACCCCTGGACTGCATTTCTCCGCACAACTCCTCCACATCATTGGCTTTTATCGACAGGGACAGGAACACGGAGGGCCTGGCACCGCATCGAATCTGCGAGTCTAGAACCCATTTGCGACGGTGTAGATTGCGTCATTGACGAGGTAAGATGAGGTAGGGAACATCTCTATACCCTAATCGTCCTGCTTTTCTCATCTGGTTCTTGTGTTGGCAAGACCAGCTACAGTTGGAAGAATGGCCTTCATCACCACTGGTACCTTGCTATCGCTAGCAGCCCTCGCCCAAGCCCGCAACAATGGCGTCGGCAAGCTGCCCGTCATGGGCTACGACACCTACAACGCCTTCGGCTGCGACTACGACGGCGCCCTTGCCACGGCCCAAGCCAAAGCCATGAACGAAACCGGCCTGGTCGCTCTAGGCTACAATACCTTCATCCTCGACGACTGCTACGCGCTGAAAGAGCGGGATGCTCAAGGCTTCTTGCAGCAGAACCTCACGCGGTTTCCGGGTGGACTGAAGAAGTGGACCGAAAGCATTAACCAGTATGGTGTCTCTGGTAGTGCTTACAGTTCCAATGGGTATTTGACATGCGGGGCTTATCCAGGAGGGTATGGACATGAGATGCAGGATCTGGAGACCTGGAGGAGCTGGGGATGGGATGGGATGGTCAAGTATGATAATTGTTATATCCCGTACGACAATGTTGTGCGTATTCTCCTCACTTCGGGCCGCGCTTACCTAGTAACCCATTGACCCTTTGTGCCAGACCATGGAGAACGAGTTTGGCCGGTTCAAGCGCATGGCCGATGCCATTGACGATCTGGCAGCCAAGTACAACGAGAAACCGTTCATCTACTCGCTCTGCCAGTGGGGCTGGGAGAATCCGATGAACTGGGCTCCGCGTATCTCGCAGGCATGGCGTATCGATGCGGATATCACGCCATTTTGGACTGCGATCAAGACGATCATCAATTTGCAAGCGGCGAGTTATTTGGCGACCGGCTTCTATCAGCATGGCGACATGGATATGCTCGAAGTTGGTACGACGGCGTAGTGACATGGTGAATGTTCATACGGGGACTGACAATGACTCCGTTTCACGCAGGAAACAGCGGGCAAGGCACACCTGTGGGCAACATGACGCTCGCAGAGCAACGTTCGCACTTCACGGCCTGGACGCTGCTGAAGTCGCATCTTCTCATTGGCACAGACCTTCGCAATGCTACGAACGAGACTCTTAGTATCCTCGGCAACAAGGAGCTAATCGATATCAATCAAGACGAGAACGAAGGTGCTGCGCTCGCTCCCTTCCGCGTTGGGTTCCAGGATGACTTTTCGGATATCGAGTACAACTTCACCAGTCCGTGAGCTTGCCCAGTCCGTACCTTACCGTCGGGGATCGCGCACAAGGCTGACTACGTCATCTAGACCACCCTACTGGGCCGGCAACAGCAGCTACGGCGCCGTGTTCATGATCATCAACTACGCAGACGAGCAGCGGGAGATGGGATTCAACCTGACCGAGAACTGGGCGGTGCGTGCCGGCCGGCAGTACAATGTCCGCGATATGTGGAAGCATGAGCACGTCGGAGTGGCAGTCCGAAACTGGACTGTGACGCTTGAGGCTCACGACGTCGCAGCACTCTTGTTGACTGACGTCGGACCGGAGCCGGCGCGGAAGCTGGCGGATGGCGAGCTGGCGCCGCCTTGCGCATACCCGTTCCTGGCGCATCAGTGCACGAGTCCGAATGGAAGCTTGTAAGTGCCGCCAGTACTTCGGAAAACTGGATACGGGAGCTGACAGCTGGCGTAGCATTTATAACGGGTCCATCACGGAATGGGGGTTCTAGGAAACTCTGATACAGGACGGCTCAACTGGCCGCAAAAAGGAGAGGATCTCATGTATTGAGACCTGAGTAACAACTCCGTAGCCGCCATGGTCTATCCATACCAACCCGCCTCAAGACGGCATGGCAACGAAATGGTTTCTGATTTATCCTGATGAAGTGACGGCGCGAGCGGATGTTTGGCGTGGGACACGTGCCGACTCTGGTCGAAATCATGTCTTGAAAAGTTGATGGGCATCACACTGTGGGATTACGACGCTGAATCCATCGACGGCTATTGTCCCACCGTCCCGGGATTTGTTTCCTTGTCACCCGCGGCCAGTGGTAAATACTCGTGGGTCAATCCAAGGAGCGCACGATTGCTCTGTGGCGGTGACGGGTCACTGATGAGGGTCCTCACTCCCGGGATGGCCGTGCAATGCCCTGCAGCCGTGGATGGGCACAACGTCAGCCAGTACGTACATCTACACGAATGATAATTCCATATTCCATCTTTCAAAAGAGTTCTGAGCTCTATCCCTTCCTGGTACATTCAGCTGCTTCGTGTGAGTGTCAGTTCAATGCAGGTGGTGCCTGAGGCAGCCACGTTGGCAGGTACCTGTCTGGAGTGGCAGGAGCACCCAGTCCATGCCACACCTGAGGGTGCCTTCCTTCCCACTCGAACTGGTTTGTGAATTTTGCTCCCACATGAGGAAGGCACGCTGGGGCCATTGGCCACCACAATGCAAATTTTGCATTCCCCCGCCCTGCTGGTTTTTCTTCGCCTGTACAACAACACCATCATCACCACATCGGGTCTAACCACAACTTCCATTGCACCACAGATCACACACCCCGGCCTGACTTCGTCGGTCGGCTGCTCCGAGACCATCGTCGCCTTTCCCATCCTCGCCCTGTGCACCTTTCCCCGCCTGCCTCAGCGCAGTATCACACCATGGACAATTTTGACGCCCTCCAGCGGGAGGTCAAGCTGGCACACCAGCAAGCTCTCGAAGATGCGCGGAAGACAGCCGAGGAGAGCCAGCGTGTTGCTGTTGAGACGGCCGAAAGTGACCACAAACGTGCTCTTGAAGCCCCGAAGACAGCCAACGAGGCCCAAATTCGAGCTCTTTAAGCGGCGCTGGAGAAATCCAATGAGGACCACCGTCATGCTCTCGAAGCCATAATATAGCCAGCGAGGCCCAAATCCAAGCTCTTGAAGCGGCGCAGAAAACTGCCAACGAGAACCACCGACTTGCTCTTGAAGCCCAGAAGACAGCCAGTCGTGCTCTTGAAACGGCGCTGAAGGAAGCCAAGGACGAGTACGCACAGCTTACCACAACGCACAACACCCTACTGTCTCGCCATGATGCAACAGAGGACGCGATCGAGCATTGGTTCAATAGAACAATGGGGTGGTTGCCCAGAGGACATTGGCAGGATCTATTCGAGATGTTCTTACGCACCAAAGGGTGCCAGGCACCAAGCACCCAAAGGTCAACACGTCGGAGCCTATGGACAGGGGAAAGTCCGTGGACCGTCGACGCTCCATGGACCAAGGACCAGGCAGACCTCTACCCACTCAAGTACTCGATGTATGAACGGACCGTATCTTTGTTCTACGTCTCGCATCGGTCACCTTGGAGCTCGGATGATAACCAGAGAGCCTTTGACCTGCTCCAGATGATATCAATACAAATGAGAACCGGACCACGTATGGACACTCGTACCCGCATGACCATGCAAAAGATCTTCCGCGAGATGGGCACGCAACTGGTAAACGCCCCCGCCGTTGATGACCGAATCTCGCGCACGCTTGTGGTCTTCGTGGTCAGAGAACTCGCAGCTGCGCTGGGTATCGACCACGACTTCCAACAGAACTTGCGTGGTGAGCCTCACAGATTTGTCGAAGAGGTGCTATCCCGCATCGAGGGGGCAAATGGAGACTCCGAGATGGTGAAGAGAAAGCTGGGATATCCAAACGGTCCGGGAAGATTCCGCCAGGACGGTGCCCTTTGCGGCAAGTACGGGTTCTTCTCGGCCGAGGAGGCCGGAACCTGGGGCCAGTGGCTCCTGGTGGACTTTGAGGACCACACCATGCGCATGGTCGAGAAGGGTGCCGCACCACTCTGGAGAGGCTGCCCGTGGGAAGGGGTGTCTTTACACTCATGTGACCTGGGTCGTTGGGCGGGTATTAGAATCGAGAACATGCCGGTCACGCTATACTTCGTTTGGGGCGTATTCATAGCGGACTGCACACAGGAATCGTGGGACGGGATGAACGCATATCTTGCGGAGCTCAGGAGCGACCCCGAGTTAGCCAGACGTGTGGCGGAAATCCAGAGCGACCCCGATCCGCAGCGCAGGTGGGAGGAGGAGATGAAGAAGCTGGAAGAGAATGATTTGAGGCAGGTAATGAAGATCAGGAAGCTGAGGGAGGAAAGAGGCCGGCCTGTCGATGACATCTCGGAGTAGGAATGATGGCGGACCGGGAGAAGCATCGTCACCACCGTGCTCGTTGCAGGTGGCCTGCCTGTCGATTACATTTTGGAGGTGGAGTAATGAGGGACTGGGAGAAGTATTATCGCCATCGGGCGCGATGCGGATGGACCCATTGAGCTTTGAATGGTGACGGACTGGGACACGCATCGTCGCGTTGGCTTTAATGTGGATGACCGGAGAAGTCACGTTTGCCGATCATACCAGCTTATACTAGCACATTTCCAAATTGACACCTTTCCACACTGCTTTCATGCGCATTGCAACGTCGACCGTGTTGAACGAGCTGAAAGCAGACGCAGTTTCAACCCCCATACAGGAACAGTAACGATTGTGCACCAAACTTGAATAAAGTAGAAGAAGACGCAGGTGGCCGATGTTTGTCATACAGACTACGGTCCTGACAGAGCAGGACAGACTGTAAATTATCATATGGGCTCAGGAAGTACGGCTCACGTTGGCATCCATAGTGCGTTCATCTTGCGTCAAATCCTGCTGTATTGTCTCCTAATCAGATAACCTTCTCTGCTATGTAGGTAATAATGCTAGTCGAGGTTCATGAAATACTAAGGTCCTTGATGATCTGCTCGACACCAGCAAAGGACAATTCTTGCATCGTTTCCTTCCACAATCGCTGAGTCACTTTGTCTCCCTCTGGAGTGTATACGATGGCAGGGAGACTGCGAACGAACACAATCGAGTCAGTAACGTTAGGGTACTGATTAGTTGGCGCGGCCGCGATGAGAGGTTTTTAGGGGCGGGGGTGGGTGGCAAAGAAGTAGAAGTTTCGAGTAGAGGATGTTCACTCACGGCCTCAGCTTCCCGTTCTCCATAAAGTGGCCGTGCGACTCTGGCCCTGCCCTGACGGCGGCAGCGAGGACCTGGCTACTACCCACGGTGCAATCGTGTCCGAAAAGGCGATAGAACACGCCGATGAACAAGCCTAGCATGGTACCGGACGTCTGGCGCATGAACGACGAGCCGTGGGTCAATCCGGGGGTCGGGGCGTTGATAATAGCCACATTGCGCGGAACCCGGCGGCTCAGCTCGGTCATGAACATGAGCGCAAGCAGCTTGCTGGCGCTATAGCGCTCCTCCATGTCCCAGTTGGCGGTGGCCTTGTTGTCGAAGGACGGGAGTAGGGGTTCGGCGGTGCGCTCGGCGAACTTGGCCCAGTGGGCCATGATCGAGGACACGACGGAGATGTGCGGCACGGGATCCTTGGTGGCAGTGGCTGCCGAGGGCTTCGCCTTGAGGATGGGCAGGAGCAAGACGAGAAGGAGGACGGTGGAGAGGTAGTTGGTCTGGATGTCTTCATCGTGGCCCGTCGAGGGATTGATGGTTGGCTGGGCACATATGATGCCGGCGTTGAGGACGACGACATCGGGACGGGCATCGAGGGTCTTGCCGACGCGGTCGGCGAAGGCCGTCACGGAAGCCCACTCGCCTAGATCGAGCTTCCACACCTCGACTGTTTGGGGGCCGTCTTTTCGCGAGCCCATCAGCTTTTCGGCGGCAGCCTGGCCGCTCGCTTCGCTGCGGACGGCCAGGATAAGCTTGCTCACGCCCACGCTCAGCAGCTGGCGTGCGGTCTCGAAGCCGACGCCGACATTGCCACCCGTGACAATAGCGGTTTGGCCACTGAGGTCGACATCTTTGGGCGTCAGCACGGGGGCCTTGGTTTCGACAACCTGGCTGCTGAGGAAGTGAAGCTGGCCAGCCTGTTTCTCCGGAGTGATGTCAAAGGCAGCCGCCATCTCGCAGGTTTGTTCGGTGTGCTCGTGTTATCTGTGGTCGACACGGTGGGCAATACTCGTAGTGGACAGAGCAGACCTAGCAGGTATATCAGAGAAGAGCAGAGCAGAGAGCAAAGCTGGCGGATATAGAGGTAGACCAAGATGAAGAAGACGGGAGAGAGCAGGCTGCCCAGCTGATGTCTCATCTCTTATTATAGCCACCAACCCATCAGTTGTCAGCTGGCGCGCTGAAATATCGCGTGTTGGTCACATTCCATGTTCTTCTTTGGGTGTACATGTATGGCTAGGTACTATAAAACTTCAAGAGACTTCAACCGCGTTGGGTGTCTCGATGGCCCCTGAGGTTGGCGGCGTATCCTCATTGGCTGTTCTGCTGTGAGATGTACAGGGATGAGCGTAGCCGCAAGACAGGGATGACCCTCTCTCGATTTACTAAGTATCGACGCTTTCCCACCCTTTTCTTCATTCAAGCATGTCTTTCCATACGACTTCATCTCTCCGTTTCTTCAGCCTCACCTTCACCTTAAGTCCCAGAGATGCGTCACGTCGGCACGCCTCAGAATCCCGATACCTTGTAGACCCTCGGTATGGATGTAGATCTAACTTGGTAAATCTAGCTTACACCTACGCAAATCGCTAACATCGTATCATCGTCCTCGTTGCAAACAACGCATCTGCGAGTCGACCTTGGTCTTCAGAGTTGCGCGCATCCCCGCTCTGTCACATAAATTACCGTTTCCCGTCACGATTTCGAGCTGGCTTCGTTCGGACGTCCAGTATCTTCCTGCAGTTCGCCACCATCCGACAACCGGGCACCAACTTCCATGTCCTCCTCGGCGCTCGGGAGACGGGACATCTCCCACCGTCCTCCGCGTGGGATACGGGCAGCGTGGCAGGATTCGCCCATATCTGGGTGCTACCTAATATCGGAGGCTGAACCAGAGAGCTGAACTTAGAGCTGCCAATCATCGTTGGCCCGGAACAACGCCGCAGCATGGGACGCATTCCCTTCAGACTCCTCGTGGCCACGACCACGCGTCTCTCTCTACCCATGGGCCAGGGACGTCGGTTTGGAATCGGACATCTGCTGTAGTTGCAGGTAGGTTTCGGTCTAGAACTCGGAGCTGCCCTGGGGTATCCGAGGGGCCGGCGTAAACCTGGGCATCATCATCGAGGCAACCTACGGTCTGCACAAGATCTCCGAGAGCGGCGGCGTCGGATATGCCCTTAACGCCGACTTCGTTGTGCCGGCCGAGAAGAACGCCAGCTACTTTGAGTTGCTCGAGTGTTACCGTACCCTCCCCAGCTCGCCACAGTCACCGTGGCTGCATGGAACGATGCGGTTCGCGAGGCCCAGCTCGTGAGCAACTGGCAGTACTTCGGCTCCGAGGACGAGGCCAGGGAGGCCGTCGCACCCATGCTCAGTCTGACGGTGGTCTCATCGATCGGCTATTGCCCGGGGAACAAGATCTTCTACGCACAGGAATTTGGCTCGGACGCGGCCAACTGCGCCGAAGGGGTGAAGCGCAACCTCTGGATTACCAGTCTCCGCACCATCACCCCTGGCAGTCCGGCTTCGGGAAGACGGCCCGCTTCTTCCAAGAATACTCAGACTCGCGATCCCTTACCACCTTCGCCCTCGAGACGTATCTGACCGAAGCCGCCGTCGCTGCGCCGGACGAGGAGACAGCCTACCCGTGGCGGGACGCTCCCGCGACGGGCTACCTGGCGCCGACATTTGCCTGGCCCGGTGACGCCGACCCAGCCATCACCGCCGCGGCTGCTGCACTGGGCCAAGAGCTGCAGACCGACTTGGCCGCGACCTCGGGCCACGAGGACGAGCTGGAGGGCGGGTTGGGCGTCTACGTCAACTATGCGCACGGCGAAGAGCCGCTTGAGAACATCTACTGCGCCGACAAGCTGCCGCGCCTTGCCGCTCTCAGAAGGGATGGGATCAAAACAACGTCTTTGCCTACCACTTGGCCCTGCCGACCGGGTACCCGTAGGTGTGATTGGGGTTCAAGGTGCTCTGTTCTTCAAATCCCGCGAGGATGTGAGAAGGGTACGCTGCGTTTGGACTCAGCATCTGTTTCTCTTTGATTATTATAGGTAAGAGTTGGAAGTGATGGTTCGAGGCGGGGGGGAGGTGTGGAGCGAGCTGAGCAGCGATGTAATCCACGGCGTGAGGCGTTTCCGACTCCAAGGCCTCGAATGGTAGGCCAAAAGCCAAACCGCTAATAAAGTCATACGTTGTGCTCTCGTACCCTTTGGTCACGTCGAAGGCTGCGCCCTGCTCGATACTGTTGGTCCTAAAGACCTCTACGAAGCGACTGATGCTGCGCCGGATGAGCTCTTCCTGCTCGGTTAGCGACATCATGGAAAAGGCATTGGCAAGCAGTCTGCACATGTTGTCATGCAGTTGCGGATACCTTTTGGTGTCTCGACGCTCGAGACGCCGTGCCCGGAGGACACGCCGCCTTCGTAGAAGAGGCCCTTGACAAACGTCTTGTGCTTTTGACGAAACCTATAGATGTCTGGCCACGACTGCGCGGAGTTGAAAGCGAGGTCGTTGGGTGCTATGCGCACGACGGGGTGGAGATCGAGAATCTTGTACGGTTGCCGGCCGCCATGAAACCAGTATGAAAAACAGACGTTGCTCGCCCTTGCGAGCAAAGGGCCCGGATACTTGCGCAGCGGGTGGAAGTACAGGTTGTAGACAATGTCCCACACGAAACGATACACGGCGTTCGTAACGAAGAGCCGAAGGAAGCTTGCGCAGAGGTGCCCTCTGGGCATGGCAATGATCTGGGCGAGCATGATGGTGGCTTTGGTGACGCGGGTGACGCGGGTGCTGCTGCTCGACACTTGTTTTTTTTTGCTGAGCGAAACGGTAGAGAAAAGGGGGAGAGCGAGAGCAAGATAGATGCTGAAATGGAGCCCAAGCCAAACTGGCAGACTACAAGCAGCGCGTACACACGCTCACGCTGGGCTCTGGCCTCCGGCTTCCAAAAGGCCACCTCCTCAGAGTCCGCACGTTTGCCCATGCCACTCCTGGTAGGCGTTGGCTAAGACTTCGGGGAGAAAGCCCGGAGGCGGTAAGGCCCGAACCCATAGCGGCCGGGGGTGATCTTGCGCGATCTCGGTGAATTGTCTTCCAGGAGATAGATGTGACGAGCCCCACTGGCCACCGGTGAAAGGATTCGAACCTAATCGTCACTGTACGTTCTGGACCACATCGGTCAATGATTGTCTATCGCCAGGGTTACAGCTTACAAGGCTGGCAAGGGTCTCGCTTAAGGGCGTGGGGGTAGCCTGCTCTATTTCGACTACAATGGGGAGAGGTTCATGCGGCTGTGATGGCTTGGTCTGCTCAAATCTATAGGTATGTGTCAGAAGTTGACCTAGCTGAATATAGAGAGATGTAGAAAGGCGCCGAAATAAAAGACCCCGAAGTAAAGACCCCGAAGTAAAAGATCCCGAAATAAAAGACCCCGATATTAAAGACCCGAGGTTGTTGAATGAGCCCGAAAGAAGCGGGTATACTACCGTAACTAGTAAGAGTCCTGCGACCCTCGACAGGCTATATCTAGGAGCCCGACGAATTCGATTATATGGTCGCATTAGTCTAGGAATCTACCTGCTCGATGACAAGATATGCGTCTTCTCACGTATATAGAAGCAACAGTTGGGCGCTGGAGGTATCGACCTGGCATCGACCTGGGCAGTAATTGCCCCTATTTCTAACTATATAGACCCGGGCCGTCCACCACCCCTTGCACTTTCTTCAGCGATCACATCATCCTTCGCCGCATTTCTGTAGCGCTAATGCACAGATTACGCGGAAGCGATCCTAGACCTCCTGCAACGTGGTGGTGGAAGCTGCTGTCAGCTCACTCTATCTGCCATAGGGACTTGATGCTTACATATTCCTCAAACATCCGGCGCTAGCTGCCTTGTCATCTAGGCGCCCGCAAGAATGCACGTTATAAGGATGTCGCCCGTAGAAATACCCAAGGGGCCGGACCCCGCCCTCTTACCCTGAACCCACGTCGTCCTCGAAGCTGAGATATTGTTGACATGTTTTTGAGCTGGAGACACGAGTCTAGCGGCGACGGCTCCGTTGCTTCGCAGCGCTCCATAGCATTCGATCCGGTCACGGCAAGGACCGTTGGCCCACAGGCGTGCAGCAACTGTCGAGCTAAGAAGGTCAAGTGCAACTCTGACCCAGACGGATGCGCCAGGTGCAGGACCCTGGGGCGGGAGTGCAAGTACGTCGTGCCCGACGGCAGGGTCCACAGGCCTGTGCGCCGACTATCCAAACAAGACGACCGTCGTGCCGCCGACAATGAGCAGGGGAAAACTGCGGACCAGAGTGAAGCACCTGATATAAACGAATCGCCAACATCACCATGCTCGGCCACCAACGACCAGTCGTATACCGGGTCCGAACTGTGGTATAGTTTCCCCGAGGCTACGGATCAAAGCGAAGTCCCCGCCAACCGGTCTTCGAGCGAGTCCAATCACCAGATACAACTGTCTGCACAGCATGAGCAAGATCCGGCTGTCCTGGGGGTAGACATGCTACCCGACAGCTTCAATCCAGCCGTCTGGGACTTCATGAGCGTCCCCATTGACACGCCCCAGGATTTCAAGAATGCTCTACCACCCTTGCTAACGGATCTGGACCCGTCGATCTTCAACAACGTGGGACGAGATCCACGGGACGATTCACTGGACGAATCACTGCTCTCGACAGGGACGACGGCACCATCGCCGCTGGATGGCATCTTCCTGCCGTTCGACAGCTATGAGGGACTATCGAGCCTGGCGATGGCTTCGCCTGCGAGCGAACACCGCGGCAAGAACCCGCAGACGGGGTTGGCCTCCATGTCCCCCGCGCTGGGGGAGTCGGGCCGCCCGTGGCTCTCCTCATCCGCCGGCGGCGGCAGCTTGTGCCAGTGCCTGCACCGACTCGTCATGCTCGTGGACGAGACCGAGCTGGTGGTGGAAAACGACATTGGGTCGCTCGACAGCGCCCTCGCGGCGCACAAGGAGGCGCTCGGGCACTGCGCCCGCATGATCGCGTGTGCGAACTGCCGCACCAAAGTCGAGAACATGACCGTCCTTACATTTTTCGTTGGCCAGCTCGCCAAGATATGCTGCTATATTGACGAGGCCTGCTGGAAGTCGCCGCCGCGCGTCGACGTAGGGTCCGGCGGTGACTGTGCGGGCGACCGACCATTCCAGCTGCTCGACACCCAGACAAGCAACATCGCCGTGGGGATGTACTCGGCCGATTCGTCGGATGAGTACATGGCCATCTTCCGCGGACTGCTGGAGCTCCAACTTCAGCGACTTCTCGAGCTAACCGAGCACCTCCAGCGCATCGCCGGCAAGCTCGGTTCCGAAATCATGCAACGCAGGCTGACGGCGTGCAAGGACGCCGTCACGGGGCTGTTGCGGGAACATGAGGCAGTGGATTGTCGTGCGTGATTTGTAAGAACTAGCGGGTGTAAAGGAGATACCGGAACACTCACACATTAATGGGATATGGTTTTCCCTCCATCACGTGACTTGGTAGGGTGGACGAGTTTGCCCTCCTGCATATATAGATTGCACAGTGAAGGGATAGAACTTAGAACTCGTTGAAAGAATGGAATAAAGAGTTATCCTCGGTGTAAATGTACGTACTGGCTGCCGACCATCGACGGCACCAAGGAAGGATGTGCATGGAAGACTCCATTACTCCAGTGACAAATGCTATGCAAGGTTGCTCTGAACTGTATCGAAAACGCCCGCCAAAGCTATGCTTCATGATTCAATCGTGGTCTCATCTCCGTAATCGTTTCCAAAACTGCCACGCAGGTGCTGCCGACCTCGACCCAGTTTCGCGCTTCGAGACCTGGTCTCGACCTTGTATCCGCCAAAAGAACACGGGTATACCGGCGAGGACAAACGTCACCACGATAAGCGTTTTCAGCGGCTGGGCAAAAACTGCCCTGCTGAGGAGGAACAAGCTCACACAGCAGAATATTATGGGCGTAGTTATCCATGTCTTGTATGGCCTCTCGAGTTGCGGCTCGTTCACCCGCAGAATGATCAGTCCGAGGACTGTCAGGAAGTAGAACGAATACCCAGCCACGCCGTAGAAGGTGAGCAGCTCTCCAAACTCGCCGACAAGCGCATAGATAGCTGTGAGAACACCATTGAAGATCAGCGCGTTGACCGGCGTGAAGAATAGCCCTGTATCTTCGTCACCAAACATGTTGTGCAGTTTCTTAGTGAACCAACTCCGAGACCTGGTGGTCGACATTCCCGGTTCAGTTGAGCCAATACCGATCCGGCCCATGAAAGTTGGTACGTAGCCCTCCTTGGCCGCTGCGTAGACTAACCGACTGCTTGTGAAGGTTGATGAGTTGAGCGAGCCAAAGCATGAAGCGCTCACGATGAGAGCAAATACGAGGGCCCCAATCGGACCAAACACTTTGCTACCGAACATCACGGCAACCGTGTTGGAGTTGTTGATGGTTGCCAGGGGCAGTACGAGGAAGTATGAAAGGTTGGCGAGTAGGTAACAGATGATTACCAGGGGCATGGCTGTATGAATGACTCGCGGGAGGTCTCGTGAGGGATTGCGGAACTCGCCCACGACGTAGTTGGTCTTGTATCCAGTCAGTTAAGCACTTCAATTTTCCGTCAGATGCAACTCACATTGTCCCAACCATCATATGCCCACAGCCCTGCATATAGTGCAACTGCCCAATGACTACCGTCTTTGCTAGTTCCCTCAAACCAGTCGTGAGTTTTCCAGTCCATGTTCGCCTCGCCGGAAAAGGAGAATCCGGTAAGGGCCACGACCACACCGACCACAGTAACGCTTATCAAGGCAATAAACTTTAAGAACATAAGGCCATCGTTAACACGGGTTCCCAGCCTGGTCGAGAGGCAATTCATGAAGGTGACGATGAAAAGCCCCACCAGTCCCATTGCCTTGTTGATCCAGGGGTTGATGGTCTCGGCTTCAGCTCCGATCACAGCGCGCACGAGGTATTCGCCCATGATGATTGAAATGATCGCGGCACTCCCGGGCTTCAACACAAGAACCGCCACCCATGTGAAGAGAAAACCGGCCAACTCGCCCATGATCTTGGACAAGTATGCCTGCGACCCTCCATTGAGAGGGATGGCACCTCCGAGTTCGGTGTAGCTCGCGGCACCTGTCCACGCGAGTACACCAGCTATAGCCCATACGATCAATGATGCGCCGGGCGAGCCGACATTCGCATTAACCTGGCTGGGGGACGAGAATATGCCCGAACCGATGATTAGACCAACGATCAACCCTAATCCGTTCATGTATGTCAAGGTCTTGTGTTTTTCTAGCGAGGCCCCGCCTAACCCGCTGTGACGCTGCGCAGCTGACGTAGGGGCGCCGAGAGGAGCGTAACCGGGGGCGGTCGAAGAGGACAATGGGAAGAGGTTCGCGGAGTAGTCGAAGTTCGAGGCCACCGAGTATGTCCTGCCATGCCCCCGACCAAAGTCAGGACGGCCGGCGGGATTGCCATCGTCTAATGGATCATCCTGCTCGAGGGAGAATTTGCGCGACGAGGATATCGACGGTCTCGAGTCGGTATCAGAATAGGTTTCGGGGCCTCGGCTCGAAGATGCTAGCGAAGCGAGCTCGAGGGAATCGCGTGCGTTGGGATGGAGGGTTGAGTGCATGGCAGCTATGTCGCGCGCGAAACAGGGTTTCAGCTAATCTCAATGGTTATGGACTTTCGAGTGCAATCATGTCGGCGATAGGCGCAGGAGTGGCGATCGAGGTGCCGCGAAGGATGACGGCGGTGATGTCAGGAACGTCAACGTCGAGGCGTGCTCGAATTGAAAGGCCGGCTGACACTGTTCCTCGCTGGATCCAGGCTTGATAAGTCGACTTCTTCAAATAATGTCGGATTTATTAGTGTCACCGTTCTAGAAGAAAAGAATGAACACAGACGTTTCGGGCGGAGGGACAATGAGGTGGTGGTGTACCGTGTCTGTTGTTTGTGTTGCACACCAGACCTTGCAACACTCATCAATCCTCCCACGCCTTACTCCTTCTCCTTAGAGTTCTAGTCCGTGCACCTGTACATCACGCTAGGCCCAGGACGGCTACCTCCCCAATCTCAAATCTTTCCGGCAGGCGCGCGCATGCAGCATCCAATCAGAACGGTTACCGCGCCTGTATACAGTGTGCTAGGAGTAACCATAACTGTACGGTCCAGGCAGTGACGTAAAGTCAACGGGAAGGTCCAGGTGCTTATCACCGCGCTGGCATCGCTTCTACAACCTGTTCATTGCCAACACAGGCAGAACAGGATCGTTATTCTCCCGCTACAGCCAATACGCTGCAGCCCGTCCCGATCTTGAGCTGGAACATCTTTCTGGTTGGGGTTGAAAGAAGACGCGGACACAGCATCGTCGGATCAGATCTCAACCTTAGGCCCTCAATCGCGGAGCTTTCCTAGGCCTGGTTGACTTCGACGCACCCGATCTTCAAGCATTCATGTGACGCTCTGGGGTATGGCTGTTATAATCACATATCCTGTGAAGTCTTCATGTCTCTCGTCGTGTTCACTCTGCGAACGGTACGTGACTACTCGCGTGGTCTCTCCTTTGTGCAGAAGTCATTACCAGATCGTGGGGTGGCACAGCACTACAGCCAGAGGAGGGGCAAAATACAATAGGTATCGTGACGACGTATCAGCGATGGTGTATGCCTAGACGGTATATGGTTTGGGGTGATGGATTCATGATGAAACATGTGTCCTCGGAGATTTGAGCTGCCAAACGTCATGAGTATTCGGCATGTTGACCCGTTCCACTCCCTCCCACTCGTATGTACGACTACTAGGTGCTATCCTTTCGGCTTAGCCAACTTCATATTGATATGCTCCTTGTTAACCTTTGAAGTTCAGCCCTAACCTTTCGAAATGTCCTATATCTCAGATGCGAGCTCTTTGGTACTACGGGCCTCGGGACCCCCCTCTGGAGCAAGACGTGCTAGAAGCAACATGCGGTCCGCAAAAGGTGAAGATTCGGTCTGCCTCGTAGGTATATGATGGATCAGTCTGTATGAACACCACTCGCAGACCCTTATCCCAGCCGCAGGCAAACCGCACGAGTTGACTCACATGACGGCTCTGGTCAGTCTTGGGCATGAGCTCTCGGGCATCGTAGTCAAATCGGCCCGGAAATATCAAAGACCACCGCCCTGAAGCCTGAAGATCGGAGTGATTGCTTTGCTCTTGCTGTGCTGTCAAAGCTGTGGCCCGTGCAAACGTGGCTATGAGAACTGTTGTGTCGTCAATGGCTTCTTGGGATTATCAGGACTGGCGGACGACTCGGCGATTACCTCTGCGTCGACGCCGATGGAGTGTTCAAACTTCCAGATAACATATCGTTGGAGGCTGATGGTTAGCTACTCCTGTCACGAGACGTTGGCGGCTTGGAGAACAACGGGAAATTGACGATACGTTAGCACTCGTGGAGCCACTCGCTGATACATGGCGTTACATCCTCGAGTCAGGCTAAACCCCGGCGACTATATCCAGGTCTTCGGCGCTGGTCCCGTTGATCTCGCTTTCATCCAATGCCTGAAAGCCGTGGGAGCGGGCCATATAGTCGCAGTCGAGGTTTCCAGCCAACGTCGTGATCTCGCCGAGAAGGTTAGCGACACACACCTTCTCGACCCAAGCAAGGTGGACGTTGTTCTGAAGGCATAGGAGCTGACTGGTGGCTGTGGCCTCTTGAAGCCTGTGAACGTGATGGGGTTGCAGCTAGCCTGTATGCCGCGACAAGGGCTGTCTGCGTACAGGGTATCATTGCGAATGTCGCCATCTGGGAGCAGGCCGTGCCGTTCTTCCCTAACAACGTCGTGTTTCACGAGAAGAGGTACGTTGGGTGGAAGAGATCTCCTCAAGCTGACATCTACGTCGACTGCGCGTGCACGTCGACTGGACTGTTGCTTTGGGTCTGACCCACAGGCGATCTGAGTTCGATAATGTCATTGAAACACTTCATGAAGATCGGCTCGCAGCGGGATCGATGATCACTTACAAAATACCCCTCGAGAGAATTGTTGAGGACAGATATGAGATCCTCGCCAACCAGGAGGATAGACACGTCAAGATAAGATAATGGCAGATCTAAGAGACATGTGAGTCAATCGGAGCGTCGGGATCGGTGGTCAACAACCGCGGCCGTTGTAATCATGTAGGCATGGAGGCTTCGTACCTCTTATGCTACTTATAGCAATGAGATAAGTCGCTACATAGATGAGTACTGTATTCATAGCAACGCCAATCCCATTCATATGGCGTGGTGTCAACTCATGGGCGACCTCCCGTGTTATTTTCCCTCGCTGCATATAGGCACACACGCGCGCAGCGTTTGTTTCGCAATCTAATGTTCTTGCATCTGGTGTAATAAGAACGGTGTTGAATCTTACCGCTAGTCGTTAAACACATCTCGATGATAGGTAACCGTTGCAGTGATAGGGGTGAGGCATCCTCGCCGTGAGGCTCAAATTGAACCCTTATAATTAGATGGTGTAATTTTTAACACCATTCACTATGGTGAGGATAGTATGTAGTGCCCGCATTACCCTGCACGGAGCACAATGCTGAAGACAATAGGGGTAGTCGAAATAGGGGGCGCCGGCGCTAGGTAGTGCGGGTCCAGGGGTCCAGCGGGTAGGTAGTGGGTCGGCTACCTGCAGTCTTGCCGCGACGGGACCGATGATACGCGACGGGAGGAAAAGTTCAATTGCGGCGACAACCGTCGAACATCGGCTCCAAGCTTGTTGACTCTGGAGTTTTGCGACAAAAGACAGCCCGGACCCGACACAGTTCTCTTGTCCCCGATTATGAAGCTTGCTGTTCTGTAGCACTGCCGCTTGCCGCCATGCCAGCTGCGCAATGTTCTCCGCTTCAAGGAAAGTCGCTGGCCAGCCCAGACTTTGTCTGAGGCTTGCCGTCCGAAGACCACTCCCCCACAGATCATATGCCACGACACAGCTCGATCTGCCCGCGCTAGATGAGAAATGGCGCAAGACATGGAAGAACAGGGAGAACTTCGACCGACGGCGTCTGGATGCCCTCGGAAACGACCCGGCCACCCTCGAAGCCGAACCCGACAAGTCCACCGGCCAACATTTGTACATACTACCTATGTGGCCATACCCCTCCGGCAAGCTACACCTCGGACATCTCCGAGTATATACAATCGCCGACGTCATTGCTCGCTGGCGCAGGTTGCAGGGCCGCAATGTGCTGCTGCCAATGGGCTGGGATGCGTTTGGCCTGCCCGCCGAGAATGCGGCAATCGAAAGAGGCATAGATCCGGCCGAGTGGACGAGAGACAATATTGCTTGCATGAAGGAGCAGCTAGGGGTGATGAATGCGAGCTTTGAATGGTCCAGGGTAGGTCTACACTGTGAAGCTGTCACCTGTCCCCATATTGACTATATTGTCATCGCAGGAAATCGCAACCTGCGACCCCGAGTTTTACAAACAAACCCAGAGGATCTTTCTCCTCCTTCTACGAAACGGACTAGCTAGTCAGCAGGAAGCCCTCGTCAATTGGGATCCAGTGGACAATACGGTTCTTGCCAACGAGCAGGTCGACTCCGAGGGACGCTCATGGAGATCAGGGGCCAAGATTGAACAGCGCAAACTCAAACAGTGGTTCTTCCATACGACCAAGTATAAAGAGGCACTCCTACGAGACCTCGAGGAGCTCGGCAAAGATGACGCTTGGCCCGAGAGGGTCCTGATAATGCAGCAAAATTGGCTTGGTCTGAGCAAGGGCGCCAACATTTTGTTCCCTACCAACATTGAAAATGTGCCCAGTCTGCAGAGAGTTGAGATATTTACTTCGAGGCCGGAGACCGTATTTGCTGCTCAATTCATCGCACTATCGCCAGACTCACCCGCCGTCCAAAGCTTGGCGTCTCGAGACCCCGACCTTCGTGACTTTCTAAAGCGAACAAAAGATACCCCAGGAGACACCACGGAAGGGTACCGACTGCCAAACATCAAAGCTCACAGCCCTTTGCATTATCTTGACGGCGACATACATTTACAGTTTGAGCATGTGCCCGTATATGTTGCCCCCTATGTCCGCGGAGACTACGAGACTGGCGCCGTGATGGGAGTTCCCGCCCATGACGCCAGAGACTGGGCATTCTGGAAGCGACATCACCCCGAGGAGCCTGTGAAGTACGCAGTCACGCCAGACTATAAAGGTTTCCCCCCTCAACAAGACCGTCCCTATCTAGAAGCAGGATACATGACCCATCTCGCCCTTGGATATCATCAGCAAAGGTCGGATGACGTTGTGGACGATCTCATTCGAAGGATGAAGGCGGCTTCAAATTTGGCAAAACCCCGTCCATCATGGAAAATTCGAGACTGGCTCATCAGTAGACAGCGATACTGGGGCACGCCAATCCCGATTATCCACTGCAGCAAGTGCGGACCACAGCCGGTGCCAGACGATCAGCTCCCGGTCAAGCTTCCCAAAGTTGACCATCATTGGGCAAAAGGCCAGACCGGTAATCCACTCGAGTCTGCCACAGACTGGATCAATACGACTTGTCCAAGCTGCCTGGGTCCTGGTAAGAGAGACACCGATACAATGGACACCTTCGTGGATTCAAGCTGGTATTACATGAAGTTTGCAGATCCTCACAACTCGGATTTTCCGATCTCGGAATTAGCAGCCAAAAACAGGCTACCGGTGGATTTGTACATTGGCGGTGTGGAGCACGCGATTCTTCATCTACTCTATGCAAGATTTATACACAAAGCCGTGATGGGTATCACGTATCCTAAACGAACTGTGTACACACAGAAGGATGCAGATCGAAAGGTGAAGGAACTAGAGCAAGAACGTCAAAGGCCACACAAGGATAGACGTTCGAATGTGGGACAGAAACTGACTATGAAGGCAATAAGGGCCATTGGACGGAATGGTTTGCCTGACCTGGTCGAGACACCCAGAGACTGCTCTGCGGAACCGTTCAAGCGTCTGATAACGCAAGGCATGGTACATGGCAAGACCTACGTGGATCCTGACACCGGCCGCTTCCTGAAGCCAGACGAGGTCGACCTATCGAACCCGTCGAAGCCTATTGTGCTGGCATCAGGGAAACCGGCAAGGGTCACTTACGAGAAGATGTCGAAGTCTAAGCATAATGGGGTTGATCCGACGACTTTTATCGCAAAGTACGGCGCCGACGCCACTAGAGCTCATATCCTGTTCCAAGCTCCCGTTGGGGAGGTACTGAACTGGGATGAGGACAAGATATCTGGGATAACGCGGTGGATGCGCCGAGTGTATGATCACGTCCAGACGCTCGCGGCTACGGAAGATCTAGCCCCCGAGTCACGTAAATACTTGAACGCCAAGAATTACTTCAACCGTTCCCCAGACGCATTGCGCAGAATGACCAAGACGGAAGCTGCACAGTACGCTGCCGATGTCGAGGTCTGGCGCACGACACAGAATGCCATCATCTCCGTCACAACGGCATTCCAAAAGGTCTACCCGCTCAACACTGTGATCTCCACACTGATGGGTCTCACCAACACGATCCTCGAGGGCCGGGCCACTTCGGGGTTCATCCTACACAAGGCCACGGTGCGACTGCTTCGAATGATGGCGCCGATCACCCCGGCGTTTGCCGAGGAGTGCTGGAGCATCCTACCCGGCACCAACAAGAGCATCTTCGACAGCAACAGGTGGGGGTGGCCCGCGCCGGACGGGTCGCTCTGGCTGCTGCAGACAAACCGCCGCAAGTGCGCCGTGCAGGTCAACGGCAAGCTGAAGTGCGTGGTGGAGATCCCGACCAGGCCGTCGGACCTCGCCGAGGACAAGGCGTACAGGCAGTGGCTCACGCAGGAGATTATGGAGACCGCCGAGGCGCAAGAGAAGCTGTCCGGCCCTGCCTCCAACATCCGCAAGGCGACGAAGATGTTTGTCATCAGAGATGGCGCGCTCGTGAATTACATTGTCCAGGAGGAACGGGGTGCCCTGATGCTCGACTAGACCTGAGGTGTAGGAATATTTGTCAGATGTCTAGACGTGTACATGTAATGTAACATACGGAGTATAATAATGTAGATACGCCTCTCGAGTTTCACACCTTTCGGGTTGCCTGGGTGCTGGCGCGTGGAAGTCTAAGCGTTCACTGGTATAGAGATATGCCATCTTCCGTCGGCGAGGGCGGCTGCGGCAATCCCCAAGTCAGCAGCTACTTTATGGGGAATATTGTACACCCTATAGGTCTTCTCGTGGTATCTCCTACCCTATCCTTCACCGCGGTGGGTTGAAGATGTTTGACTGATAACATGTGGTTGCTATTCATCACCAGCGGGGACTGCAGGTGGCTGACGGCCCGTCAGTTGGCAGCCGGTTTCCCTAGTGGCTTTAGGGGCTCTAACACATTTGGGCTCCAGGGGATAAGAGCCCTGTAAGCCTAAACTCCAGGCAGGGCGGGTCGATCCCGGGTCTTCACGCAGCTTATTCCAACCAATCAATGAGCTGCATTGCTTCTGCGGTAACACTTGATTTCGTTCTCTAGCTTCGACTTCATCTTCATTCATCAGAACCAGCCGGACACAACGTTGAAGAAAGCGAATGCCGCGCCTGCGCCCATCTTTCATACGGCGGGCGCACAACATCTCCTCACACCTCGCCACACTCCTACCTGCCTGTCGGGACCTGCGCTCGGCACAGAACGAGTTGCGATGGATCCGTGAGCACGTCTCGTCCTCTTTGGCCCCTGCTCACGAGCATAACGTTACGTCACGCAGCTGCGTCACAAAGACGGCCGTGGCGGTCATCAAGAAGCATCTCGATACCGAGGTCCAGATTGACCGTCTGTGCAGACTGCGAGGGACCCGGGGCGTGCCGCTGCAGTACGTGCTCGGATCGCAGCCCTTTGGCGACCTGGACATCCGGTGCCGGCCAGGCGTCCTGATTCCGCGTCCTGAGACCGAAGCCTGGGTGTTTCACCTCGCAGACTTGGTCAGGAACGTCATTGCGGAAGGCGCGCTTTCACGACCAGGTGGCGATGTTGATGATCGCACTGCCAGACCGCTGAAGATCGTGGACCTCTGCTCCGGATCCGGATGCATCGCCCTGCTGCTTTCGTCACTCCTGCGAAGCCATCTACGGGGCTCGGACGTAGACATTCGTGGATTCGATGTCGAGCCTCGGGCCGTAAGCCTAGCGAAAGAGAATTTGGCGTATAATCTGCGACGACGTGTGCTGCCACGACCTCGTGCCGGCCGCCAGAACGTGGTGTTCGAGAAAGCCGATATCTTCTCTGAAGACTGGCTGGCGTCTCTGCATCATGACCCTGCAGACCCTAATGCGGGAGGGTCCAAGCTGGGGGCTCCGATTGACATTTTCGTTTCCAACCCGCCTTACATCTCGATGAGGGGTTACGACTGCGACACAGGTCGATCCGTCCGTAATTACGAGCCCAGGCTTGCCCTTGTGCCGCACGAATCGCTACGGATCTCATCCTTTGCCGACTGTGCGCCGGAAGACGTCTTCTATGCCAGGCTACTCGAGGTGGCCGAGATACTCCGTCCGAAGTTCGTGGTGCTTGAGGTCGGTGATCTGGCTCAAGCCACACGCGTCCTAGAAATGGCGGTCCGGGCGCCACGACCGTGGATTACCATGGAGGTGTGGAGGGATTGGCCTGATATGGCACCTGAGGAGGGCGAGGATCAGGTTGTGCGAATCGGTGGGCTGCAGGTGCCGGTTAGGGGCAGTGGACATGGGAGGACTGTCTTCCTCCAGCGTGGTGCCTGAGTCTCTTCCTGGCTGATGGTGGAAAATTCACTTCATCGTGATGTGCCCCTGTAATCTCAATTCACACACAAAGCTTCCATCGACGTTTACATGCCAAGCTACCCTCGACTGTTACCTATGACTTTGGGAACGATCACACCGGCCCATTGCGGCTTGTGAAAATCCTCCGTCTGCGTTAGTCGGTTTTACGAGACCAAGGCCAATAGGGCTGAATGATTGGAAAGTTGAAATTCTATGTACAATAAAGCTCCTAATGGTCGACCTTCAAATACGTATTCGCATGCCTTTGCCTACCTCACTGAAAATACCCGAATCTCACCTCCCTATTTCCCGTTCGGATCGACTCAACCGTTCAGCCCGATCCGAACGTTGAACTTCGGCACAATTGATCGAGCGTCCTGTTCTCGCCACGAAGATATCGATGTAATCGCATCATCCATTGGAGGCTCGGACTCAGGCCATAAGAGTTTGTCCCTGTTGGCTCCTAGTTTTCCCGACTGAGATTGTGACCCCATGTCTCCCCTGGAGCTATGGCTTTGTGAACTGATCGAAGAAGTCCATGATGACCTGAGAGGCCTGGATATGAGTTGGGCCTTGTCCAGCCGCGATTTGCGAGAAGTTAATCTCGGTCGAAGCCCAACAGTGCCCTGCCATAAGTATATCATCAGCAGCTTGCGTGGCCTATCAGCGTGACATTGGGGCGACTCACCCATATCGTCAACTTTCCAATGCTGCAATACTCCCTCAGTCCCATCCCCACACGTCCAGATGGAGTGGTGCACATCGCCCTCGAAACTGTCCTCGACTCTCACATCTGTGCATCCGTTGCGCTCCGCCCACCATCCGAGCCACTCTGTGATCGCAGGTTCCATGCCGCCCTCGCCTTCACCCCCTTCGTAATGCACGCTGGCGTCGCTGCCGCCATGGATCTCCAGAACGGGCAGAGGACTCCGCGCTGGTGTGCATCCGCCACTGACACCAGCATTGTCTGTGTAGAGGGAAGCGGAAGCGGGCGCGAAGGCGGCGAACTCGTCGCCTAGGTCACTGCAGGCGATGGTGTTGACGAAACCACCGCCGTTGGATATGCTTTTCAAGGTCAGCCCGGACCATCCATGGACTCGCGTGACATCCGTCAACTTACCCAGTGGCATAAATGCGGCTGTTGTCGATGCAGTACCCAGCACGGACCTCGTTGAGTAGATCTGTCACAAATTGCAGGTCTTCCGCCACGGAGATCTCGGAATAGTTGGCGCCAGCCCAGGCTCCCTAGACGAGAGTCAGTCTTCGCGATACGGGGCTAATCAAGTCTCGGTCAGAACTTACACCCACGCCGTCGGGGTAGACCATGATTTTCTACAAATCGCATTAGCTCATGCCACGTGCAGCCACCAAGAGCGTCTGAAATTCTCACGTTGGCGCTGAACTGGCTCTCGCTCAGTCTGCTGTCCACCTCGAAGAAGAGCCCGATGCTGTCGGAGCCGTGGAAGCCCAGCACGAGGGGATACGACGTCGACTTGTCGTAGTCGCTGGGCAGATGGATCGAGTAGGACCGGTCCCGGCCGCTGCTCGTGAGGTCGTGGTACTGCGTGATGCCGTTGAAGAGGTGCGTCTTCCCGCAGCCGTCGGTCGCTCGCGATGTCACAGCCCTGGGCGTGGCGAATACCGTCGTGGCGAGGGCGGCTATAATGCAGGCGGTATAGCTGATGGGCCGCATTGTCGTGCAACTGTAAGCCGGCCCGACGGAGCTGAATCGCATGAACAACGAGCTACGATATGGAAGACCTTCACTCAAGTAACTCAGTCAACGTCGCCTTCAGTCAGTCGACGGGCGCATCTTTCAACTATGTTATCCATCCATCCAGGCAGTCGGCTAACCAGCTGATGTCCAATGGGCATGGGGGCCACCAAGTAGGAGCGTAAAGCAGGCTTTCGGTCATTTCCATCCAGCCAATCACCTTCCTAAGGGGGCATGTGTAAGGTCCGGCCGCCTTATAGCCTTCCTGAATAGTCAATTGATCGGACTATGTGGAGTTTTCATCACATGCTTGATGCATGCAACGTAACTCTGTTTAGACCTCCGATCTCAATGTCACCCTCAATCAAGTCGATGCTGTGGTAACCCAGTAGCTAACGAGGCCCGAATCCACATATACCTTCGCTTAAAGATCACGAAGCCATATGACGACCAACTTGTCAATGCTTTTGTCAACGAATCATGAGCAGAGATGAACACTTTAAGCATTATTTCCCCGTCAGATGTTCCTAAGTCTCTTTGTCAATATCACATCTCACAAACTCAAGCGCGCACTGCGGGTAATTGAACAACGGCCTGCCGTGAGCCTTACAAGGCCTATGATCGCAAGGGCCCTGATACCAGCGTCACCCCTACGCAGGCAACCACTGGAATGGCCAGCATACAATTCACGATGAGCAGAATTTGCTGCTGCATCTTGCAGGTCTCCTGCAGATGTAGGAAACAGATGCCCAAGCATTATAGCTGATAACCTGGTACGGCTTCAAGAGATACGGTTGGTAATCATTATCATCAGTTCTAGCTAAACATTGCACAAAACTTGCTGCCTTTCTACATCGGTCGCGAAAGGGACTGGAGTTTCCTTCTAGCGCCTAGTAGTGGGCCTCTTAAGAAGGATGTATAGCGCGAGGTACGCCCTGTGGGAACGTTAGCCATGATTCTCAAACATGAACGAGTCGCTGTTATGGAGTGAAAGGGTTTGCACGTACGCTATACCGGTGAAGCAGAGACCAGAGATGACCCCAAAGCCCATCAAGTACTTTGGCTTGTCTTTAGACGGGAACAGGTATGATCCGTAGATCTGAGCAAGGTTTCCCTACAGTCATCGAATCAGCATGCGTTCGATTATGAGCACGGGGGTTTGGTTAGGTCCACATACCATGGCGTTGACGAATGCCAGGCTGATACCGCGAACTTCGGCAGTCATTGTGGTGAAGGTTGAGCTCGCACTAATTATAGTCAACATGGTTAGCAAGACGTTACTTCAATCGCCACCAAAACACCATCACGGGATTTACTTACTATGCCAGGGAGAGACCGTTGGAAGCCCATAGGCCCGAAGCCATGATGACTAGCAAAGCGTATCGAGCCTTGAAGTCGTACACGGCGCATGTGATGATGGAGCAAATGCAAGCGACGCCCATGCAGCAGCCCAGAACCAATCCTCTCCAGCGAGGGTACTTGTCCATGTAAAAGACAATAATCATTGTTATGACAAATGCGACACCGTCTACGAAACAGGTATGAGTATGAGTATCCACTTGTTTTCGAGGACGCGCTTGTGAGACTTACAGATGGGGATAGTCATGTACTGTGCGTTAACAGTCGAGTAGCCGAGGCCTTCAACGAGGGTCGGGTAGAAGTAGGACAGGGTGGACGAGCCGACAACGGCCATGTAGCCAACAACGAACAGCCAGACCCTCCAGTCAGTGAGGGCGACCTTGAGAGCCCCGAAGTGAGACAGCTTGGGGCGGTCCTCGCCGCCGTCAAGGCGCGAGGGATCGGCCATGAGACGGCGGATGGCCAGCTCGCGCTCGGGCTCGGAGAGGCGCTTGGTGTTGGCGGGGAAGTCCATCAAAATAAACGAAGCAATGATTGACCAGCCGGCGGTGGCGGCACCCTCCACAATAAACAGCCATCGCCAGCCCGCGAGACCGTGGGCGCCGTTCAGATTCCTGGTGATGGAGCCCGCGATGATACCTCCGAAGGCGCCTGACAGGATGGCGGCCGAGATGTAGACGCCGAAGCGGCGGGCCTGCTCGTCCGGCTTGTACCACGAGGAGAGCAGTAGGAGCATACCGGGGGCGAAGCCGGACTCGAGGAGGCCGACGAGGACGCGCAGGCCGATGAGGGCCTCGTAGCTGTTGATGAAGGCCATGCCGATGGTGGCGCAGCCCCAGAAGAACATGATGGCGGGCAGGAAGATGGACGGTTTGGTGCGGGCGAGGATCATGTTGGAGGGCACTTCCCAGAGCACGTAGCCGATGAAGAAGACGACGAGGGTGATCGAGTAGCGATCCGAGTCGAGACCGAGGTCCTCCTCCATGCCGGAGATCTTGGCGTTACCGATACTGTGGTTCGAAAAGGGGGACTGTCAGCCCGTTGTGCGCTTGATACTCAGGGTACCATGATGAATTCACCACGGCGAAGGGGTATTAAGGGTGTTGCTCTGCTTACTTCGTCCGGTCCATGTAACTCAGCAGATACATAATCCACATCGTCGGAAGAATGTAGAGATCAATCTTGCGGACCAACTTCTTCTCCTCCTCGGTATCGGGTACGTAGGCTTCGGCATAGTCGGTATGTGCTATGTTGTTCTTCACCATGTCGGAGCCGACGTATTCTTCGTGCTCTCCTGAAGCCTTGTATGAATCTTCGATAGCCATATTGATGGCTGGGCTGCTCTCATATAGGAGAGCGATAGAGATCAAAGAGCTACCAAACACTCAAGCCTTAGGTAACTGTGGATGATGATGAATGGTGAGAGGTTCCTCCTATTTGGGATCGTACGACGCAGCCAGGCCCTTTATACGCAATTCAGCCTTTGATCTTGGATGGATAATATCTACTGCAGCCTGCAGGCCTGTGGGCTTAAAGAGCGAACTACCGCCTCATCCCCCAGGTTATCGGCTGACCTTCCAAAGTTCCCAGATATTGCCCTCCGTTTTCCCCATACTATCTTCCCCGGTTTCCTCCATGGTCCACCGTGGTGTGGTAATAACTCTCCCACACGAGGACAGGGAAGCACCCTGCTTGCACCCCGCATGATGTCTAGAGAACCATCCCGGCGGTGAGCTGCGTAGGCTGGTGGAGACTTGACTCGGAACGGGGGGTGCGACACATCAAAGGAGGCAGCTTGCCGCGTCTCGAGGTCAGTATCCCTATTTAGTGCGACTATATGTGCCCCGAGACGACGATATACAACTAACTGACCCACGTTCCCCAACTAAGGCACGCTATTCCCAAGACTCTGACATAGTCCCATGGCGGCGCGAATCCCCCTCCCCCGCACGAGAAGTTGGAGAAATTCCAGTAGATAGATGGCCGCTCGCAAAAGAGAAAGTGTAGATATATCATTTACTTCCCTTGGTCGCCTCTTACTGGTGGCTATTCTCATGATACTTACTCTCAAAGTTGATACCCTCAACTTACTCGCACTTCTCCCAACCCACGCAAGCCACACACTTTGCACTCTTTGAAGTCCCGAAACACCCATCTCGCCTCTCCCCTTCCAACTACACACAATGTCTCCTTCTGCGACAGAATCAGCTGCGGCCGGCGACGCTCCGGTCGTCGATAACTACCCATCCACACTCCCCCAGCCTGGCCACAACTGGCAAATCACTCTCAAAGACAAGGTCATCGCAAGTAAGTGGTCATCATTATCTACAAGTGTCAGATCATCAGAGCCCGAGCTAACCACAGTCTTCACTCCTAGTCACCGGCGCAAACCAAGGAATCGGTCTGGGCCTCGCCGAGGTGTGTCTTGCCAATGGCGCGGGCAAGGTCTTCTCCATGGACATCAGCGAGCCGGGCGACGACTTCGCCGCGCTGGCCAAGAAAAACCCCGGCCGCTTCGAGTACGTCAAGACGGACGTGACGGACGAGGCGTCAGTGAAGGCGGCCATCGACGAGGTGGCGACGCGGGGCGGGCGCTTCGACGGCATGATCGCCAACGCGGGCGCGACCAAGCACCAGCCGGCGCTCGACTTCACGCTGGAGCAGTTCGAGCGGCTCTACAAGCTCAACGTGACGGGCGCGTGGCTATGCGCCACGTACGCGGCGCGCAAGTTCATCGAGCTCAAGACCAAGGGGTCCGTCGTCTTCACGGCGTCCATGACGTCGTACCGGCCCAACCGCGCCGCGCCCTCGGCCCCCTACGGCGGCACCAAGGCCGCCGTCCGCAACATGACGCACACCCTGGCCATGGAGTGGGCGCAGTACGGCATCCGCGTCAACAGCATCAGCCCCGGCTTCGTCAAGACCGCCCTCACCTACTACGTCGAGACGAGCCCGGACTGGGACCTCAAGATGAAGTACTACGGCGGCATGCCCCGCCTGGCGCTGCCGCAGGAGCTGGGAGGCGCATACGTATACCTGTTGTCCGATACGGCGTCATATACTACGGGTATCGATATCCCCATCGCCGGCATTGTTGGTGCTTGGTAAAAATAGAACAGAAGAGAATGCATAAAGTCGTTTTGGGTCTCACATTTTGTACACACCATATCCAATAGAACGATATCGCAGAACATATCCATCTCATGATATTGCAATTTTTCCCACTGTATGGTACGCACGATTGTTTGGGCTCATTGAACATGAATTGAACCCAGTAGATTGGATTTCAAACCGGCATTGACGTCTCGGACTTTGGAGGTTAGAATGCTTTTTCTTCATTGACGGCTCACGACTGTTGATGCTTGTTACTGTTGAATCCCGACCAAAGCGTTAAGGTCATTATAACTCAACTTGTATGTCGGTATTTAATCGAAGCAAAGTTAAAATGCAAGAAAAGTTATCGAGTACTATATGGGTTCTTGTTAGGCAGCACCTCTACTTGGGGCTATATTGCCATACCTAAGGCATGGTCACATCTGAAACATTCGGACATAGCACATGGTTTTGCCATATTCGTGTATTCGTTACATGGTCATGAAATTACTCTACTCAAGCCTTCCCCGCCGACCCAGTAACATCCATCTGCCACTCCATCAGCTTCTGTATCGCATTGGTGCCGTCCTCCATCAGCGTCGTGAGGCTCGCCGTCGCCGCCTGCGTCTTGATGTAGGCGAGGTAGTCGTCCAGCACCAGCTTGTTGACGTTGATCTTGCTGCACCCGCCCTGGATGCACTTCTTCATGACATCCTCCGGGAAGTCGTTGGTCCCGTGCAGCACAATTCGCACATCGCCAGACGCCGACGCCGACGCGGAAAGCTTGGATCGGATCGAGGCCAGTCGGTCGTACTCGAGAACAGGCCCCCGCCGGCCATACTCGCCGTGCACGTTGCCGAAGGCGGGCGCAAGGAAGTCGATGCCCGTGGCGACAAAGTCGTCGACCTGCTCGGGCGTCGTGAGGGCGCCCTCGAGGTCGGCCGTGTCGGCGATGCCGTCCTCGCCGCCCTCGATGCGGCCCGGCTCGGCCTCGGTGCAGATCTGGTGGGCGTTGCAGAAGCCGACGAGCTCCTTGGTCTTGGCGAGGTTCTCCTCCATCTCGTAGTGGCTCATGTCGACCATGATGGAGTCGAAGGGCAAGGTGGAAGCGGCGCGGCGGATCAGGTCGGCGTCCTGCGCGTGGTCCAGGTGGATGGCCACGGGCACTGAGGCGTCTCGCACCGCCTTCGCCGCCGCGTGCACCAGCAGGCCATCGCTGTAGGTGATGGCCCAGGGGAAGACTTGTATGATGAGGGGCGCCCGCTTGGCCTCGGCGGCGCGGATGAAGGCGAGGATGCACTCGATGTTGTATCTGTAACACAGATGTTGGTCAGTATCAAGACCAGAACCAGAGACTTTCGGAAGGGGGATGGTGATGCTTACGCTATGGGTGCGACGACGCCATATCCGCCCTTCTCAGCATCCTCGAGGATCTTGTATGTCCGGTTGTCTTTTTTCCACTCCATGTTGTCAGATGTAGGTCTGTGAAACGGAGCTCGATCAACTTGATGATCGGGTTGTGGGTTTCAATGGATAAGTGAGTATGAACGGCTTTCAAATCATCAATGAGACCGGCATCTTCCCCCGTCAAGCACTTCGTCATAATGCATTCTGGTGTTTTTCAAGATCCGCGACATGCTTGCCGGGTGCCCACCGGAAACTGCATGGCCCCTTGCCGACCTCCTCATGACCCCAACTTGTCCAGGGGTAAGCTTGGAAAAGTAGATCCACCCAAGCTTTCTCCGCCAGTGGAATCCCCCTCGCGTCTCGAGGCAGCGCGGCTAATGTCCACCAGCACCACAATGCAATGCCACGAGGACCAAGGGCCATACTACGCAGGTAGCACACCAGCCGTAGGCCTCGTGACGTGCGAAAGACCTCAAGAGTCAACGATGCCAATTCGCATAATAGGGGCAACACCACCCCCGCATCCTAGCCTCCCCCCTTTTCGAGCGACGAACTATTCTCAGTACCTAATCCTACCTACTTGACTCTGGTACTTCCACTTGTCCCCAAAAATTCTCATCACACAATCACACAACACACACATCTTCCCTGCAGTCCAAATGGCAGCCATCAACAAGAAGCTCATCATCGCAATCGGGGGCGACGATGCCGGCTTCGATTACAAGGCGAAGCTGACCGCGGACCTCGAGGCGGATCCCCGCGTGGCCGAAGTGGTCGATGTCGGACCCAACTCGCCGAGCGACAAGACGCCCTACCCACAATACGCCATAGCAGCAGCCGAGCTGGTGGCCTCTGGGAAGGCCGATCGCGCCCTGCTCATCTGCGGCACGGGCTTGGGGGTAGCCATCAGCGCCAATAAGGTCGCCGGAGTACGGGCCGTCACGGCCCACGATAGCTTCAGCGTCGAGCGCGCGGTCCTGTCCAACGACGCCCAGATTCTCTGCCTGGGGCAAAGAGTCATTGGTGTTGAGTTGGCGAGACGGCTGACTAAGGAGTGGCTGTAAATATCACCATTCCATGAATGTGGTGAGAAGAGAGATGCTAACACCTGGAGCAGTGGTTACACATTCGATCCCACATCGTCATCGGCGACAAAGGTGCAGGCGATCAATGACTATGACATGCAGCGCTCGCAGGCTGTGGCTGCGGTATGAGAAGAAGGTAGCGCCTGGATGATTTCACTCAAGTCACTCGAGCCCATTCTGCTATCAGGTCATCGCGCAGCGCCGCCATAGGCCAGCCCGTCCGGTTTTCGCAGGCATCGATGAGCGAGAGGATGGCCTTGCGCTTTTCTTCCTCTTGTACGCATAGTCCAGCTGGAGTTCCTCGAGTGTCAGTAACAGAGGCCCATCGACACGTGGAGTTATCAGTCTGTTTGGAAAACTGATAGTAGGCGGAAATGTACGAATACGTACCTCCAAACAGGCACTGGGCAGACATGATCTGGCTCCCTTCATCCCGTAGCTCCATAGCGATACCACATATTGTATTCACGGCTTCGTGCAGGGTCTTCTGAGTCTTGAGGTAGCTATCAAACCCGGATGAGACGACTGGTCGGTGCAGCGTGATGAGAATGCGAATGAAGTTGTAAATCTGTATCGACACCGCGAACATGGGAGGGTGAATCCAGATGGGGGTAAAGAGACTCTGCGAGTCGACCGAGGGCGTTGGCAGGGCCTGGAAGCTCGCACCTAAATGCATCTCCCAGCGCTCGAGCTCAGACAAGAGAGCTTCGCCAACATAGGCTCGCCTCTGCGCCGAGTTATCGCCACCGCCGCCGCCGCCGCTGCTGTTGGTGGCGTCGGTCTTGGAGCAGTAATTGACTGTCTGCGACAAGAGGTAAACAATGCGGTTGGCCAGCTCATCTTGGGTCAGGTCCGGGTAGTCCATCAGTGGACGCCAAAAGGAGAAGCACCGCCGCCGCTCCCGGAAAGCCGCCCATATGTCCTGGCGGAGCCATGCCCACCAGACCGACTGCCGCAGGCCACCCGATACACCGTTGACGTTTTGCGACCGCTGGATCCAGAAAACACCCTTGAGGTGCCGCTTCCAGTTGCTCTTAGATGAGTCGAGCATTTCATAGGTAGAGATCACCACTGCATGGACAAGGCCGTCTCGTTAGCATTCAAAGTAGTCCTGCATACTACATTCCAGATAAGGAAGACAGAAGGTGCAAACGGAGGTCTTACGAGCAGTGGCCAAAAGCTCCTCCGAGAGTGTATATGTTTCGTACTGCAGAGCAATCTGCAGGTAATGCAGTGTCTCGTAGTAATACTGCACAGCCATACTAGATGGGTCCGATTCCGCTAAAGACGAATGAGCCGCAGCGGCAGCGAGACCACCAGCTTGCAGGGACGTTGCCCTATGTCGTGCGCATAATGCCAGTATCGCTTTACACAAGCCAACATTACGCAGTGCCAGCCGGATGGCATGAGTGGAGAAGTGTTTCTACCCGAGGTCATAAGAGTTCAGCGAGTTCATGCGAAGAAGCACGAAGCTGACAACGCAGAATGATTGGTTCACATACCTGGGGGTCGAACAAGTCCAGCTGCAGTCAAGAAGTCAGCAATATGTACTAATAATACTCCAAGCAATATGCACTTCTTGCTTACCCACTGACTGGCTCTCTCGGCAAAGACTCGAAACAGGTAGGCTTCCTCAGACGTCAGCTTAATGTCCTGATCGAGGGACCAAGCATGCCGCTCCGACGTGCCCACCAGGGCCGGAGGGGCTGCCGTGACAGCCACGGCGATGGGCTGGTTCTCGGTCCCTATCGGACGTGCCTCGGCAGGTGTGGCTTGGCCGGTTGGCGAAGGCGAATTGTCTTCGAACGGGGCCGGACTCGGGGCCAGCGAGAAGTTGGCGTCAGCCTGGGCCGCGTCGGTGGCCAGCAGGTCGAGCCAGCGGTTCGAGGCCATGTCGGCCGTCAGCTGCTCCGAGGCCACCGTGTCCGGCGACTGTGCATAGTGGTACGTCTCGGCTATTGGCATCAACAGGGGCGCAGGTGGGCCTTGTGGTGATAAACCTGAAGCTTCTGCCATCATTTGCTGGTAAGGATTCGAGCCTCGTCTTTCGGGCAGCGCGGCAGCCCCTGTCGACGACGGCAGAGATGAGACAACATGAATGCTCTCTTGGCTATATTGCCGCGATGACCTTGTGGGGTTACGCCTCGCCTCTTCACTGTAGACACAGTCGCGATTCGCTATGGAGCATGGCCCGCAAGTTGGCACTTTAGAGATGTCATCAGCTCCAGTCCATTGCAGCTGAACTCGATGGGGAACATACGGTTCTCGTCACATTTCTTGTGTCTAGACCGACACGTCAAGCTGTAAACAGGTTAAACAGGTTAAGCTATGAGTTATTTTTACACTACTTGATTGACAAGTGGAAATGCTATTGAAAGAGGCGCCTACCAACCGGTTCTAGTGCGAAGTCCTCGAGACCTCGACTTGCGCATCCTCTTCGGCTTGGGCGACTGAGGCCCGTCCGGGTCCAGGCTCCGGGTGGGAGTGTAGCCCGTCTCCATGGTCATGTCCATGGTTATGGCGCTAACAGGTGTTGCCGGGATGAGATCGGAACTTCAGCCGGACAATGTTGATTCGGATCATGCGCGTGCGCGTCAATGGTCACACGCAAAACGAGGGGCGATGTGATGAGGGAAGTTCTCGTCTCGAGGCCTTTTCGTCAGTTCGCGGATGGAAGTTTTGGGGAAATGGAATCTGCAGGGACGGGAAACGGGGCAGTCGGGGGGTCGGGGGTGGCACCGATACCCCAACGCTATTCCCCACTCACCCCGCAATGTGCAACCCCGGCTTCCCCTTTTCTGCGGTGTGATCGTATTGTCGGACCATTCCCCGCACTGATTGCGGAGGATACTGGTCACTTGCCCCTTTTCATCAGAGCCCCGGAAGGTCTCCGACACTAGCCGGAATCTGCGCTTCGGGGATGGACGCGAGACGCGAACCCCCCTGAGGATTCCCCTCATGTAGTTGGGGGAAACAAAGGGCCTCTCCGACTGCAATGCAACCATACGCGATTCGCTGATCCACGATAGAATCATGTATCTCAAATAGGGCTCGGAGGACCCCCACCCCATGAGGGCTGTTGCTGTCAATTCCAGTGTAATTTGCAACGTATCAGTGAACTCGAACTTCAACTTGTCCCATCTTGAGCTTCTTACTCCATTCCATACGTCTGTAATTTATCGACCATGTCGGACAAGCACTTCTTTCCGTAAGCCAAGGCCGGAGGTGCTGGAACATGGAGGCAGTGTACTGACAATCTTCACAGTGAGACGGCAGCCAATACCCTGGTTCCCAAGTATCTAAGGGCCTTCACAGCGGCGAACCCGCACCTGGGCCTTATCGACTCCGAGAGAGTTGTTTATGAGAAGAGGCATGATAGGGGCACGGTCTCGGTCATCTCCGGCGGCGGCAGCGGCCACGAGCCCGGATGGTCAGGCTATGTAGGAAGAGGCGCACTGGCTGCCGCTGCGTGCGGCGACATCTTCGCTTCGCCGAGCACCAAGCAGATCACGGCGGCCATCCGCGCCACCCCCTCCGATGAAGGTCATATCCTCATGATCACCAACTACACCGGCGACAACCTGCATTTCGGTCTCGCGGCAGAGCGAGCGAAGGCAGATGGAACGTGCAAGAACATTGCTGTCGTACCCCTGACTGACGATGTGTCGTTGGGAAGGAGCAAGTCCGCCGTGGTAGGCAGGAGAGGCATGCCCGGTCACATTATTCGTGAGTTTCCAGCCGGCGTGCTCGCTGTATTCAATCTATGGAACGTAACGAAACGTCACTAACAAGCTTATAAACCAAAGCTGCCAAGATTGCTACAGCAGCAGCTGCAAGGAAATACTCATTCGAACGATGCCTCAACCTGGCTCAAGCGGTTAATGCCGAGGTCGTCTCCATAGGATCCGCGTTAGATCACTGCCACGTCCCGGGACGGGCCAAGCACGAGACTCTTCCTGCTGACGTGGTTGTCGTCGGTGCTGGCATCCACAACGAGCCGGGGGCCCAGAGGTTAAGCCCCTTTCCCCCGGTAGAGGACCTGATTGCGCACTGTCTTAGACTCCTCTGCGACCCGATGGACACCGAAAGAGCCTTCGTCGACTTCCACAAGGACGATGCCGTGGTGCTTCTGATCAACAACTACGGTGGTGTCAGCAACCTGGAGCTGGGTGCCTTAACAGATGAAGTCATGGTCCAATTAGGCCGGTCATGGGACATCAAGCCGACAAGAGTCCTGTCAGGATCCTTCGAAACCTCGCTAAACGGCCCCGGCTTCTCCATCTCCTTGTGCAACATCACCAACGTCGCGAACAAGGTTTCCGCGCCTGTCGAGGAGCTGCTGGATCTCTTCGACATGAAAACGGAGGCGGTCCACTGGCCCAACGTTTCCTCCTCTGAGGCTTACAAGACGCAGACCAATGACACCATCGACGAGGTCAGAGGGGGAGGTCCAGAGGCGACGTTTGAGAACGATATCAAAGGTAAGTAACATCCCCCAATACTCAACGAGCATCCTAGTTCATTTACTTACCTGCCAATTTGTCAGTCGAACCCAAGTTACTAGACACTGTAATCCGATCAGCCTGCAAAGCTGCCATTGCTGCGGAGCCGGATCTGACGAAATGGGACATGATCATGGGTGACGGTGATTGTGGTGAAGCTGTACAAGGCGTGTCAGAAGGTAAATCCGTCAACCAGCCCTTATGAGGGGCCAGACGCTATTGCGAGCTCATGCTGACTCTTTGCCATTAAAGACGTAATCGCGATACTGGACCGCGGCGAGAACAAGGACGGTTCCATCATGAAGTTCCTCCTGGCCACGACCGACGCCGTCGACAACATGGGCGGCAGCCTAGGCGCGATCCTGGGCATCCTGCTCTCCGCCTTCACCTCTTCCCTTCAAGAAGCCGTCGGCCGCTCCTCCTCTCAAGACGCCGCCTCGAGGGCGCCCACGTACGCAGAGGCGCTGGCGCGGGCCGTCGAGACGCTGAAGAAGTACACCGGCGCGCGCGAGGGCGACCGCACCGTCATGGACGTCCTCATCCCCTTCGCCGAGGCGTTCGCGGCGACCGACGGTGACCTCACGGCCGCGGTTAAAGTGGCCCACGACAAGGCCGAAGGCACTCGGCATCTCAAGGCCAAATTTGGCCGCGCGTCGTACGTGGCCGAGGCGCAGGGGCAGGCCATTCCCGACCCGGGCGCTTGGGCGTTCTACGAGTGGGTGGCGGGCATGCAGCGGGCGATCGAGCAGCAAGCGGCGACTGCAAGCTCGTAGGCTCGTGTAGAGTAGGATTTCGTTTGGCAACTGTACCACTACTTTACCGTCTGCAATGCTCCTTGGAAACAGGACTCTAAATATACTTGATTAATGACACTGCTATCGTCTGCGCAGCAATTTCGCCTGCTAGCCAAACTTTATAATTGCACTTGTCATTATTATCATCCCTATCATCTTCTGCGAGTCTTTCTGCGAGTGAAAAGTTTATGGTTACAGCTAGATCCGAAGCGCCTCCTTGAGCTCCTGGATGATAAGTGCATTCATCTTCTCCTTCTGGCCCCATTCGGGGGTGCCGGGCTTGCACGTCTTGTCAAAGGCATGCGGCATCCCCTCCATGACCTCGTGGACGACCTTGCGCTTCCCGTCCTTGAGCTTCGCGGCCAGGTCGTTCGCCTCGGGCGCGCAGTTGTCGCCGCCGCACGTGAGGATGACGACGTGGTCCGGGAACAGGGCCGGGTCGGCGCGTCCGGACGAGCACCGGGGATCCTTGCGCGTCTCCGGGTCCGGCGTCCAACACTCGTCGAACAGGGCGGCCATGTGCGCCGGGATGGGTTGAATGGGCGTCTCGACTTGCTTCCTCTCCGCCGCTGGGACTGAGAGGTCCACAGTTGGGTAGACGGCGACGACGACTGGGATCTGCAACTGCTTCAGGTCGTCGTCTTGAGAAGCGGTCAAGGTCTTGCGAACGTCGAGGCGGCGACGAGCGCCAGGAGCCCGCCCGCGCTGAAGCCGGAGAGGGCGACGCGGCTGGCGTCGTAGACGTCGGGCTGGCTCGCGACCCAGCGCAGGACGTCCTCGGTGTCGTGCACGGCGGCGGGGAAGGGGTCCTCGGGCGCCTTGCGGTAGTCGGCATCCAGAACGACGAGGCCCGGGATTTCGCGAGCGACCTGGGCGCAATAGGGGCGGTCCTGGCCGAACCAGTGGAAGACCAAGCCGCTGCCGTGCCAGTTCACGAGGACGGGCGTGGGGCCGCCCGAGGCCGTGGAAGCAGCAGCCTCTTTGGAGCGGTAGAGGCGTCCGGCAATGGTGCGGCTTCCGTCTCCGTGTCCGTCGCGTGAGGGGATCTGCACGGGTGTCTCCTCGACGTCCTCCAGGACGTCGGTGGCGTCGTCGGGCTGGTCGAATTGAAGGCGCGCAGCGGTCACGGCCGCTTTGAGCTCCTCGTAGCGTGCTGGGGAATGGCCAGTCATGTTTGCGGAAGGGGAAGTTTGGTATGCGATGAACAGATACAAGATCAAGTCAAAAAGAAGACGCAGAAAACGATGGTCTCTTTTAAATACTCAAACTTGATGAGAATATTATGTAATCTTCCAGACGCTGATAAGCTGACAAGCTGACACTCGCTGACACGCTGCCACTCGCTGACACGCTGGCACGCTGTGCCACTGATCTTATGGCGATACAACAGACGACCCGGAACTCTGATATCACAGGTAAGTCCTTACCCAGTGGCAGGATGGTAATAATAGGCTCTTCAGTAAGTCGGCTGAAAGCAGGTTGTTGATGTAAGGATCTGTGTGGGTCACGTGATCCAGCCCAAGAACTGTTAGGTGGTGTTCATGCAGGTTAAGGTCCATCTCCGGTGTGATACTTCAAACTAAAGCGACATAACAGCGGGGCCATAAAATTGGAACAGCCCTCAAATTGGGACTGTTTCCACACTAAAAGACCACACTTACACCCACCTATATCACTATTAAAAATAAAGCTGTAAATACTAGAAATAATACATTTAAATCGTCTTTTTTTAGTATGTTTTATAATGTAAAAATTATTAGGTATGATACAGTGGGACAAGGCGTAATAAAGGTTGAAAATAACACTTTTAAGCTTAAAATTAAAAATTCCGGCTTTTGTGCCTTTATCCTTTTTAATCTAGTAAAAGTTTTATTACGTTAAAATGCTTTTTATATATATTTTTAAAAACCTCGCCAAAATAATTACCGTTATAAACGGTAACAAAATATCTCTTTATAAAGCCTTTTAACGTTATAAAGTATTAAAACTAACCCTTCTTTACAAAGTTAAAAGCATTACGATAATCTAAACGTAACTTGATTATAAAAAGGTTTATATTAAAAAAATTAATGGGTTCAAAATTTTTAAAAAAGGGTAAGCTATGCATTAACTTATAGTAATTTAAGGTATATTATTTAAAAAATCTTATAATTCAAAACATAATCGGATTTTTTCAAGTATAAATATTAATAACTTGTATAACTTGTATAACTTGTATAAAAAATTTGTCTTTATTAAACCGCAAAAACGGGTAAATGCCGACAAATACGGCATTATATAAGGCTAATAATACGTAAATTATTTAACTTAAATAATTTTTAAACGGCTAATCAGAACATTATAAGTTTAATAGCTTTATAATAAATAATTCTAGTTCAACGTAGGTCACAAGCAAGTGGGACACTTTCACGAACCTCTCAAACTTTAAACTTTTAACCAGTATTCCTTCACCCACAACAATGGCACTCCGTTATAATGAATCAGACATGCAGCTAGCTGTCTAAGCTAAAAAATGAGACCCTCATATTTCTGTTCAAAAGCTTGCAAAAAATTTCTATCTATTAATCTCTATACTGGCTCAAAGAATCGCCGGCTGACTATCATGACGTAATAGCATGACCAATTCTTTGCAATTTATGGTTTCTGAAGAGAATGCTATTTGCTCCTTTATACTCGACCTGGATGTGCAAATATTTCCGCCCCGTTACACCTATATTGAAGATATAACAAATCAATTATTGGTGACGTGTAGGGCTGGACGCGTAAGAAAGAACTGGACAACGAACTTTATTAAATGTACACCATACCTCTAGACGCGTTTTTATTGCAGGATAGATTACTTAAGAGTCTTGAAACAAAGATCCAGACGTGTATCACGCGTGGTTTTGCTAAGTTGCAGCAGCAGTTACAAAACATAGTATCTAAGACGCGGATATTTATAATTTCAACAAGACTAGCTTTATAATGGGCATTATTGGGTCCAGTATAGTCATTACACGCGCTAAAAACATGACAGGCCTAGACAAGCTTATCAAGGTAATGAGAAATAGTCTATAACAATCTTTGCTATTAATGCTGATGGTTGGGTGGTCCCACCGTTCATCATTCTACAGGGCAAAACCCACCTCGTGTTGAATACACGGATGTTGATTGATTCTATTGATTGTTCTGCTCTCCGTGCAGAGATTGGTCACCTGTCTTCTTGGTGGGTCAGATGCCCTGTGCGTCTCTGCCCCACTGGAGATCTTCCGGTGTCTATCTCTGGCTCCCATTGAACACCTCGCGTCATGGTATCGCGACACAACATTACCACGCAATTGGAAGGTGGCTGTGTCCAACAACGGGTGGACTACGAATGAGATCGGTTTGAAATAGATTCGGTATTTTGACAAGTATACCAGACCGCATATGACCACCAACAAATATTTCCTTATCCTGGATAGTCATGAAAGCCACCATTTCCAGGTCTTTAAGGATTATTGTCAGAATAATAGTATCATTACCCTTTATATACCTGTCCACTCGTCATACAGGTCCCATCCTTTAGATGTCAGTTGTTTTAGCCCGCTCAAACAAGCTTATAGTTGCTTAATTGAGGATCTCATCTGGCATTATATAACTTATGTTTCAAAGAAGGACTTTCTTACCACTTTTTGTGAAGCACACAACGATGTTATAACACGAGAAAGCGTTTGAACAGGTTTTAGTGCCACTGGCGTTGTTCCTTTTGACCCCACAGGCGGACGAGGTACAAGGAGGAGACCAGTCCGAGGCAATCTTTTTGATACTGGATGGCAATAAGAGTCACACCTCTGTATGTATATAATTTTTTCTTATTTTATTTAGACTTTCTTTCATTTTCTTTGATTTAATTTGGTTTGACGCATTGTCACAGAATAGCAATTGACCACCACACCAATTGGCTAAGCTCCTCACAACCTTTGTGGGGAGTTGTGAGGAGCTTAGCCAATTGGTGTGGTGGTCAATTGCTATTCTGTGACACGCATGTTAATAAGGCGAATTCATGACTATGTGTGAGCAGAATCCATCTGTGTATGTAAGCATGATGAGGCTGCCAGTTGCCGTGTCGGGTGACACAGGCTCCGTGGCCCCCATATATAGCGATCGCACACAGAACAGAGTAGATAGACCTTTTCCTGAATACAACAACGCTGTACCGTTCATCACGCACTCATCGGATCTGGGATATTGCTCTCACTATGTGTTATTTTAACAACATATTGCTCTGTTTCTTCCCTGTGCATACTAGTCACGGCATGCAACCTCTAGATAACGGGCCTTATAACGCCCTAAATGCCTACTACCAGAAATTTCTCTCCGAGTTGAATTCCTTGATGGATGCCTCGCCTATTGACAAGATCAACTTCATCCGATGCTATAGTAAGGCCAGAACTTCTGCTTTTACTAAGCAAAACATCCTCTCGGGCTTCAAGGTCACTGGATGTTATCCTATCAGCCGCAAGAAGTACTTACAGCACCTAGAGATACAAGAAGAGAAAAGAAAGACCCCTGAGCCTGATACCCCTGAAAACTCTGAACTAGAGGACCAACGGACCCCTACTACGAGCCGCCAGATCATGAATTTCGGCAAAAATAAGTCCCCAGGGACCAGGCTGAAGTACAGGAAGATAGCCAATGCGTTCGAAGCCAAAGAGACCGAAGTTGTTATAAAAGATCAGAAGATCCAGGCTCTGGAGGCTGAGTTGGAGCGGCTACGGCCAAAGAAGCGGCAGAAGATCCCTAATCCTAATGGGAAGTTCAAAACAATGACAGAAATACTATCTCATGGAGGTATCAGTAGCCCTGCTGCACGTGCAGAAATACAAAAAGAGATAATTGTTGAGTCGGAGGACGAAGAGGAAGATGAGGATGACCCCCCTTCATGAGGACGTTTTGGAGGCTATACAGGAGCCTAGCCTATCGCGATCCGGGCGAGCCATTCGGGCGCCGGCTAGATATTACGCATGAACAGCTTCAGCGCTTTTGAATAATAATTTCTATGTATTTCTCTGACCTAAATGGCTTCATTCGTGTATAGTCAATAAGGGGGTGTTTTGGTGGTGATGGTGGGGTTTGGCTGTACGACTAGTGGGGGTGTACGACTTCTATGGGGGGGCAAGATTTGTTGAGAAGAGCAAGTTCTTTTCATCAATCTGCCCCCGATAGATAGCTGTTCTTGAAGGACCAGATGGATGACCCCAAAGTCATACAGCCGCAACAACGGGGATGGGCCCGTGAGCGGGACTGACTGTACTTATTATCTTGATACCTCCACAACCCTGCGATGCAGAGGCTCTGGGAGGCGTGGTTTGCACTACTGAGAAGCGATCCCCCACGTTAAATACAATCAATCAATCATCAATCAAAGACTTCTATGGGGGGATGGTAAGGCTGTCCCAAATTCATGACCCCGTTATTAACCACGGCGGCGTACAAACAATGAATCCTCGGGGACAACTCCTTACCTTCACTCGCTTCCCAGATCTGCCCACCGAGATTCAGTTGTGTATATGGGAACTGGCGCGGCCGGACCATGCCTTCGTGCGAGCCGACTGGACCGAGCATACTGGCCGCTCGTCGCCATCCCTCAGTTGGGAGAGACGGATGAGCCCGGGTTGATCCCCATCGCGCTTCCGCCTGGGGTGCCGTCTACCCTGTCCGGGTGGCCTATTCGCTCCGTAGGAATCCCTAATGAACAGGCGATGCGTGACCTCGATTGGAATCCTTTCCAGGACTACCTGGATACGTTCGCATCCGAGCTGAGCTCTAGCTTGAGAAACGTATGGGCAGGCATCACAAAGAAGGCGACGGGGGCATTTGGGAAACGTCAGTCGGCCCGAGATATAAACCCCTTGCTATACGTCTGTCAAGCCAGCCGCGTGGAAGCGCTGAAGCACGCAATCATAGACACAAAGCAGAATTGATACAGCCCAACAATGTCAACCGAAATCACTTCTACCCTGTTCGGAATGGCGCGGTCCTCGCCAGCGTCTTCCGCGACCAGCGGAGTCGCCGGCCTTGCGTCGTTTACATGGTAGCGCCTGGCACGACTGCCCCTGATCAGACGAGACCTAGTCGCATAAGGAAAGACTATCGACCCGACACACTAAGCCATGTTGCCGCACATCTTGGTGACGTTGAGCGTTGCATCATGGGCCACCGACTGAGTCTCACAAGCATACCTGGGACCTTAGTTGGCCGGTCTTTCGAGTTCAGCGAGTGGGCTATGTGGTGGAGGCCCGAACTTGGCAGAAGACTAAGGCGTCCAGAGGCCGGCCATCCGTTCCACACCCCTCCATCAACTATCCTGTGGATATACTCCATGGTTCTGCATCATATGGTGGCGGCACGGGTGCGGGATTATCCGCGGCTGCCAGATTGTCTCAGCGGACGGAGGGATGCCGTGTTTTACTCGGGTGCCTGGTACTTCAACCTTGTCAGAACGGGCGAGTGCGTTGGGTGTGGGAGGCTGCTGATGCGGGAGCTTCGGCAGTTCTTTCCGGAACTCATGGATAGCGAGGGGTGTATCGACATTGTCGTCCTTAGGGATAGGAAGAGTGTTGAAGAGCCAGAGCGTACACTGGGTCATAGGTCTCACGAGCGCATTTGAGTATTTGGGGTTTGATGTTCGTCTCTTTCCAACTCGTTCAACACAGGTAGTTTTGGCAACTCTGTCAACGTGCGAGTCATTCCCTACGAACCGAGTATAATACACCTACCGGTCCTCCTTCCGGGTCGGCATTCAAGGTCCCGACCAACTCAATCCACGTGAACGGGACCCCTTCGTTGAGTTGAGTTGACAGTATTTACGACCTTGTCGTCGCTTAATTGATATGCGTACATTAACGAGAAGTCTTGTTTCCGGAGATCAACATTTTCGTAGGTTGATAACGTTATAATTAAGTGCCCGGAAATTACCATATTTCCAGCCGGACCCTTATCTATTTTAGTAAGAAAATCCCGGTTTTCCGGGATATCCCGGCAAGACTTACTATAAAAAATATTTTTATATGGTTAAAAAAAGAAAAAGAATATCTACGATATCCACGTCAATATCAACTTACGATAGCCTTATCGTTGAGTTGGTTGCCAAGCCTGCAGGGGTACCCGTAGATTGAGTTGACGTGGATATTTACGTTAATATCAATCCACCGTGGATATCCGTTAAGTTGTTCGGGACCTTGTCGGCATTAGAAAGATTAATATATCTACGTATTGTAGTTGAGTGATTGAATTGACTCAAATGTATCATTACAGCCATTGATGCACCCTTGAGGCGTGCTTTCTCAATCTAGGAAGGCTTTCTATGTGAACGCATTATTTAAGTGGGCTCGTATCTCTGATGCCTTCTCCAGGCCTCTCCCACCAGCGACCCCTGCCTCATTGAAGCCCCAACCAAGTAAGTCGGGACCACTCGTTCTTGGATGCAGGTGAGTTTGATGTTGCAGCGGTGCGGTTGCCGTGAATCGCTCTGGACGCTGTCGTGGTGGCAAAGGAGAGCTCCTTAGGCCCGACACGGAAGACATCCCCTGGAACGATCAGTATACAGATTCTTTACGCTTCGGAATGTCACTGTGATCTTTAGCTGCTTATCATGTTTGCGGTGGTTGAGAGCAACCACACGGTAGCACCGGCCACTCATCGAATGCCGGAACCTCCAAAGCTTTTGGTTTGTTAGCTTAGTGCACCAGGGAGGCCGGGGTGCTAGCCGACTTACCGTAGAAGCCCTCGCCCAGAATGGTCCTAGGTACTTAGACAAGAGGATGAAGTACAAGTTATGGATGACTTGGGACGTGGCCATTACAGTGATCTTTGCAAGCCTTAGCTGTAATCCTCTTGCTTGGCCGGGTTCGCTGTGACTCACGAGTGTGGAAAGGATTTGCAGAGAAGTCCATACCGACAGCTCCGGGGCATAGGAGCTACCGTTCTGAAATCCACGAACCCAGTTCTGTACTGTTTGCTCATCCTGGGAGGAGGCAGCGGATGGAGCCGGCATGGCGTGACTGTAAGAGATTCGGTTTCGCGTCATGTGGATTCTCGACTATTCTTTGCGTGATTAGTGCCCATTGGCTGTGCTGTCCCTACCTTAGTCAGTTACCACACCGCAAGAACCGCGGTTCAGCACTTGACATGTTATAGAGGCAGCGACTTGCAACAAGTAGGTTTATGTTTTGAGCCAGCAATGAATTCCGGACAATTCCTATGTCAGGACCGCTCAGGGGCCTGGTCAAGACGACAGCTAGCCTATAAGAACCCGATCAAAGTCAGTCAACCGGAATATACTAAAACCTAAGCATCGGCTGCTAGAAACAGAGAGCTCACAGTTCGGAATGTAAGATACCGGTCGATTCCCCACGTGGTGAGTGACCCCTACATCCCAGGCACGATTTGCCGTTTAGTATTAGACTGTGAGCATGATTTATTGTATGGTGAAGCTCCTCCACCGCGAGGGAAGAGCTAAACCCAAACGCCCTAGAATACAACAAAAAGCGGAGCCCTCGCGCTGTACGCAAAGTCTAATAGAATAAAACGCCGCAAATCATCTCCTTGCCTGCTATGGTAACGTATAGATCTGAAGATTCCCGTTCTCTCGTGTAATCGACCAGGTTGCCAACGAATTGTGTCCTTGATAGCCCAATTCCTGGTTCGACGCCACGCAATCTACGATTATCACGTGAAAATAGCTCGATTTGATAAAGCTGAGGCACGCAAGGGGCCCGAACTCATGACTCAGGCCTCGGAATCGTCATGGCCAGGGGGGGACCTCCCTCCTGGCGTTATCATAGGTACCTGATTGGGTTGTTCGCTACGTGCTTTCATCGTGGCCAAGAAGCAAAGCGAATCTCGGTGAGCGAATATGGGCGTCCCGTATGCCCTATATGCCCCCGTCGGTACCGTATACCCCTCTTTTCGGGCTGATATCGCCGATTGGTCCAAGACTCCCGATACAGGCGACGGGCGTACCCGCAGTCTTCAACGGCGTGCCGGCAGAAGGAAGTGGCGCTGCATACCCGTTCACCCGCTGTGACTCACCGTCACCGAGATCCTATAGCCTCGTCTTATGTCAGCGCTAGGGTGCTGTGCCCCGATAGTCACTAGCAACTCATCTCTGTTCAACCCCTGATATTCGCTCCCTCGTCCGCCGCGACTCACGGCGACCGCGGAGAGGTGGAATATTTTGCTACAGGCAACGATCAGAAGTTCTGGTGATACACCTGGGACGTTCGGAAGATCGGTTTGCAGTCTCACTAACGGTTTACTGGCAGTTTGTTTAGAAATCTAGTAGTGTCACATATGAAGATTCTACAGACAGTGCAAATTATTACCTCCACGGCCTCTCCCGTGTAGGGGCTAGCTGCCCATGATCTCTATCAGGCCCCGTACCTTGTCTTTGGTCGCTCTAGAGCTCTTCCGCTGGGCACGTTTCGATAGCTCGACCTTATCAACGAGCGCCTTCAGCGCTTTGAGTTGGAGGACGATCAGAGGTTTCAGGATCATCTCCCACTCCGCTGGGGAGTCCACCTCGTAGTCGCCAAAGCGGATCGCTTTGTAGCTCAGGCCCATGCTTTTGCCCATCGCCACCCTGACCTGCCCCAGCCGTAGCTCCGAATACGTCCTGACGATTCGCTCGCATAGGAGAGCTAGCCGATCCGTCAGAAAGCTCAGAAGCATCATATTCTCGACTCGCGTAGAACACATGCGGCATGCGAACATAGATTCGCCGTGTTTCACGGCATCCTTGTGTGACCATAGCTCCCAGTCCAGATTGCCTACATGGTCGGCCGGTGTAGCAGCTATCCGCAAATCCATTTCGTCGATAAGTATAACAATGCGCTGGAGACACTTACAGCCGCCGCTTGCTTGTGAGTCGCCTCGTGCCGCAGTCACCATTTCTTCGGGGTTGGGGCGAGACACGGAAGGATCTTCGCCGGAACCACCGCCGAACCCAGGTAGAGTTGTGATGTCGATATCTGCGTGTCTTGCAAGACAGCTCCTAGCTGCATTGGCGGACGGGGTTATGCTGGACATCTCCGCAGGCGTCTGGCTCTTCGAAAACGAAAACAGTGATGTTTCCGGTAATAGATCAACGCAATGATCTAGTTCTGCCGCCCCATTCATGATGGGTGACGATGAGAGCCATTGCTCCAAGTCCAACGGCGCCATGCTGGTGTCTGCCAGGTCAGAAGCTAAAGCACCGTTCGAGTCTGTGTCTTTGAGGAACATGCCCCCGTCGCCCAGGCCTTGCTCCCAGTCCACGTCGGCAGCCAAAGAGAAGTCAGAGACATCCGCCATACCACTGTCCTCGCCCAGCTCTGTTTGGGCATATGTGCCTGAAAGCTCAAACTCAACTATGCCGGTCGGCGTGGGAGCTGAGGACGCAGCCGAGCCCGAAGTTTGCGATGGGGTCAATGCAGGCGGCTGATGTTGTGTCGTTTCGGATACCGATATGCTTCCTCTTGTCGACGGCTGCGATTGCGACTTGCCATTGGCACATCGGTCTTGCTGTCTCCGATTCTTCTTGGACCTCCCGTCCCGGTGCGGCTGCTTCCGCTCACCCTGAAGCTGCGTAGCATTCTTCTGCTCCGAAAGGGAACGCGTGCCGTCCAGAATGGTCGGGTCTATGCTGGTCTCCGGCGTCCGGGGTCGGCTGCAACCGGACCTGTCCCCAGTGCATCGTATCTGGTCGCACGACATGTCAATGGCACTTTCCATCGTCGCAAGGCATGTATGGGTCTCAGCGATGCTACTCCGTGTGGACCGACTTACCTTTTTGCTCCGGCAGTTTCTGCAAGCTCGCGGGGCCAGTGGCCTGCTACTCAACTGAGTCGTAATATCATCTTTGGAGTTAAAACGCCAGGTTCCGAACATCTTGTCTCCCAAGCAACAAAAACTGGGACCACTCGACGATTTGCGAAAGGGCGGGTTGGCACAATAGGTCCTGTTACTGGTACCAAGGGTACGAGCGGTCTGAGGGTATTCACGACGTGAAGCAGTCCAAGGGTAGGGATATCGCCAGCTCCGAAGGCCTGGTTGGACACTTGGTCGAAGTGGGTGTGAGCTGAATGAGTTGAGAGTAGGACAACGGCCGCTATGGCAGAAATGTGGTCGATGGAAGGATCGCACTAGATGAACACGCAAGTTGTCGTAAATCCCGTGATAGTCAACATCGCCATTTAGGGCGACTCTGGCGCTGGTATCCCCTTGATGTGAAGGTACGGGACGGTTTGTAAGCCCTGTTTATCTCACCACTGCTACATGGCACCACCGCGAAATTGGGTGGCTATGGAAGTATCTCACGAGTCAGGGAAGAGCTATCGTTATCGTTCTATTGGCTGTTGCCCCTGTCTCGAAAACCGTGCCGTACCTTCACGTTAAAGGGATGAGTAAGGTCCATGACCGTTCTGTCAGCTTTGGGGCTTGGTGCGAGTTGGGGATAACCTTAGGGCTTGCGCCTTCTGACTTATCTCGGACCCGAAACCAGGGTTCAATAATGCCCCTGTTGCGGTCAGATCATAGGTAAGGTCAGCGAAAGCTTCGTAATACTTCCGGCGGGTCTGGATCTGACATCCCCGCTCATCGGGTTCGCCCTCCCGCCTCCTTTGGCGTGATATCTAGCCCCGTGGCGTCAGATGCCTGCTTCGTTGTTGTCGTCGTTGTCGTTGTTGTGTGACATCGCTTGATGACGCAGCCGGCCCGGCCCCGACCGACCTCGGCCGGTTCTATGCCTCGCTCGTGCTGAAACTGACTGTGACCCGCGTCCTATCAGAGCGAGATTGCAGAATGCAGGACAGCAGGACACGGCGTGGCCAAGGACTCTGAGCTGGCGGTCGAGACCCGACTGCGGTGCCGCGTGGAGGGACTGTGGTGAATGGTGATGTTGCATGGAAGGGCTGCCAAGGCACAGGCTGCAGAGTCGCAGTGACAGGATGATGGCATGTTGGCTGATTGGCATGACCATTGGCAGGGAGGCCACGCCCTTACGCGGCCGCTCCGAATATACCATGGTGCGTTCTGCCCTGTCACATGCCTGCGTGCCCAGCATGTAACGGTGACTGGTCGGATCTCTCGATGAGTGCATGAACAGGATCGAAGTGCATGGACAGGATAGGTAAGTGGTCAAGCAAGGTGACGGTGCGGGGAGCCCGGAGTACATGAATGTCGACTTCCGCGATCCTGCGGAGCCTCCCATCAAATACAATGCAACCTAAGTTCGTGACGGCCCGCCGGGCATGACGGTCAGTTGCCAGTGATCTGATTCGGATCACGCTGCAGAGAGACTGCATGACTGCATACCTTAACCGGTATGTGCAGGAGGTGAGGTCTCTGCAGGCGACGTACCGCCAAAGGACAGGTCACACACGATTACCTCGCATCAGGTACTGTATGACAAGATGGTGTCACATTTCTGAGGTTGCATTGCAGAGCTCTTGGTAGGTGGTAGATGGTAAGACTCGCGGTCAGCTGGGTGTGTGTATCTGCAGCCCGATAGCAAGGCGCAAGCGAGGATGCGACGTCGCGATCGCTTTTCTGGGCCATGTTCGAAGTTCGAAGTTCGAACAGAAAGATCTCCGGTGTTAGGCTCCCGGTGATAGGGGTGATAGGGGAGGATTCCAGTAGAGCAATCCCTTCACAGCCCTTGCACTTGCAGGTTGAGGGATTTCCCCCTGGTCAAATGTCCTCCACACAAGTGATCTGCAGGTGTCCAGGGATGGTAATTTGTATAAGTAATGGTTCAATGTTAGCGGTTCCACGTGTGTCTGCAATAGTAATAAGTAAAACTTTACGCGATGGGGACTTTCTCATAGGAACGTTTTCGTTGGCAATTATGTATTACCATTGCAGATACACATGGAATTGCTACCGGTATACGTGCCGAACCCCTCCCGGTGTTGAATGCAGTCAGCACGGACGACGCACCTTATCGCTGCTTCTCTTAGTTGAGTATAACGTATGCTCTTGGTATACTGGCTGACGTGATATTCTCATGCTCGATGCACACCACTACGGCATTAGCCGGTCCGACGGACATGACATGATGACAATCACTGAGCCCGGCCAGGAGGATTACCAAGCCTGACGTTACGCGCAATTTCAATATCAACGTAAAACGATCAATTCCAGTGAGGCAGTATAGTCTGGTCTTCCGTCAGCTGTGTGTACCGCACACTGGCCCTTCAGGCCATCTCCACTCTTCGTGGGATCGGCCGCCTCCTCTACCACCTCTGTCACCTCGGCGTCGTCCAGATACTTGCCCCTGAGCCCCGCCTCGAATGCGGCAGCCAACAGATCTTGGCCGACTCGGCGATAGTGCGGATGGCGAGATTGGCCTGGAACAAAGCCGAGAGCCTGGCGATGAGGGGCATGACGTACCGAAACAGATGTTGCGAGTTACCCGGTTGCGGTTCCGAATCATGTCAGTGGGCATGGTCCCAGGGTCCACGCCAACGACGGAGGTGTTCTTGAGAGCCGGGTCAGTGCCGGCAGCCGAGCCGCCGTTGAAGCTCACGAGTCACCGGTCATCATGGCGGCGCGCGCAGATCTTGGCTGCGCCGTATCGTTGACCGCCAACGATCTCTGGGTTGCCGTCCTTGTTGGTGCACCGAGTGCCTTTGGTGATAGTGTCGGTGCTGTCGGTTATGAAGCTTGTTCTGAATGCTTCGTCTTCGTAGTTCCAAGTCTAATACTTAAAACGTGGCAGACCGTCATTTCGTTTGAGAGGGTGTTGCACGTGATATCACTTTTCTATGGGGCAGTGACGGTCTAAGTTTTTTTGAGGTAACTCAAAACGTGGGGGTAGGGGGTGGGTGGGCTGGCGGGGTGTGAGGGGGGAGGACCTAGGTACGATGTTCAAGGTGAGGTTGGGTGGGCCCTTCCAGCCCTACAGGTAGGGATTGTATAACCGTAGGGAGTAGGTAGGGATGTAGGGATCCATGTCAGAGCACCTCCACTTAGAAGTTAGCGGGCCAAGCAAGGCTCCTCCCCTTACTGTGTACAAGGCTTATCAACCTGCAACCTGCATCCTCTTGCTCTTCCTCTTCCTCTTCCAGCATGGAGCTATGCACCTGGCAACAATCCTGCAAACACTGCATGAAGGAAGTTCACTTCGCTGTGTTCAGAGGCCCTTTCTGCTGGTGGTACGGTCAGTTCTCTGCTCCTCTGTCGACTTCCCTTCACCTGGCACGTGAGTTGCCTGGTTATCTAGGGCTATCTAGCCCGGTAAACATCTGGTTTGTCTTGGCTGTGACGCTGGTGAGTCAGGGCAGTCCCCGGACATGAAGCAAGCTGGCGTGTCTTTGTCTGTAGTACACGAGCGTATCGAGGGTGGCCTAATGCAAGCAATGGCTTCACATCCTGTTTGATAAGCAGCCAGGCAGCCAGCACCAGGGTGCTTGGAAAGTGACCAACGGGGTGACGATCCTCTATCTGTCTGTCCGCCTGTCAACTTATGTCTGCTGCTGGTTGCATTGATTACCTATACTAAAAGATGCAGTGCTAAGTCGGAGGGCAGCTGCAGCCGTGCGTGACTCCTATTGCCCACTGAGTGTGGCTACGCGGTCAGGGGTTGCCTCTTTTTATTCCCGGCACAGTAATCGAGATGCCCAACTCTCACGTGCTAAGTAGAACTACGTATCTTACATGCGTAACGTCAGTCGAATGCAGTACGCACTTATACCTAAAGAGGAAATCCCCGGCCATCCAGCACATGAGGAGGGGCCATTGCTGACGTTCCTATTCCTGCCATATCGGGACGCGGGGTGATACCAAGTCGTCCTTGGACACTCGTGTGTATATCATACAACTCATAGTGAGAAGTAGCCCTATTATTTTGTGAAGTTTCCCGAACCACAGGAGTACTTATTCAATTGTGAATTTTACCTACGTCCCAGCCCCAGTCGTAGAATACACATTGCCGAAATCAACCATGACTGAGTTCAAAGACATCACGCTCCAGAGGGCAAGACGGTCCCCAACCGTCGGGATCTTGCTTCTCAGTCTGTTTGCTGTTGCGGTAAGCCCAACCGATTAGCAGTCAAAGTCGGCAAAATCCCTAACTGCTTCCAGTATGTAGTGATCAGGTTGGCGGATGTTAGCTACAGGGTTTACTCCAAGTACGACCTCCTGGAAGACGATCCGAGGTTGGTGCGCAATACATGGGGTGTCGTTCGGAAATTCCTGACATGCGTGATTAGATTTGCTGAAGCTTCGACTTCTGATCAAGAATGTGCTGTCCTCTCTGATAAGAGGCCAGGCTCAGCATGCTCGAGTCTACATGCGATGGCACGGAATTCGACGCGTCAGACCGTCGCCGCCTCACGCCGCCGGGCCACAGCTTGCAACCCGATGTGAAATACGGTAGCCCGCTGCACTCTGTTGTACCTACGCGTAGAAGCCATTGGGTACGGCGTACTAGGTGATGGGGACAGCTGAGGAAACACAGCCGAGCAACATCTACTCGGGCATTCTTCATGCACGTAGCGATAGAGCATAGCAGCGGGGGCCACGTGATCGTTGGAATACGAATATGGGATGACGATACAGGAGACTTTTGACGCAAGATATGAATGAACTATGGATGCCAATTTGAGCCGTACATTTTCTATGGCTAACGACGCTGTGACTTTGCTTAAGAGCGAGTGAACTATTTCGAGTCACGAAACCCCTTGGAAGTCATATTATCGCCGGCCAACCTGACAGCCAAGCTCCGTATCCATTCTCTGACTGCGCTCTGAGCCACGTCAACCATCCCGACACTAGGTAGGATGCATATGTTGTAGTGACCGCAACTCTTTATTGTCACCAGTCAAGGTCTAAAATGATTCCACGTGTCTCTAGGCTGCTATACTATGATACCTACCTAGGCTGTCTCGTGGTGTTTTAGCGACCCCTCTTAACCTGCCATTCTAGCATAATATAGGCGAGTGGCATTATAATACTGTGTTTGAGATTATGACGTTCATCGTTTTGAAGTTCATGTAAGAAGCCATTGTGCTTAGTAACTGGGTGGGGGACGTCTTTCGAATTGGATAGTTCCCTTAGTCCTACAACAGGATGTGCTGTTTACACGCTTCGTTAAACAGGAAAACCACCGAGGTCTTAAGGGACCCCAACTTTCACGATGGCGCTCAAAAAGATTCACATAGTTGAGCCTCTATACTTACCAATTTTTAGCACAATCATATTACTCATCGAACATGTACTGGTACACTGAACCCTCATAAGTCTCCGTACACGTCCCTTCAAGCAATCAACGGTAAATCCATCAACCGGAATAAGCACACCGGAATAAGCAGTTGGATGTTTGTGGGCCATGCTTGACGCTTATTCCAGGGCGCTTATTCTAAGGATAGAAAATACCCCTGAATGTACGAGCCTGAGAACGGGGTGTAAGGTACGGAGATTTAAGAGGATTCAGTGTGGCTCAGACTCGGCACCTACCATCACGACAATACAATTCACCAACGCCGAAATCCCGCGGCTTGATGGGAAAACGGTGATCATGACCGGTAAGAGTCGGTCAAGCCCCTGGGTGTTCATGTGCCAATGTGCTCTGAAGCTTTGTAGGCTCCGCCTCAGGCATTGGCTATGGTGCCGCCAAGATGATGGCCAACAAAGGGGCAAAGGTGCAGATCCTAGACACCAAGCCACGGAGGAGAGCGAACTGCCCGCGGAGCTGCCGGTCGAGCTGACCAGTCTGCAATGTCACCAATGCCGATATCATCTCGAGCCAAAGGGACATCGACATCAACAGGTTAACACACCAGCCCCTGTTGCAATCCGCCTATGCGGAGGTCCTCCGTCTACGGCTGTCCATACTCGTGAGTAGAATCGTAGAATACCATGACGTCGTGTTTGAAGGCTGGACCATCCCGCGCGGCGACTACATCCTAATGCCTACGAACGCCATGCACTTCAACGTAGAGGCACGGACTCGGGCCGGACGGCCGCCCCAGATCCCCTCGCCTCGAGCGCTTCGACGCGGACCGTTTCCTCGTGCCCACCGACGCCGGGCCCCAGTCCAATCAGGACGGGCTGGCCTGTCTGTGGATTTCTTTCAGTGGGGGAGATCCTATGGGTCCCGGGAGACATCTCGCGAAGCTGGTTGGTTGCCTTTGCTTACGTATTCTTGAAGTACGACTTAGAGATGAAGTCGTGGATGCCGACAAGGTGCAGTGCAACAGGCGGTACGCGGCCTTTGGTTTCTTGCCGCCGGACCGCGCGGTACCGTTTAGGATCAGTAGAAAGGGGTAGAGAAGAACGTTGTTGGCGGTGACGGATCACGGCACAGGGGTAAACAGATGGACTTCGCAGCACAAGGGCTATATATCTAGCACCGTCAGTACCTAAAACTAGGCAACCACACCTTAGAGGCATTCTTTTACACCTGGGCGTCTCATCCTGACGATTGCGAAACCTGCAGTGGTCCTATCAGGTGGCAGACCGGAACGATGACCCTTCAATACAGGCGTGCACGTGCATCCTCAAGTAGAACAACACCGCTATCTGAAATGGAGGACAACACTCGTAGAGTATGTATGAATGATTGCTGGATCCAGATAAGTAGGTGATCTGGAATATGTGGTGGTACATAATAAACAACTGATGAGTCATAGAGCATTGCTCAGGTTGGGTTCCTGTACCTCGTACCGTCCATGTGAATATGTATTGGGAGGATTGGCCATCAGCTCTAGCTAGATAGATGGTCCCAGAGGTGGTTGATCTGCACCTTGTGCTAAACTGGCCGCGAGCACCATCGAGGTACCTCGTCGTGCCTTTCTATGTCGATCGTCTGCGCTCACAGCAATGACGGTCGTCGTACCCCAGATCAGCCTAGGACGAGGGTTCCGAGCAGCAAAGCGCCCATGATCGCCCCGACACTGATCGCAGCTCGCGAGCCCCTACCGGTCGTAGTTGCAGAGTCCGACGTTGAGCTTGAGGGTCCGGACGAGTCACCCGTAGTCGTGCCGTTACCACCACTACCACTGTCGGTAGTGTTGGTCGGTGCGATCGTGGCCTCTGTAGTCATGATACTAATCAGAGCACCGAGGACGCTCATCTGGGATCCGGCACCAGTGGTGCCGTCAAACTTGCCGGTCCAAACTGACCCGCACATACGGCCATTATCACCCCCAGTGCACTGTGCGACAGCGGCGGCGGTACTCGTCTTGAGCGTTGAAAGGATGGCCTCGACTGTATACGGCGCGAGCTTCATGGTCGACCCCAGTGACCGGTGCAGGATCGCCTTGTAAAACGTCATGTCGGTGTTGCAGTTATCTGGCTCGCATGCTACGTCAGACGCGGCACCATCTGGGAAGAAGACTTCAATTGTTCTCTTCACCAGCCCGTCAACGCGAGTCCTCCAGGTATTCTGGCCGGTGTAGTTGTACATCTGAGCGGAGCCCTCGAGCAGCAAGGCAGCGGTGTATGAGAACTGGAGTTTGTTGATCTCGTCGCAGTCATCCTCCACATTTGTACCGTCATAGACGCTGAAATCCTCGTCGATCAGCCCCAGGTCCCAGATGTCGTTGTAGATTTGCGAAGCCAGGTCAGCCGCTGTCTGATTATCCATTGTGCGAGCCAGCTGAGCCCCGAGGCTGAAGTAAGCTGCGTTTGCGGCGGCTGCAAGCCAGTCAGTACCATCTCGTCATCAAGAAGCAGGGACGCTGCGATACGCACTGCTAATGTAATTATACCCATCATTGAACGTGAAGATCTGCCACCTCAAGGAGTTTGCACACTTCGATGCTCGTCGTTCCTCGATCGACTGCTCATCGAAAATATTCTTCGCCAACGTCTGCCATTGCGGTTCGCCCGTGGCTGGATCAGCAAAACCGGTTTCATCAGCGAGTATAGCAGCCAGGGCCCAGAAGCTCTGGTCGTCGTTGCCCATACTCCGCGTCCAGTTGGCGGGCATGTAGTCGTCGTCCTCGGCGGTCTGAAACAGCAGACCCTGCAATATCGTCTTGTCGAATGTTGTGTTGCCGGTGTGGATCCGGTAATCTAACAGCGTCGCCCACTTGATCATTCAGGGTCAGTGATGGCTCATTCCGGTGGTTGCGAGCGCTCGTGAGTCCGGGCCAGCGTCGTGGTGTCGCAACTGTGCAATTCCCGTCGACAAAGCACAAGCTCAGCAACAACCCCTGCCACCACTCACCAATGCGCCGCCTGTCCAGAAGGCATAATCAGGCTGAGGAAGAACACCGGGAATCTCGCCGGGCTGGTCGCCGGTGTAGAAGCTCATCAGGTCCTCTGCCACCAGAGCAGCCGCCTCCTTGACCGAGTCTGCGTGCTTGTCAATCACTGCTGCGAGACGTTGTTGGTGCCGAGTACCCACCTGCATCATTCACGTCCACTGTCAAGCCAGCGAGAGCAGCTGGGGCCAGTGACACCAGCTGAGCCAGCAAGGAGTACGACAGTCTGGTCATCGTAAAGAGTCGCGCTGTATGGTTCGAGCGTCAAGATTCCAGAATCATGGCGCACAGAGTATGCCGACACTTGAAGATCGGAACTGGTAGGACTGGCTACTCTTATCATTATTACATTCTTCTTTGGGCAATAAGGCCAATTTCTGCTATGCCCGTTTCAACTTCCCATCGACCCGTTGCGCCAAATAGCGCCTTTTCTAAAAGCAATCCAACGACTGCGCCTCGCGGACTCGGCCCACACCAGCCTGGGAGGATCGCTAGAGAGCTTGGCAGGGGTATAAAAGTTATTAGCATGCGATGGGGCCCCTGAAGGCTGAAGGCTGAAGCCGGCGCGAACTGATAAATTGGGGTTGAACTGCCGTTCAGCGTCATCCCCAGGGCAATGAATGGAACATGCTCGTCTTCTCCGGCGCCAGTGAGCTCCTTCATTGTCTCGGTGGACGGCAGAATATCACCGACCAGGCCGTCGGCGGAGGTCCCACTCCTGTCCTGGGTTCGCGTGCGTTCCTCGGACGTCTGGCTGTAGCCCACCCACTGGAGTACGCCGTCTACACGGATGTGACGAGGATCAAAATAGCCGGGGCCCGAGAAGCAGTCTTTTTAAGATGGTGCAATTGCCATTGTGGATTCTCCGGGCAGACGGTCGTGGTTGAGCACTATACATAGGATGCTATCAGCAGTCCCGCATTGCTGTTAGACCGAGATCAATCATCAGGCACATTCGGCTAGGCGTCTTGTCTGGTAGAATGTAGGTATAAAATAATAGGGAAGTTATGAACGACTGCATAGAAAAGATGGGGCGATGGGGCTTATGCACGGCGGCGTGCCAGCCGTGCCGGCAGGAAACAGACCACCCAATTCCATTGAGACACCTGCTCGCGCTCGTTCGAGGTGATCATTACAAGGTCGTTCGAAGGTGTCGGGACCATGAAGGTCCACCATGGGCCTGTTGAGTCAGAGAGGAATGTACGGGGGTCGGACTCTTACTCACTTCCTCATAGCCAAGGTCGATGACTTGAGGAGCGGCGAAAAGGTCCTTGGGCCCCTGAAGTCGTCTCCCGGGGCCTTGAACCGTCCTTCTAGGGTCGCTGATCGATGGCCCCGGAGGATTAGCCGCTCGTTCCAGAATATAAGACCGGACTAGATGGCATACATGGTCCTGAGTAAAACATTGCACCTGGAACATGATTAAGAGCAAGACAGTGAAGCACGTAGCTGCCCACACGATGTTTACGGGCAACAATATGGCAGCCAGCAAAGGATATCCGCTCTAGAGCATGTGACGAGAGTGCATGATGTCCTTAGGAACATGATAGACAAGTTGTATATTCGGAAAGAAGAATGAATGTCCTCGGATAATACGATACAAAAGTTACACCCTAATATATAACCCAGACCCGTCAAGGCCATGAAAAACAATGACGCCATATCCATACTATAGTTAGAGACAAAGGGTCAAACTTTGTCAACTATACGCTCCCCCTGCCCACGCCTCGCGCGCAATGCCTGAGATACTTTACGGAATTAGTTTCCTGTCTAGCGCGAGGAACAGAACGTCGAATGTCACGTACCTATCTGACCCCACCATGGTGCGAACGGAGCGCGTTCAGTCCATCATGAAGCTCTTGATAACCTGAAAGTCATCGTTGTAGTAGGTGTTCACGGCAAGGCAGCCCCCCGAACTGGACACGTGCTGACTGAACCCCTTGCAGCCCGAGTCGGAGTATGCTTTGTATCCATGTCAGCTGGCGTCGATAGGAGCAGGATATCCTCCCGCGAACTTACCAAACGCCTGAGTGAGCGGTCCCAAACCGTAGAAGAACGACACGGTGTCATTGGCCAGGTTTTTGCACTCTCGGAGGGCAGGTGAGGCATGGTAGGTATTGGTATTCTTGCCCTCGTTGTTCAGGCTGTAACCATCGGTGTTAGGAAACCTGGGCTAGTAGAGGGTATGAAGGTGGAAAACTTGCCAGTTGACTGCTTCGTACTGGTTCAGCTTGGAGTTGGCGCGAGCTGCGAGTTGGCTGTTGTCGACTGTGGCGACCGGAGAAGCGTTGGCGGTGATGGCCAGGAGGCTCACGACGGCAGCAAAGGAGCTGGTGAACTGCATGGTGCTTGTGTGGGTTCTCGACTGTTTGGCTTGTGGAAGATTGTGTTGAGGTTTGCGTTTGCAATAGAGTGAATAGAGCTGGAAGTCTGAGCAGGCGGATGATTGTGGATGATGTTGTGGATGTTGATGTCGTCTAAAATGGCGGCGAGAGGGCCTCGTTTTATGTTCACCACTGGAGCCATGACGTCCCGCCAACATCCGCATGTTGCGAATGGCCTCTCTCTTCCACAGCCCGTGGGATGGAATCTCTCTTCCATAGCCCGTAGGATGGAAGGATACGACATTCGGCCGCAGCAGAGGTAAGCCATTCCTTTTCCAATGATGAATCTCGATGGACTGGACATTCACGTCGCGTGCTGGATGCTCGCACAAGACTAGTCTATCCCCTGCGGCTCATTAAGGATCGATATCGGCTTCCTGCGACGGAGCTCGATGAGTACAGATATGCTACAGCGTCAGCCAACGACACGGATCACATAGAATTCGACGGATGACGATGGGCTCGCGACTTCAATCCTCTGGGATCACAAATGACAAAGCGGGTCTTGGTTAAGGATTAGACAGTAGACTACATGGTGGACCGTTCATGGCTGAATGAGGCCAAAAGACCCAGGAAGCTGAGGCTGAGAGATCTACCTCGATCCTAATTCTCCCAAGCTGAGTCAAGCATAACGTTCCGTGATCTATATTTACAGTTTCACAAGATCGACCAGGCAAGAGGCGTACGCGTCACGTAGAGCATCCATACTGCCGTAAGAATAGCACCTGAGGATGATGGGAGACTGATGGTGAGAAGGACGATATTCTGACTCAGTTTCAGTCGTCCCATTCCTGTTCTCGGGTTCGGGTTCGCGTGCGTTTTTTGGAGCTGTATGCCGGCGTCTACACGGACGTGACGAGGATGAAGATAGCGTAGACGGGCAGTCCTTCCGCGTTGGTGCAATTGGCATCGTGGACTCTCTGGGCAGATGGTCGTTGCTAACTTTTAGAGTAGGATGCTGTCAGTAGTTCCCCTTCCCCGTATTGTCTGGTAGTTGTAGGTAATAGAATAATGGGGAAGTTATGAACGACTGCATAAGGTAGAAAAGATGGGGCTCCTTCTTATGCGCCACGGCGGCGTGCCGGCACGCAACAGACCGCCCAATTGAATTGAACATTGGAGCGCCTAGGTGCCCGCGCTGCAGGTGCCGCGTTACTGGGCTATTTCGGAATTACGAGCCTCGGAGCTCTCAAGCTTTCCTGCTGGCTGCTAGGTAGCTGCTGGCTGCTGCTACTATACGACACTCCTACGTAATGGAATCCCATATATCAGAGAAAGGTTGCGAGAGGCCGAGACGACGCCTTTGATCCATCTGCTATGGACCCGTCGCCTCCAACAAGGTCACCACCCACTTCGGCTTCCTCCCAATGTCGCTGCGACCGCTCCTCCGACGGTTGTGGAAACATGCATTCAGCACGCAAACCCCGATAACGGCGCGACATCTGATGACCGTTCCACGATGCCCCGAGCCAACCTGCGAATGCGCCAACACGCCAAAGATGCCTGACGGCCTTGAGATAGACCGCGAGGCAAAACTGAACGGCCTGATCTCCAGCTATGCCGAGCAAGTCCTTGTCTGTACCGATAAGAACGACTGGATGTCGCGTATTGAGGAGGATAACAGCGGCGACAACCTCGCAGCAGATCTCAAGGAATTGATCGGTCGCGGGGGTATCTATAGTGATGTAAGCCCCTCTGCAAGTCAGTGCGCTTTGCTGCGCTACAGTCGACGACACAAGTCTGGTCGCAAGGTTACTGACGATAAGTGTGCGCGCAGCCCTTCCACAACATCTCCGTTCTCAACTCGTCGTTTCCGTCTTCGATATCCAGACGCCCGGAAGTCCAGAATACGTCCGCTTATCTTTTGCCCAGCTTCAAATACGTCCCCTTCCTCCCGCGCGTCTCGTTTGATTCCGTCCAAGCGCTGGTCAAGGGCTACCTTCTGCCCCCAAAACTACATCCCATGAACGATGGGCTGTCGCTTATACATAAGGACCGACTGCTGAGGAAAGAGGCATATCAGCATATGCTGTACGGAGTGCGCGATGTGAACGATGTTTTGGTCTTGATATGTGGGCACGGCGGAAGAGACATGCGGTGTGGCGTCATGGGGCCGGTTCTTCAAGCAGAGTTTGGGAAGCAACTGCCCCAAGCGGGAATCGAGGTCTTGCGAGGACCAGTGATTGATGAGAGCGTGTCTGCCCCGCCACTTTCGGGGACAGGAGGGGATGTCTCGTCCACCGCAAGAGTCGGCCTCATCAGTCACATTGGGGGGCACAAGTTTGCAGGGAACGTTATCATATACCTACCGCCGGCCCTGAAGAATAACGCCGGAAATGCGCATCCGTTGGCGGGCCACGGTGTATGGTATGGGAGGATAGAGCCAAAGCACGTGGAGGGGGTAATCCAGAAGACGATACTCGAGGGCAATATCATCTCCGACCACTTCAGAGGCGCAATCAAGCAAGGCGGAGAAATCGTAAGACTATAGATCAATAGATCTGCGGTATGTAAATAAAGACTTGTACAATCTTGACTCTTTCGCAACTGAGCAAATTCATGAGCGACTTGGGCTGTAGGAACTTACAGCTTAACATGGCTGTTGCATATGTCTAGGTATTGTGTTGAGCGAGGAGCCAGCAATCAATGACCACTCAACCCGAGTCGTGTCCTATCTGAAGCAAGACAGCCAGGTCTTCGCACACTGCAGTCACAACTGGGTATAGGGGTAGTTGTGTCGAGCTCGAGCTCGCGGCTTGCCGGACCGCCTGCAGCTGGCACTAGTCGGTACTCACCTCATATCTTTAGACACCTTGAGCAGGTCACACTCACACAGTCACCACGATGAGAGACACTCACCCAGAAATGAGCTGAGATCAATGAACAACCATGCGATGAGATGGATCGGGCGGACGAGACGCTACTTTCAAGGCTCTCAACCAAGTCGCCACGGACCGCCCCTGTCTGAACGGCTTCTGCAGCAAACATGCACGCGACGAGCGCCGTATCGAACACCATGGAGACTCACTTCCAACCGCAGCCTCTCCAGCCCACGGGGTTATAGAACCCCTAACGCTCTATCTTCTTCTACTCACACCACGCGAAGCCAAATCAGCATCTCCCCAAGATGGGCCCTCGCCGCCCTCCTCTTCAGCGGCGCTGCACTAGCGACGTTCAGGCTCGCCGGCTCCGCGGCCGATGACGACGACGACATCATCAACAAGGCGAGCTTCAGCGCCTTCACCATCACGTCGAAGGAGCAGGTCTCACCCACGGCGTTCATCCTCAGCATACGCGTCAGCAAAGCTGCAGGTGGGCCCGTGGACTCGCAGCGCATCGGGCAGGCTTGGGCGCACGGGCTCTGGTCCGTCGAGATCAAGCAGCCGCAGCTGCAGATTGCGCGGCACTACACGCCGCTGCCACCACCACCACCTCCGCCTTTTACTAAGTCAGTTGGTGGAGATCCAAATGGAGGTAAAGCTCAAGCTGAAGCTGGAAGTGGAAGTGGATGTAGAGACGACGAGCTGAGGTTCCTCATCCGCAAGATGGACGGCGGCGAGATGTCCAACTACCTCTCCAAGCTGCGCGTCGGCGACCAGGTCTGGCTGCGCGGCCCGCACCTCGGATTCGACGTCGGGAGGCGGCTGGGCGAGGCGCGGGATGTCGTGTTCCTGGCGGGTGGGACGGGCATTGCGCCCGCGCTGCAGGCCGCGCATCGGCTCTTGGATAGTAGGCCGTCTACTGGCGTGGCTGTTGGGGACGAGAAGCCGACTGTGTCGATAATGTGGGCGAACCGGCGGGCTGTTGATGCTCTGGGGCGGGAGCAGCGTCAGATACCGGTGAGGAAGGGCTGGTTTGGGCTCGGGGGCGGTGCGAAGACGGAGACTCCACAACGGGACGAAGGGAATCAGTCGTCGTTTGCGCGGCAGATCTTGAGCATGAAGAAGCAGCATGGAAAGCATTTCGACATATCCTACTTCGTCGACGAGGAGAAGTCGTTCATCTCAGCCAAAGACCTCGTTGCGATCCTTTCGCGGCCGCAGACGACGGCATCGTCGGGTCTGGCTTCCCCTGCAAAATCCTGTCCTTGGCATTCGGCGACCTCAGTGGCAAGGCTGCCCAACGACAACGACGCCGAGCGAGTCAGCGACTGTTCTTGTAAACGGACAGCACCGGGAGACCGACTGGGTGCGGAGCTCTTCTGCGTCTCCGGGCCCGACGGCTTCATCGAGGCTTATGCCGGTCCGAAGAGATGGCAGGAAGGAAACGAGATGCAAGGGGCTGTTCAGGGCTTGCTTGGCTCGATGAAGAAGAGTAGGCCGGGGGAGATGGACGACTGGCTTGTATTGAAACTGTAGGAGTATGATGTAGTAATCTATGTATAGACAAATAGACGAACCCGTTTGGTATGGGCCCTGGTAATTTATAGGGCGTGTTCACTCATGGAGCTCTTTATATCAGTTTCCATACACATCTTCTGGTGATTGACACCATTTTGGCGCCCTTTGCTCCCCTGGCCCAACATTTCCTCCCGCTGGAGTACTTTCACCTCCTGTCGGATAAAGCTTATGTGACTTAGCCCGGGTTAGTACCACAGCTCTGCCTCGTAGCTCGAGAAAGAAGCTTAAATATGGGATACTACTTCTAGCAGAACATTAATAGCCGCAAATAGCAGAGCAAGCATTCGCGGATGTCCTCGTCTCGCTTCTGCGTATCAGCGTATGGAACGCCACTTGCGCAACGGCACCAAAGACAGATCATAGCAAATGAGCGTTGCTAGGAAAAGGGTGAAGCAGCCAGCTGCTCATCAAGATGGCTTACTTTCGATTCATTTCCTCATTTACTACAGCTATTCGTGAGTGAAGTGGTACTACACAACGGGCAGGAACTCGGAAGAGCCAAGGTCTTCTTGATCGTTGTTCAGTGAATCCCATCAAGATGTCATTCTCTCCTGCGGTCAAATTGGTGCCAGCCATCCATCCCTTACTCGTTGCTGAAGTGGGCTAAGTGGTCCGCGGCCATGTCAACCTTCACAGGGCGACCAGCGAGATGCTCCAAATGATGTGCTTCAATAGCAAGAACGTCCTCTACCCGCCGTCGAAAAAGAACTTCGGTCGACTCTGAACCAAGCGGGCTGGGTCCATGAATGGTTAAGCCAAGAAGTTCAGTGACGTTGGACTGGAGCATCGGGGCGAAACCATGGTCATTCCTTCGAGCTTGGTCGGCCATCCGTCCAACCCCTGGGGTCCAATACCACCAGTTTTCATTACCGTGAACGGGATGACGGTAGTCGTTAAGATACAGCAAGCCATGCTGCGGTAATACTAGAGACAGGCGATCCAATTATGGCGTCGCTGTCTCTAGATCGAATACGGACTGGCTGGCTCCATCCCTGAAGTTGTCAAAGATGGTACTCCCGCCCGCCACCTCTTCGTGGCCGATGTTAGAGCGAATGACTTCGAGAGCCATCAGCTTGATTCTCTGCAGGGCATCTTCGTGGTAATAATGCGTATACATGCGTACGTTCCTGAAATAGAACAAGTCCAGATCCCAGTTCACGAAAAGCGGCTCTTGATTCCATCTGTCCTGTCCGACGAAATAGCCTAGCTGAGGCCAATCGGGATTGTGCAGTGTTTTGAGCCAGGACCCGGAATGGTAACCAAGAGCCTTTGCTGTCTGCACAAGTCTGACAAGTTGGCGGCCTTGTGATACCTCATGCCTTGCTTCCTGGTTGACTCTCAGCACAACTCGGGTTGTCCACATCAATTCGTCATGAGCAGCATCGATATTCGTGTCTATGCGACCGGTGAGACGTCTGTCCTCCGAGGAGATGACATGAACCAGTGGTCCCTTTGGCAGGGCATAGCATCTCCATACCGCAAGGCGAAGCTCTGTGGGTAGCTTACTGAAAAGGGTGAATTCCTTGAGTTGTGACATCCTGAATGAGAGTGGTGGGGACGGTAAGCGATAGGAGCTTGCGAAGGCTGGTATGTTGATGAATGTTGTAAAACTGCGGAAGAGTCTTCGCTCTGATGAATGAAATCAAGTTCTCCGTCTCAGTCCACGAGGCGTTCGAAGAAGGCCCCAGAACGCAGTGGTCCTAGACAAGAACAGACAAAGAAAATGCGTCCCAATGATTCCAAGTCATACTTTCAGGCTCGCCTGCCAGCTTAGGTCTGACTGGAATCCACATGGATTCCGTCTCTGCGACAAAGGTTGGGTGTACGTCAGTATCCCCGGTAGTCCATGACGAGGTCAACCTCTATGGCCGCGCGTTTACACTTGAGACCCAGTCTTCCAAATATTGATCTCGACGCTCCGATGGTGGTTTGCGCGGGTTACCACTGAGCGGCTCGATAAGATTCTTTGGGCGGCCATGCCGTGCCGACTCCAAAGTCTCTCACCATCACGTGAAGAAGTCCCTATAGCTTTACGCCGCCCCATCACCAGCAGCCTCGAGCGCTGGGTGGAAGGTATCAAATTCGGTTCGCCCCCGTCCACCACAAGTAGCAGGCTCCTGAGCGACCTCCCGTACTGTCCTAGCAAGTCTAGATCTTCAATCTCCCATCAGGTCTTGTCCAGCTAGGGGTTCAGAACTGATGAGTGACCGTACTGACCAGTCAATCGACGGCCGGACGATGGTCTCGACACATCTGACGCCATCACTGTTTTGCGAAACTCCAAATCAGTGAGAAAACGAAGTGGCAAGGGCATATAAACCCAGACCTCAGCTCTCCTTGTCTCCTTGGCGTATCCCGCGAAAATCTCTCCCTGGATCGGTGGCTCGCTTTACCTCCCAGAACAGTTCTCACATCGACTCCTCACGCCGCGGACAGAGGAGAGTTAAATACTACCTAAACTACACCAAGCCGGAATCAAACCACCACTCAACAGAATAACCAACCATCCCATCCCACTTCCCACATGCAGTTCAAGACCATCCTGCTCGGCCTACATTGCAACACTCTGGACTTCGGACGAAGCAAAAATGCTGAAGGCACGTCAGACACGGGCGAATGAACATCTCGACAGCAGGTTGCGTGCTGGACAGTGGCACATCACAAGAGGGGGCGGCGATTTCTAAACTTAGAAACTGTCATGTCAAATCAATCATGCCAAATCAATGCAATGCGTTTACATCTAACCCATTATTCACATGCACGAGTAAATGTTTCCGCGGACCGAACTGAGTTGCACGCCAAGTTGCACCAGTCGATGTGAGCATTACATTATATCCATACAGACTTGTCCAAAGTTGTCCCGTAAAGTAGTCTGACGGCCCAGGACTGCTGACAGTGGCAATGGGTATGACAAGTACCTTCATTTCATCGCTTTCCCTAGCCCCTATTGCCCACAAAAGCCCCGTGGCTCCCCCATTGACGTCGGTAGAGCCCGGGCCAACTCAATTGAACAGCACTTCCTCATGCCCCAGCGCGGTGTCGCCGCGAGACCATATCTAACAATCTGGGTGAGGATGGCAGCAGAAGCATATGTGCATGTTCTTTGCGATATCGAAACTACTGACCAGGAAGCTTGTCCTTCACGCCCCAACAACCCAAAAACGCAATCCGCCTCGCTACCTATAGTATTCTCTCTGATGAATTACTCGTACATCGCCTATAGCTTCGAACGATTCCTCTCTCCTCTACTCTTCGCGGCTTGGCCTTTAGTGAAGCCGGGGCTCGTACTCCCGTTCCATGGGATGGGTGTCCTTTCGATTGGACGGGTGTAAACATTATATGATATATACTGGGTGCATGTTGAGGGTGATGTGGTGCGATCGCATGACTTCGACACGTCTCTCTCCATTTTACAGTCGATTCGTATGTCTGTTATTCTTCGGGAACAGCAGCGGGTATTTGATCAGACACCGGACTCTTGATGCCATCTTCCCCCTCGCCGACGGCCGAGCTAGTGGTGGAACCTCCCTTCAGTCTCCGCCGTCTTGCTCTCCTTTCTTCTGCTGCTGACCTTCTCAGACTTTCCCGATGCTCAGGCTCGACATCTTCAGCGCCATCCCCACCCCTCATGTCCTGTAGTAGCATGGCGGCTCTTTGGGCCAAGCCATCTTCACCAGCCCCTGGAGGAACCTCGCCCGGCGATGACAAAACCGGACTAAGGGGGTTGGCCTCTGAATCGATAACGCTGGTACCATCGGAACGAAGTCCTGCTTCGGCCTCTGGGACTTCGTCGAGGTCGGGGATCTTCTGGCCGGACGCAATTCGCACTTGGTGCCGGTCCTTTAGGCGCGCGCGCCTCCTCCGGTCGCGTGTATCCCTTGCTTGTGGTGCTGCTGCCCGTAGTTTCTCTAGCAGAGAGTCCATGGCGCCAGCCGACCCTGGTGATGCTGGTGCAGCCTCGACGGTAGCACCTGAAATCTTGAGCTGAGCATGCTTGCGCTTCATGCTGGCTTCGTTTCTCCGCCTTTGATCCTCGTACTGAACATTCTTGTCCCGACTCTGCTTCCATCCCTGAAGGAAGATTGCAAGCTTGGCAAAAAAGTCGCGCCGGGCGTTCTCGTCGGTGGGGTCCTCGCCGTAGAACACCATGATGTCGTTGTAGGTGCGCACCATCTCTTCCAGATACAACGACATTTGTTCCGCTTTCCGACGCGCGTCCTTCATACAGCGTTGTACAATCTGGGAAACACGATCCTGCGGATGGAACTTCTTAGGGTCGCTGAGGTTGCCGCTGTCAAGTGACATCTGCACGTTGCGAATGTTGTCCATGTACTTCTTCGCATCCGCTTGCAGCTGTTGAATGTTGATCTTCTGCACGGAAATGACAGCTTGGATGTCGTCCACGAAACCCTCCCACTCAGGGTACTGATTTCGTACAATACGCTCAACCAAATCAGCGAGTGTGGACTGATTCTTGTCATCCTTGACCATCCCCAGCCGAGCGAGCGAGCTGAGTTTGAAACCGCGAGCTTGCTTGTTTGCGTCGTTCATGTAGTTACCGATATCGAGAATGAGACCAAGGACGTTCATCAGAGACACCGAATCTCGCAGCGCCTCTGACACGTTCACGACTTGGTGCATCTTCTCAGAGATCTCGTCGTAATCAGCTTCGAAGCTCCTCGTAAGGGCCAATGCTCTCATCCTGCTCTTCCAGTAGTGGTGGAGTTCGAATGCAGTGTACAGGTATATCTGATCCTGTCGCGTAAGCTCTTCTGGATCTTGCTCCCGGTTCTCCTTATGTGTTTCCGGACCAGTCCAGTCCTTGCTGTACGGTGCCATGAGCTTAGAGGTGTTGTCGGGGATGTTGCACAGATCATCCTTCTGGAGAAAGTCCATAACAACGGTATTATCAAGGACATCTTTGTCGCAATGGATGATCATCTGTGCGATCTTCTCAACAGAGTACTGGGAGAATTTGGCAAAAGCAATTTCTGTCCCGATGTTAGTCTTCTGAGTAAACCGATGAACAGGGGCGTGTGGGTCTTACCATAAGCTTTCCGAAGATCGCCAGAAATGATTTGCTTCTTGTCATCCTTCTTAGAGGTTCCACCACCAATTTTCTTGATCTCCTTGGCCATAAACAACTTCTCGACCTCGTCTAGAATACCCTTTTTGCTGAGCTCGTTGTATTTCTCTTCTCTTTCCTCTGCAGAAGGAGCATGCGCCGCCCAGTGACTTGTCTCGGGGGTATCTACCTTCTCCCAATGCAGCGCCTTTAGCTTCTTCTTCGGTCTGACCATGGGAAGACCAATGCCGCTTGGAGATGGGGAGAGATTGTTTTGGGCTGAGAGGAAGTGACCAGATAAGCCTCCTGGCATAGGAGGTGGCGGCGGAGGCATACCACCCATAGCCCCAGGCATTGGTGGCGGCGGCGGAGGAGGAGGAGGCATGCCACCCATCCCAGGCATTGGTGGCGGCGGCGGTGGAGGAGGGGGAGGGGGTGGACCTGCTGCCGAAGCAGGTGACAACATGCCGGGCATTGGAGGCGGAGGTGGTGGTGGTGGAGGGGGAGGCGCTCCTGCTGCTGGCATAGGGGCTCCTGGTATTTGACCGGGCATCGGAGGTGGCGGAGGCGGTGGTGGAGGTGGAGGTGCAGGAGCTGCATCGCTGACTTGAATCTTGGGTGGTTCGTTGTCGCTTGGCGTGATGGGAGACTGCAACTCGATACTGGGATGTGAAGGACCAGTAGTCGCGCCATCGCCTTCCTCAGAGTCGCTGCCATCTTCCTTCTTGCCCTTGGCCCGGATCTCACTCAGGAGATTACTGGCTTGCCTAGGATCCATGCCTGGTCTCCTGATCTCAACCACTCTCGGTTTCTCAAATACAATACCCTCGTCATCCTCCGCCCCTTCATCGCTTGCGGGCAGTGCTTCGCCGCGGGTGTTGACGGGTTTCCTTGATATTCTGGTTTGCCGGTTCACAGATCCTAGCATGCTACTAGACATACTAGGGGGTGGAAGACCAGCACCTTCAGGGGCGTCGGGATATTCATCGGTATAGCCTTCCATCTCGTCACGTAGCGCACGTAGCCGATCTGAAGGACCAACAGCTTCGCCCCATACCCGGCCTTCAAGCTTGTACTGGGTCTTCTGGCGTTCGAGCTGCATAGCAAGCCGATCCATGAGCCTTTCGCGGTCTAGGATACCCTGCGTGCGAGCTGGATCCTCCTCGACAACCTTGCCGCTAGGTATGCCCTTTACAGCCTGGGATGCGGCGACATCTTGGGCATCTCTGAGCATGAGATAGAGTTCTCGTGTTTCAAGCTCGTACCGCTGGGCCTCCTTGGCGCGAACCGTCTGCATGTTCTCGATTTCGGCTTTCAGACCGTCGGCCTGTCGTCTCTGCGCCTCGATGAACCGGGCCTGCTCGTCCAGCTGCCTCTGAAGTTTGGCTACAAGTCCATCTGCGCCCAGCTCCACCCTGGCTTTCATCTCGTCTCGCTCGGCCATGGCGGCATCGGCGATCTGCCGGGCCTCTAATGCCTCATCTAGGGCTTGCCGAGCTTCGGAATCCGTATGTAGCTTATCTAGCAAGCTCTGAACCGTGAAGTTTAGGCTCTGCTTGAGGTCCATATTTGGCAGCCGGCGGTCCATGGCAACATAACTGAGCATCGAGTCGACGAGCTGGAACATGCGTAGCTGTTCCTCTCCATCATTCTCGCGGATTAGAAGCAGATGTTGGAGAGCAGAGACGAAGTAGTCCTGGGTCTTGCTACCTTGCAAACGTTGCTGGATGGCGTCAACGATTTGCGTAGGGTCAGTCAGATCCTTCACCTCTCCCTCTATGCTGTCCTTGATACTGCTATTTTCCCGGTCGAGCATGTCCTCATAGTCAATAGCTTCGTTGGTGCGAAACCGCTCGACCTGCTTGTCTATCAGGTCATACTGGAACGCCTCCATCTTTGTGAGGATCCGCTTGATCCCACAAGCACCGAACTGGGCCCGGATATGCATACGGAGTTGGAGATCGTTCTCAGGCGCATCGATAATCATGTTGATCAGGATGAGCGTCGCGACGGCGTATTCCATGAGGAGGTTCTCCATGCCGATGCCGCCGCTTCGCACCTCGTCGCTGGCTCCGACGAGACTGCCCATCTTTCCGCGTCCGTCCACTGTGACCTCGACAAGGCGCATCCAAGCATCAAAGCGGCCGTTCTCATTCTGTTGACTCTTCACTGAGTCCATGGCCTGGATTACTTTCATATGCCCATCTCCCTCCTCCCAATGGCATAAGAAAGTCAGCACATCGCTGACAAGTTTGCGAGTCGTGAGCCTTGGTGAAATGAGCGAGGTTGCCAGAGCCACTACGACTTGCTGGTGAGAGAGTGCGTCGTCGGCGCCGTATTTGTTGTTGAGCAAGGCTTTCAAGCACTTCACGATGTCGTACTCCTTGTCGAGATTCTTGTCCATCCCTTTGGCATCCAGCGGTGCAGCCGGCCCAACCGCCGTTTTCCTGTTGATCTTCAATAGCACGTTGGTAAGAGCCACCTGCCCCTGGCACTCAATGAAGCGCTTGACCCAACCGATCTGCTGGGTCCTAAGGTTGACCTCGAGGCTCCCGAGGCCTTTGGTATCCAGACTGTTGTCCATCACTTTTCGAACATACCACTCAGGCGAACCCTCTTCATCCGAGTTGGCGGTGATATCGACATTCGAATACTGTCCTGGTCTTGCGGTCTGCCTTCGTTTCTGCTCTCCCTGCCATTCTGTCAAGCGGTCTTGATAGATGAGGGTCCACTTCTTCGAAGATGGATAGGCCTGCATTTGCCGCCGCGCCTGCTCTGGCAGGTTGTGCCATCCTCGCTTCTGCATCAACTCGAAAAACATCTGCTCGGTCATCCTATCATCTTCAGGTCTCGTGAGGGAAAAGGAGTCCGGGCCGGTGGGTTGTTGGTAGCCAGGAGTTCCTGGGAACTTGGTCGTGCGATGTGATTCTCGGACCGAGTGGAGGGAGGCAACGGAGCTCTGGGACGTTGCACTGGGAAGTGCTATTCTGGATGAGCGCGTGATTGTGGCAGCAGAGTCGGGGCTTTGGCCGTTACCTGAAAATATGCTGGACTGGTCGCTCTGTCTCGAGGTCCTGCCGAAACCTGGCTGCCCCCAACCTGGTAGTGAGTCCCATCTGTCAGGGGCATTTCCCGAGGCCGTGCTTCCTCGAGGCATCTGACCATTTGGCGATTGCCCAGGACCCCATTGTTGGAACTGGGTTTGGCGACCGGTAGACGCCATGGTCAGATTGGAAGTACCGGGAGGGGGCCGCGGCCCCGACAGATGGGATCCCGCGGTGTTGGCATAGGGACTCCCTTCAACAGATGGGTATTGGTGAAAGTCTGTCGTGCTTTTGTTCAGCTGATGCGGCAGCGGATCTCGTCGAACGGGCATCTGGTCATTTCGAGGGAGATACTCGACGGGTATGGGACTTCGTTTATCGGCGTAGGTGGTGTCATAGGGTATGGCGGTGATGATACCGGCCGTGTTGTTCACACCGGATTCGGGAGAGCTAGGTCGGTCGATCGATATTATGGACGATTCTCTAGCATGCCGGGAGCTGCGCGACGGCGGATCGTAGTCTGGGCCAAGAAACCGTCCCTCTTCGCTACCGGTATGGCGCTTTTCGCTCTTGTGTCTGTTTCTGGAGAAGAAGCCTTTGCCACCAGACGACTGCCTGGACTTGTCGGCAGAAGCCATGTCTGGGCTCATGGGAGAGGGCGCTGAAACACCGGTACTGCTGCCCCGATGACACCCTCAAAGGGCGATTCACCCGACCGTGGTGGATTCAATGCGAATATGGGGTCGCGGGAAATTGGAGCGATCGAGAAAGGTTGGGCGCGCGTCTGATTTCCTGCGGTCCTCAATGTACTGGGTGTCGCACACGCAGGTTGAATAACATGGTGTTCCGCGCAGAGCTCGGCGACGTTCAAAGCTGATGTTGTACAATATATGTTCGAGAGCAGGGAGCTGCGTGGAAGCAAGACCTGCATGAACGGGCGACGGTTTAGCATTGATCTCTGGCGATGAAGCAGCAATCGTGGCGCCAGCACAGTTGCGGTGGTCGGCGGGCCGGCTGTCACTGGACAGACTGACTGAAAGGAGTCGGCCGATTTCGAATGGGGATGCCAGATGGGGTCCAGCGACTGGGATGTTGCAGAAAAGATCCTTGACGGCTGACATACATACAACGGGCACTATTGCCGTATTGTTGTACGAGGTAGAACTGGAACTGAAGCGAGCACAAGAGGCTAGCCGCTCGACATCAAAAGAACTGCGCAATAGCAACCTACCCAGGATGAGGTCCCTGTCGCAGGCGCTTTGAAAATCGAAGAAGCCGTATGCTGTGTGTTGAATATGGTATCGTATCTCTGCAATGTCTTGTCCTCTCCAGGGAGTTGGCCATGGAAGTGGGATTATTGGAATTGCACCAAGCAGGTATGCAGATATGCGGGTATGCTGCAATCGGATTGGATGCGATAAGCGCTACCTCACCTTATCTTCCACGTCTTTGAAGCGGCACGGCAATTAGCACGGCCAGGGGGTTCTCCCTCCGCCAATTTTAGCACCAACATTGAAGCGAACCAAGGTAGTGCTGAACCCAATTCACGACTATCTCACATTTGAAGATATACCGTCATCGATGATGGTGTTCCACATCCACTGCTCACGATCCAGCAGATGCAACAGCAAGATCTTGAAAGGTGTGGGCATATGAAACTCGAAATGGAACATGTACTTGAACCCCTGAAGCCGGGTAGTTGTGCCCCTGTCCGGAGATGCTTGGACTTGCCTTTTCGACAAAGAATCCAAGGGATATTGACTCACGATTCGACGTGTCAATCGCAAGTCTCATTCAGCTTACCACCCATCCATCCACTCACAGCAATGAGGTGCGTCCAGCCAGGGACTGGAGGTTGGCGGCTTCGGGCGACGAGGACCCCTATTTGACCCCTTTTCTGAATTCGATATATCGACATCAGGCGGTTCCGGTAATTGCATGTGCAGATAGTTGAAAGTCACGACCTGAATGGTCAATCCCGGGAAGCCACCTGGGCATGCAGCTAAATCGAACGGCCTGGGGCTGCTGGGCTGGGGACCAATGGAGCGTGGGCCAGGAATACCTACCTAGGCCAGGGCGACCCCTGAGACCTGCCGACTGGCGACGTGCAAGGTGCAAGGTGCAACAGACCAACCGCACTGCTGTACGTATGCGACACTCGCACGACGAGATACTTGAAGGGACTGGACTGGTAGGACACATGTTTTTCAGCCTCGTTTTCGCATTCTACTTGGCGGTACCACCACAGCACCACCGACTGTAGCATTGGGGGTCACCGGACGCCAACACTTCTCACTGCCTCTCCGTCAGCGGCTTACTTAGCACGAGGCCTCTGCCGACACGATCCGAAAGAACCAGCTGAAGGCAGGCCATCAAACCCTGGATCCTCTCGACGTTTCGCTGAGTCTCGATTGACGCTATTCGCTTGCATTCATCGTTCCTCGTAGCGCCCGCAACCTTTGTTTCTAATCCATACTATGTGCTGTTGATCGGGTCGACAGCCTTGATAGCCTCGCATCGCATCACCAGTGTCACAATGGGCTCAACCCTTTCCGTGGTCAAGGTAAATCAGAGAAGCAGAAAGAACGTCAAGGGACCGTTCGGGGCTAACTTGCCGCTGCTACAGACACTCATCATACCAGCAGTCATCTCGCTGATCCTCTTCCTCGTCTCGACCTTCGTTCTCGTTCCCCTATGGCGGCGGTACCGGAGCCGCTACAGCCAGTACCTCCCACTCGAGTCGATATCGAATCGTACATCGTCCGTTCGTGCCAGGGTACAAGATGCCATGGCCCGGTGGCTGATACCGTCTCGGTGGCGCGTGGGCGACCGCCTGGTGATAGGAGGTGATACCGAGTCCGATCAGGGCTACAGCTCCGAAGATGGCGAGGAACTAGACGACGTGATTGGCGACCACCATGATGCGCTTTCGCCGGATACACGAAATCAACAAACGGATAGCATGCGAAGGCTCAGCAGGGAGTAAGTACTCTCAGTGCGTGCGGCAGAAGTGCTGGCTAATTGTCTTGCTCTAGTTTAGAGGAGGGTTTCCGAGATGACAGCGACGAGGAAGAAAATGACGAACGGCAGAGGAGGCGGTAGAGAGCCTGTGACCAGCGGCTCGGCAATTAGCTGTACTATGTCACCGTTGCAAGAGTATCACGTCTTGCACCGGAATACACCCTCGTCTCGCTAGTCCATCGGGGATGCATTGCTAAGTTCATTTGGGATTATCTGGAACGTGCTAGATCACCGAAGACAGCTCCGCTACGACCACAACTCGAGGTCGCAAGGCTCGGTCTTCGCACGACCATCTGGCAAGGAGCCTCTTCCTCTTGAACACCCGAGCTTTGAGCCACGATACTGGATCTCACACTGTTATACATCGGGATCCATCCAGCTGTGTTGACAACAAATGTCCTTTCGGTAAAGGAAGGAGATTCTCAGGGACGATGAACCACGGTGGATGACTCACTTCCTCACTTGGATGACTTCTACCTGGAACTCCTCACATGGCGGGTAAACCATAGCGCCCAGCTGTCCATCAGTTCGGTCCCAACGCAGTTTCTTACTGCAGACCTTGGGATCGAGACGTCACTTCGGATTTTCTCTCACTCTTTGGTCTTCCCGGCCTCATCAGCCTCCTCATAAACACAGGCATCGTCATCCTCATAGACACAGGCATCGCGAGCACAGTGTCCTGGGCGCGCCGATCCTGACCGAAGGCTACCAGTCACGCCAGAAGTAGTCGTCTGGTGAAGTCCAGTTCTGCCACGTCCTACGCGGATGTACAAGGCAACTTGTTCGAATACCGAGGTATTTAGGGCCAGTAACGGGGATAAGTGGCTTGGATATCATCGCGTGGGCCTGTGGAGGGCATGCGAAACCACTTCATGAGACACAAGATACACTGATTCAATCTGATATGCTGAAATGTTCGGCACTGAGGATGGACTCGGGATCCAACCCGACTCTGATGTTAGCATTCAGCCGTTCACTTCCCTGGTGCTGCTCTCCTACTGCTGGGGGATGAGTTCACCGGCTTGCGCGAAAGCCTAGACTCGGACGATCTACAGCGCCGCATGCGGACCTTACTTCGGCTCTGCCTATCAGAGTATAAAAATCTGAGTGAGTGTTACGTTAGTCGACCTATAGATAGGCAGGCAGGTAAGCAAGGTAGGTAACATGCAGGCATTCTTCTGCACCTCCAAGGTGTGCAAAGCTGCACGTGGCTGGCCGGGCTGACATTCCAGTCAGCCTGTCTTATCTTGCACTTGCACCCCGGCAACCCTGACGAATCCGGGTAGCTATGCAGCAGACAGACAACCTCTGCGATATAGGTATTCATGTGATGCCACTCGCTTCCTGGTGGTGGGTGTCGGTCGGCTTCAACACCTGGTATGTATATCTGGACCAAAGACTCACCAGTGCCTGGTCATCCATCGGCATCCTCAGCCAACCACTCCATCGTCCAGCCGATGTCTCAAGCCCAAACCTGCCTTTTGGAAATCCGGGCCAATAGGTCTCGACCTTGAGTAGGACCTCTAACCGGGCTGCGGCGTGATCGAGCGAGCTTGCAGGCAGCCAACGCGCGAACAAACCTAATAAGGCTCCGTGCAGACGACTGACGCCTGGTTGACGCCTTCACGCCTATCAAGCCGAGTCAATAACAAGCCAAACAGCCCAACGGCCAATGACTGACGCCGCCTGGATCCTGAATCAAGTACTGCACACCTCGACCGCAACCGGGCTGGTCTCTCTGTCCAGCCTGTTTGCTTCTGCTTCTGCCTCAGCTGCCATAGCTGGAGTCTGCCTTTCGCCGGCGCGAGTTTGAGCTACTTTTCCAGGTTGTGTTTCTCTCTCAACAGGCTTGACTCCCAGTCTTTCCCCGCTTTCTGATCGCCGCAGCAGCCAACCTGCCAACCTGCCAACCTGTGGGCTGCCTATCATAGGTTTCTACACATCAGACCAACATCGGACGAACGAGGCTGTACTGGCAGAGCTGTCTGATCCCAGTGCCCGCACATGTAGCTGTAGCTCACCCTTACCCAAACGTTATCGCAAGCTGACGGCACACCTCCACCGTGTCACGTCACTAGGACCAAAGCCTCGCAAACCTTCTACTCTTTACATCCGTCCGGCCACCCTCCGCACCTATTCAGCTGTGTGAACAACCTCAGGTTCCGTCCCCTACAAACACGATGCGGATACGACGGATACGAAAAGCGAGCCTGGCCTTCCTCAAGAAGCTCTGGCCGGGCAGGAGCAGCAACAGAATCCACAGCTCGTGCGAGCTAGAAGGCGTAGCAACAGCGAAGGAGCAGCATACATGGACGAAAACCCGCGACAAGAGTCCTCCGCCAGCTCCATCGTCCCCCGTCGTCGATGAGCGAGATCCGTGTCCAATCTGCCATGATCCCGTGGGCGTACCCAACCCTGAAGGCATCATAGAGTCTTGGACGAAGCTACACTGCGGTCACGAATTTGGCACGGAATGCATACAGACCTGGCTCGACGAGTCCTGCCAGCGAGACCCGAACAAAAATCCGAGTTGCCCCATCTGCCGCACCGTCGCCAAGCACCCTTGCGGCCACCTCGTCAGCCCGCCGCCGTACGCACCCATGCAACACCCTCACATGGTGGAGGTGGACAGCCTGACCTACCAGAACAGCGTGACAAGCGGCGCGGGCAGCTATCAGTCCCCACGCTCCCCTCCCGCATCCCCGACGCCGTCCTTGAGGGTCCCGCAAGTCCGTTACGGTTACAGCGCCAACGGATACGCCCCGCACCGTCGACCCCGTCGTCGTCTGACTAGGAGGGCAGGCCATCCACAGAACCGTATCTGGGTTCTGGCACCCCGCCGGGCCCAGACCGTGGGCAAGTGCGCGGCATGCGAGCAGATAGCCGCCATGGAAGCGCGCGCTGTCCGCGGTCGCCGACAGCTCAATAGGGCCGACTCGGTCGTCAGCACGGCGAGCTACGAGAGCGATGCCGCTACGGCCGGTAGTGCCAGGAATGGTGCTGCTGGTAGCAGTGGGATATCGGGCGGCATCAAGTCGCGGATCCTGCCGAGCCTGAAGCGGCTAAGCAGCACTCATAGGAGTTTCGAGAGAGCCGGCGCTGCTGACAACGATCGCGTCCACAGCTTCCGCTACGACGGAAGCGACGATAACAGCTCAGAAGAACGCGAGGACATCGCGGGCCCCAGCTGGCGCGCACCGCTGCCGCCGGTCTTGTGTGGGGAGAGCAGCTCGACGCCGAGAGCAATGCCCACGCCGCGGCATAGTCAGGTGATCAGAGTCTGAGACTGCTACGAGAAATAAAACATTCCCCTCGGGATCACATTTTACTTATATCTGGCGAGATGGGACGGAATGGAATGGCGAACAGACTGGTGGGTCGGTTGACCGGAATGGGTGGTGTAAGGGGTTACGGAGATCAGTCGGTCGATCTGGGAATTTTTCCAGCCCACTCTGTATGATGAGTGCACGAACCAGCTGGCAACTGACGTACGAGGTTCTGAGCTGCTTCTTAGAGGTCACCTGAATCTACGGTCATTTGCTTTCGGGGATTTGCATCGTGGGGTTGACTGGCTTATACGGAGGTCAGCTGCTGGTTAAATGGAGGATCTCTGATGCCAGGTTACTCAAGAATTCACAGTGAGATGAATTACCCTAGGTAGCTATTTGTCTTGTGATAATTGTACTAATTATAACAATTCACCTTACGTCGAAGTGATTCCACCCTGCCTCTTTTCGGCCCATGGACATATCATGAAGCATCTGCTGCTCCCCCTTGTTATAATCATGGCGGGGTCGGATAAGGTATGGACCCTTTGGCGGGGTGACCTCTTGGGCTCCCGCAAATGTTAGGCGATTACCCCAGCAATATGCACTGATACCCCGCACTAAAGATCCAACCCGCTGCAGAGCTCCCTATCGTGCCAATCGATAGTGATTCGATACGCTATCTGTCCACCAGACCCGCAAGGAGGGACGTCAATCATTAACGCGCCCTCATCCCCGTCGCGTCTTCCGCGACACCAGCATAATCAAGTAATTGGTACTCACCACAGCTGAACCGAGGACAGACGTCGCATGAATGGCCGACGATGAGGTTCAAAACCAACCTGAAGAATGTGCGCACGTTCTCGAGTAAGGCCAAACCGTAACCTCCTGCTGCGAACACCCGGGTCTAATCAACACTTGGCAGAACTCGTTGCGGCTCTCTCGTCGCTCGAGAAGATCGCCTGGATGCGACTGGACGATGATACCGTCCGCTTCACCGTCATTCCGGACACGGGATCACAAGTCTGGGCGTTAGTATATCCCTGCCAAGTTGACAAGTGTCGGTGATTGACTTTGGGTTTTCCTCTTCACAGGTCGCTCTCCATGGACTTCATCTTTGACGGCTACACCCTGCAGTCCGCCGAACTGAAGAACACAATCAATCTCGAACTACCGCTGTTGCCTCTCCAGCGAGCGCTCAAGTCCGCTATGAACGGTACTTCCGCGTCCCTGCGCCTGACCAAGAAAGATGGCCTCCCCATCCTCTCCATGACCATTACTACGAATACCGCGCCCGCGAACCCGCCACAAGGGGGTTTCTCCGCCCGCCTAGGCGGCCACAACGCCGGTCGCCCCTTCCAACGCGGCGAAGATGACGACGACGGTGTCTTCGCCGCGGAGCCGCTGGAGACGAACTTGTCCCGCGAGCGCGAGAAAATCATCACGCAGGACATACCCGTGCGCGTGCTGCACCCGGATACGGTCGAGACCATTATGCAGCCCAAGGTGCGCGAGCCCGACGTCCACATCCAGCTGCCGCCGCTGCTGCAGGTCAAGGCCATCTCGGACCGCTTCACGAAGCTGGCGCTGGCGTCGCGCGCCGCCTCCCTATCGTCGACGGGCGCGGCCCCCGCCGCGTCTGCCGCCTCTCCGAAGCTGGAGCTGAGCGCGAACATGTATGGGGAACTGCGCCTGCGGCTCGACACCGATACGCTCAACGTCGAGAGCCGGTGGGGTGGCCTCGACAACCCGGAGCTCGACCCTACGCATCTTAATTGCGCGATCGAGGACCATCCCAGCACGCTCTTCAAGGACGGCGGGCCTGAGAAGTGGGCGAGTGTACGGGTCGACGGCAAGGACTGGAGCAAGGTCCTCAGCGTGGGACGGCTGGATGGAAGAGTCATTGCGTGCTTCGCGGACGACCACGCGTTGATTATGTACGTGTACGTGCCGCAGCACGACGATTCGGGACCGGATGATTCGGTAGTCACGGTAAGTTCGCCTACGTGGAGACCCGGGTGAAAAGGCATTTTTGAGTACTAACGCTTTCCAGTACTATGTGTCTTCCTATAGCGTTTGAAGTGGTTGAGTTGATCTTATGCAAGGGGAAACCACCCACTTGAGCCGAACGCGAAGACTATTGGGGATGAGGATTACAACATTGCGAATGATGTACGAGGAGACTATGACGACTTCACGATTGATGACTAGTAGACGGTTGGTCACATTGGCTATAGAAATACTTGGCTGGAAGGAAAAGTTGTGCACTTGCTGGATATAACACCCTAGAAGCAGGGACGCGAGTCACAGGGCATGAGATGGTTACATGCAGAGCTGAATAATATGTTGTCGGCAGGCAACAACACTCATATCGCCGTTTTCGAACTTGGTTCTTTCACAAGTTGAAGTTGGTCATGGAATGCCATGCGCCCAATGCGGCCATATTCGGGAATGAACCAATTCATCTCACCACGCGGACGGGTACTGGCAACATCAGCCAACTTCCCCTGTTACGAACATGACTCATTATTGATTGCAAGTCGGAGAGCTGATTCGGACTTCAGTAGGTACTGCGCGGCTGTTGTAAGGCTGTGGTGTTGGTTGGTTTCCGGCAACGTCGGCGACCCCGTTCCTGAGGAAGTCTTTCAGCCGCATTGGTTCGTGTTGGTTGACACCTTGCAGCTCTGCCTCGTCCCTTTCTCGGAAGCACCTTTGTATATGGGGGGAATGAATGCGGGGGAATGAATGCAGGGGAAAAGGGGGGGTGGGAGTGGGTCCTAAGGACGCTCATCACCAACCGTCCACGGCTTTCAACACGGCGCAGCGCACGGCGCAGCGCACGGCTGCTGGACAGTTGACAGTCCTCGGTAAGAGTCGAGCCTCGGTCGTCTTCACAATAATGACAAGGTCAGCATAGTTGGAAGATATCTCAAAAGCTCTTATTTCGCAATGGAAGTAAACTATTCTAGAAGCTGTGAAGCAAAGCAAAGACTCCGAGAAACCCAGCCCAACAACCCGGAAACGACGATGAGAATGAAGAGCCGGAGCTCAGCGAACGTGGAAAGGAGAATGGCAAGCAATAACGCCAAATTCCTCAGAAACCGACCCCAGCCTGGAACAACGAGGAAAAGAGGGAGACCGAAATTCAAAAGAACATGAGAAAAGAATGAGGCCCTCCGCATCCAACTCGTATTGTCCCAACCTTCCAGTATGATCAGGCCTCCGGCGCCAACTAAGTCCTCCACAACAGGTCTATTACCTTATTCGTGTGGGTTCTGAGAGCGGCGTGCTCAAGCCCCTCGCCGACTAGTTCATGATTCATCGAGCCGTTCCCAAACTTTTTCCTCGCCTGCTCTGAAAGTACGGGGTCGACGTGCATATCCTCCTTATAGGATACCGCGTTGACCGGTACCGTGTTCTTCGACAGCTGCCCATCATCGTACATCTTCTCGGGCCATTTATATTCTGCGAGCGCGAAGGCCTCCTCCTTGAGTTCTTTGTCCATCAGCCCCCCGTAAGTATCGAAGAAGAACTTGTACACCATCTCGCCGGAGAAGTAGAGTTTCCCATCACGCTTCTCGAGCTCCGCGCTTATCTGTTTCAGGTCACAGTTGACCCACCAGTACTGTCTGCTGAATTTCTGCGCAATATCATGCGCGGCCCAGTTCGATCGCGACCCATCTTGGACGCAATACATAGCCTCATGCATCACTGCATAGCCCGGTCGATCATCGATACGCCAGCTGTCGTTGTGCTTGTACAGGGCGAGAGTCTCGTCTGTCAACTGGTTGCCGGTGTCATCGTTCTCGATGTCGCTCTCCATGGCAGCCAGCGTGTCGTGGATTTTCTCCCATGTACCCCTGGCCCCTAGCATTCGGCCCATGCAGAGGAATCTCTGCGCGGTCAATAATCCAGCCTCTGGCAAATTACCCTTTGGCAACACGACACTATCCCTATTCATGTCCTTCTTCGCAAGCCAGCGGACGACCTTGCGGACTGTCTGCACGTCTCCGGTGTATTTGAGGTAATAATCGTCGTTTCGTTCGATCACTAAACGGAAGAGGCTTTTGTATACGTCTCGGGCGTTGTCGAACGGTGCTAGACCGCCAGCTATGCGGACTTTCTCCAACCCCTGGGGGTGAAAGGAGAGATACGTGAGCGAGACCCAGCCGCCGAACGACTGACCCAAGGTCTCCCATTTCTTGTCACCCAGCAAGCAGCGGCGCACGCTTTCAAGATCTCGCACGATGTCCGTCTGGCGAAGCTTCTTGTACCACTTGTTACCGATTTGCTGGGGTACAATTCTGTTATCCCTAGATGGCTTCCCCATGGGAACGTCTCTATACGTCTTGCTCTGCCCAGTGCCGCGGTAGTCGGGGAACAGGATCCAGTAGCCCTTGTCCAGGAGTAGTTCGTTCATTGTCGGGTTGCGATTCGCTTCGTTTTTGTCCATCGGCCCGCCACAGAGGAAGACAAGTATTTTCTTTGTGCGAAGCAGGTCCTTGACGTTCTTTTCAGTGAAGAGGATCTTTTGGACGTCGTCCCCTTTTCGTCCATATAGTAGCTCCGCGCTCATCTCCAGCCAGGCCGTGTCTTTGCCGCCGGGGGTGGTTTCATATGTCATGGGGCAGTCGAACAAGAGCTTCTGGTATAGGAAGCCGTCATCTTGGCGTGTCGCTTTGTCCTGGTGCCTTACTGCCTCGATGCTCTGCAGCGAGGCCTTTAACGTTGATGATTCGGCCGCCATACTGAAAGTGCTGGCTAGTCGCTTGGGCTTGGGGGTAGCGCTTCAGGGGCTTTGCTGACGATTCGTCTATGACTCCAGACTGACTAGGTCTTGACACGAGATTTATCAATCCAGTCAGTTGGGGAGTAGTGTAGCGTCTTGTGCTCTCTCTCCATCTCCAGGTCGCCCGGACTGTGTCCTGCTTTATAGACCATATCCCCATCTTCGACATCCATGTTGGATCAGCTTCCAACATCTACAGCTCAAAGGAATCGAACAGCTTCAAGCCAACCTGTTTCTTGATGGCAATGCCGAAGAATGGGTTCTGTTCAATTACGAGTCCTTTGTCTTCTCTATTTTTATTCATTCACTTTGGGCCACTCGATGCTCTGTGTCACCCTCGGCTGGAAATCTTCTTTGTATCACTTTTGTCCTTTGAGCTAACGTCGGTCCGAGTGACAGGAAGTCTCAAGACCTGAGAAGCCCCACCTCTGTCTCGGGCAGACTTCCTATTTGAACTTCCTTTGTCCTGTGCACAAAATCAGCCGGTCGGGCCTGGTCAACGTCTCCTTTTTGTTGCTTACGCTGCTGTGCGAGAACCAAAGTTGGTTTCGCCATCAGTACCCTGCTCGGATATCGTCGGGCGTTGGGCTTGATCGTATAGGCGCATCACACGAATACAATATTTTCTTTCCGCTTTCAGCTTTCTTGTGAGAATGCGCCGTAGCGCCAGTGCTGTTAGTCTGTCACGCTCCTCCGCATTCAGATGATTCGGAACACTGATCATTCGTTTACAGTTTTCACTACCAACACTGTTTCTGAAGTCGGAATTCTCGCGTAGTCAACTCCATCCATCCAGTATCAAACCTTATGGGTACTTAGACTGAACACCATATAGCTTGGGTGACAACATTCTTATCAGCTGATACTATATACGTCTTGTGGGCACAGATTGAGTTTTGTTTTCTGCCCAATACCCCTTTCTCAGTCATCGCAAAACGCGACTTACTAATAACTTAGCGTCTGTCGTGCCACATCGGTGACGCCCAATCATCTGCTGTCAGTATCACCGCCCCTCGCTGTCAGCCTTCCTGCTCACCGGTTCACTTGGTCTGACACGAACATGTGAAGCCATGTGGGGGTTTCATCTTTGGGACGCTGGGAATTATATCACCAGGGAAGATTCAGGGTTGTACTGAAACATCCTACTCAAGGATGACGAAAGACCATCATGGATCTCGTGCTTCGCCATGTGATCGGGAAATAGAACACTTTAGCGTGGTTCACTCTTTCGGACTTGATTCGGTTTCTATGCTTCGTATCATGGTCTCTTCGAATACAATGTTGCTTGCCTGTACATCGCAGTCCTTCTCTTCACCACCACTGAATTCTCCTCTACTGTCGCCATCCCTTCCGCCGGAGGTATCAGAGTTCCAAGTCTACCATGACCAAACACACCGCCCGGTCCCTGAACAGCGCCAGTTTAATTCATCCAGGCCGTTATGCCATGCCATACCATACGGATCGTCTCTTGGTCGCGGCCAAGATGGAATATTGGTACTCCAGAGGAGTGCGTACTTCTCCTCCCCCACGAACGCTCCGGGTGGGAACAAGTGTGGCATTGATGAACTAACAGATAGGAAACTTTGTGGTAGAATTCAATATGGAAATCCGATGCAACTGATCAACCCCGAAGTCGCACAAGGCGGTGTGACTAGAACAGGGGAAGTTAAAGGTCTCATTCTAGCTTGAATCCGAGCGACGCCACCTCTCAAGAAGTAACTTCGAATAAGGAAACTCTAGGTAGACAGCCCAAGTCCGGGACCCCTGGTCTTGGAGTTAGGTCAACAAGGTAACATCAACCAAAAGCCGCGGTTTCCTTCGGTAACATCCGAAAGTATCCAGGTTGCCGCCTTTCGACTTCCCTACTAGCCGATGGGACATCTTTGGAATCAATTTTACCCGGACTTGACTGCCTTCGTCACAAAACCCATTGCAACCACGCGGTGTATAGGCAGACTTCGCCTGCCTTTTGCATAACCTAGTCCCTGGAACCGACGCTCTGTGATTGCCGCATGCGCCTTGCAGAGAGCTCGACAGATTGCGACTGTCTCGCGTGGGTGGAGACTTCGTAGAACTTGAGCATCACCAAATCTGCAGTGCGGACATTCGTCAAGATACCCTCGCTGCAGTTATGTACAATCAACCCGGGAAACTTGAAGGCCAGGCTGACTGCGAAACCACAGGTAGACCGTACCGGCAGCCGAGGCATGGTAGGCACTCTAATGACACAAGCTTTTGGTATGTATAAGCTTGATAATCCGCCTCCAAAAATAGCGATCTTAAAATACTAGGTAGGCTATTTGTTGTGGCTGGCAGGTGACGTAGCGGTTTCCTCCCTCTGGGGCAAAAGACGTCGCGGTTATCGTCACTTTGCGTGCGTGATGAACCATCACAAGCAAAGGGGATTTGCTCACGATGTTATCTCTTACAAGATGCAGTGGAAAGGGAAACGAAGGGAAATGTGCGGACCTAATGGAGATTTGAACCGTCCATGTAGCTCATATATTGATTCTTCATTGGTGTGTCCAACGGTACCAAAGGTCGGTTCGATAGGAGAGTCCTGTGGCGGCCACGTCGTCACCATAGGTCTGGAATAGCAGCAATGGCCTCCTTTCCGTGGGAAAGTAGCCGCGCCTGGGAGGATTTTGAAATAAAGGTCGCCGTGTCCGCAGAATCAACCAAGTAGTTACCATAAGCATACACATCGTCAGATGTAGAACTGGTGTTGGAATAGCTTGCGCGGTAGCCAGTTCGTTCGTCAATGGCTTCCGAACCGCTTTACTAGCTGTCCGTGGGAATTCTCGAAGGAATCACTCAAAGTGCGAGTCATTCAAGTCCAAAAAGACGAGAAAGAAAGCGCGGGAAAATATGTCTTCTGTATTCTAAAGCGCGTCTTTGTTCTGTTCTTGACTAGTAAGTTACCGAATAGTGAGCCACAAAAGGAGAGCAAGGGGATATGGGATATCAGAGCAAAACAACAAAGCCACATGAATCGTGAACCCCAAGAAGAACCCCAGCGATTTGCCTTCTAACGAATACCTCTTTGAGATGAAAACTCTAGAACCCAAACACCAATGCGATACCGTTGCTCCTCGCACAGCCAAACTCGACTCCAACATCAACACCCAAGCAAGAAACCATCTGAATCCCTGCATAGTCGAGCCGTACAAGAGTGGACCTAGGTTCGATTCCTATCAGCGCCTAGCAGGTACTTTCGCATTTGGCTCATCTTGCATCTCGATTCCTTCGGTGCTGTAAGTACTGTCCGAGGTGAGGAGCTTTCTGGTGTGCTCCTTGAAGATCAGACCGGGGTGAGCTATCGCCAGACAGTACACGGCCAGGACCACCAGCCTACGGAAGAGTCAGCATCTAATCATCAAGTCCAGAAGTCGATGATGTATGAACTTACACCCCCTCAAGCGCGATGAACGGCGCCTCTTCCTTAATCAGCGCCCCATTATACCCCTGCCGCAACTCGACCAGTCGATACGTGCTTCGTATAATGGTCAGGAGCATGGCCGTGAACAGGAACCCGAAGAAGAGCTTCAGCCGGATGCCGATGATGGACACGGCGCGCCGTCCCTGCGCGGAGCGGAAGTAGCGGATGATGAAGTCGATCAGCAGGCTGATGAAGGTCAGGATGGTGGCGACCTGGAACGCCAGGCCGGCGATGGAGAGATCGACGCCGATGTCGTCGTTTCCGGGGTCGGAGGAGGCGGACAGCGCGCCGCCGCCGGCCTGGAGCACGAGTGCGATGATGTCGCACGTGATGAAGCCGAAGTAGAAGACGGCTGGCCGGATGCGGGACAGGCTCGGGGAGAAGTACTGGATGCTGCTCGGAGCGTCAGTTGGCTGCGACGGCGGGCTTGGTGTAAATTTGGGGTCACTTGCGTCTGACCGAGGGTTACGTAAACAGCGCCGCAATACCATACAGGACCTATGGTGATGCAAACTGTTGCGATGATCAGCACGGTACCTCGAACGGTTGAGATGTGGTTAGACTTACTCATCTGGATCAGGAAGGCATTGAAGCTGAAGGGGTTAAAGTATAACCATATGCGTCCCGCGTAGCCAAGACAAGCACAGACAGTCATGACAACCATCATGGACATGAACCACCATGTCTTCCGCCGAATCCCAAGGAAGAGGTGTATCAGGCCGGCAAGGCCGAACAAGCCGATGAACACCGCATTGGCCGGCAGAGATGGTCGATACCCGTAGATGGTCGATTCGATGGGGCATAGGGCCAAGGTACAGTTGGCATCTGAACCGAAGGAGATGAGGCCGTCCGGCAGAACGTCGTCACCCATATTTGTCTTTGTCTATGGATCGGCCAGAGCAGATGGACGGCTGGTCGGTCTATCGAGCAAGGAACGGTCAACAAAGTTGATATTAAAGACCGGAGAGGGCAGACGATGTTGCTGGGAGGGTGGTTCTTAGAAGAACACAACCCCTGATGGACGTTGCGTGGAATAGCAACGCGCCGCTCCTTCAATCCTCGTTTGCAAGCCCGCAAGGCGTCAGGGATGTCGTTGTCTGTCAACTCTGGTCTTCTGATAAGAAGAAGGAGAAGAGTGCTGCCGCGTGATAGCAAAATATGATTGTAAGTTGTTCGATGGACAAGCTGAGCACTCAAGACCTGGGTCGTTGAGAACCGTAACGGTCCAGCCCAGGCGAAGGGCTATGCGATAGCGACCGCCTAGGCCATGGAGCCCGTGTACAATACTCTCTCATGTCTCCGTGTATTTCTATGCAGGTATGAGGCTGACATTGACCAAAACAGGCGTCTAGCAAACCAACGGCCTGAAAGAAAGGCCCTGACTGGCTGGGACCCCCTGCCACCAAAGAGACGGCATATGCAGGATTGAAGGAATCATGGCTCGCGGTCCCCAACTCCGTGTCCGTGCCTCTCAAACCACCGACTCGGGTAACCCATCTCGCCAATTTGGAATGCCCAAGATGCCGTTTTCAGCAGTCCAGACGCGCCCCTTGACGGGGTTTCCCGGCGACAACGACAGGCTGGAGGTTACTCGCCTACTGACTAGGTAGGTAGCAGGTGACGATAAGACGCAAAGGGTTCAGTCATATCTCCAGTGGCGCACGCACCCCGGAATACGCAAAGATGATAAATCCTGGAGAACGCCTCCAACGCCTCCAGGACGGAAGGAGGTGATAGGAAGTCTCCGTGTCCGTATCCTTGAGCCGTATCTGATGACCTACGCGACAAACGCGTTACTAAGACCAGGCGTTTGCTCCCCACGTGCTCGGCTGCGCAACCGAACGACAAAGCCCTATGCCCGACTCTAGATGAATCCTGATTGAACAGAGACCTCTTCGGAGATGCAGCGTAGCATCCGCCCCTGCCACTGTTACCGTCACTGTCACTTGAGACACAGCTCTTTGACGCCTGGGATTGGACAAACGGCACAGGCCAATAACAGGCCGTGGGGTAACCATCCCGTGCCGTGATGTCTGGAGTATCGTACCGCAGATACGAAATCTTCCACGGGGCAGACTCTTCCACCTACGTTTTCCCTAGTCTCCGTGATGTCCAGAAGCAACCTCGCCTGCGAGCTCGGTACGTCCAGCTTCAGCTCAACACAGAGAGCCCATAATCAGTAGTCCCTCCAACGCAGTCGACAGGGTACGGTAATATCGGTTCGGCAGTCGAGCATTTGCGTTGGATAATGAGACATGAGCACGTGCGGTTAGGACGATAGTAAGACATGTAGGTAGGCAGGCAGAGCCGACCCAAGAAAGGTGACCTGCAATCCACGAGTGATACGACAGTTTCCACAACCATTCATTTTCTCTTCTTGTCCAAACCACCGGCTTGGAACGCTCGTCAAGCGCATCTTATGTATATGTAACCACCCCTCGTGGGTTGAGCTTATTATCGTTCAACCACTGATGAAGTTGGTCGCCGCCTCACCATACCTCAGGGGCCGCCCCCGCCCCCCGAAAACTCCTCGCGTGCCAGCAAGATAGACGACTGATTATATACACATATATAGTACGAGCCCAGGGACGTTTGTTATATGCTTAATCGAGCTGTAGATTAGCACAGCAAAGCACTGCGCACACGTGGCGAACTGGTTTGGATCTTCACCCTTCGACAAAGACCTCTGAAGAGGCAGCACCCATTTTTTCTCCAACCACCTTGCAACTCGGAAGCCGAAGCCGCCTCGACTCGTCCTTTTCGATTCTTCACGTCTTCCACCCCTGAACAAGCGAAGCGCTCGAATCGAAGATAAACCTTGTCGCAGAGAGCGCTTCTGCCAACCTCCACCAGCACCTGGAGGTTCCGACAAGGACCGACCCAGGTTGTGTCATCGATGGCTATCTCATGCTCTTCGAATGACTACGTTGCAAGCAGCAAGGTTGGATCCGATCCAGCCGTAAACCATGCCGGAATCTCAGCGTTGCCTACTTCCCAACGACCAGTCCGAAGCACCCCTCTATTCGCGTTTTCGTTGACCTTCTGTCTTCGCGTGACTGAACGATATTTTAGCGCGGCTGGACGATGTTGCCTTTCCCTCTCTCCCTTTATATGCTGCCGCCACGTTACCTGTCTCCGGCTGCTTTTATGCATGCCTGTGCCACTCTCGTAGCGTATGTCTCTTCATCAAACAAGTCTAGGAACCCGACTCTTGCGCCAGACTTTCGCCCCGTCAACAATCTGCCCGACAACTTTCAAGTTTGCTGGCTTTGTGATGTATTCGTCAACACCAGCTTCGAAGGCCGCATCCCTATCCTTCGAGCTTACGAGTCCGGTGAGTGCGACGATGTACGTCCTCGGTATGGCTGCGGCCGCTTCCAGCTTCCGAATTGCAACGGTGGCCTCGAAGCCGGACACCCCCGGCATCGACAAGTCCATGAATATGATGTCGACGCCGCCCGACTGTTGTGTCGCTCGAAATACGTCGATGGCTTCTTGCCCGTCGCGTGCGGAGTGTATCGAAGTCGCGCCGCATTTATTTGCAAACTTCTTGAGTATACTGAGATTTATCGCGTTGTCATCAACGAACAGAAGCGTCGGAAGCTGAGCATCCTCGCTTTCACGTTCTTGACCATCGACGTTCTCCTCGTAACCTCCCAGCGTAGGCTCACGTGATATTGAATTCAGATGCAGACGCTCCGAGGCATAGTTTGGGTCCGCCTGTACGCCAATGGGAACCATCTCTGAAGCTGCACCGTCGACTTCCATAGATCGTGAATGTGAATCTGCAACAGAGCCGGGCGGAGACGAGGCGCGATGGCTTGCGGCAAGCTGGTTGGGATGGAGCGAGTGAGCTCGCAGGCGCTCTACAACCTCGTCGACTTTCGAGGGTGTCACCGGGCCAACAATCCTGTTTTGCAGTGGGCGTGCGTCCGATCTTGCCTGCTTGTCGCTATGCTGTAAAACGAAGACCGGGCAAGATGTGGTACTCCCAATGTTCAAAACAAAGTCATCAACGTCTCGCTCGTCAACCACAACCAGATCGCATGCTGTATCTGGGGTCCAAGTCGTCACCGTCGCTGGTGCGAACAAACGACCAAGCGATTGCTCGACGAGACGCGTGCTTCTCTTTTTTCTCTTTCCTGTCCGCAGCGGCGAACCTGGGAATACTTGCACAGCGAATGGCGCAGGCCCATCGGCACCAACCTCGGCGTCCGCAGTGACAAGAGTTTGAGATCCGGTCTCGAAAAATGGGAGATAAACTTTTACCGTAGTGCCTTCCGAAACGTCGGAGTCTAAGATGACGCTGCCGTGTAGTGCATCGGTGTTTGCTTTCACTATTGACAGGCCCAAACCGACCCCGGCGTCCAATTGGTTCGCTTGAGTGAATGGCACAAAGACACGGTCAGTGAAGCCCGTGGCTATGCCGCGGCCACAGTCCGAGACATTCAATGCGAGAGCTGGCCCGGCCCAATTATCGATTTCGCCGGCATCGGGGTGGACGACATCTACACTGGTGCGTATGCAGCCGCTCGTCGTATGCTGCATAGCATTGGTCTGAACTCTGGTGAGAACACGACGCGCAAGGTATACCTGTAGAAGAGAACTTACCAACAGATTCAAGAAGATGGAACGAAGGGCGGCTGTGTTATTGAACGAGAAGGAGGTTGACGGGATAAGGCCAACATCCAGAAGGACTAAAGGTGATTCAACTCCGGGAGATTCATCAGACCGCAATGTCTCCGCTGGGCCATTGAAAAGGGTTTCTCGGCTTGCCGGTCCCGACACAACCGACGTCAACGATGCTCGCGACAAGACGAAGTCGATCATGTCCTCGAAGAAACGGACAACGTCATGTCGTCCCAACAGCGGCCTATCATCAAGACCTGGCCAGCATACGTCGCTCCTGTCTCGTGGTTTCGCCTTGGCCTTTGCAAGCAGTGGCCTCGTGTGCAGACGTGCGACATCGTCACTGATTTGGGAAAACTCCAGAACTTTGTCAATAGTGTCTAGCAGTTGTCGCCCACTGGATAAAGCGTGAAGTAGGGGTTCGTGTTGCTCGTTGGTATGATCGCCAGCGATCAAGAGCTCAAGGTTACCCAGCGTCCCGTGGAGCGGCGAGCGCATCTCGTGGGAGATGGAACCTATGAAGTCCGACTTCTGTTTCTGCAGAAATTCTTCTTCCACGCGGCTGACTTGTGAGATAACTGTGGTGCAAAAGGCAGATAGCGGTGGGAGATCGCTTGGCCGACTGAACACCCGGCTGTAATCCATAGACCACCCACACGCTATTGATGCTACTCGGTTCTCAGACGAATCCCACAGCGGCGCAAAGAGCATTTGCTGAGCACCGGCAACAGCATTGCCGAGCGCCAGGCCTAACGTGCGCCGCCGCGATGCAAGCTCGGGTGCGTCGCATTCGTGTTCGCCGACCATGACTGGCGGCTCGTCGACTCGTTCGATGAGATGGAAGACCTCGCCGTTAGGCCAGCATTCGACCATGTCGGAAACGAGCGAATCTGATAGAAAGTCAATGGATGAACCAGGCGAGTCGCCGGCCTTACCCAAAAGGCGCGAAGCGGTCAATGACGTGATATGGCCACGACGTAGTGGTACTTCTTGAAAGATGGCCCCCTCCAGGCCAAAGGTTTCCCGCAACAAGTGTGCGGCGTGAGCGTACAGCTTTAACACGGCCGAACGCTTCTCGCTCGCACCCAACGAGCCGGAACGCTGTATTCTATTTAGGCGTTCGGCTACCCCTTCAACCGAACGAGGTGGAGGGGTCGGCGTGTAGTCGAGCATTGACGAGATGGCCTCGTTAAATTTGGAGGCCCGTCGACTATCCAAGGCGAGGACGGACTCATGCAGATACTTCATGACTTCGGCGGCGGTGTCCAGCAGGAATTGTGTCCGGATGGCGTCCAATGGTTGCGCGGCTGGCTGCTCTCGAAAGATAAAGACGGTGCCAATGTTGTGCATGGTGGGCGTCGAGAGCGGCGCCCCAGCGTAGTATCGGTAGCTGGCGATCTCGCCCGTCACAAAAGGCAGATGCTTGGTGTAGTCCTCATACGCCATATCCGTCTCTTCGTAGATCTCTTCCCGCTGCCTCCTGATGGTGCGGATGCAGAGCCCGCCAGCGCTGGACACGGTGTCGCAGCCGTACCACCTGGTCGACTCGAGGGAAGCCTTCGCCAAGGGCAGGAAGGAACGGGAGGCGCCCGATAAGAAGTATTGCTTGTCTTCGTCGAGAAGGCTGATCATGGCGAGGTCGGCGTCCAGTTCATAGACAAGCGCCCGCAGCATGGCGGCGAGAGCGTAGTCGCCATGTCCAGCGTGGAGGTCCGTGTCGCCAGCCCCAACCCCAGCTGTCTCGCCGTTCCGGGCGTAGTGGATGATGGCGGGTTTGACCTGGCAGTACCTTTGCGGCGCATGGCACCGTCAGCGAAAGCGATCGGGAAATAAGGGCTGGTGGTTGTGTCCCGTCGTCGTACTCACTTGCGTACCTGCCATATCCTCCGCCGCTCTTCCATGGCGGCGAAGGCGAAAGGCGATGCCACGATGCTGCGTGGATTGATCAGCCCTCAGCCCCTGCGAGCAAGCCCTCCTTGTTGTACTCGATCCTAGCGCTGCACTGCACTCGCTCAGCCAGGCGACCAAAGGCCATCACTGCTCTTCCTCTTTTCCTTTTTGGCTGGTGGGAAACAATGGAAGATGGTGCGAAGGTGCAGACACATTTGCCACTTCCAGCTCTGCCGCCCCACCTGCTATCGCCGTCCCCGGGCCTCCGCGGAAGGGGCAGCCCCGGGCCACCACCAGAATATTCCAGGCCCATGATTATTACCTAAGGTATGGTTGGGCAGGGAACCTAGCAGTAGGTCCTAAGGTGGTTGCTTCAAGCTTTGTCCACCAGTCTCCTAGACCAGCGTTGGTTTTTAGCCCGTCGACAGCGCCATGCCAGCGCCCTCTAGGTTGGGGTTGGTGTTCAAAGCAAGTGCAGGCGGTGGCAGGTTTTACCTACCTAACCTTAGACCTTTAATGATGGTGGTCTGCTAGCACAGTAGTAGACACTGTGTATGTGGTAGAGATGCCCCATTAATTACTGTCGTGGTGGAGGAGTTCAAACGAGTGGCCAGGTGGCATTGGCTGTGGTAAGAATGATGGAGACTAGCTGCACTGTACAGGCCTAGAGGATCCCGTATCGCTACTGTACTACACACTGTACGACTCATGGCCAATCAAGAGTGTCTCGGACTCTTCGGGCTGTCGGGGGGTTGTTTCCAAAGACTGCCGCCCTCCAGGCTATGCCTCAGAAAGGGCTGCTTGTACGGTTCAGGGGCCCGCTCTAGGTACGTATATAAATAGGTACAGTTCTGTTGCTGCTTAAAATAACAAAGCTTACTAGGTTCTCGTCTACGGTCCTGCTGCTGCCAGGTGTATACCACAGAGTTGTTACCTTGTCTTTGTCTTGAATTTGGATCTCGAGTATCTGAATGTTGAATCTTGACTCTTTTGGTTAAAGTTCCTACTAGACGGACGCCGTCTCTCTGAGAAGGGGCACGAAACCCTGTATACCACACAGTTATCGTTGCCGTGTTCCGTCACTCTCTCTTTTGAATTGTCGAAAATATTCGCTACTGGTATCAGGGAAGAACAGTCCGAGTCCAGCGTTACTTGCTGTCTTTGGAGCATCCAAGTCGAATACCGCGTATGTACATCTGGGAAAGTGAGGAACCGGCAGACCCAATGATGTGCCGATGTCCTGATCCCGAATTCGTGGTTGGTCTCTCCACAATGATCTTTAGTGATCTTCAGACGATCAATCTTGCCAAATTAAATACTTGCTTGGTCTGATACACTCAGCGACCCTGCAAAAATGATATACGTGCAAGCGAATTTATAAATCGAACACCAACTAATACACCACACAACCATGTGAATGGCCAACTTATGTGATGTAGACTGTATTTCATACTGGGAACGAGAAGATGAAAGATCAGAGAATCAACTGCCCTTAGAACAAGTCATCTTCCTTCACAAGCACCGACCGGTTGAGATGTTCCGGCAAGCTCGACCGTATCCCCGCCAGATGCAGCGTCAGCTCCAGATCACCCAGCAACGACTTCAGCACATGCGAGACGCCGCCCTCGCCGCCTAAGACAAGACCATAGATGTACGGCCTGCCCACCAGACACATCTTCGCGCCCAGCGCCAGCGCCTTCGCAATATCCGCACCGCAGCGAATGCCCGAATCAAACAAAACGTCGAGCTTGTCGCCGACGGCGTCGACGATGCGCGGCAGGACCCCCAGGGAGCTGTTGCCCCCATCGGACTGCCTGCCGCCGTGGTTGCTGACCACGATGCCCTGGACGCCGATCTCGACGCACGTCTTGGCGTCCTCCACCGACTGGATCCCCTTGAGCACGATGGGGCCCTTCCAGTGCTCCTGCAGGAACTTGACGTCCTCGAACGAGTGGCTTCGTCCCGGGAAGACTGTTCGCGTCCACTCGGCGACTGCGGCGTTCATGTCCTCTTCGATCTCTTTCCCGTGTTTCTGCTTGAAGTGAGAGCGGAAGACTGGGTCGGTCAGGCCAATGGCGACACCGACCTGGTCGGACCGCAAGAAGGGGTTGTAGCTGAGTTGAGCGTTAGCAGAGTATTGCCCGGAACAAGCTTTTTCTTTCTTTGCTTACCCGTTGTCCATATCACTGGGGCGCCACCCCAAGATATAAGTATCAAGAGTAACAAACAGCGCCGTAAAACCCGCCTTCTTCGCCCGATCCAGCATAGAAATCGTGATATCGTTGTGCTCATTCAATGGCCAGTACAGCTGAAACCACCGCGTCCCATCCCCACTCGCCTTGGCCACATCCTCAATGCTCGTGCTGCTCGCCGTGCTCATGATAAACGGGACATGCTCCTTAGCCGCCGCAGCCGCCGCCGCCACCTCGCCGTCGGGGTTCATGATCTTCTGCACGCCGACCGGCGCGCAGGCAATGGGGAACGGCAGTTTCTGGCCGAGCACGCTGACCGAGAGGTCCGGGAAGCCGTCGGTCTTGACGAGTCGTCGAGGCACGATGGACCACCTCTCGAACGCGGCGCGGTTCTTGCGCGCCGTCTCCCCCGACCCGGCGGACCCGATCACGTAGCCATAACTGTCCGCAGACATGCGCTCGCCGGCGAGGTGTTCCCAATCCAGCGGCTTGAAGGTGAAGGGCGGCCGCTGGTATTTGAGGCCCTTCTGGTAGACGTCGGTCTCGTATGCGATGGGGTCCGGGTCGGCGTTGTTCTCCATGTCCGGGCGCTTACCCGGGTGATGCTGATTGGAGGCCATCTTGGCTGCTATCTCAAGAATTCCTGACTGAGTCGCTGGCTGGCTGGCTGGTTTGGCTGACTTTCCGCGACGTCGTGAGATGTCAAGAGTGTGTTTCGATCAAAGTTGGTAGGTTGCGTCATCTGGAGGGAAACATTGGAAACGGCTTGTGGGTTGGCAGGTTGGACGAATCCACCGAGCAGGCCGGGACTAGGTGGCTTCCATGATGTCATGTCTCCGAACCTGTTGCCGATACCTTATTACCAGTCAACTTGTCCATATCATCGAGATTGCCAGTCGTATCAATTCCGACAGTCGAAGCGTAGTCGAAGGCAAAAGCTTTGCGCGATTCGCGTGACACAATCGTGATTACTGGCAGGCGGGAGATCGCCATTCATCGAACGCAAGCCCATCCGCCCTGCCCCGCCCCGCCCCGCGCCGATCAACTGGCGCAACACGATCGCTAAATATATCATGGAGCCCCTTTTAAAAGCCAAGATAGAAGCCAAGAAAGAAGCCAAGAAAGTCGTGGTGTTTACCCCTGAGCAACTAGTCACCACGTGTCGGTCAGGCAACATACACCAGCTGATTGGTCTTACTGAGAGCTTGGTCAAGCCAAGATATCTCTTCGGCACAAGAGAACTTTAAGTAGATCACGTGGAATAAACCGGCACCATAGCGGTACACGACCATGACGACGAGCAGCACAGAAGGCACTTCTAGGTAGTGTGAAGACCGGGCTACGTAGAGCCTCTCAATATCTTGTCGACATTCTGAACAAGGGGCCGTCGCATTACAAATTCGCTAAGTCTATGGTACAGTAACAAGGTCTACGGTCAAGCCATCGAAAAGGTGTATGTGCGCCTGCGCCGTTCCTCCAGTATCGTTCACTGTTCCGCTCCGTACCCTTATATTTCCAAAACTTCGTTACCGTGAGACCGAGGTAATATCTGCTGCTATATGTGGAGAATAGCCCTACTTCGCCATGACATCCACATAACGTCCTGACTTCCTTGGTTTCTTCCCACTCTTCCGTGGGCCTGCTGCGCCAATAAGGTCGTCAATGCTACTAGCGTTACTAAGACTTGTAGCTGGTCGACTGGGTGGCGCACTGGGGGGACCGCCAGGGGCACTGGCAGTGCTTTGGGCCGAGAAAGATCGACCCATTGGTGGTGGAGCACCGGGAACCATGAGGTTGTCTTGAGAAGCTGCTTTGCTCAATCCCAAAGGAGGGATGGGACGAGCAGCAGGAGGGGCAAATGCAGAATTCCCGTTACCTCCAGGGGGCGCCGTCGTAGAGGCTGCACGAGGTGGCGGCGGCGTTGATGTCTTGGCAGGCGTATTCTCCGCTCCTGATCTCTTGTTGACCCAACGCTTCAAATCCGGATCGTACACAAAGCTACTGGCTTCACCCAGCTTGGCCTTGATCGGCTTGTTGGGCTGATTGAGCTGGTCGGCTGCTTCTTTCTTGCCGCTGCCGCCAAACCAACCCCCAAAGCCCCAGCCCTTCTTGTTTCCCTTCGCCTCTGCTGCTCGTTTTGCTACTCGTCTGTCAGTAATGTCTTGTAGTAAAGGTAACTTAGACTTACCCTCTTCCTCAGCCACCTTGCGGAACATCTCATCGTTCTCGCGATCCTTCTCCGACTTTGACTGATCCGTCGGCCGCAGGGCCGGAATGTCGTCATCGTCGTCCATGAAGCTCTTCTTCTTCGGCTTGTCTTCGGAAATAGTGTCATCATCAGGGCCTGGCTGGTAAGATGGAGGCTCGAAGCTGGAAGGCTGGTATGAAGGGGGTTCATAGCCACCAGTAGATGTGTTTGGTTCGGTAGTAGGTGCCCCAAAAGAGTTCATCGAGGGCGGTGCGTATCCGCCGTATGCAGGAGGCTGATATCCTGAGTCGACACTGGCTTCGTTTGCTTGAGGCTCTTCCTTCGATTCTACATCAGGCGCACCGTAGGGCTGAGATGGACCAGCATGGTCCGAGGGCTGCGGGACACCATAAGGTTGATACCCTGAGAGCGAGTCTCCGGAGACTTGTAGAGACAATGGAGCTGGTGGCGGCCCTTGAGAAGCTGGCATGTACGGCGATGCTCCAGAAGCAATAGGTGGCGTCGGTTGATAGCTGTGGGCTTGTAGCGAGGTGCTATCAGCTGCAGGAGCATAAGGATTGCTATAGGTAGACTCCTGCCTCGGTAGGTCGTAAGAATTTCGGCGTATCTCACCCGAAACCCTCTCCATTGACGACCTAGAAGCTGGAGTATAGGCAGTGGAAGGGTCATATGAAGAGCTCAAGGGTTGGGCCCCGGGCGCGTACCGTGACGCAGCTACATTTGCCGGAATAGTCGGAGAAGGGTCACTAGTTCCGTAAACCTCGAAGTTACCAACCGAGGGAGAACGGCTGATGGTAGGTGTTCCTCCAGCAATGCGTCCGAAAGGGCCGGCTTCGGCACCGGCCTCACCAGCCGCACCACTGCCAGCGGTGTCGTCATCATCACCCGCCACAAACTTGTTGAAACGGTTCCATACACTGCTGGAGACCTGGTCCATCCGGGGTTTGGGGATCCAGGAGGATGATTCTTCCTTTGGCGCCGACTTCAATCGCCGCATGAGGTCATCGACAGAAGACTCCAGGATCGGGTTATAGTACGGGGACCTCTTCGTCTGCGCAGTGATTGCGTTGTATATACCCTCGCAATACTGCAACGCCTTGTCTCTGAACCCGCACTCAGCAAGGGTCATAGCATGCTGGAGTTTGTAGGCAGCCAAGTGAGGGGAGCCCTGGGCGGCAATCGGGCCGCCCGCGAGTGATAACCCATATTCATACACTTCGCTGAGCTGAAGGGCTTCAATCTCTTTGGCGAATTGGTCGGCCTGACGTCGATGGTCGGCTCCTACAAGCACAAAGCTTGAGTTCTGATCGTCGAGACCCCCGAAAACAGCAGTATTCCTCGCAAATATGTAGCAGATGTGGGCTGCCTCCGCCCTGCCATATTCAGAAAGCAGGTTACCAAGTGCCCGCAGGGCTTCGTTGTCACCTTGGCTTCTATTGCTAAGTATCAGGCCCAGTGTTTCCCGCCACTTGTCTAATCCAGCCAGTGCATCTTGAGATGCACCGACAGGGGCCGACGTCGACATCAGCTGGAGTCCTGCCCGAGCATGGGCGGGAACGAGCTCGTCAACAGACTCCTTAAAGTTTCCAGAAAGAACGCTGTAGAGAGCAGCCATTGACTCATTGCCTTGGCCGGGATGGTTCACCTCCTTCTTGATGAACTCTTGTGCGACCTGCTTGTACAGTTCGGCGCTCTGTACAGTGCTTGATATCAGCATGGCGTGGCCCCATAATCTCTTGTCGACAGCCGCCCACACAGCCCCTTCGCGGTCTCCCGAGAGCAGGTGTCTCCGGACTTGTTCGATGGCAGTGGGATCGACAGCATCAGCCCGCATGGCAGTGGCCGGTGAGGTTATTCCCGTCAGATCGACCCCAGCAGATATCGCTGACGAAACCTCTGGACCAGAGGCGTCAAGACCAGGAGGAATGATCTCTCTGACAGCCTTGACTACTGCATCGTTTCCTTCAAGAGTGCCATTGTTTTCGACAAACACCCTCAGTAGTTTCCACAACAGCACTCGCTCGAGAGCTCTCTTGTCCTCGAGTGAGACGTGCTGGTGAAATGACATGTTCGGTAGCGATCTTTCGAGACCGTCAATGCCAGCAGCCAGCCACGCCACGGTCTCCTTCTTCTTCGATTTACCCTTCAGCGGCCCGGGGAACTTGGCTAGGCGTTCTTCCAAGGGATAGATGTCCTTAATATGCTTCACTTGGACCTCGCCGGGGCTCCGGATAATTTGGGGCAACGCAGAGTTCATGCCATATCGCGGAACATCCTTCGGGAAAGATGAGACGAACAGGCCTCCAACACCCCACGCGATCGAGGGAGCACCCCTCCAACGTTGCAACGGATCCTGTTCCCGACCATCGGTAGGAGCGACGAGGTTCAGATGTTGGGACATACCGCGAGCCCGAACAGTAGAACGGGAGCTCTCAGGGTGTGCCATCTCGCGTGGTGAAGTAGGACCATGCACCGAAGATGGACGAGGAACAGGATCCGCCGACCTCCCAGGGGCTCGGCCATAAACCGCCCCGGGAGATTGTGTCTGAGATCGGGGTGGTGGTGCAAAATTGACCTCCTTCGAGGGCATAGTCGATGCCGGTTGTGGCATGTAACTCGACATGGAGCGCTTGGGAGGAGAAAGAGGATTGGACGGGGAAAGGCCCAGAGGAGGCTCGGTTGTTTGTCTGACCAAGCTAGGGCCGTACCTCGACTGCGGTGGTGAGAGGGCAGCCGGGAGTTTCGGAGCCGATTCGGGCGACTTCAGCGGCGATTGCTCTTCGTCAACTTCCTGAGTTGGTGGCAGTGATGCTACCCTGGGAGCACGAGAGTCGTACTGAGAGGAGCTATTCCGATTTAACGAAGGGCCATCGCTATGCATAGGGGGGCTTTGAAGCTTATTGGCAGCTTTTTCGTGTGACACCTCAAAGTGGGCAAGGGGACTCGATGTTCTTGGTTGGTGAGCGAGGACAGGAGGAGGCGGGACAGCAGTATAAGTAGAGCTTGAAGTTCGCGAAATAGGGGGAGCCGGTGAATAACGGGCATTGGCAGCTGGAGGAGGTGGAACCCCATTGCTCCCTGGTAGCTGCGTGGGGGCGGGAGAATACCTGCTGTTCTGCGTGGATGGCATAGGCCTGATCTGGTGGTCTGGCTGCATCGGCGCGTATGGGTTAACCCGTTCAGGGGCAACGAGTGAGGGCATGCCAGGCGCCTGCTCTTGAGAAGGGCGACACTGAGAAATGACCGGTGCCATTGGTGGTGGCACTTGAGAAGGTATTATTAGTGGCTCTGGGGGAGGTGCATGGAGCTGTCCGTAGGGGTTCTGCAGCGGCGAAGCCAGGTTGCTCTGGCGTGAAGCAGGACGTGGTCTTGACGCCATTGGTAGGTCTTCAAAGAAACCAGACTTCGATCGTAGTTGTGGTGCGGGTTTCTGAGCTGCCAAAGTCGATTGCTGGTTTGATTGGCTCGACGTTGGAGGCGACAAGCTAGTATTTGAGGCCGCTGTGGGTGATGGTTGCACATACATGCTTGCACTCCTCGGAGGAGCTGCCGGTGGCGGCGCCATCGCAGTCGTCACATTTGACCGAAGATGTTGCGTACTAGGCCGCTTCTTCGGCTTGACGACATCCATGGGAAGATCGTACGGAGATTGATATCCGCCTTTTGATTTACTGGCGAAACTTTGGGTCTTGGGGAATGCAGGCTTTTGCGGAGGTTGACCGTAACCCGTTCCCATCGAAGTAACTGTGCCTGTGTGGCTATACGCAGTGTGCAGTGGTGGTGGCTGCATTTGTGGAAAGACTCCCGCAGGTGAGTAGGGACTCGGAGTTGGTTGCCCTTGACGCTGGAGATTTTCTGGGGCATAGCGTCCGTTCAGGGTCGGCTGGGAAGGCAGCCCGTTTGTGTTGGCATTTGCAACTGGTTGCGGTACAGCGGTCGTGGTCGACGCCGGTGTTTCTTCAGTGTCCTCCAAGAATCCCTCGTCATCGCTTCCAAAGATATCTGCAGGATCAAGCTCTTTCGACTCGGTAGCGGTGTCAACTAAAAATTCGTCATCGTCATCGTCGCCAAAGGCAGCTGCCCATTTGGCATCGAGATCGACAGTCTCTTCCTTGGCCTCGTTCTCCTTCTCCGGTACGGACACAGGGTTTCCATTGACATCCAACTGAGTAGGTGTCTCCAAGGTGTCCGGCGCTTGTGGTAAATCCTGTTCTGTCGGTGTTGGGGGCTCCGAGTCCACGTCGTCTGCCTCCATGGGATCCATGGCTTCCCCAATCACCATAGTAGTAGATTTTCTTCTAAGCGCGCGGTCGAAGAAGTCCTCCTCTGGTGACTTGGAGCCACTTTGAACTTGGCTGAAGAAATCATCTCCACTGTCGCCGGCTTTTTTCTCTGCGAAGAGATTGGTGGCATCTGGCTGGCTCGGCTCGTCCCTCGTCTCTGGTTCCTGCTCGTCGTGTGAGATCAACGGTAGACCCTCTTCAAATCGGGACTCAATCTCTCCTTCATCCGTGCCCACAAACTGCTGAGAAGTACCCTCGTTCGTTGCTTGTTGGTTCCCCTGGCCGTCTCCAGGAGCTCCGGGGGAACCAGAAGGATCCAGGTCTTCACGGGACTCTTCTTCCTCCACTTCCTGGATAATCTCTCGAGCCTGGCTTGACGGGGGCGGGTGATCGAACTGCTCCTCGGTCGCGGTATCCAACCGTGGCACTACCGGAAAAGAGTTCGTTCGGTCATTCGGTGGCATAAACTTGAATGGGTCGGTATCGGTCCGCTGTAAATCCCACTCGGCATCTTCATCGTCGTTGAAGCTCATCTCGTGAGATACGGTCCGGGCGAAGGAGACGGTACTGGAATGTTTCGCAGCATTTGCTGTTGGCACAGGCTCTGGTTCGATGGGGGCAGGTTCGTCAGCGGGTGCAGGAGCTTCGTGATGTTCAATCATTGGGGCCGGTTCTGATGCCGGTTCTGGTGCCGGCGCAGGCTGGGAGAGATCCCACGCAGAAGCTTCGGCGTCGCCATCATCGTTGAATTGATCGAGAAATGCACCTTCGTTCGAGCCTTGCTCCTCGAGGTGTTCTTGCGGTACCGGTTCGTCTGCTGTCTCTTGGTGGACTTGTTCAGGTGGCTTCTGGTGATTTTCGGGCGCAGTGGGCGGCTGACTAGGCGACTCGTGGACTGCCGGTTCGATTTCGGGTTCGAGTCCGGGTTCGAGTCCGGGTTCGAGTCCGGGTTCGTGATCAGTCGGTTGACTCGCAGCCTGACTGGGCTGACTTTCGTCATGATTATAATTTGGCATCATGGCCGGGTGCCACGATGCGGTTGGGGTATCCGACTCCATAATGATCGCAAATTAAACAGACATGGACATGGACATGGACATGGAAAGCCCAGTCGAAAGAGAAGGATGTACTGGAATGGCTTCACAAAGTCAGCCTTGTGGTCTCGATTCTGTCATGAGACAGCGACGGGCTGAACGTTGAAGCGCATGCAACGGCCAGTGAAGGCGACGGGGGCAAACAGGTAAGGGGGCCACGGTGCCGGCGCGCGCGCGCAAGGGAGGACACATGGCACCTAGACACAACGAATCAGGGATCAGGCGGATTCAACTCACTTATTATACAACTGGGAGACGTGGTGAATGGAAGCGTCTATTACAGGCCATGCTCCATCTCGGATCGGATGGGTTTGCGATGGTAAGAAAGGGTAGGGTGTCTTTCTTGGAAGTGAGAAGGCGGGTGGCAGATCCACAAAGTTGACAAGGAGCTTGGTCCAAGGTGAGGTCGTCGATGCGTAGCGTCAGCGCCATAAGCGCAGCGTGGCTTGAAACCTAAAATGGCCGGCGGCCTTGGCACGCGAAATCCCGAGTCCCTGCCAAGCATTTAACCTTAGGTATTCTGTCAAGCTATGGATCTTAACTCCGAAGCCTCAACACCACATGAAAATCAAGTTCAACCGCCCATTGTCTTCAATGTAAAGCAGACAGGACTGCTAGAATTTCAATGCTAATATATAATAGATAAGAGCATGCAAGTGCTTGGATGAGCAGCCACGACATCTTCAAGCTCCAACTAATCTCCCATACACTCACTACCTCACGTCCCTCAAGGTGCATCAGGGCAGAACATTGAAAGCATCATCACAAGCCACACAAGTACATTCAAGTGGTGTCAAGTGGTGGCTTGCTCGCCGAAATAGTATGTCTCATAGCACTCTGCTGTTCATTCGCATGTACACTTGCTGTAACTATTGGCGGTCTCAAGATCCCTTTGTCAATATCACTATAATCAACGCTCTATGAGCCCCAGGCCATGCATGCTAATGGAATGGGCTTGGACGATAGTCGGTTATCAGCCAAGATGATGTACCCTGTCCTCCTGGATAATGTACCCCTTTCTTCTGCGCGAGAACTCTCTTAATGCTGAGTCGCGGCTCGCAGCCTTTCCAAGCTCGTCTCATAACACGCCGGAACCCCAGTCTCAGAAAAGGGGCACCCATCCTCCATCACCTTGACGAGTCCCTTCGCGCAGAGCAGCACATTGGGCATGCCATATCCCTCGAACCCAGCACAGATAAGAAGACCAGGCTTCCCCGGTACCTCCCCGACATGCGGTGCCTCGTCCGTGGTATTCTGCAAAAATCCCGATCAGTTACGATACGTTTCAATGCCCACAAGTCACCCAAACGCATGGATCACAGCACCGGGCATCCCTCCCCGGCAGGCTGGCTTGCGTAGGTACGGTACAACTCACCTCCATAATCCCCGTCCAGACCTTCTCAACCCTCCCCTCCACGTCCTCCCAGCCCAGCAGCATCTTCCCCGCCCAGGCCGCGAAATACGGCACCGCCGGCTCGATCAGCGACGCGTCATCCACCGTCCGCAACCACAGCCCCTCCTGGCCTGGGATGCGAAAGCTGCTCCGCGCGCCGCCGACGATGACACTGCCGTCGAGCTGCATCCCGTAGTAGCTCTCCATCGACCCCGGGCTCCTCACACAGATGCCGCACGAGGCCAGGGGCTGTCTCGGCGGCGACGCTGAGTCCGATTCGGAGGAAGGGACGGCGGCTACTGGCACGATTCGCGCGCAGGTCCCGCGGTTGGTGTAGATAGCGTGCTTGTATTCCAGCAGCACAGCGCCCGTGTACGCATTCGTACCAAAGACCACCCGCCGCGCTCTCGTCGACCCGCGCGGCGTCTTCAGTGTCCAGTAGCCGTCGGGGTCCGGCGTCTGGGAGACCTCCTGGACCGACGTGTTCGTCTGCAGGTTGGCGCCATTCGCAATATCGAGCGCGAGGAGGTGCATCACCATCTTATAAGGCCTGGTAAGACGTCAATTTTGCAGACGACAGCAGGATAGAAGCTTGAGTATGGTTCCGCATACCATATAGTAGCAGCCGGAAACGTAAACAGCGCCCACGCCCCCTTGACCCCCGAGACGCTCTCGGCGTCCTCGGCGCCGTGGTACGTGACATGCTCCAGCGTCGGACACCCGAGTGCTACCATCTCATCGTACAGTTTCTTGGCCTTGGCCCCCTCGGCGTCGTCCACGAACGCGCATCCCGACGTCACGGGCGTGAGGTCGCATGCGATGCCCTCGTCGCGCACGAGCGCCGTCACGGCCTCCGCGTTGGCGAGCTCAAAGAGGCCGACTTCGTTCGCGATGGCGAGGCCCCGCATTTGCAGGCACCTCGCCACGCCGCTGAAGACGTCGGGGCGGAGGTGGCCGCCTGGGTGCGCTGTCAGTCAACGTGCTCGACATGGATTGTACGAGCTCGTGGTCCATTGGCATAAGGAGGTAGAAGAGTCTGTGTAGGACGCACCATTCCGACCAGTCGCGCCGGAGCAGGCCTGTCTGGCCTCCAGGATCGTGACGCTCGGCTTGGACGGGGTCGGGGCTATCCTTCAGCAGGTAGTAAGCCAGCGACGCGCCCGCAAAGCCGGCGCCTACAATGACGATGTCCTGTTTGTCGGGTAGCTCCGGCGTGCTGCGATGGGAGTCGAGATCGTGGAGTTCCGTCCGCCAGTGAGGGAGGGTAGAGTTGGGTACGGGAAACATGATGTCCGGAGTAGGTATCGCACTTGACGCAGCTAGAGTTGATGAGAGGTTTGGCACTCAGAAAACCCGATCATGATGATGAAAAGGCGGCGTATGGCGTATACTAATACAGACCCGCCATCGTCTGAGACTCGTCAGCACGCACTCATCGTCACCAGATTCGCAATGCCCAACACGCGGCTGCTCGGCTTCGGCTTCGGAAAGGCAGTTCCCTAGCTGGACTCCTGTAGGTCAAAGTGGAACCCCTCCGGATGCACCTATCATGATGTAGATACCATCCTGCGTACACCGGAACAGGGCTGACAGGGAAACCAGCCTTCCCACAAATGGTATGCGCCGATGCTGAATGGCGGCGCGGGTGGCAAAGTCCTTGGTCGACTTCGGATGTTGACCATCCAGGACCGCACCCCTAGGTCCGCTCGCAATCACAGCAAGAGGAGACGTGTGCGGCCACGTACGAGGACAAACGTCAACGGATGTCGAAGCCTCTGTTGTGACTCAGAGCTCGATCATACGCCCAACTATCAAGCTCATGTCTTTGAAAAAGCCGGCCTCAGCTTGTGCTGTGCCGTCATAATGGCCAGACACTTGGCAAAGATGAGTATGCCGATGGCGACCAGGGTCCCGTAGCACGCAATGAGATGCGAAACAGCTCAATGCCGGGCTTCAAGTAAATACCAGGATTGGTAGGTATTTGGCCTTGTTATGGTGATATACAATCAGTTTAGGAACGCCGACTCTATGCTGCACAATGCCTATAATGCCTGGCCAGTGGGTATACCAAAACGCCATCGCCAAAATCAACCGCCGAGGTGATATTCACAACATAGACAAGTTCTATGTTCTCTGCCGCTTGTTGGAGGGTCCGCCGAAGCCCGAGTTCTCCCGCGACCTCTTCCTCTCTAGTTCGGCCTTCATGATACGTTCCGCCTCGCTCATCTTCTTCGGCTGTTCGAAAACCGAAGCTTTCTTCGGCCCTCCTTTCAGGGCATTCTTCTTGGCCGCAGCGAAGACGTTTTTTGTTTGAGGTTTTTCGGTCATCTTCATGGAGATAGGTGCAGCAGCAGGTTTTTCCGTAGATGCAGCTTCGCTTGGAGCGTCTGTCGGCTCTTGCTTTGGTGCCTCGCCCTCTTTGTCTGGCGAGTTCGATGTAGGCGCATTCGGTTGCGCTGTCGACGAGCCCGCGTCTGATGATGGCTTCGGTTTCGCGCCAAAGGAGAGCTTGACCTTCTCTCCATCTTGTCTCTTCAGTTCCCTGTCTGCTGTGTCTTCAGCATCGTCCTCCTCGCGGTGACCGGCATCCTTCTTCGCGCGACGTATTTGCTCCCGAAGCATCATCTGCTCGCGCTCCTCATCACCCTTATCTTGCTTCTCCTTCCTCCGTATAGCCTCCTTCCTGCGCAGCGCATCGGGTGAGTCGTCGATCCAGGCGATGTGAAGGCCCTTCTCCGTCTCTTCGACTCGGCAGATACCTTCCATTCCCAGGTGTTTCGCGAACTCGGTGAGCGACGGCCATTTGGTGGCGTTCATGTGGACGTGTTCCTTGTTTGCGATGTAGTTCTGGTAGAAGTGGTTGATCTGCACCTGCTTCTCGCCGTGACTCGTGCGCAGCAGGTGGACGAAGTCCTTGAGGAACTGGTTGCTGTAGTCGCTGAGGAACTTCTTTGTGTCCTGGCCGACCAGCAGCATTTGGCGCACATGCGCCTCGCTCATCGTGTGCTGCTTGAATCCATTCTCGTCTCGCATTTGCCGCTCGCATACCTGGCAGTACCATCGCAGTCGCTGCAAGCCTTTGGCTTTCATTCGATTGCTCAGGTCCTTCGTTGAGCCAGCTTCTGCTTTCGGCATGACGGCGGTTGTAGGAGGACGACCGGAGTTGGTAGTCCTTTGGCTTCTCGTGGGTTGCTCGAATGTTCAGTTGCGTGCGACGCTGGCACAGTGGGAGTCAACAATCAAAAGAGGTTCGAGATCCACAGCGAAAGGGTTGGCAAGTTGGCGAAGGGTGGCGGCGGCGAGTCTATCGATAAGGTGAGGTCCTGCAGCTGGTTGCCAGCTGACGCAAAGTTAGCCGACGTGCTGCCATTGATGCCCCTGAACGTCAACCACTCACCATTACTTGATTCACTTCGAACGAGCTACCTCTGAAAAAACCATAATAGCCATTATCAAACGATACGAGAAATCCCGATTTCTATTGTTCTATAATTCCACTCCTCTACATCAATTCCTCCCAGTTGACGTCCACGATGCTTGTTCCTCGAACCGGTAGCTTCTTCTTCTGACTCCGAAAGAAAATGTATCACTCTTGCTCATCTAGCGCGCCCTCCCTTCTTCTCCTTCTTCTGCTTCTTCTGCTTCTTCTGCTTCTTCTGCTTCATCGCCCCTGATTGTGAAAAGAAAATACTGGAGCTCTGACTCCGAAAGAAAATGTATCAATCTTGTTCATCCAGCGCGCCCTCCATTCTTCTTCTTCACCGCCGATTGTAAAAGGAAAGTACTAGAACTCTGATACCGAAAGAAATTGTATCAATCTTGCTCATCCAGCGCGCCTTCCCTTCTTCTTCATCTATCCCCAACATACGTCTGCCACGCCATGTCTGACACAGCACTAGTGTCGTCGTCTACCTCTTTTGTTAGACCCTTCCGGAGACGATTCTCTTCCGTGCCGCCCATGACCTCGTCGGTGCTCCTCGGAAGAACTCTGTTCTGCTGCGGGAGCCTGGAGACCACCCGGATACTCGTACTGCGTCGTGGCTAAACTTGGGCCTGCCAGATAAGGATTTACTGAATACCCAAGGTGCGAACTCCCGTCGTACCCTGCCAGGCCTGAGCCGACCACAGGCGAAATGGGGTTGGCGATTGCATTCATTGAATACGAGGGTGTAGACGAATAGGGGCTGGGGTTGAAATTGGTGTTTGTATTCACTGAATACGAGGGATCAGTACCTCCGTACTGACGTGTCCGGTCGCTGGGCTGCCGACTGCCAGGCCCGAACCACATTTCTAAGCTCTCGGCGGCCTGCGCGCTCAGTGGGCCCTGGAAGTTGTGTCCAAATATTGCAGCGTTCGCCAGCGTCTGTTGGCCCGGAAAGACTTGATCTGTGTACGAGCCAGAGCTAGACTGCCCATACGGGTCCCCGTACTGCATTTGGCCTCCATATTCGGGGGGGTTGGGCATGGCTGAGTGGAGGGCGTTGGCCGTGGCTCGCATTGCGTTGATAGCTGATGAATCGTAAATCCTCGTAAAGCCATATATTGCTTTGAGAACAGCCCCGATCGTTCTCGAGAAACAAGCGTCTCTCTGCTCTCTGGTTTCGAACCGTGGTGGTGCTAGAGCGTTGCCGCCGCCCTTGGAGACCTGCACAGCTGCCGATGCCAAAGCTACATGATGGTAGCGGCCGCCGTGCTGGGGGCAGAGCTGATCGGGGTATACTGCCGGCGCCATGAGAGCCAGCTCCTCACAATCGAAGCGGGCTTTGAACCCGTTTTTGAACGCCCTTTAATGAGATTTGCAGTTCTTGCCAAGTAGGTTGTTCGCCCCATCCTTGTCTATCTCACCAGGCAGAACGACCAGCCATACACCATTGACCAATTCTGGATCCGCGGCACATTTAGGGCATTCGTAGATAATTTCTTGAACAACGCAGCGTGCGGTAACGTGTTCGCCTGCCCATAGGCTCGGAACCATATCTGCAATTCTCGCAGCATCGTGCAAGTTTCCGGTTGTCAGGAATATGGGGTCGTCCTCCTCTTTCAGTCCTCCATGTCGCTTGCATCTTATGACTTTGACAATAGGCAGCAACTCGTCCTCGCGCCTGTATTTAGGGCACATTCGTCGGTCGTCACGCCCGACACACTCTTTACGCAATTGGCCGATGCGTCCTCCGTGTTGGCAATAGCCACCTTCCTGGTAGAATCTCCTAGTGGCTTCGTCTCTGTGGCCAGACTTCACCGTCAGCCATATACCACCTGGGATTATATCCAATTTATCGCATGCAAGGCACTTGTACTGGACAGTCCTATGGTGACAGACAGTGTAACCGCGGATCCCAGACATTGTTCGTTTGTCAGGTAAAGTTGTGGTCGGGAGTCGTGCCGAGGAAACCGTGTCGTACGTTAAAAATGGTCGAATTAGAGTAGGTTAGGCTGATAGTGTCGGATGCGCTTTTGGTACGTCAATGTCTGGAGTACAGCAGAGCGGTCGTTATCTTTATACTTGGAAGACCACGCGAATATCCCATGTGCCTTGCCACCTGTTCGTACAGGTGACACGACCGAAATAACAAAGAAAGGGGGTGATTCAGCGACTAGAGTCTGTGGTCTCCTTCGATTCACACAACTATCGTACATGTGATTTGTTGACTAGAGTTTGCGTTTTTCTGCGATTCAAACGAGTATCGTACCTGTGATTCACAAGCCGGTAACGTGGAGTCGCCGTCTGAACTTTTTCATCCCGACTTCAGCACCGAGACCTGATGCGGGCAGCTATGCGGAAGGTCACTCAAATAAAGGCAAACTAGGGGACATATGTGACGGCCCTGATGACCAAGAAAAGTTCTTTTAAGCAAACATCCAGGTACTATCCGATAGCAGCGAGGCAAGCCAGGAATAAGAACAATGAGGATGATGTGGAAGTGGTGTTCATCCAAAATGCCGCTAGAGCCTGGACCAACTGTAACATCTCCCACCCCCCTGCGGACCACCCCCCCCGCGGACCAGCGCGTTCTGACCCACAAACGCGTAATTCACCAACCACCAGGATTATGGTGATCCACCATCTACACCATCACTTTTGCATCTTTTTTTTCACAAAGCACACTATTTGAATCCTTATCCACTGCTGAATCTCATGATGTCATTTTACGACCGTCAAATAAAAGCTGAAGCCGCCATTTTGGCCATCCAACGCGGAGCTCCAGTCCGCTCGTCAGCCCTCGAATGGCAAATCAGTCACTCGTACGTCAACCGACGAATCTCTGGCACCCCAACGCGGAATAAGACCAGCGCTCTCCAATAGGCTCTCTCACCGTATCTCGAACATAAGCTGGCAAGCTGGGCCCTGGGGCAAGCACGGCTAGGGTATTCTCCGGCGGTCTCTAAGTTCCGTCTCATGGCCCAGCGGATGCTCCATGCCACCGGGGATGCTCAAGAATTAGGGAAAAATTGGGCATCCAAGTTCCTGTCTCGAAACCTGGAAGTCAAGATAATGAAGTCTCGTGTTATCGACTACAACCGAGTGAATGGTGCTATAGCGGCAAATATCAATATTTTTTTTGATCAGTGTGACGCCCCTGACGTGGTTAACCTCATGCCAGCACGCTGGTACAACGTCGACAAAATGGGAATCGCCCAGAGGGTTGGGGACTCCCATTGGGTGGTCTCCGAGGCCTCTGGCAACGTGGCTATGAAGAAAGGGGTCGAGAAGGGTGAATAGATAACTGCCCTAGAGTGTGTGAACGGATCTGGTGAGACCTTGCCGCCGCTGGTGATTCTTAAGGGGGTTAACGTACAAGCCCAGTGATTTAGCAACCAAAACAAGGGCAAATTCACCGATTAGAGGTTTATTACGTCGCTTAATGGATGGACCTCGAATCCCATTGCGTTAGAATGGCTTCAACGTATCTTTATTCCTCACATTCGGGAGGTCCACGGCAACACATGGGTGGTTTTGGTGTGTGATGGCCACGACTCCCACACGAATGACGAGTTCTAGCCACCTGCTTGAGAAATAAGGTATGGTTGATCTTTTATGAACCTTACTGCTCCCATGTAGTCCAGGTATTAGATGTAGGAGTCTTCAATTTGGTGAAGAAGAGGTTGAAGACCTTACTCCAGGAGACGCCCAGCGGCCGTCTGGGACTCAGGCCATCTAAGGAGGAGGTTTTGGAGTGCTACGAGCAGGCCCGGAAGGACACAATGACGCTCCTCAACATCAGAATTGCCTGGAAAAAGACTGGGATTGTTCCTCGCAACAGAGTGGAGGCATTGAAGTCAAAATATGTGATTCTGGAGGACAAGGGGGTGGCCAAGGCACGCCAGAGGGACCCTAAGGCTTCCGAGCGAGCCACAACACCAGATTTTCTCGAGATGGTAGCTAAAACCATTATCACAACACCCTCTGGAAGCCAGGCTTTGCGGGAAAGTGCTCGAAAGCTCGAAAGAAAGGACCCTTCCTTTGGGGGGCCTTCTGAGCGCTTGTTGGTACGGAAGGCTGGCAAGGCCATGGATGTTCAGGCTGCTACCATTACAAATCTACGGGCCAAATGTGAGCTACTTGAGGCTCAAGTGGCTAAAAAGGCTAATACCACTCGAAAAGCAGTCAAACCAACACCAGGGGAACGATTCGTCACAATGGCTAATATAAGGGAGGCCAAAATAGAGCTGAGGAACAGGAGGGTCTATAGGGACTCCGCTGCAGGCGAAGAGGTCCCATAAGAGGTCTCTGGTGAAGATTTAGGGTCGGAATCGGATTCTGGGAGCTGTATTATGGTTAGAACACCACGACCTTAGTGTATTTAGCAACTGTGGTGGTTGTAGATGGCTTCATCTGAATGAGAGTGGTGTGGTGTGGAGTGGTCCGTGGGGGGGTGGTCCGCAGGGGGGGGGTGAGATGTTACCCTGCAAGATATTACCTACGGAGCCCAACAAGATATCCTACACCTCTCTGGTTATACCGAAGTCACGGGATATGCTAGGCTATACGAGGCTCGGCTATAGGTTTATTTTTCTTCTCGGGAGCTCTAACCTTCTCATCAACGAACGAACACGTGTATACGTGACGAAAAGCCACACAGCACTGCCCACAATCATCTTCTCTACACGCGCTCCTGCTCATACCTGGCCCAAGCCTCCCCAGCGGCCGCCTTAGCATCAAATCCCCAAAGCCACTCCCGAAAGAACGGATCAGCCAAGAAATTGGGATACCCAGCGCTGGGAACCTCGTTCAGAAACTCCCTGTCTCGCTCGTCCTTGAGAGGACCATCAGGCAACTGCCAGAGCCGGCTGGTCTTCAGACTCGCCCTGACGACGTGACCGGTTCTCTCCTTGCGCAGCCGCTGATAGACGTCGAGACAGTCGCGCACCTGCTGCTCGCTCTCGGTTTTGCCGAGGAGATGCGCGAGTATGGAGGCAGATTCGAAACCTAGCGCTGCGCCTTGTGCTCTCAAAGACACGCGCGGAAATTCAGTGTTAGCTTGCCAATGCTTCAAAGGGGAAGAGACCCTCCTAGCACTAGCGACTTCGCGCACAGCTCGAAATTAGATGACCTGGCAAGACTTACAGATACGGCAAAACCTGATGCGCAGCATCCCCAACGATGCATAACCTCCCTGACGGATCAAGCCAAGGCGTCTCCTCGCCATCGCCCGGGTGCTCAAAGAACATCCAGCGCAGCGCATCGCCCCCAAGCTCCATCAGCTCGCGCAGATCCGGCTCCCAGGCCGCCAGGCCCTTCTTAAACTCCTCAAAGTCGACCTTCTGCGGGCCGAAGAACGCGTCTTTTGGGTCAGCCGACCACGGCCACGTGAACGCGATGTTAAACGTGCCGTCCCTTTCAACAAACCAGAGTTAGCAATTCCTCCTTTCAGATGCTATGAAGAGAAGCAAGGAGCTGGGATGCGTGTCTCGGAGCGACGTCTCCTAAGGTAGTTAGATGAGGGGATTCGCTCTGAAGGCGTAACCGTAAGGGGTAATGAAAGACTCTGAAATGCACTAACAGTCCGTACGTCACGGCCTGGCCCCCGGGGCCCAGCCACACGACGATGTTGGGCCGCTCGATCAGATGCCGCAGGCGCGGGCGCGCCATGATCGCCGCCTCGTCGACCAGGATCCGGTTGACCACCTTGCCATGCGGCACCACCGCCGGCTTGCCCCCCGTCACGGCCTCGCGAATAACCGAGTTGGCACCGTCGGCGCCGACGACGAGGTCCGCGTGGATGATCTCCTCGGACGGACCGGCGAGCCGCAGGACGCCGCCCGCCAGGTCCACGCCCGCGACGTCGATGCTGACGCCGTGCCGGATTACGACACCCCTCGCGATCGCCTCGGCGTACAGGATCCCGAGCAGGCGAGCGCGGTGAATCGTCACGACGGGTGCGTCGTACTTTTCCGTGGCCTGCAGGAGGTCTTGCGTGTGCAGCACTTGGCCCGTCTTGTACTCCTTTAGGATGATGGCCTGCGGGAGGATGGACACGGCCCGGACCTTGTCGTAGACGCCGAGGTCCTTCAGCACGCGCAGGGCGTTCGGGTGCAGCTGGATGCCGGCTCCGAGCTGCGCATCGCTTGTCAGCGATCGTGATATCGTGATATGAAGTTGGGGGTAGGTAACCCTCACTTACCGTGCCCAGAGTCAGGTCTTTTTGGAGAATTGTCACCTTGAAGCCATGGCGGCGCAATAGGATGCCACAGGCGAGTCCCACGAGGCCACTGCCAACGATACAGACGTAAAAATTGGTGCGGAACTCAGAATTGGTTGTCATTGTGAATGAATAGGTTTATTCATGGACAACTTGTCTTAGTCGCCTCTCATGTCGAGGTTACAGGTAAAGCAATTGATACGGTGTTGCTTGTCCCCAGACGTTGTTGGTGGGTATAGGTGAGAGCTGGAGCTCACCCCTTGTAGTAATATGCTTATCTTCCATTGGAGACATACACAGCTCACGTAATACTGCAAACCCACTTACAGAAGCTCTGGCAACCTTTCTTATGCTCGTCAAAGCTGAACGACTGGTGATGCTATATTTTGCACATTTATTTGATCGCCACAGAATCATGACCAACTCGTTTCCCCCCCCCCCCCAATTCAAGGAGATTAATCATCTCTTCGAACGAGTGGAACTAGCACCCCAACTGTCTTTACATGAGGCCGTGCTTGACGGAATGATGGGTTTCAGAGCATTTTCAAGTTTCTACTAAACAATGATTTCACTTGTCCTTATTGAATACCTGCCAATATGTCCATGACGCCCATTTAAGCTCAGCTATGGTACAGTACCACAGGCTCAAGTACTGTGCCCAATGAACGGCCCCTGTTCTCTTCGTCAGAGAGCGGATGCCCGAGGAATTTATCTTGACCCATACTGGGCTCACCTTCATCCGCCCTTTCACGCCTCGATAGCTTTTCTCTGCACATCCTGCAGTTCCCCCCCTTCTCCTTCCCCACTCTGCAGTTTGTAGCAGTACTCTGCCACAAGAGCCAACACCGTCGTACCGCTGACCAGCAAGCCCCCCCACGAGAACCACCAAGCGCATATATCCGGCCTCGAGCGCTTCACCGTCTTGACCATAGCTGCCAGCCAGAGCGCGTTCCCACCCGCCGCGCCGATGAAGTAAATCGGCGAAAAGCCTGCCAGTACGCCGGTGGCAATCAGGCAGCCCACCTGTGCCGCTCCCATAGCCGAAATGAAGATGTCCGTGTTCTGGTAGCGGACAGCCATACTGCGCACGCCCGCCTTGATGTCGTCGGCCGTGTCCTGGCAGGCGTTGACGTAGTCGAAAACGGTCGTCCAGATGTAGTGCGACATTGCCAGCGTCGCAGTCGCTCCGGCGAGGGCCAGCGTTGGCATGTGGAAGGGGTCCATGCCGATGGAGGCGGCGGCCATGAGGATACCACCGGCGATGGGCGCGCTTAGAATGAGCTGCGGGAAGTCCGTAAATCGCTTGCCCAGGGGATACACGCTGACGAGGAACTGGATCGGAACTGCGTATGCCATGGCGAGTAGAGGGTTGGGCAGACAGGCAATGGAAGCACCGACTATCACGGTCTGTGCTGCGTACCAGACGTAGCCTTGCGCCGGTGTAACGGCGCCACGTGCTACCGGTCGACTTCTGCACCGCGCCACTTGCCTGTCATAGTCACGGTCCAGCACATCGTTTATAGTGCAGGCTGCGCCTCGCAGGAAGACGTTATACATGAGCAGTATTCCAGCAGTGCCGGCGAGAGTTGCTGGCGGCACCATGGGCGTAACCAGACAAGCTCCATATCCAAGGCCGATCAGATATGCCATGTAGAACCCGTATAATCCCCCTGGCTTCTCAATACGCATGAGCTCGGCATAGGGTACCCATTTGGGAGGCAGTTTAGACAAGATGCCCTTGGTAGGTGGGAACCATGGTGGGTATCGGGGGTCAAATGTCTCTTGCTGTGCTTCTGCAGGCTCTCTGGTATCCGGGTGATGTGCTTTCGTGCTTTGCAGCCTCTCAGATATCCCCGGCACTAAAGCTGTTGCGCGTGCCCTCCAGAAGACTAGCTGGGTCCTATTTGAGGCCGCTGGCGAGCATTGCTGACATATTAACGAGTTACGGCCGGTCCGCTGGGCGAGTTTGAAAGAGAAGTACCGTGGAGATGACACGACTCTGAAGCGAAACAGACTCGACAAACTCATTGTCGGCAGATGCAATTCGTGTTCGGCAAGGTGTTCATCTCATGTGAGAGAGAAAACGAAACGGCCACCAACTGTCAAGAAAAAGGACCACGGAGTGGTACAGACGCTGATTAAGAGGGGCGAATGTACTGGCCTTACCAGAGAGCAACCCTCCACTTTGAGGTAGAAGAGACGGGAGGAACTGTTTATGTGACGTGTGAGCCAAAGGGAGATGAATAGCAAGTAGCTCCATATTGTCCTTCAACCGACACGTGAGGGACAGCGAATGTGTGTCGTCAAAGCGTGCTGTGCATCGCCTCGCCCTGGGTCCCATGAAGAGTGACGTTCCAGACAGTCCAGCCCTACCGTACGACTCCGACGATGATAAGAGACTGTCGATATGCAGCGGTCGACAGTGCCGTGGTGGTGTCCGCGGGCATACGTTGACTTGGCATATGATATGATATGCATGCCCTGGGCATCAAGCATGCCAGGGACTGGGGGTACAGCTGGCTGGCGTCTGGGCATAGTTCCACGCATAACCGGCAGAGTAGTACCATGCGTCAGTATCTACCATCGAGTAAGATGTGTCCGCATCGGGGAAAGCAACGGCAATACAGTAATCTCAACCGGCGGTGAGGATAAGCGAGTATACCATGTACCGACCAGCACCAAAAAGGTTCGTAAGAGCCCGTCAACTTGGTCTATCCCCTACCCAGCTCGAATCCAACCGCACATGCGAATGGGCGGCACAAGGTCGAAGAAGTCTCATAAGACATTTGCCCGTCAGACAGATGATGGGGTGTCGCTTACCATAAACGAAGCGGACTACTGCTGACTTGTCAGAGTTTCGCTTTGTTTACCTCGTACTCTGGTGAGCTATGATTGGTGCTTGGCAAGTTGGTCTCTATTCTAGAGGTGGCTAAATGGCTTGCTTACACAATACGGGATGGAATGAGTTCAGCGGCTTTGTCCTCTGCGGGAAAAACGCCGAAACGCCATCTCCGAGTATATGCAGCGCAGTACCACCTCGCACTACCTATTATGGCAGGTGTCCTGCGGCCGCAGCGAGGTGCATGGGGAGCAGCAACAGCTTAAAGCTACCACGGCCCACGGGGTTAGCACGGCGGTAGGCGACCTTGTTGCAGAGAACAGACAGCAGGCTGGCTGGCTGGCTGGCTCTCTCGCCGTCGACAGAACCCAGTCTTTATATATTGCCGTCGGTAATCACGATGGTCGTGCGGCGCCCCCAACGGACGTCACAGGCAGACGTAGAATGTGAGCCTGGTAGCACAGCATGTACATAGTAAGCGCAAGACCGTCGGGCAGACTTGGCAGGTTGGATGGTTCCTGGCGGTTGCATATCGATCTGGTGTCATGGGTACCTTATGGATGTGTTCAGTTGTGATGTGACATGTTATTCAGTGGTAGTTGTGTGGATCCAGCTGATTCCAGCTGTCAGGTGTCTTGTCGGTTGGGCCGGATTGTTGCCCAAGGGACAAGGTACCGTTTGCACTGTATCTAGACTAAAGAGACCTTTCGGATGGGACAAGCTCCGATCCTTCTAGACAGCAAGCAGAACATCCAGAATACTAGTCATCGTAACATGGTATTCTGGGCCCCTGCCAGAAGGCACAGTTGTAGACGGGCTGACTAATACGGTATATTCCGCTTCCGATTCGGAATATTAGGATAAGTCCGACATTGAATTAAGCCTCTCCGAAATACCCTATTATTGAGGTCCGGTCTGAGACACCTTTTTGCCGGTTACTTTCGTTTCATACCTTATTCTGCTCAGCACAACCGCACCCATTCAAAGCAGCAATCAGTCTGTGGGATCAAGTGTTCTTCGCTTCGATCCTGCCCGCGCCTCAGCCTTAACGGGCGCAGACCGTGGCTTGCCTAATGTATGGTGTGATCACTGTGATGTGAGGTGAGTGCAAGTGCACGCGTCAGAGCCGGATTCCTCATCACTGTCAGCTATGGATCGGGTATGATGTCCTGCCTATTTGAGGTATAAATCACTTTTGTCACGCGTGGCACCCTCGCATCGGTCCAATGCGGCCGAAGGATTGCCATCCACCTCAGAGTCGTGAAGCTGAGGCAAAGACAGAAGGAAACGTGAGGGTGATAACCCTAATGTCAACGCGCGGCTTGCGAGGGCATCTTTGCCTCGAAATGACTTACGAAGGGTTCGAGGCCGACGACATTGACTGGTTGCCGGTTTGCACCAACTGGTCTGCCCCCAGCTGGCTGGCTGTCTTCTTCCTCGATGATCTTGAAGTCAGGAGGTTGATTAGCTCGTCTGTTACTGGTGCAAGCTGAGCGACCTGGATCTCGTCTTACCACACTTTCCTCCCTTGCCCTGTCTCCCCCTCCCATACCCCTGTTTTTGCCTCCTCATCCCACGCCTTCTGGTGAGTTCGAGCCGGTAACTCCTCATCTTCCCTGCGTTCGCACGTGGCAAAGCCTGCGGTCCGCCCCTTCGAAACCAGGTGGCTAGTTTTGTGTGAGCACCCGAAGTTCCGAGGGGGCGAGTGGTCTGCCAAACTTGGATCGCGTGGCTTCCAATGTGCTCCCCTCGACTGCAGCCATCTCCGGGATCTGTGGGGGAGGTTACGCGGTGTTTACCTCGATCCCTCTCTGCAGGTGCTTCGCATGCGGTACTACCTAAATACACGTGGGCAGCTGTTTTGTTGGAAACTTCTACCCAGACTCGTCACTCGTTCGACTCGTGGCCCTGCCAGCTGCGAAATCCTCCCGGCAACATGCTGTTCCTTTTTGCTGCTGCCCTGCTCAACTTCAGCCTAGCCTCTTGCACGCCAACGACTTCCATCACGCCCGTTTGCACCAAGTACAAGGCACAGATCCAGCAACAGCTCTCGTCGGGTTCGACGGTGCAATGCAGTGGGAACAACACGCGTTGGAGCGAGTACGCGGCACCGGAGCCCGGTGCCATTGTTACAGTCGCTAGCGAGGACGATGTCGCCAAGTCCGTAGCATTCGCCAGCCAGCAGAACATCCCTTTCCTCATCCAGAGTGGTGCCAATGGTTGGGCAGACACATTCACGCTCAGCGGAAACGGCTTCATCATCGACATATCCCAGCTCAAGCAGATCACCTTCAACGCCGATAACACCCAAGTGAGCTTTCAAGCCGGCGTCACGAACGCCGATATGGTCGAAGCGGCGTGGAACAACAATGCGCGCGCCTGGGTTGCCACATGCAACTGTGTCAGTGTTCTGGGTGCCACTCTTGGCGGAGGATTGGGAAGACTGCAAGGGCTCTACGGACTGGGTCTCGACCAGCTTCTCTCGGTCAACTATGTGGACGGCGACGGCAACAAAAAGACTGTCACCAAGGATAGCGATGCGGACTTGTGGTGGGCTCTGAAGGGAGCCGGTCCCAACTTTGGCATCGTGACGTCGGTTGTGGCCAACGCCTGGCCTATTCCCCAGGCCGACAACACTGCATGGACTGGTTCTCTCATATTCGACGAGTCGCAGATTGAGGATCTCATCAGTGCTGTCAACGACATCACTCTCGAGCCGGAGATGCAGATGGATATTTACTTCACCGGTCTCATGGTCATCGCGCTACCATTCTACCTCGGCAGCGAGGAAGAGGGCAGAGAGAAGTTTGCATCCATCCTTGCCGTCGGACCTACGGTGGATGCCACACAGGTTACCCCTTACAACACTTGGAACGCTGCAGGCGACGCCTTCTGCCTCGACGGTGGCCGCAAACCGTCCTACACCACTGGCCTGAAAACCATGGACCCTACGGCGTGGCGCAAGGTCTGGAACGACTACAGTGCGTTCGTCACGGACCACCCAGAAGCTGGTAACACCACGGTGCTCTCCGAGTGTTACTCAACCATGAAAGTCGAGGCAATCGGCAGCTTCCAGTCGTCGTACCCGTTTCGCGACGTCAAGTGCTACAGCATTGCCATCCCATGGTATCCAGACTCGAGCCTTGATGCAGAAGGCATTGCGTTCGGACAGAACGTCAGGAGCTACTGGGCCGCCTCGGCTGGGACCGATAGCCCAGCCAAGTAAGCTATGATCCTCAATGTTTTCCAGATAATACATGTACTGACTCCAAGCCTAGCTACATAAACTTTGCCCATGGCGATGAACCACTGAGCAACATTTACGGCAGTAGCTTGTCCAAGCTCCAGCAGCTGAAGCAGAAGTACGACCCCAAGAAGCGCTTTAACCAATGGTTCCCTCTGTCGTAAGAGAGTGAGTCTGCTAGAGACTCTCCTGGTCCCTTCCTGGAGAATTCTCATTTCCCATGTCCAACGGTCCAGATCGCGCATTGTTTCCAATCTTAATAGCTGGGAATGCCTGCGTGTATTCACTTAAGAGGGGTGGGACATGTACTGCATATTCATACATGATGCCGCACCAATGAGCGCTTTACTTCGAAGTACTATACATAGATGGATATTTGGAATGACTAATTGCCATGAGCGCTTACGAGTACATGAAGTACATCAGGTACATACTTACACTATTTAGATCATTACATGGGATCTCCTTCTGGCCATGATTTCCGCCTGGCCATACTCTATCTTGACGGTACTGTCTGGAGTATAGTTCCCACCCGGTCTTCTCTTCGAATTGGCCCATCGCTGGCCGATATACTGCCATGCTACTTATCAACGCACATTGCAGAGCCGTGCCACAATCCCAATGGCCACGCCACCCCACGAGGTAGATGGGTGCGAATGCAGGATCCCGCTGAAGAAAGGCGGTATCGCCGCGGCGCAGCATCAGCGCAACCACACAGTAGCACCACAGGTCACACCACCACCACTACCTGGACAAATAACCTTGGAGTACACGTAGGATTCCGATGGGCTGCATAACCATGCGACCTGGCATGCTACAATGTGGCTTACTCACAGACTTGAGGCCAACCAAGATGCGTTGCGCATGATTTAGGTCGGATGGATGGGTCACATCGGGGGCCGGATGAGGGGAATGAAGGGCCCATCCCAAATAAGCATCTACACGCCATCTGGGGCCGTCGCCCATTCTTCCGTCGTCAAGGCCTGTCCGGCCGAGTCTCTGCTCATACGCAGGCTTGCGTGCGTGCTTACATGCATGGGGGGTCAGACTCAGCAAGGTGAGATCGATAGTCTCGCCGTGAGATGAATCAGCCACGGAATCCTTCTGGAACGCCGCACCCCCGAATGGAGTCGGTCCTTCAAATCATATTGGCATAATCGTCAGCCCGTCTGTCCGATATTCGTATTTGCTAACCCCCCAGACGCCCTCACTTGCGCCATAGCCTTTGTCTATAACCTACTATGTAGGTGGCAAGTACCGGGCGCCATACGTCACTGCTGTTCCTTTTCGCCCCACGACGTTGAAGACCGTTCAAAAAAAAGAATTCAGCTCGAGAGTCTTGGTCGACTATATCCTTCCACTAGGCAGGCGTCAGACAACTCCTCTATCGCAAGTCGTGAGAGAGAAAGACTCCAACAACACTGACAGGATTGGAGCTGGAGCTGGAGCTGGTGCTGGTCCAACTCGGAGGCGCTTCAACATGGCGAATCCGTACTTCAACCCCGACTACAATCCGTACACGCAGTCGGTGCTGATTGGCACGGCCATACTATTCATGATCGTGCCCATATGCGCCGTGGGTCTGCGGTTCTACTCGCGGTCGATAAGCTGGGCGAAGCTGGGCATCGATGACTGGTTCACGATCCCGTCGATGATCATCTGTGTCGCGCTGTCGATAGTCCAGCTAATCGGTACGTGAAAGGGAGAGAGTCAGAATGTCAGACAGATGGCGGCGGCGGCGGCGGCAGCAGCGGGCGCACCTGGTGCCACCTGAGCGGCGAGCCTCGAATCCATCGTGCGTGCGTACAGGCTGACCCATATCTGCGCAACAGCAACGACAGTCGGCGGTCTAGGAGCGCACCAGCCGCTTGTTAACGGCGAGCTCGTGCACAGCCAGCAACTGTACGTGTACGAGAAGACGCGGTACGCGTACGAGATCGTGGGGACGATCGGGCTGTGCGTCATCAAGCTGTCGGTGTTACTCTTCTACCGGCGCATCTTCGCGATCCGCGCGGCGCGGCTCGTCAACAACGTCTTCATCGGCCTCACGGCCGCCTGGGGCATCTCGTTCACCTTCGCCGTCGCCTTCCAGTGCACGCCCGTGTCGACGCTGTGGGAGAAGTTTGAGTACGAGTACGAGCCGTACTGCGTCCAGGTGTTCCCGCTCTACTTTGGCCACGCCATCTCCGATCTCATCCTGGATGTCTTCATCTTCATCCTGCCGATTCCGCACCTGTGGTCGCTGAAGATGCCCCAGCGCCAGAAGCTGGCCGTGGGCGGCATCTTCCTGCTGGGAGCTATGTAAGTTCGGCCCCGTTCCGTCCGTAACTCTCCTCTGCTGTGCGACGGTGAGCTACAAGCCCCATGGCGTTGTCATGGCAGCTCACCTGAGCAACTACAGTACACGGGCCGCCAACGTACGGTGCTAATCGTGTACAACAGCGTCGTCGCCATCGGCATCACGCGCACGCTCATCTTCCACTGGGTGATCGACTTCGCCACGGTGCAGCCCATGTCGTGGTTCTACGACACGACGTGGTACTCGGCGGGCGTGCTGTTCTGGCACATCGCCGAGAACGTGGTCGGGCTGCTGGGCTGCTGCCTGCCGTCGTACGCGCCATTATTCAAAAACATCTTGCACAAGCAGAAGACGCTCGGAGCGTCGTCGGGCGCTTCGTCGTCCGGCCTTGGCGCCTCCAAAAAGCGCGGCTACCCGTCGCCGTACCACGAACGCCTCGAGGACGAGGAGTCGTTGACGCGCATCCGCGCCGCGGCCGACGGCGGCTCGGAGGAGCACGCGCTCGGGATCGTGCCGGAACGCCGCATCTTGGTCAATCGGGAGTTCCGGCTCGAGACTTCGGCGGCTTAGTAGGTTCATATTGGGAGATGGGCGTTTATGGGCATGTACATGAATGGATCTGCATATATAATATAAATACTGTATCAATACTTGAATGGGTCTGTGAGATTCTCCAGCGATTCGGGGCGTGGTCATTATACCCAGAGAACTACCACAGAGGCGCAGGCAAATACACCTGACCAGAGATGGCGCTGTTGAGACACATGTTCTCAGTCGTACGCATAGGGCTGGGAGGAACAATTTTGCGTAGATTCCTCGACAAAGGCACACTTTTCCACCACGTCCACAAACCTATCAAGGATCAGGGGCCTCGGCGAAAACACGACCTTAACCCAGAGTGCGTTACATTCAGACGAGTCCTTCGGAAGCTGTTCAAAAAGTCGACCAAGTCTTTAGAGACGACATTCTCACCTGCAGAACTATCATCAATGCCTATGACTAATTCAACCCCAACTCTAGTCACGGCACGATATTCCAGCACCTGTCCATTCATTACGCGCGTGGGGCTCTCTTCCATGATCTGTCAGTCAGCAGCATGCCCCATTGTCCGATCTCTTTGACCAGTCCAGACTACACTCGGTCAAATCTGTCCGCACGTAACGCCACTTCCGTGACGCGATGAGATTGCCGCAGGACACGTGCATCAAATTATCTAGCATCGTGGGGGTACCAGGAACGTACTTCAGGAGGATCACCTAAAAGCGGATGGTGCACACCCAATGCCTTGGCAGTTGTCGCGGATGTACATTCGTGCTGCAAGGGCCGTGCCGGGTCGCCTCTACATCCGATCCAGTTGATCCTCATGAGAACAACAGCGTCATCAAACTCCGACCTCAGCTGCCGGTTGGAATGGCTTTCGCCTCCGCCGTTTCTTGTCTTGGGGTTGTTTCCTGCATAGCCCCTAGTCCGGGTGAACCTGACGGGGGCGCACACCAGTGAGTGTGGTTATCGATCGAGAACGGCTATGCGGCCGGTATGGCTCTTCATCCAGAGTCTAGGCCCTTGCGGCCAAGGGCATTCGATAACAAACAACGGTGCCATGGGGCTCCGACCCAGGGTCTTAATGTGGTATTGTGCAATCAGTGACATCGGCCCAATTCCCCAACTCGTCTGGTTTCGATGCTCAAGTTTCGCAATTGATGCGTGGTACACTGACCCTCCAAAAGTCTCCGAGCATCCACCACGCTAGTTTCAGAACGTGTCTACGCGCTCGCGACCCCCTTCCTTTTTCATATTTTATTTACTCAATACCAAAACGATGGATTTATAAAAGGTTAGTACAATTCTGACCGCAAATCGCGGGCCAAACCAGGAATTTACTTCCGAAGCTCGTATAGCTATTATGGCTGGCAGGGCGGCAGGCGAAAGGCGCGACGAAGTCGCGAGCGCGTTCCATCTGGATCGGCCTCAAATCGTGACCGACATTATCAACACTGCTAGAGAGCATAATACCACTGTCTCTCGACCTCAAGAGGGAGCCACAAAGACTCTAAACAAGCATAAAAAAACTCAACTAGTTGAAATGGCACAGAAGTGCCCTAAGGCTACCTACAAAAAGCTCAAAAAGGAGAACAGGGTCCTCTGTTCTTATACCACTATTAAGCGTGTTCTTCGTGCTCATGGGCTTCGCAAGTGGAAGGCAGTGAAGCGGATCGAGCTTATGGAAGATAACGCACGAAAGAAGCTCGCTTTTTGCAATAAATACGACTCTCCGGAGGCTCTGGAGGAGCTGATGCGAACGCTCTTCTCAGACGAAGTCATGGTCCAGAATTCACCCGATAATCCGGGCGATTGGGTGATCCGCCTCTCTTCTGAACGTTACAGGCAGGATCTCATGAACCCTCAGAGCCATGGGAGACCCTGTATCTCCATTATGTATTGGGCTTTGATTTGATTACGCGGCAGAAAAGGTGGCCTAGGCAAAATCATTTTTTGCGAGCCTAATAAGGATGCTCCTCGCGGAGGAGTATCTTCAGCTTCATACCAAGATGTCCTCGAGGAAGGGCTCCTTCTGTTCTACGAGGCTGGGGATCCTTTTATGCAATATAATGCTCACATCCATCGATTTGGAGGCACTCCAGAGTGGCTAGAGGAGCACGGCATCTGGACGATTGACTGGCCTATTCACAGCCCTGATTTGAACCCGATTGAGCACGTTTAGGTACTTCTGAAGAAGCAGATATAGAGAATCGAGCCTGGTTTCGCTAATTTGAAGGCTAATATTACCCATAAGGCATATGCCAGAGAGTTAATTAAAAGGGCGTGGTCAGAGATCGATCCTGAGGACGTACGCGTTCTCATCGAATCGCTCAGCAACCGAATCACCACAGTAAAAAGAGTAGGTGGCTGGTACACACACTATTGAATGACCTACACAGTACAATTTCTTTTCATACTATTACAGTGAGAAATAGGTGCGTTGTGAATGCTGAAAATTGGAGGGTGTAGGCGTTGAGGGCTGCTTAAAAAGTGGGCTCGGAGACTTCTGGCCGGGGAGTGTACTTCTGTTTTTCCCTCGTCGATGTCCTGGCCTCCTGGGGTTCACAATGAGCGGCTGGTAATTTCCCTGTTCTGCGACTCTGCATGGTATTTCATACTGCGTACAAGTACGTTGCTCTAGAACAGCGAAGCCTCCACTGGATAGTTTTCCACGCTGTGTAGGATGTGACTCTCGACCTTCACGCAAAGCGCGAGCCTCTGGGTATCGAACTCCCCCCGAAGGCTTTGATCCTCCAGACCTGGACAAGTGGAGTGGCGTCTCGATCTTCAAAAGCAAAGACATTGTCCCATCAAGGTGACATGCTGAGTACATGCCACTATTCCCCAACCCACCCGATATGTATATTGTCCTATACCCTTCGCTTGCCTCTAGTGCTTTCCGGTCGAATGGCCACCACTGTACTCGGTAGCGAAACCCCTTGAGCTGTTCTGTCCATCAGTAGTGTGTGAGCTATAGTCTGCGCAGATAGGCGTGCATCTCCAGATGACTCATTCCGAAGACTGCTTCCGCTTCCATGGTGAAGTAGCTGTCGATTTGACAACCTCGCTCACCTGACGATTTCAAGGGCTCATCTGCGAGCTAGATCTCCTGCCTTTCTACCGCCCATCAGAGTCTTCCCTCTTTCCTCTACGCCGGCCCTTCCTCGTATGACCGTTGACGCCGCCTGTGGGAATGGACGTTTTACTGAGGACTTGAAGCATAACTATAACTGTCCAGCGCCTGTGTAGAGAAGGCTTGTTAGCTGGGAGGGGATGTGTCGCCGGAGTTGTAGCGTTGATCATATGATCCAGACGGACATGATGAGGCCGATGACTCGCAGAGGGTTGGTGGAGTTAGAGACGGTGCTTGTAGTCTGGCGGCGTACAATGCAAGACCTTAAAGAGCTCAAGGGGCTGGATGTGGTAGCTACTGCTTCTTACTTCACGGCGTGGCAGTCAAGTTAGAGTTGAGGCCATGTCACGTCTGAGGAAATTACCTTACCCCTTGTCGCGATGAACGAGTATATTCGCTGAAGGACCAAGTTTAGGGGCTCCTAGTCACACACAATTCCGGTGATTGAGGCCTGATAGTAAGGGCTCGAGGCTACCACAAACTTACCACAAGTAAAATGTTCTAAGGGAACTGCTTAGTCGATTGCAGTGATCCTTGCAGCTCACGCCTTCGGGGTTGGGGTTGCCAACCATGTCACGCCCACTAGGCCGAAGTGCGTACCCGGACGTTTGTAAGTATGGCGTCTCCTCGTGAAAACCAGTGTTATCGAGCGGACAAAATCCATTCCAAGCATACATATGTGAAAGCTTGAGCCGGTACGGCATATCATCCCTTCCACCTCGAATAGTGGGAAGAGCTGAATAGTAATAGCCTCGGACCTCCAAATCCACGACGAAGAGTCCGGAGCACATGGCCAACTCAACACCGTGGATTCCTACAGCATGTACCAGACACCCACACCCTGACTTCCCTCTCAATAAACCTGCCTCTCAAAGCACAAGACTGGCACCGGCAACATCATCTAGACTCTGGTATTCGAGGCGAAAGAGCCGTTCACCAGAACATGACGCCTATGTCTTGCCCTCTGAACGCGAGGCACGGAGTCTGAACTCAACTCGTGGCAAGGTCAGCCAGGCTCTACCAAGCAGAGAACAACGCACAATGGCCAGTTTCGTATATCAGATCAAGGGGTCCTTGAGGCATGTATGCCATGTATGCTGCGAACAGCACATAGTGTTTTATTCCAAGAGGCAAGTTTTCTCTAATGAAGACGACACTAAGCATTTGCATGACCACCAGCCCGAGATGGATAGAAATCCGTCGAACCGGCTCAAGCACAGATACGTCTTCCGTCGACCACTTGAGGGCTCAACAGCATGCTGCGAACAGGTCCAAGCTCCTCCTCGGACGAACAAAGTAAACCCAACCAGCCCAACACTTATCAAGAGCATCACCAGGCGTCCCTGAACCGGTCCCTGGCAAGACAATTATTATCCCAATGTCCCCGTGCCACCCTGCTAGCCACGCACTAAGGTCGGTAGCTTGTCTGGGATGTGGTGTTATGGGTCTTCGCCGGCGCGCACGCGGCACTGGGATAAAATTGCCGACTCCAGGCAGCCGCCAGGGCGACTGTTCAAGAGGCTCAGCGTACGTCATCTTTGACACGGGCTGGGCTGATTCCCCCCTGTTTGTCGGAGTCGTGTGCCGGACCGGTTGGTTCCCAAATCATCGAGTATCCCCGACCCTTTTGGCAAGCAACGCTAAGAATAGCATCTATAATGGGTACTTATACCCACCAGGCTGATCCCATTCAGCCTTATTTTAAGACTGGCAGAGGAGCCCGAAGGAATGGGAACGAACCACGCTTATCGCCATCGTCGTCGATAGAGTCGGGTCCTCAGTGGTACAGCTGAACGGTATTAGAACCTATCTTAAAATCCAGGGCGGCAGGGCCTGCGACCGAACTGAAATGAGGAATGCAAAATGACATCTCCACCGCCCTCTCAGGGTAAGTATGTCATGAATTAGGCAGCGAGAATCGTTCTGGCAGCATTTGATTTTGATCGTACAGATGTCGGGGGTGTCACGATTCCGTAAATGTATTGCAAGGATACAGGGACCCTTATTAACTATTGACGTATAACGAACTCTGGTTGAAGGAAAAGAAAGATCTGGAGATGCACCCGAATTGGTGGGCAGCTAGATGTGGGCAGTCGTCCCCCACCAGACCCACCAGGGCATGGATCAACCTATCGTCCGATCAGTCACGTAATCCGGGGACCATAGGGACCATCGCTAGACCTGATGGATGGTAGAACCATCACAGGGGGTGATATATGTTAGCGTCTCCATATGTCCTTCTGGCAGACTGGGTCCCTACTCTGCAAGACAGATGTGCGCAGGAATATACGTATGGATCGACAACATCCTACACTGCTGTAGAGAGCTCCATTCCATGCGCTGGTCACTTCCTCTCATCGGGCCCGTGGCCGACAAGGTGCACTACCACACGGTCGGCTTCCAGCTCATCCACTGCCACGCCGGCTGGGATGTTCTAGCATAGGGAATACCATCATATGGACCCAGAGCCCCCCAGCATATGGAGACGCGGTACCATCCGACCCCCCGAACCGGCACACCCCCCCAACCGGCACAGCCAAACCCCACAATCACCACCAAAAGTCCCCTTACTCACTTACACGGATTACAGCCCTTTTTGAGGGTATCTAGACTTTCTTTAGATGGTTAGATAGCCCTTTTCTTGGTGTTTAGCGGAATATAGATTATTTAATTGCTGGGCCATCGGCATCGGCATTTAGCAGCCTCCGTGCCCCGCCCTTAAATGCAAATTTGCTGTAGAATTCTCTCTGTGAGCCCCTGTCCCTCATGCACCACAGCATCCTGAAGCCAGCCACGATGCCTCCGCCCACGTATACAGAGGATGATGTGGTGGATGCCTACCTAGACGTCACAGATAATGGCATGTCCGTGAGAAAATCCAGCCAAAAATACGGCATCCCGGCCAGCACGCTGTCAGCACGCATAAGGGGGAGAGGGACTAAAACGGAGGCTCACACCACCGAGCAGAGAATTTCTCCCGAGCAAGAAAGCAAGGTAGCAGCCTGGATATTGCGCCAGGAGACTTTGGGGCTTGCCCCTTCTCACTCAGCCGTCAGGGAAATTGTGGTAGAACTCCTAAAAAGAAAGGGGGATTTCGCACCACTTGGGAACCACTATATGGACAGCTTTAAACGACGCAACCTTACCATTCAGACTAAAATCGGCAAGCGAATGGAATCCGCTCGGTTTAAGGGGTTTACCCCTAAGTCTGTGAACTGGTTCTTCAACATCTTGGAGGACTACGGCTGGGTGAAGTCAGAAAATACGTACAATGTCGATAAGGGCGGCATCATGTCGGGTTTTGGTAACTCTTTCGAGCCCCCTACCCTCACAGTCAACTAACTACCCTTATAGGTATCGATTCCCTAGTTCTGGGAAGTTCTGAGACGAGGAAAGCTTTCCTAAAGAGCCCCCAGGGCCGCTCGTGGACATCTTTCATTGAGACCATTTCAGCTACCGGTAGAGTACTCAAACCAGGCTTGATTTTCAAGGGAAAAGATCTTCAAGCGCAGTGGTTCCTCGAGGAATTCCAGAAGATAGCCGACTGGTACTATATAACGTCGGAAAACGGCTGGACCAGTAACGATATCGCCTGCCAGTGGCTTGAGCACGTTTTCATACCACAAGTAGATGAAATTCGTGGCCAGGAGCAGTGGGAACCAGTCCTTTTGATCCTAGATGGCCATGGTAGCCATACCTCCGTACGTACACCTATTTTTTCTATTTTATTTACTGGTTATTTAATTTATTCCGATTTAAACAGTAACTGACTATAGAAAGGACGAATTTATGATACGGTGTTATTTTGCCAACATCTTGCTATGCTTTTTCCCAGCACATACCAGCCATGGAATGCAACCACTGGATAACGGCCCCTATAACGCCCTCAAGTCCTACTACCAGAGATTCCTCACCCAGTTAAATTCTCTGACTGATTCCTCTCCTGTTAATAAGATCAACTTTATCCGCTGTTATAGCAAGGCAAGGGACATGGCATTTACGCCAAAAAACATCCGCTCGGGCTTCCGAGTAACGGGGTGCTACCCAATTAGCCACAAAAAGTGTCTAGACCATCCAGAAATCCAAGAAAACAAGCGGAAGACCCCCGAGCCGGAAGAACAGGAAGACTCGGAGCCGGAGGACCAACAGACCCCTACCACGAGCCGGCAAATCCGGGATTTCGGGAAGAACCGATCCCCAGCCACTCGGCTGAAGTTCCGGAAGATCTCCCATGCCTTTGGGAACCAGGAGACGGAGCTGGCCATAAAAGACCAGAAGATCAGGGCCCTGGAGGCTGAACTGGAGCGGCTACAGCCCAAAAAGAGGAAGAAGATACTAAATCCTAACAAAAAGTTCATGACAATGGTAGAAATACTAGCCCAGGGTGGTAATCCGTTAGTTCCGGTTGCTGTAGAGTCTTCTTCTTCTTCTTCAGAGTCGGAGGTTGTTGAAGACGGGGTGGAGGAGGACGAGGAGGTTGCGGACGCTGAGGAGGCTGTAGAAGCCCCTGTTGCAGAAGCCCAGATGACTAGATCTGGGCGGTCAATCCGGGCGCCGGCTAGATACGTCGATTGAGCAGCCAAAACACCACAGAATGATAATTTTGCTGATTTTTTCGACCCTATACAGCCTCAAATGCGTGTAAGTGAGTAGGGGGGTCTTTTGGTGGTGGTGGCGGGGTTTGGCTGTGCCGGTAGTGGGGGTGTGCCGGTTCGGGGGGTCGGATGGTATCTGTATATATTTATAAGTTAATGGAATGCCGCGCCATGAAGGCCAGTAGGTGTGTTCCTTACTTCACTGTCATCGTCACTCTTTCTGTTCTTTCCTATAATTCCTACTGTGGTTTTGGAGGAAAAGGTCTCTTGTCTCATCATGTCTTTCCGATCCTTCTTGTTGGGCGGTCTCAACATACTCACTCTCTTCTCACAATCCGCCACGGCACACCCCCACGGCCACAATGCGCCCGTTTTCGTACGCTCAGTTCGAGCACGAGACACTTCCCAAGTATTTCCCAACGTCGGCAACTCCACATTCACCGTTGAGTCCGCAGAGGTGAAGTTGGCAGACGGCGCCCCCTGGCTGCCGCGGATAGCAAAGCTGTCCGACGGCACCGTCCTGGCCGTGTCAACCCGCTTCGAAAACGGCACCGCCGACCATGTCCTGCAGCTGTCGCGGAGCACAAATGGCGGCCAGAGCTTCAGTCACCTCACCAACATCGCCGAGGGTCCTGACGACATCGACAACGGATTCCTGCTCGAGCTTCCGGCATCGGCCGCCTCGAGCAACTCCACGAGCAGCAAGCGCGCTTCGCTACCCATCGTCCTCGTATCCTACCGCGACCACGAGAAGAACGCCGACGGCAGCTACAACACGTTTCGCATCAAGGTGGCGCGCAGCGAGAACGGGGGCCAGACATGGAACGACCCCGTGGTGGCGGTCGAGAAGCCCGCCAACGGCAGCAAGGTCGGCATCTGGTATGTACAGCAGAAGTCCCCCGTCAAACACTCCAAGCCTGGTTTCCTCGAATCAGTGCCTTGTTTCTTCTACTCTAGTCTCTTTCTAAAAGAAGATCTCTTCGGGGGTCCAACACAGGGATAACTAACAAACAACGCAGGGAGGCCTTCATGAGATTCACCAAGGATGGCAAGACCATCCAGATGACCTACTCGGGCGAGCTGGCGCAGGACAACCAGGAGACGTTCCGTGTGACGTCGCCCGACTTCGGGGCGTCATGGACGGCGCCCGTGAACCTGCGGCTGCACTCGACGGACCAGTCGATGCGCGACGGCATGCAGAGCATCGCCGAGGTCAGCGAGGAGGACGGCACCGAGAAGCTCATCATGGAGCTCGAGGTCAAGGTCGGCTCCGTTGTGCACATGGAGTACGTCATCTCCGAGGACGACGGGGAGACCTGGGGCCACAGGGGCACCATCTACAAGCCCGCGGGCGCCGACCACAGCGCGGGCGCCGGGCAGATCGCCAGGATCGGCGACACCATGCTGGCGCTCGTGTTCCTGACCGACGAGGACTACGAGGAGGTCCAGTGGCCCGACAAAGGCGAGACCAAGGCGCTGTTCTCCGACGGCATCCTGAGGAACGGCGCGCTGAGGTGGGCGGAGAAGCCCCTGACGGTGTTCGGCAAGGGCTCAATCTGGCCCGGTGTGGTGCAGTGGTCGGCCAACTCGATCATGGCGCTGGCTTCTCATGACAAGGCTGCGTATGGGCGGATCGTCAAAGTGTCGGCGTAGGAGATTGTTGTCTCTGTCACCGCCCGCTGTCGAACATGGAGTTTCTGGGTATTAATTTCTGGCATAGCATCGCGGGTTCGCTGCTTCTCATGGTCCTTGGTATAGCATCGTGGGTTGGCTGCCTCTCATGTTCTTTCAAAGCGTGTATCCCTAAGCATCATGATATCCTGAGAATCGAATCATCAACTTGATTATGTGTCGGTCTGTGTCTTTTATCACCAATGTTGACTTGTGACACCTTTCCTACTTTGGCAAGAGAATGGCCTAGATTCGATGAGTCATGCATAAAGCATTGAAGGGTCCCCACTATATTGCATAAGCTTCAGGTGTGAACCTTCTGTGGCTCCTCAACCCATTTTCCAGCCACAATGACGGATAGGTCACGGACCAGGATGTAAGGTACCTTAGAGCCTAACTAGTACCCGTTTGTACCTGATTTATACCCAACTGGGATAATAGGTACTTTTAGGATCGGGATACCACCCATCTTTCCTTTTAATCAAACAACTTCTAGAATACAGACTAATAGCCACCTTTCGTGACCCTGGTCCTTATTCTGGATACCGCTACCACAAGGCACACTTCTGCCAGCTGCTAGCTACCGTTTACCCCCTAACCCCTATCCGCCATCCGCCATCCCCTATCCCTTCCCCTTTCTTCTTCACAGCCAAACGCTAGAGGCAGCACGGCAGGCAGACATCACATAGCAGATCGTGCATATACTCCCACAACATTCAATGATCGAGTCAGATATCAAGCGTGAAAGAAGTCTAAAGCTCATTTTTGGTTGACCATGGTGACGAAACTGAGGAACTTATGCTGATGAGGGCAACGAACCAGATTCACCCACAGACACCAGACAAAATGCACCGAACCCAAGTCTCGAACTCTATTCTAGAAATGTAAACAGATTCGTATGCAGTATGTTCATGGCCCGCGTGGCTTCCCTCGCATCAATCACACACGAGATGTTGATCTCGCTCGCACCTGGTACTTCAGTTAGCAAACATGCTCTTGACGGTTTCAAGCTTAGGACATCATGAGGCCTACCTTGCGAAATCATCTCAATATTGACATTATGCTCGCCCAACGTCGAGAACATACGGCCCGCAATGCCGATCATGTTCTTCATCTCGGCACCGACAAGGCTCAGGATCGCCATGTCAAGCAGTATGCTGACGTCGCCACATTCCTCCAGTTCCGCCTTGGCCTTCTCAAATTGGTGAACGGCCGAGCTGGCCTGGTGGATGGCCATAGAAACGTGTACCTCACTGGTCGAGATCAGATCGACAGATATCCGGTGGTTGTTGAGAATCGAAAACACCTTGGCGAAAAAGCCGTGCGATATCGACCGCTTGTTGGAGTGCACGTTAATGACGGTGATGTTGTCCTTGATGGTAACGGCGGTGGGCCGCTTTGGCGTCTTCCGCGACGAAGCGTCTGACGGCCGGGACCGCTTGATCTGTTGCGCTGGCGACTGAACCAAGTCTGGAACTACAATCGTGCCATTCCCGCGTGGGTTCTTGACGTTCTTGATACGAATCGGTATCGGAGGTTGCGCCTTGATCACTTGGTCCATGGTCAAATGGTGGATAACCTCGGATCCATAGAACGTCAGCTCGGCCGCTTCAGAGGGTGTGATTGATCCCAGCAACCTTGCTGTCGGGACCTTGGTAGGATCTGCCGTGAATATGCCATCGACTTCCTTCCACACTTGCAGCTCTTCTGCCTTCAGTCCCACTGCCACCAACGCGGCGCACAGGTCGGTATAGCCACGTCCAATCTCCCCGTCCATCAAGCTCCCGGGGACGTTGCCGAAGAAGCCCGTGATCACCGGCACTCGGTCGTTGCACGCCTGTATTCTCTTCCGGAAGATGGCCGCGGCATCTTTAAAGAAGGCTGGACTCAGCCTATCGGTGCTATCGTAGTGCATGACGTCCGACATATCCACGTATTCAGCCTCGACATTCTAGTAATGTAGTCAGCAGCAGTACGACAGCCGGCTACAACTTGAACAAACCCTGTCTTTCAGCATCGCCGTCATGAATCTGCAACTCAGCTTCTCGCCGAAGCTGATAACGCGGTCTTTTGATCTAGCATTGACCTCCAAGTTAAACCGCCTGGCCGCGATGATATAGTCTATCAACTCTTGGCAGTCTTCTTCTATACCCTGTGTGATGTCCTTCTGCAACTTGGGGCTCTTCACGAAGTCTTTCACGGCGGAGACGTGTTCGGTGCATATTTCGCGTATGGTGGTCTTGGCTTGCTCGACGAGTTCGTTCTGGGTGATTTCGTTGCTTGTCGCAGCAGATATATCGCGTAGCTTCTTGTATATTTCTAATAGACTGTAGTATTCGCGGGCTGTCAGACCAATCGATGCGCCAGGTGACCGTTCTGGGCAGGGTGACTCACCGACTGGTGGTGCCGCTGGCTTTCTTGCCAGAGCTCCGCGCAGAGCAAACGACGGCGATCCTATTCGAGTTCAAGCCGGCACTGCAAGCTGAGAGTGAGTAGAGCACCGCGGGAGACCCCAATGGCATGATCATACCGCACAATGTCTTCAGCAATCTGCGCCAGTTGAGTCAAAGGTCAGTCGCACAACATTGAAGGAGCGGACAGCTCGAGGAGGGTGGTGTCACGAACATTGTCTGGAAACTTGCCCACGCTGGTACCGCCAAACTTCTGCACGATCCATCCCTGGCTACTGCTATTCCTACGTGCGGTAGTCTCCATCGTGATGGCGCATGCAAATGTTGGATTTGTTGGAAGCTTGGGAATCTCGAGGCACCAAGGCGACTGACTCGATGGCGGGGCAGCTTCAGCGCAAGCGGAACGTGGAACCTCGGATCGCAAAAGACAGCATTGACAACTCGGACGTGGTGAATATGTTATTTTGAAATGGGTAAAGATGCGACAGGTTTCAGACCGCTTCCCCAAGACTCATCGAGCATACCTAGGTAGGTACCGGGCACCTAGTCTTGTCGATGTCGGCCCAGGTGGCCCCGTTCCCACCAAAGTCTTTTGCGACGGCGGCCCCGAATCGGAGCTCCTCGCATGATAAAAAATCATCTGAAAGACCTCAAAAAGCTGCCATCATGGCGGGGCATTGAAAGCGGACCGGTGCCTTGCAGCTGGTCCCCACCGCCACGTCCACCATTGGTCGGCGCGGTCAGGGGTCAGGCAGCAAAGGGGGCTGGCGGGCTGAAGCCTCGTTGTGAAGATCAGTTGAGTTTATTATCACAGTTACGAACTACACCCTATGTACTTGTTCGTCTACGGATGTATTTATCTACTTTTAGTCGTTCGTGCCATGCACACGAGTAGACTTTGAAATGTGCAGCATGTTTTGTAGTGAGCTACGTAGAACGAATTAGTACACTTACTGCATGGTTGGTGATATCTTTACTACCTAAAGTAAGTATCTATAGATCATCTTGTTGAAAAAGTTACGATGTGTGTCACCATATCTATGAGGGAAAGCCCGAGACATAGGAAGATCAATCAATTCTGACATGGGTATCTCAAGCACTCTAAGGATATATAGCAGTATCCTAGCCTTGACAACATGACCAACAGACATCGAAAATGCCAACTGGGCTTCTCTACTCCCACCTGCCTAGGCCACCAAGCCCTACGGCAGCAGGAACGTCTTGCCCAACGGTGAAGACCACCCTGTACGCCTCCGTCCAACATGTAACAACATGTGACCAGATTACAACATTAATACATCTCTGGCGAATTCGCCTGTATCCCCGGTCGTAAACCACAAATGCGCGCGTCCGTCGTCGTATTCAGTCATGCCTTCGTACCGTCGTATTCCTCGGCCAGCCCTCTGCCAGCCAGGTATCCACTCGAAAAATGGACTCGTTCAGTCGTTACTCCAACAAAATGTCCTGGAATAGAACACAAGTCTGTATGCCATGCCATGCCGCTCGCCGCCAACGCCAAGATCTATAGTATAGACAACCCGAACCAGAGGGGGCTAATCGCCGTCGAAGAGAAAGAGCGCAGTCTACTGCATTCCGCGGTCCAGGTCTAGACTCCGCAGGGCCTGATCTTGGCCCGCCTGAAACTCGAACTTGTCCATGGGCAAGTCTTCCTCGGGAGTCCTAATCCCGATACCGCTGTCGTCATGATTCGCCACCTGTAAAGAGTCCGGGCCGTCAAGCTGCGATGGGAACGGCGCTCGGTCCGGTTGTGATTGCGACATCTGTGACACGTTCAGATCCTCGCTGCCGCTGCTGAGCCGAGAGCCTTGCTGGTTGGTATCCTGGGCAGCGATGGGATGCTTGGAACCACGGGCTACGGCCGGGGATGGGGACGAGTTTCGGGTCTGGATGAAACCGCCCTGCTCTGCGAGGAACGAGATCATCTCGTCGATCCAACATTTGGTGACCCACCACGAGCCGAAGCTCTTACCTTGGGCGATCGTAAGGTCACGCATCACCTCGGTCCCAACTCGTTGGACGTACGTGACAATCTCGGCTGGACTTGCGTAAGGAAACCGGCCGGGGAGTGATCGGAGGAATTGTACCCATCGATCCAGCATGTTCTGCGCACTGAAGTCATCCGAATCAGCGGCGTGGGGGCTCCGGTCGTTCTGTGCGGCCATGTCTCCGTAGAGGGTGAGCATTTCTATCTCCCAAGGAACGTTGAGTGGGTATAACAGGCCACGCAGCTCGTTGAGCAAGAGATTGACAAGGTCGTCCATACCCTTGGTGGGAACACACTCGGCCACCTTGCGTATTCTGACCATGGTGATCCAGTCAAGATACATCTGATCTCGGTTGGCCGGGTTCGAAAGCATGTTCGCGGCCGCATGAGCCGTAAGGTTGACTCGCAGTGCGCGGTCTAGCAGAGCAGCAAAGATTGTAGCCGGGGCTTCCTTGGCCTCGACCACATGTCTCGGTTGACCCTGAAAGGATTCGCGGATGTGAGGAACCAACTTCTCCGATATATTCCGCAGAGTGTCGAGCACTGGCTTGGGCACGACCTGTAAGGTGAGGCCAGAGATGATGCGCATCATTCTCTGGTATAGGACGAAATCGCACTCTTCGATCCAAGCCGCAACACTCGGGTTGTTAAACAGCTTCTGGACAGGCATTGTGAGGGTGCCCTGAAACGATGTGAAGAGATGAAAGAAGGTCTTCTCTTTGCAGTAGCGAATACACTCAACAAGAGATGTACAATGAGACCGATACAGCGCTGCTAACGATTTAGCCGAATCTGGGTCGGTCCCGTTGGGCAGGAATGGTTCGATTCTGGGTAATATCAGCGGATCAGACTGGTGGAACGAATCCTCGCCGTCCTGTGCAAATGACAGTCGCAACATGGTCTTGGAGGTAGTGGAGTGCAGTTGCGCGAGGTTAGCGACATCAGGCTGGTTGTAGAGGCTATGAGCTTTGTTCTGCGCCGATGGTGGTCCTGCCGGTGTCGCGGATGCCTGCGGGATCTGGGGTGAAGGAAGGGCTGGCCTCTCTGCATTCATCGCAGGAGACTGAGAATGTGAAGTGCTGCGGAATGTCAGAACAGTGGTTGAATCAGGCGTGAGAAGAGGTACACTTACTTGAACGTCTGCGCGAACGAAGAGGGTTCCGGCATGGGAAGAGCGGGCTGGATGGCCGGCTCCCTAAGCTCGGGCTGATCATCCATCAAAGTGAAGTTAACATAATGATATTTTGACTCGCCGCGAACACCCAGTCTCCGCGTCTTCAGTCCTGGGAAGAGCACGCGAACCAGCTTTCCAAAGCTTGCCGGGTTCAAGACTGTTATTCTTTCTGTGGCACACCGGGAAGCGTAGTTGGCATAGACACGTCCTCTTGGCACGGAGCCTTTTCCTTTCGTACATACTGAGTTGATCCTGTGGAGATTTAGCACCATATCGTCGACCTACCGAAGTTTGGTTCACGAATCCAACATACCAGAGCATAGCAAAGACCTGTCGGGTCCGTTCGGAGTTGGGGCCTCGCTCATTCCCATGCAACTCTTGCGCAACTTCCCCCAGTTTGCGATGCTTGTTGTACTGGAAAAGCTGGCGCATCTCTAGCTCGTTGTTCGCACTCGTCCGACTCGAAGCCGGCTTCTGACCAGCTTGGGGTGCGGCGAGCGGATCACCCTCGTCGAGCTCATCGCGGTCCATCATCTGGCTATCGGGATCGGTAAAGCTGGCGCTTGCGCCGTATGTCTCGGCTGACAGCCCATGATGCAGGCCGGGGTGCTGAGAGTAGGAAGGCATGGCGGAGCCGACGGGTTGGTGCATATTGGAGTCCCCAGAAAAGGAGGCGCTCTGCATTCGCGATCCTGGACGCAGATTGATATCCTCGGCCGACATCTGTGATCCCACTTGCGAGCCCATCTGCGATCCCATCTGCGGTCCCATATGCGAAATCATATGCGAACCCATATGCGAGCCCATATGGTGTCCCATCGAGGACATATCTTTCGGTTGGGGCATGGCGCCATGGTCGCCTGCATTCCATTGTTCCGCGTAGGAGCCGTGGTTTGGGACAGCAAGGTTCTGTTCGAGAGTTGGCTGGGTCGCGATGCTGTGGACCGAAGCGGTCGAGGCTCTGGACTGGGGCCTCCTTCTCGGATGATGTTGCGACATTGCGCCGGCCTCGGGAGGCTGGGGGCCTGTACGATGTTTGTTAGATACATGCAAAGCAATGCACCAGAATTTCCTGCATCAATGCAAGAAGCCAGCGGAAAGGTATCGAGGCTGGCAGCAACAAAGAGGACAGTCTCTGGGGCTTTGAAAAGGGCAGGGCGTACCAGTCTCCATGATCCCGACGGTTGTTTACCCCAGTTCAGCAAATGCGACCACCACAATAAACACAAGACCAAAGCCCGGCGAGGCGGCCGCGAAGCTGGGGGGAGAGCGACAGGAAGAAGCCAAACTATAGAGGAAAAAGGATACAGAGGAAACTGTTGTCGCTGTGAGTTAGTGCATCAGCCAGGAGTCTTCGTGGGGAGGTGCACGTTTGGCCAGGACAGCTTCGAGGCAGAACACAAAAGCAGATGGGAAGAGAGTGGGCGGCCAAACAACAGAAAACTCTCGTCGGGGCAACCATCGAATTGCTGGACCTGAGGGACACCGGAGTTTAGCGAGGGGGCCAGCCCAGAGGATTGGGTGCAGATGGTCTGTGCACATGTGCACCAGAATTCACTGTGGCTGGGCTAGCTGGCCAGCTGGGATGGCTGGATGGCTGGGCTCTCGGGACGTGGCTAAAAATGGCGTGATGGTATTGGCCATGCAGCATCCACCAATCAATTCGTTGCAGCGCAGCTCACATCACGTGCCCGGCACGTTGCGGTTCGTGGCAGTTCGTGGCAGTTCGTGGCAGTGGGACCGGCCCAAACTCAGTCCTCCAGCACCAGCACCTTCATGTAATTTGATCTCACATTCTGCTGCTCCAAGGAATGCAAGTCTGGATTAGGTTACTGATCTAGAAGGACATGGAGGTGTTAGGATAAGATGATACCATATAGTATTCATGTAGTATTCATGGTATCCGTCTGAAGCCTGGTCTGGCTTGACAATGCCATTGCAGGGCCAGATTCATCAATGTTGGGTCACCGGCTCTCCAGGTAACTAATGACTCGACATCACTGTTCATTTGAACACATGCAGCACTGACAGGGAGATACTATGCTACGTGTGAGTAGATCTTGGAGGATAGATACGGTAAGATACGTTTGTTGACTGCATCCCATGTGAAACATGCTTGCCAGCCACCCAATTACAAGCACAGATATGTAGGAGACGAAGGATCGGATCGCAAACCAAAACGCAGGCAGAGCTGAGACCACGTCTGCCGCCTGCAAGCAGAACACTCCCGAGCGAGTTTGGAGTTTGCTGCTATGTAGGCTGGTAGGACGCAGAATGGGTGATTGTGACGACCTTTTGAGGTGTCTTTGCGGGGTGTCAGTACGGCATAGGCAGATATTCACAACCTGGAAAAGGGGGGGTCCCTATGACGGAAGACCCCGACTGGACGGAGTGACGACTGGATCTCCTCTAGGGCTACTAGATCAGCCCGACCTCCCGTCCGGCGTCCGCCAGCTAGTCTGTGTGTCTGGCTACGTAAGCCCATCCCAGCCCGTCATCCTTTGCACCCTCTGCCTTACCTCCCCTTCCACTCCCACACTCCTGATCCAACAATTGCCAACTTCCGGATAATCGTCTTCATACCCGTAAGTACCATCTGCCGCAGCATCATTGTCGTCCCGCGAGACACATCTACAAAAGCAAAGGTCTTAGACAGCAACCACGCGCTGCTTACCTCCTCTTTGCCGTCTCCATCTCCCAATAGGCAAGGTGGCTTTTTGCTAACCCTAATACCACAGCTCTCCACCGCTATCGCTTGACATCACCAAGTCCATCCCCACCTCCGAATCCTCGTAGCGACTCTTAACTACACCTTTACTATATTATCGCAATCATGTCTGCCCAGGACCGTGTCCAACACTACGTGTCATCGCTCGACCGCGAGGTATGCCCTCCGACGTGTCCTACAGCCTCGAGTCCACCACGACTTGTGTCGCATGCCTCCAGAGACTGACCTGTTGATGCGCAGCTGTCTAAATACCCCACCTTGACCAACCTCGAGAAGCAGACTTCGGTCCCCAAGGTCTACGCTGTCATCGGCTTGGCCACTCTGTACTTCTTCTTCATCGTCTTCAACCTCGGTGGCCAGCTCTTGACCAACTTCGCCGGCTTCATCATCCCCGGATACTACTCCATGGCTGCCTTGTTCAGCACCACCAAGGCTGACGACACCCAATGGCTGACCGTATGTGTCCATCTATTATATACACCTGCGCAAAATGTCTCTTGTAGCTAACTGTCTGCCATTAGTACTGGGTCGTCTTCGCCTTCTTCACGTAAGCGCACCCTTGGGAAGTACCGTGGGTGAATCCATCGTTGCTAACCAGTGTTGTAGTGTCGCTGAGAGCGCGTTGAACATTGTCTACTGGTTCCCCTTCTACTTCACCTTCAAGTTTGTGTTCTTGCTTTGGCTGGCTCTGCCCACGTTCGGGTACGTCCCCATCACTCCCATCCCGTGATAATCATCCACTGACAGTGTCCTCTACAGCGGTGCTCAACTCGTCTTCCGATCCTTCCTGCAGCCAATGCTCGGAAAGTACTTCTCTGAGTCCGGCTCCACCGCTGCCAACCTTCGCGCGAAGGCCGACTCGCTGGGCAAGGACCAGTAGACTGGATCACATTGGACCCCGACGGCCACTGCCCGCTGTCAGGCAGCTGTTAAGCCACACGGCCTCAGCATGCCCCTGTGGGCGTCTGGACAATATAGGATCGTCGAAAGCGGATTTCTTTCACTCGAGACAATGACACCTTATGAAGGCCCTCGTGGCCCGGCTCGGATATGGTAACGTGGCTAGGAGAGTGTTCCAGACCTTTGTTCAGCCCAGTAGCTCTATGCATTATTGGAGATTACCTTTACCTGGCGCTCTGGTACGGCTATAGGCTATTCATGAGGGACGGAAATATATATGTATGGTGATATGAAGTGTGAACCGATTTTCACATGTCTGGAGATCTCAATACGCTTGGACAAGTGAGATCCCAACCACAATTCCGTCGATACGAAGTGGTTCCTCAAAATCTGCAGCAGTGACTACAGATGTGATGTACAGGTGCGCATTGCGGCCGTGCTAACCCATGTGCAGGCCGGCCAGCGCGTAGAACGAGGTTCCCGACAAGTATTCGGTTATCCTACTGACAACACTGGTCATAATATCCAATAGAAGATACTATTAAGGTTCTCATCACGCTGCGACAATTTATGTGGCGACGTCATCCGAGAAGCTCCGGATCTCGATAGCCATGACTATCTTGACTATATACTCCACCAACTGGGATATACCTGAATGCCAGTCCTGGCCAAGCTCAACATCCTTCAGCGATTGAACGGATTATTGCTCTGTAGACATCGAGGAGATTCAGGGCGCAGCGTAGTACGACCGCGGCTCCGTCTGGATCAAGTGAAAGATCGAATCGGGTTATGAACCGCAGCAGCGACGGTGTCGGCCGAAGACGTATTCTTGCTTGTTGGTGGAACGATGAGCTGCCAAAACGGGTCAGCTCCTCCGCATATTACCACCATGATCAAATGCCAGACACATCGCAGGTGAGCTGCTCAGTTAGGTGCCTATTATCAGCAAGCTCAACCACCGCTTCAGACCTGTCCAGTTGGAGGGTCCATTGCGTTGGGCGGGCTGAGCGTTCGGATTACCAAATAGTACTAGTCATCATGGCAGACTGTATGCGTGCAAGAGGAAATTGAAGGAATTTGCGCTTACCTTGGTTGGTGTACCTTGCGAGGGACGCTCCGATGGAATGCAGTTTTTAGTCGCAGATGCAGAAGCAGACGTACCGTTCACGGCATGTGTCAGGTAATCCGCAGCCCCAGCACGTGGGAGGAATGGACGAGACAGATCGGGTACCTGTGTCTGTTTTGCAGACAAACAGAAGGCAAGATGAGATGTCCAGACTTGCTTTAGGTCATCACCGCATCATGGGTCGCCCGGTGAAGGGCCCTCGTGATAATGGTTTTAATAAGCAAGGGCCTCTGGTTTTTAGGCAGAGGGTCACTCTCGACACACTCATCGGAGTCGCCAGCAGCGTTGGGAGGCAGAAATACCTGAGGCGGGCTGGCGATGATTTGAGTTGGTGGTCTGAACTGTTAAAGATTGGAAGCAGAAGAGAGGGCGAAAAAATGGCCGGTCCACCTATTTATTCAATTTCTTCTTGGGTGTAAACGGACGGCCCGCTGGCAAACCTGCCGGGCCGCGAATGACGTGCACAGATCGTTTTATTAGGTACCTACCTGTAGTCACGGGCTTCACCGCTGCCAGCTGCAGTGCGTGCCCTGTGCAGTGGTGCGCAGCACTGGAACACCACAGCTGGCTGCATGCAGTTTTGCTCAGCTCGACCCGACCCCACAGTGGACACAGCAGCGGTCGCAGAGCCCATTTGTTAGCGCTTCCTTCAGGCTTCAGTCCCCTCTGCAGAGGTTCCGACCGATTGAGGACAGGCAGTGGGTGGTAACTACTAACGCCACATTGAGCTTGCTAGCTTCTTTTTCCATTGGGTCCATCGCTGGACTCTGGAGCCTCTGGCAGGCGCATGGAAAACATTTCGACCTCTCATGACTTTCTACCTCTAATAATTATTATTCTGATCTGTTACAGTTCTTCCTGCCTCCATCTCTACCACATAATCGTTACTACCACTCTACCCGCTACCAGCACACTTCTGTTCAAACACCGCTTCTTGGCTATGAGCAGCATCACTTTCGTCTCGTCTTAACCCACCATCTTGAGACACCCAGCATCCTCAATAGGTACCGATACTTCATACTGATACCAATACTAATAATCGACCACCCACATACCCGAAACCACCACCTGCCTCGAAGTGCTTGACATCACAACCACTCCACGGACCGCAGAAGCTATTGCTGCTTGACACGTCTCCAGATAATCACTCGAACCTAACGAATTGGCCGCATCCCACAGTAAACCGATTCAACATCGCGACGACGTTCACATAGTTCGAATACAAGAAGTGGGAATTCGAGGGGCAACTGCAGTTCCAGCTATTCTCAAACTTCGCTGAACGACCGGCTCCCATCCTCGACTCTCATCATGGATAAACAAGAATCAATATGGACCAGACGTAACAAGTATGTACCCTCTTTCGTCCATTGCACTTCTGCCTTCATCCCAAGCCAGCGTGTCTGACCTCCGCAGCCTCAGCAACCTTTCTCTGTCCACGCCCGGCAACACAGACACTTCCACTACCCCCCGGGACTTCTCGGGCCTTTCACGAAGGAATGGCGGCACGTCCTCCCATGGCCGCTCGAACCCCTTCGGCTCGACGACCCCCGGGGGAGCAATGGCGTCTCCTACTAGTGCCGGGGGGGCAGCTCAGTTCGGTCTCGGGTCAGGCGCATTCGCATCTTTCGGTTCGGTCAAGACACCAAAGACACCAGGCAACCCTTTCGAGCAAGCTATGGGCGTCATTGGTGCCAAAACCCCATCGAGTGAGAAGTCGGCCAAGGACGCGATGCGGCCTGCTGCCAGCGGTAAACCCACAATGGATGTCATCGCCGAGACCACGACCCAACGGCCCTCTTCAACAACTCCACACCACATACGCGATAGCTGGGTTTTCTGGTTCCGCCCGCCCATCACGAAAGCGAACGGATACATCGAGTATGACAAGACCTTGCATGCGATGCTGGCGGTGAATACTGTGGAGGAGTTCTGGGTGGCCTACCAGCACCTGAAGCGCCCCTCCTCACTACCTATCGTGTCCGACTACCACTTGTTCAAGAAGGATATTCGGCCCATATGGGAAGATGATGAGAACAAGCAAGGTGGCAAATGGATACTTCGGCTTAAGAAGGGAGTAGCGGATCGGTATTGGGAAGACCTTCTCTTGGCTTGCGTGGGGGACCAGTTCGGCGACGAGTCTGATGAGGTCTGCGGCATCGTGTTGAGTATTCGCAATGGTGAGGACGTGCTCAGTATCTGGACTCGCAGCACTGGACAGAAAGTCCTCAAGATTCGGTACGTGCTTGCTTGACTGTACTCGAATGCTTCTTACTAACTATGGCTAGCGAGACGATGCGCCGCGTGCTCAACTGCCCTCCCGAGACTCGCATCGAATTCAAGAGTCACGGCGATAGCATGCAACAGCGCGTAGCCATCGAAGAGTCGCGTCGCGAGAAGGCAGCCCACAACAACCATGGCGATAAGCGCAACAAGACGCGTCAAACACAAGAAGACCAACGTTCCTAGTCAGATCAGTTCCCATCTATTGGCAGCAGATTAGGACCTCTGTTCGCTGACGGATTCGCGTCTCATTCTACGACGCAAATGTAGCACACTCGCAAAAGTAGAGGATGCAGACGTCCACTTTAGGGGACAATTAGACCCGGAAGGCACGTTGGGTCCCAACTTTGATATGGGCTCTATGTTCAAATACTGGCATTCCCTCTCAAGATCTGTTGTTTGGCTATGGGTCATGCGACGTGGATACCGCGAGCCATTTAGCTACCTCAGGGCGGGCGGGACAGAGCAACACCTGTGTATGAATACGGAGGACCAGGCAACCTCCTCATAAGTCATCAGCGTTGGAAGCATTGCTTATGCAAGCGTATGGATTTTGCGAAGGGCCTTTTCCTTCCTGTTTACTAGGGGTCTTCGATCCCGTCGAGCCCTTGGGACACCGCTGTATTACAAAGATTCTTGTATCACCACTGGTTAGCAAGATCACGGAAGACCGTTGTCAGCTGCGCACGTGAGTTTTCCAATGGAGATAATTCTTGCAATGATCGATCTTGGACCCGGATGGGCGCGCGTGCCCCTTTCTTGTATTCATGTAAGCATGGGCGAATGGAGTAAGGAGTAAGCCCTAGAGCCGGAATCCAGCCTCGAGTTGTCGATTGGTTGATCACGTCAGCTGCCTTCTCTCTCCTGATGCCTGATATCTATCCCCGAGCGATTCGTCAATAGTTCCGTTTTTCAGTCGGAAGAGTAGTGCTGTGGGTCATTGACTCGCCTCCGACGTCCTCATATGCGCTGGGTCGCGGTGTCTTTTCTGTTTTTGCCCCGTTCCGCTCGCCAGAACCAGAACTTCCGGCACGAGGAATGAGGGAAGTGCTCGTAAAACGTACATATGGGGAAAGTACTCTTCTTGGAGGCGGGTCTCGCAATACGGGCCTGGGAGAGCTGTTTATTGGGCATGTAGGTGCTCAGCGAAGGCTTACATGATAGTCTGCATGTGTACGACAATTGCCTACATCGTTTGAGCTACATGTAGAGCCACATCCTGAGGGTTTCTGCAGGTACCCGTGTATGACAGGCCTGCCAGTTGGTGATCAGTCAGCTAGCTTGCTAGTAGATACTTGTACGACGCTGGTCCTGTTCGTGTTACTTGGTTCCACGGGCACACTTCGTATTGAAGTCTCTGTCTGCGTGCCTTGGTAGGATTCCCAGATATACCTCGATAGGCTTTGTTTAGAATAAGCACCCTGGTATAAGTATTCCCTGTGTCAGGGTTTAGTGTTGCTTGTTCTACAGAGGTTATTCCACAGATTTGTCGGCAATGCCCCTGAATACCGAGGCTGTGTTCCGGGAACTGTCTGGCGTTTCTGGGAGTAGGCTTCTAGATTGGCGACGACTTCACTGGTGCTCTTTCCGGAGCCATGTAATGTCTGCTTTACTGGCGGCTCCCAACGAGAGCGAGGAGAACAACTAGGTGACTAGTTGGACTACGTGGTGGTACGGTTCAAGCGACCTTGTTACGACCTTGGCTTAGGGGTGTACGGATGGAGCCTTCCAAAGACCCGGTATACCTACAATGGGAATCGGTCGGTCGATGTACTTACGAGTACTACGTGTCCCTGCCACTGAACCCTAACTAATGACTGCCTATCCTTGTATAGTCCATCATGCGGGCATATCGTCAGTGATCAACACGGACTGTTGGCTCCGATTCTGGGGCACGTTGTATGTGTCGTGGTGAACTGGTAGGATACATTCTCCGGCATAGCCCTGATCATATCTCCTCGAGGAGGTGGGCGAATTATGCTATCAGCGGAAGCCATTCATTTCCAATTGCCAGCATGTCTACGTAGAAGCTAAAGATGGATCGTTCATGGCGGTGATGTTGTGTGCATCGTGTATCACGGAGTTGTTGTGGCAGAGGTATGGCCAGAGTCAAAGTCTGCATTCTAGAGAAGGAAAACACGTGTAGAAATCATACAGGAGACCAGCAAAACTGTGCCAGATGTTCATCGACATATGACAGTTCGTAACATTCACAGCAATGGCAGAGGAGACTACGAGAGAGCTGCAGCCATACTCACCCCCAGAAAAGATAAAAGAATACGTGATGCCATCGTGAAACCCGGGGCACGTATACATTGCATACTCTATAGAAGCTTCATCACTAGTCTACAGGCCTTTCATTGTCCCACAGAACCAGGGCACCATCATGTCCACCGAATACATCCATAACGCCCCTATATCAACATCTCAAGTCCCCTGAGAGGAACACCATATCTTGCGGGTACGTGAACCCCAACCCGACATGTCACCTGTGAACTGGGTCACTCCTGATGTCCAGTACCCTTCCGTAGGGCTGTCTAGCACCGCTACAGAGCAGATCGTCCTTAAGACCTGAGCAGCCCCGGAGAACATCGAAAATCCAACCAGGGGGCGAATGCTGTAGCACCTAGCTTAAAACGCTCCTTGAGAGGATCAGCTGGTAACTGAGGCCCGCAGCAAAGCTCGGTCACATCAGTCGTCACGATATCATCACCTGCATGGAACTTATTCAGCCTGGAAACCACCCGGGATCAAGATACAGTATATACGACATTCACTCGGATGCGTACTAACACAGTTGGGTCATGACACTCATATAATTCAGTCTCCTCTAACCGGGATCACAGGATCCATCAAAGCAGCCAGACGCCCCAAAGACGCCTCATAGACGCCTCACAGGACCTCAACGACTCTATGTACAAGTCTCTTTTCCTTCCGATGCAACAGCAAGTTTTCCTGCCCCGGCGCTACTGGTGGGTGGGCTTGACATGTAGGTTCTCTAATAGCACCTCCCTCTTTGCCATGGACATCGTGCCCCCTCAAAGGCGGGTATCATACGCTCGAAACTCCGATTGATGCAAAATCCATAGGGACAATATGTACCCTTCCTAGACAGAGGCTGTAGGAAGCAAGACCCAATGCTTGACGGACTTTCTCTTCTCATCCGGTGGCGTGACGCGGTGGGCGACGACATCTAGCGTCGCTTTCACCTGTGCTTTGGTGCAACTAGCAAACTTCTTTGCCAACATCTCTATGACGGTGGCTTTGGAGTATTCCTTACACTCGTCGCTAACCAGGGTGCTCTTAAAGTCCTCAATGTACTTGTCGGGGATGTGGTCTTTCTTGTCCTTCGTCGCCGACGATGAAGCCTCTCCAGGTACGGCAGGGGGAGGCATGAAAGCCTTGGAACCTGATGCTGACATGCCTGTGGACTTCTTAATCGGCGCCGGCCAATAGCTGCTTGAAAAAGGGTTGATCATCGAATGATGATCAAGCGATTCTGTGATCGTGATTAGTGGGAACAAGATATGTCACGGGGACATAGTGACGACTCACCGAGCAAGAACTCGAATCGGAATTTGTAGGTTGTGGGACACGGTCCCAGCCGTTTCCGGTTCTCGTAGCATATGCCCGTACTCTTGGGCTGATTGTCGGCCTCAAACCTTGGGCGCATGACGTTTACAGCCTCCGAGTCGTCGACAAAGTCGTCCATCTCTTCATCGCCATCAACGTCCTCTTCCTCATCCTCGGCATCGTCGAGGTTTTCCCCATCTTCTTCGTCGTCTTCGACCCATTCCGCCTCCGAATCATAGTCGTAGGTCAGTGGTAAGATTCTCCCCTTGGGGTTACGGGAGAGGCGCCGCAGCTGTTTAACCGACGTAGGTGCCGTCATAGTGCCGAAATATGGTGGCCGGACATCTTCGTAGAAGGCCAGGTACTTCATTGGAATTGTGTTAAGCCGGTCCTGTGCGTCGATTTCGAGCTGTGCGTTCTGGGCCTCAGTTCTTAAACTCTGGATATCAAATGCCGTCTCGTACGGGTCCCCATGCACTCTCTCCATGGTGTTTCTGACACTCGACGGGACTATTCCTCGTTGAGACGGGAAAGCAAGATCGAAAGTGGCTGCCGCGTTGAAGGGCTTGGGATCGAACTCGCCGCGCTCACCACGGATATACTCGTCGAGGATATTGGACTTCGCTTGCTTGGTTTCGTCGTCCATCTGGAACGGAGCCGGTGCAACAGTCATGTCGTCCTTGACAAAAAAACTCTTGAACATGAGATCGTAGGGGGAGATGGTAGGCTTTGTCTCCTCCTCGAGTGCAGCTGGGCTCGCGTTCTCTGGCGACGGCTTGACAGGCTGGGCCTGATCAACCACCATAGCCGCGTCCTTCTTGGTAGGTGTAGAGGGCGCTTTCTTGACGAAAGAAGCCATCAGGTTCTTCTGCTTTGCCTGCAGAGCCAATTTGCGCTGAGCGGCCGCGTCCTCCTGCTGTTTCTTGCGCTTCTTGGCCTCCTTCTCAGCCTCCAACTTGGCTTTCTTTGCCTCCTTCTCGGCGTCCAACTTGGCTTTCTCGGCGGCTTTGGCGTTCTTTGCGGCCTCCTTCTCGGCGTCAAGTTTGGCCTTTTCGGCAGCCTTCGCGACCTTAGCAGCTTCTCGCTCAGCAGTCAATCTGGCCTTCTCAGTAGCAGCCGCCTCGAGTTTCAGCTTCTTCTCGACCCGCTCCTTCTCCTGTTCGGCCGTTGTAAGCTTCCGCTTCTTAGGTTGCGCGGTCTTGGCAACAGTCGCGGCAGATGCGGTGGTGACAGGCGTGGTGTTCATCGGTAGAAGAGGAGATCTAGATGGCGTTGATTGAGGTGGTGGGGAGTCCCGAGCAGGCGTGCTCGATCCCGCATCGGTCAGTGCAGCCGGGCTGCTGCCTGGGGTTGAGTTCATCGTGATGCTGGGTACATGAGCCAACTCTGTAATTGTGTTCGGTCAGTAATCGGAGGTGCGTGAAGTTGAGAGGGGAGAGGGGAAAGTGGGAGAATAGGTAGGTTGAAAGCGGCAATGTTGAGAGTAAGAGGACTGGCTCCAGGGACTTACGAGGTTGGCGCTCGACGGCTGAGGCAGACATTTCGAGAGACTTCTGCTCCAGTGGGTTCTCCGATTGCGAGGAGTAGTCAACGGTGACCTGAAGAGCGCCGTCGCCAATGTAATCGTCGTGCGTACGCTTTCGCAGTGCGGACTCCGACTCCTGAATGTTCGGAGATACAGGGAAAAGAGGCATCGGTGCGACCAAAACAGAGCACCAGGCTCCTTCACGATGTTGATGTACAGAATGTGGTGACGAGGAGGTGGTGTAGTTGCGAGGTGCGAGGTGCGTGGATGTGGGATGGAAGGTGGTGGAGTGAATCCAGCACGCAAATGGAAGATCAGGCCGCCAAAGGGACTCCGAGTGTGCAGGATACAGTCTCGTCGGTAATGGCAGAGAGACGACCCGTTAGTAGGAGGCAACAATGTACAAATTGGCAAGTGAGTGTGGTGCTGTGTTCAGACTGCCTCAGAAGAAGGCATCACAGTTGGGGTGGAGGAGGTGTCGTGTGTCTGAGTTGAGGTATCCAACACAGAAGCACTGAATTGAGTGCTAATGGAACTGGGGGTCCCCTAAGAACGCGTCAACTACGCGTTGCAGGGGGGACCCCCAGAGGGGACGCGTTAAGCGTGCACGCAAGAGGTCTCCAGCTCGGGAGACCCCAAATCTGCAAGAATCGAAGTCGAGAGTCGATGGCTGGACGGGACCTACATGAAGGTGGTCAGAGCTTGAGCGGCAGAGTGTGCCACAGCCACAACGACAGCCACAAGCCACCAACCACCAGCGCCATCCCTCAGCCAATCAGAGGAGCGAACAACGGAATGGCGTGATTCAAGCACCATCTAGTGAGTGGTCTGTGCTTTGAGATTTTCTGCCATCCCCAACCGCCTCTGGATCCAATAAATAGCTGGCTTCCCTCCCTCTCTCTCTTTTCCTTTTCCTTTCTTCTTCATACTTACCTTGGAACGAGGGGGGGAGCTCAAAATTCCCTCCCCTCAGGGCAGGAAGCCTGCATTGCACATCGCGGCGCGGACTGCCCTGTATTATCCTTCGGGATCGTACGTTCCGCAATTTTTGCTCTCAACCTCTTTTTTCATTGTGTGCGGTGCCTTGTGCATCGCCATGAGGAAGAATTGGCCCTTCCGCTTCCCGTCCTCAGTGCTGTGGCCCCTCGTTGTTTCCTTGTCTGTTCGATCGTGATGGTTGCCGTGGTGGGAGATAACTTCGCTGAACCTGGCTCAGTACTCACCCGTGGAGCACAATATCATACATCTTGGAAGCCTGAGGTTCTACCACGATATGCACAATTCGCCGGCTCGAATTGTCACAAGAACGAGTTCGCCAACGTCTACAATTGATAGCATCTAACACGGAACTCAATATTGAACCAGTCTCGTATCTCTGAGGTCTGAACTGCAATCCTCTGAATCGTGATGACTTGCGACTTTGCTGTGGTGTGGTTGAAGGTCGATCGCTGGCTGCTGACGATACCTTTCGAAGCTCGCAGGCCACGACCGGGAACTGAGAGTAGTGAACCACCATTCTGCCTCCTTTGTCCTATGTAAACAGACTGATGTTGACAATATCGCGTATTTATTGGATTTGCCTGCTGGAGTCACGCAGCCAGTCCCTCGCGCATCAACGAGCCAGCCAAAGCCAGTATCATCGGGGGTACTGCCGAGCATAGTACACTATTCAAGTAGCTATTAACATTTACATAGAACCATCCAATAAATGCATGAAGGCTCTGCTGCGCTCAATGGCAGAGTTTTCGCCGCCAGTCGAGTCCTCCGACCGCCGACAGGCATCACGTCAGCCACGGCGTGCAACATACGGAAAGGACACGCAGAAGAGCTTCGTGCGTGATATAGAAGTAGGACATCGTATTCACTGACGTCGAGCGCAAGACGGGACGTCCTGCCACCTGCCTTTAACCCTGGCAGGACCGACACCAGCTGGCGGAGTCAGTCTTGACCCAGAGATTTTGGTGTGAGAGCTCCAACAACGAGCATCACGAGAGACCAGAGCAGCATTAGGAACTCCATAGCGATCCATTTGGAGGGGATCATACGTATTGTCGACAGATTCTCTAGGAAGTCATCAAGCAACGACCACATCCAACTCCTTCCAGCGAAATCCAGTGCAGAATGGCGTCGCTAGGTGCCCGAGGAGCTCTCTCGACAGCTCGCACCAGCAGCAGAATCGCGACAGCGATCTCGAGCACACCAGTCCTCACCACTAGAAGGTACATCCCTCGACTCCTCTCAGCCCTCATCCTGACACCCGTCCATCCACCTCACCTCACCTCACCTCGCTTTGTACGCTAACACCACCCTGACAGAGCCTTCTCCTCCCTCCCACACCTCCGCCCCACGATCCTGCCCACGAGCAGCGCCGTCTTCCGCCCGTGCAACAGCAGCAACACGCTCCTCTCCCGCCTCCCCACCACGCCTACCACCTCCTCCTCCGGCGAGATTGCGGACATCGTCCCCAAGGCGTCCATCACGGCGCACCCGGTGTTCGGCGGCCAAATCCGCTGCGGGCCGCGGCCGACGATGGCGACGACGAGCCGGCTGGTGCGCAAGCGCAGACATGGGTTCCTGAGCCGCGTGCGCACGCGTAACGGGCGCCGCACGCTGCAGCGCCGGCGGGACAAGAACCGGTCGATCTTGTCGAACTGAGTTTGGATTACGAAAGCAAGTGCGCTGCTGGGTCGTCGCGTGAGGGGTGAGGGCTGTGAGGTCTATGGGTCTGCCTGTCTGCCTATATCGCTGGTCCTGGAAACAGCGGTGGATCGTGGACCTGATCTGAGAGCGAAGTGCAAAATGATGGGAGCAGGAGCGGGCGCGGGCGAGGGAGAGGAGATCGATTCGTTGTATGATATCAAGATGCTTCCCGGGACAGAGGGAAGAGACAAGAGACGAAGGTGGTGTATATCAAGCTTGCCCATAAACTGTACTATACACGGAAGACTCTCCCGAGTAGAGGAAATATCCCATCACCGATACGAAAGAGCTCTTACGATGCTTCACTCGATTGCGATTCTCCTCAACTGTCTGGGCTTGGACGATTAGCCAGTGATGATGATACTTTACTCTTGGCCCGTGTAGTAACTATCATACTTGTGGGATGATATGGAAGCTTCAAAGCCCTGGATATCTAGTTGAGTACGATATCGGCCACCATACTCCTCAGTCGATCATACCGTTTAGTGGAGAGCAAGCTTCCACTGCCCCGAGACTACATATCAGTTACTTGATTCGCAGATTTTTCCACGTACCGACCTACTGGTTGGCCTGAGACGTCTGATCTTTCAACAGCTACTTCGTAGTAAACCGTACAGGCCTACAGTGTACCGGATCAGCAGGTGGATTACACGATTAAAAGTAAGACAAATCTGCAACCTACATAAAGTACGACGCGGAGAGGGAGTTGTGTGCAAGAAATATAAATTACTAATTAAGGAAATGTGTTCTCAAGACCAGAGACAGGTAATAGGTAGTAAGGTAGGTAGGTATATACGAAGCCCCCAACCGGATCCAACTCCCATCCATATCCAAGCTCGTCTCTCCCTCTTCCACATCCAAACAAGCACCCCCTCAACCAAGCCGACCCCCCTTAGACAGGCCCCTCAACACCACTCTCACAAGAAAGCGTATCGCTATAGCACACCGTCCCCAGCGCGTCGCTCGCCTGCCCCAGCCACACGCTGTAGCGGCCCGTGGTGCTCGGCACGACCCAGTTTTGTTGCATGACGTCCCACACGCTGACGTCCTTGCGCGTGAGCGTCAGCTCGACGGTCGCGCTCTCGCCTGCTGCTAGTGTGGCTGTCTTGGCGAAGTCGCGCAGCTGGATGATGGGCGTGTCGTAGGATATGTCCGTCGGGAATTGGACGTAGGCTTGGGCTACGGCCTTACCGGCGAAGGCGGTAGTGGCGGCGGCGGTTGTGTCGGTGGTGTTGGTATTGGCGTTGGTATTGGCGTTGGTGTTTGGCGAGCTCGAGTTCGAGTTCGATGACGAAGCAGAGGCCGCGGCGGCTTCGTTGGTGATGGTCACGGAGATGGTGTAGGCGACGTCCCACAGCGCGGCATTACCACCACTCGCGCCGCCCGCAGCCGTCACGTCGGTGCGCTGCTCAGACGAGTAGCCCTCTGGGTAGGGATAAGTCTCCTCGCCCGCAGCGCCGATGGCGTACGCGGCGTCGGCCTCGATATCGCTGAGCCACGAGTACAGGTAGCGCCAGATCGCAACGAAGCCGACGGGGTAGTAGGCCTCGGCGGCGGGCGGGAGGGTGGTGTTCAGGGCCGCGACGGGGGAGATAGGCTTCGGGTCGCGGGCCGGCGGCAGCGTGGAGAGCTCGGTCACGCGTGTGATGGTGGCGTTGGAGAACGAAAAGTTGGCGTAGCTGAGCCCGTGGCCGAAGGCGAAGCGCGGCTTGGTGCCCGCCTTGTTCAGGTACCGGTAGTCGATGTAGAGGCCCTCCGAGTACGTGTCCTGGATCTGCGACAAAGTCGGCGTCGATACCAAGCCCACGCTGTCGGGGTAGTCGTCCTCGGAGACCGGGATGCTGTATGGGAGGTGGCCGCTGGGCGACACCTCGCCGTAGAGGACCTCTGTCAGCGAGTCGCCGGCCTCTTGACCGGGGAGATGCGCCACGAGCACGGCTTTGACGGAGGGCAGGTCGATCCATGATTCCATGGTTATGGGCCCGACTGTATGCACGACGACGACGACGTTGCTGTACTCCGCCGCGGCATTTTGCACCAGCGTGTCGCCGCCGTGCCATGCCGCCAAACCATCGGCATCGCGGTCTCCGTGGTTGTCTTCGACGGTGTACGAGTTCTCGCCCGAGTCCGAGTTGATGAACACAATAGCCACATCATCTTCGGTGGGCGTCTCCACACTTGGGAACGTGTCAGTATCATAGTACGTCACGTTGGTGGCCTTGCGCCGCAGCGAGCTGATGGGGTCGTCGAGGTATGGATAGTTGGCGCTGCCCGAGCCCCAGCCCATGCCCACCAGGCCGTGGTTGCAGCTCTTGTCCGTGCACGAGTTGATACCGTTAGGGTCAGCTTGAGAGTCGGTGCCAAACACGAAGAGTGATGAAGACGTTGACAGCGGCAACATGCTCCCGTTGTTCTTCAGGAGTGTGATCGCCTCTTGTGCCACCTGCTTGGCTACCTTCCAGTGGTCATCCTGCACGTTGACGTACTGGTTGACGACGCCTATGGGAGAGACGACGGCACCTGGGTATAATGGCCCGACGGCGTCTGCCGTGTTGGACGAGAAGTTCGGAGGCGGATAGTCCTGGTCCTGGCCGAGCTGATACCAAGTGGCGACGACTCGGGTCGCCATGTCGTTCAGGCGGTCGACAGGCACGGAACCGTTCAGGACAGATCGGGTGAGCTCGTACTGCCAGTCGCTAAGTCCGGTTAGGGGAATGTTGTTGCCAATGGTGTCTCCAGGCATCGACATGTCGAGTCCAGCTAGAGCGGAGGCGACTCCTGAAATCTGAGCTAGCCAGTCGGTCATGACCAGACCTTGGAAGCCAAGTTCCTCCTTCAAAAGACCATTGATCAAGTAGCTGTTCTGGGAGTCGGCGGATCCGTTGACCTAGGAGACGTGTCAGAGACCAAAAGCAAGCAGTTGAGGGACACACTTACAGCAGGGTACGCTGTCATGATTGAGCCCACACCGGCATGGACACCCTCAGCGAATGGCCAGAGATACAGCTCATGCAATGTTCGGTCATCTAGGAAGTGATCAGTCATCTCCGCAGAAACGGCATGTCAGGCCAAATGTCAACTTACCGATGTTCGAGCTGTAAGCCTGCTGCAAGAGGTTGTACATGCGGTAGAGCTCCTGTTCGTTTCCGATCAGATGCTTCAGCGTGGCGATGACACCTTGCTCCTGAGCTCCTCGAATGGTCTCAGCTCCTGCGATGGCTTGAAGCACAGGGTCCGCGCCGAACCCCTCCCAGTTTCGCCCTCCTCTGGGCTTTCTGCCGAGCGCACCAACCACCGGACCGAGATAGAAGTTGGCGCCCTTGCCTCGGAACTCTTTGCCTATCGCGACGCCCCTCTGGTAGATGAGATCCTTATCCCATGTAGCTCCGGTCGTGATTCCCGCTGGGAAGGCGGTGATGTTGTCAGTGGTTCGAACGCCCAGTGGTCCATCTTGCAAGCATAGTTGCGGGAAGCCTAAACGAGGTACGCTGCCGGTATTTCCAACACAGGGTCCTAGAGACATCAGGTCAGACACGATCCCTAGTCATATTGCTCGTCATACTGCTCGTCATACTGCTCGTCAAGTATTTATTAACATACCCTAACAGGTTGTTAGCGGTCTGACTTGATAATAGTCCCCTAAAGTGAAAGAGGAAGCTCACCATATATAGACCAGTACCAGCAGTGATGTTAACCTTCTCGGCCAAAGTCATATTCGATACCATGTCGACGGCTTTCGCATAGCTGTCACTCCACTCATCGGACCAGCCGCCGTAGGGCGCCGGATAATACGGGGCAGCGACATAGCCATCTGGGACCGGGTCCCGGCGCTGCAGCACGGAGGCAAATGCTGATGAAGCTACTAAGAGCACAAGCGAGAGACTGCGGAGACCCGAGGGAAACTCCATGTTGATGATGACCATTATTAGAAACGAAGGTGTTGCAGGTGAGATGATTCCCAGCAGATGGAAAAACTCATATGGGGATTATCCAGAACTTAAGCGAATGAATGAATGCTCGCGTGCAGTGGCGCGCCGTAGCTCACGCGGCGGACATGTGGACGGAGATGGAATAAGAAAGCGGCAATGTCATAGAATCGCGACTGGCAACGGCTCATTAGGTTACATATGCAGTGGTTCACTCTGCAGAAACAAGGTACGGGGGAGATTGTGGTCCGGGGTTCTTCCCAGATCCCAAGCCTCCGTAGATACCGCAGCAGATTGCAACCACGGAGAAACAGTCTGCTAAGCTCATGGAGTCGAGCAGCAGCCAGCTGCTAGAATAGGAGAGTCGCACGAGACCATCTACTATCGATCAGGGACTCCCTATGTCTTGGACTATGTCAGCAATCTACAGTACTCGGTCATTATTCTTCCGCAGACTCCGTGCATGATCGAGACAATAGGAGAGACGGCAGGGTGCGCATCCAATAGTATGGGATGGTTCACGAACACGACAGGGTTTTTACTTCAGCTTGGAGAATCCATGACTTATAATGAGTCTGTTCAGCAGGCGGTTCGGGCCAGTGATCTCGATAACAACATATGCAGAATGGCTCCAAGGACCAATACCCAGCATTTCTTGAAGTCGGCTCGAGGTCAGTACGGGTCATCCAGATGCTCTGGGCTGCTTGTGCTACGCATCCACTGATTATGTCGTGAATCGAGTATCGGCTGGACCAGAAGAGGCTAAGAGCACAGATCTATTGAGCTTCGTCACAGCCTCACAGGGCCGGTTGGACCGTTGGAGTGCGGGGAAGCATCCATGATGAGTCCCAAACGAGATGTGGTGAAGAACCCGGCAGTGCGGCAATATGTGTTGTGCTCCGGGTTGCATTCGAGATGCATCGAAGCGCTGGGCGTCGGCTGGCTGTCATAGATCCATATCGGATGCGACATTAGACAGCCACTTGATACTGAATCGAGTTCTGGACGCATGTGTGCACGCGGATCCGGTGTGGTAAGGTAACATCTTCCATGGAATGAATGTCTTCGAACCTCGAGACGGTTGAGAGGAGACTATCAGCACCGTACCTTATATTGCGATATATGGACACGGAGATATGGATATTCACTACGCCGACTTATTGATGGAAGGGGGGCTGTCTAGGGCGTACCTGAGCCTCGGCGCCCCTCAAGTCAAACATTACGAACATCCACTTCATGTTCTATTTTGGCACATCTCCATCATTCACCATTCAAGCATCCACCCCCTTCCATTTTGAGTACTCAATTCGCCCAAGTTCGGCAGCGGCCGGCAATGAAGAGCTGTCTAATCTGCCCGAGATTTGGACAAGTCATGCAGCTCCATACAGGCTGTGCGGCTATCAAACTCTTCCACAGCCGTTTGAGGAGATTCCTCCGAGGACACCAAGGGCCATGGATAATTCGACTCTTCCTCCCCACACTCGCGACCTCTAGCGTCTTCCCTTTTGAGCAATGTCGTCGCCGTACCTGGACTCATATGCCGACCCGACCCGATCCGTATCAAGCACTTCACCTTCGAGTCAACTCCAATGACTCGCTGTGCCTGCATCTACCAAGTCGTATCGGACTTATTATTAGAGTACGGCCGTACTCGTGGACGCGGGGAGTCTAGGAGACTAGGACCTGGACAGCGTGACGAGCCCCTTGTCAATGCGACCCTGCTGAAGTTCTCAACCCTATTTCCCACGGACAGCAAGCGCTGTGGCACACCAGGGTTTCATTGAAAGCTGCAGTACGTCAGCATATGTGATCACAAGGTCAACTTACAGCTCGCTTGCAATCGAAGCTCATGCGCGTCTCGTTTATGCGGGCATGGTCAGGTTTAAAAATAAGCTCGAATACAGCTTTAGTACTCGACGACGGAATGGGCTACGATGGTCGGATATTTCGGATACTTCCGACCGCACCAGTAAAAGACAATATTAAAATATTATCTCGAGTTTTTAAAAATAACTGTATAACAATATACTTAATTAATCATTAATTATCTTTAACGAATTTAATTAAAAGAAGAAACAGTTCGTTATAAAAGTTATATAATAACTGTGAGATTCTAGAAGGGTCACAAGCCTTGGGGGTATAAGCGGTCGCTGCAAATGTTGTTGTCATTCTCAAGTATGCTCGGCAGGGCTAATCTACAGCTAAATACCATACTGCACCATGCCAGAGTGGATTCACTGTTCCCTTGACAGCCCCCTAGTGGGTACTGCACCTAAGGGCACCATATCTGAGATCCAACATCTGACAATAACTAATAATAATCAATAAGAACTTATAAGTTATTTTATAAATATATAAGATAATAGTTTATAATATTTTAACCAATTTTTTTAATATATTAATAAATAATAAAAATATTATAATAAAACAATTATATATTTAAAATATTTTTTAAATACTTAAAATAAATAGTATTTATGTAAAATAGTTAAATAATAATAAACCGGTTTAGAAAAAGTCATTTTCGATCGTTATAACGAACATATACTTCAAATAAGCAAACGTTAAGTTAGACTTTAGATTGATTTAATTAAAAAACGAACAATTATTAACCAATATTATATAAGTTTACGGCTTTATTATTATTATGATTATGATAAATTTAAATATAATATAGCCCGATATTACTTCCCAGCTAATATTACGTTTATATAAAAAACTACTTTTTTTTTATAAGTTAAAATTTTAGCTTTATATTACTTGTACACATATAAAGTTATTTTATAAGCTGATTAAATTTAATAGTAAGCCGAAAAAGACCTCCTAATAAAACGAGCGAGTAAGCTTTTTTGTTATCCTGTTCTTAATAAATTAAAAAGACAAAGAATTAATAGTTAATAAAATATGAAAACCAGCTTTAACCTTTAAAACGTAAACGCGTTAGTTTTTAAGGATTGATTATATTAATAAAAGTAAAAAAATTAAATATTGAAAAATTAAAAAGATTTTCTTATATAATTTGTTTAAATTAAAAACAAATTATATAATTATAAAGCTTAAGACGAGAGTTAATATTCCGGCTAATATTATATAAAATAAAGCAGTTACTTTATAATGAATTATCATTATATTTATAAACTTAATTTAAATAAGAGAATATCGATATTATTAGAAAAATATTATAAGATTTTAAAAGCTTTATTAATTTAAACTTAAAGATTATTACAAAAATAAAGTCAATAGCAAAAGAATAATACGTTTATTTGAGCTAAGCTTTAATAATACCGTGAATTGATATTTAAAAGCTTAAGTAAAGATCTTTAAACAAAATACCGTAAAACGTTAAAATTCAAAGAGTAAATTACAGTTATTATAGTGAAAATTAAAGCAATTTATAAAAAGCTTTATAAGTAAAAACTAGTAAGAAAGAAATTTCTTATTTTTATTTTAAAGAACTTTTTAGCAGTAAAATTCCAGTCTTTACTTAAAAGAATTAAAAAACTCTTTTGGTTAAAATAAAAACAAAAATAAATATGTATAAAGCAAAAGAAAATATGAAAAATACAAGTAACAATACGTTAAACAATAACGCGCTTTTTATACCCTTATAAAGATCATAAAAAACTTTATAGCTTTAGAAATTAATTTTTGTAAAGTTTTTTAAAAAATTCTCACTTTATATATATATATATTTTAACTTATTTTTAAAAATTACTTTAACGGAACTTTTAGTAAAGTTTTTATTGGATAACATAACTTGTGATTTTAAAAAATTTAATACTAGGAAAAATAGCCCATTATAACGGGTACGACGCTTTTGACGAAGAGTAAGAGTCTTTTATTTTTAAAATAAAGACTTTTAACGTTAGATTTCAATCAACCGTTCATGATTAATATTAAGTATTTTTTAATCCTTTGTAATAAAACCTTAGTAGTAATAAAGAACCTTTAAGCCTAAGTATGTTTTAAATATATATAAAAAGTAACGGATATATTATTAAAGACCTAAGCTTTATAAGCATATAAAAGCTTTCAGTTTTTAAAATATAAGGCGAATTAATTACTTTAAACCACGACTAATTTTAAATAGTAATATACAAGCTAGAAAAGGGCTAATATATACTTATATATTAATATAAAATCCTTTACGAGTATTAAAAACAAATACTTAATGATAATAACATTTATATTATCGTTTTTAAATGAAATAATAATGAATTAACAAGAACTAAGATTTATTCACGTTTATTAAACAAATTAATAAATGTTTAAACCTTAAACGAGTTAAAGAAATACTTAGCTTTAATACGAATTAATAGTTTGATATTAATCGTAAGAGATTTAAATGTCTATTGTTTAAAATAGTCCTTAATAAATGTTATAACGAACGTTAAAAGTAATAGGCTTCATAGATTATAAAACAGTTCACCTTTGAAGCGTGTGTGTATGGGTGTATATTGGTGTATGGGTGAGGGCTGAAGAGCCCAAGCTAGATGGGCTGGAGCTGCACATACTTATGGTGGAAGTGCAGCCTTTATCAAATCAGGCAGCCCTTATCTATTTATCTAGCAAATTTACAGTGGGTCTCCTGTCCACCATAACTACCACCCCCGGTGAAGTATGTCAGCCTTTTAATAACCTTTATTTTAATAATAATAAAACCTTAAAAACTTTTTAAGAATAAAATCGTACCGGATTTTATCTCAAACGTAATCCTTATTAATTTTAATATTGTTCATTATAATATAATCAAGCGTATAAAAGACTTAAGTGACTAGACGTTAATAATCTTAATAATAATTACATTTAAGTTGTTTCAAGATAAAGACTATAAAAAGATTAATTAAAAGATAACTGGAAAAAAAACTATTAGATATTTTAAACAAACCCTTTTTTTTATAAACGACGTTAATAAAATTAATCTAAAAGAATATTTGAAGATCTTCTTATAATAAAGAAAAATACATTATAACGAAAGCGGT